TGAAATAGATAGTTTTGAATGAATTAAGGAATTAAATGCTGACTAATAATTCAATTTAGTTAAATAATATCTTGATTGATAGCTTAATCTCGGTTTGAAACTCAAAGTATTTAATGTTCAGAAAAATTAATTCATTGCTGTCAAAAGAAAGTAGACTTCCATTAGACATGCCTAAGCTATTAAAGAAAAAGCGATATACAAAAACAAGCAGATGAACTAGTGGAACTATTTGAAGAAACCATGTAATAAATTGAAAGTAGTTACAAACAATATCCTCTAATCAGATACTAAAGGTGCTTGTCTTTTGGCTATGCTGAATTATGCAACGATATCTTACTAGCTATTAGAATTCTGAATTAATCTTCATTTCCTGATGAATTTATTTATACAAAAATCCTAACCATAAACCAAGATTTTTTATCATATAAATCAATCTATTTGATCAGTAATTTAGAGAACTAGAATGTTATAAAGGTGTCTTCAAATTTTCATGAAAAATTTGGTGCCAATATTTAAAATATTACGGATATGGTCCCTAAGGGTATTTAGGAACATCACTAAGAAATGGTTAAAGAATTTATTAGAACAGGAAAATCTAATTTTTTCCAAAAAGCAACTTAAACCATATATTAAGATAATTTAATGATAAAACCAATGATTTTGATGAATGATGTGATTATCTAGGATAACAGTTTCCATGCAATTTCAATTGGAACTCTTTTGGATGATGAATAAATAATCCTAATTACTAATAATAGATCTAAAGTAAGTAGCCTTAGTAAAGGGTTCTTGGATTAACTTAATTTAGAATCTAAAGATGCGAATTAAATTCTTGGAGTTGATATTGAATTACTTATTCCCCAATTTAGAACGAATTCTCAAATATCATAACCATAATACATTGAAGTGAAATTACCAAATTTCTCTTTACTTTAATCTCATCAAGATTTAAATGGAAGAGAAAAAAACAAAAAATCACATCCTTGCATCCTTGGAGATTTTTGGTTGGATAATTCAAGATTGAACACATTTATATCCTTGTGTTTAATTGAAAAATCAACATACAATTATCATAAGATACGATTCAGTTATATAAAATGCATAAACAAAACCATAATATTTCCGAATTCAATGAAAACGCTATAAAAATTAAGCATTAATTGTTTTGAAGAAATCGAAGAATAAGTAAACATAGTGGTTCCATATGATCAAATAGATTAGGAGTGTAATTTAGGCTAGAAATAGGACATGTTGAACACTGTCAGGTATGATTAGACATAGACTTTAATAAAATATGATGATACGAGAACAGATGGAATGAAAAGGATAGGGTAATCAACATAGAAATATGAGGAAAACTCTATAGAAAGATTTATCAATTAAAATGTTAAAAGCTCAACATTTGAAAAAGACATTAAATAAAACTATGAAATGAAATTTTATCAGAAATATTCTTTATTTGAAAAAATAAGACATAAAAATAACCTAGTTAAAACTGAGAAAATGCTAATAGTTGTGTTAGCTTTGCATCAAATGTTATTTTTTCTCTAAATCTTATTGTCTTTCATAGACTGTATAAATTTACTAAACTTGAACTTAAATGAGTTAGAATTATTAAGGATAAAATACGATTTATTCCAACCAGTAGAGACGTTTATTGTTACCAGATATACAATAATTAATTACAATAACCAGTTTGCAGCAAAATAAATCACCAAACCTTAATTAGACTTTTATTTGAAATTTCCAAATTCTAATTTAAATTTAGGTTTTGATGATGTCTATTAAAATTAAGAAGCTATTCTCAATCGATTAGAGCTATAATCATTTTTATCTGAAGTTTATGAAATTTACATTTATGTTAAGACAGACAATGGTGAGCTGTTCAATATAACAATGAGATAAGCCCTCAGTATATTGATAAACTATCAATATACGTTTAAAGCTGCATATGTGTATGATGGAAAAACAGTGACAGACTCTCCTTACATCTTTTACTCATATCGCAACTTACTAACTTTATACAATTCATTTGATTATTTGAATAAGAACTTATACTCATAAGCAATTCTTAGAATATCTGATGATATAGAAAAAGAACTATTTTTATTCTATCCTTTCCTTATTCAATTCATTGTTATTTTTGGAGTAGAACTATTTTATGATTTCAAAAATAATAAGATTTTAGGCAAGTTTGTTTATTTGATTTTATTTAGTCATTCAGTGCTTATTTTATAAGAAATAAGAAGATTAACATGCTATATCGATTATTATATTAATAATCCAGAGAAACTATTTAAATATAGGTTTAATATTGAAGAGAAAGAAAAGGAATTGTAAAGTACTAAAGAACTGAATTCAAGTGGAGTTTAATAAAAAAAATTATAAAATATAGGGAAATCCTACTTTAAGAAGTGCCATATAACAACTTTATTTCTTTAATTAACATTTATAATAACATTTGGGATTATCAAACTAAATCTCACATCTTCTTACCTTACTAAATACGAAAAAACATGCTAATTTACTTTTGAAGTATCCCGTCTTGGGACTAATATCCCTACGATTTATGCTATGAGAGAAGTTCTATACTATAGATGGAGATATCCTTTTTATAAAGAAAAAGAATTATCTGAGATTTTGCAATAAATCCAAGATTGCCTCGAATAAGTACATAACGTTACAAATGATATATCATAATTAAGAATGTATGTAATGAATTAAATATAGACATGATTATTTGCTAAGTGACTCATTCGGTTAATACATACAGGAACTTTATCAAACAAACCTATGTGATTTACTTCCAGAAGATTTGAAGGAGAGAAGCCAATAATTATGCTAAACTACTCTTGGAGGGAGTTTACGTAAAGGATTATATGGAGCTTTGGTTTACATTTATACTAGCATATAAAATGAGATGCAGATTAATTACTTTTTAAATAAAACTGAGAATACTGTAAATGAATTAGAAGGAGTTTTCATGGTTAGTTAAATTATAAAGGAAATCAACTCAAAGATGTGGCTGGACATTGTCAATTCAACAGAATATGTTTAACAAATTGTAACTGTAAGAAAATGATTTATCTTAGATAGTATCTTTCATTTACATCTTCTTTGTGATAATAAATCTCTTTGCTATTTTTATTTTAATAAATAACAAACTGCAGAGGCAATATTATTTATCGAAAAGATATTTATATTTGGTGCCATAGGCAATCTTATTTGGAAATGATTAATTTGAAAGACTAGCTAAAGGATTGCTCTAAATGAATTGATGATTAAAAAAATTAAAATTAATATGTCATCAATTATTGTATAAATATAGATTTTGATTTTCTAGAAAAATTAAATATTTTTAAAATAAGTTGTTTTAATGAAAGAAATTCTTGGTTTGGCAAGTGTGATACTTATTGGGATTACCCTTTACATGAATGGATAGAGTGAAATTTCTTCTTAAAATTAATTTTAATAATGGCAATCACTTCACTCTAAATTTTATACACAAATTGAGGAATAATATCGTAGAATGATCTTTGAACAAAACAAAAAAATGATTGACGAACACAATGCTAATCCTGAAAACACCTACACAATGGCACTTAATTAATTTGCCGATTTGACAACTGAAGAATTCGTAGCAACTTATTTAGATTCATAATTATCTGCCGGATTAAAAAAGAGATCAGTAAAACCTAAGTCTCAATCCATACCAAATGAAGCTTATGATTGGAGAAACACAACAAGTGTGAGAGACATGAAATCTGGGTGCATTTCAAGTTGGGCTTTTTCAACTGTTGGAGCGGCCGAATCATATTTAACTGTGGTGAAATCTTAAAAACTATCACTTTCCCCATAATAACTATTGGACTGTGATGCAACATCATTCTCTTGCAATGGAGGTGTCCCCTATAAAGGTTTAAACTACATTGCTGACAATGGTATTACAGTTGAATCTGTTTACCCATACGTAATCAATTAATATTAATTTTTTAGACAGCCAAATTCTCACCATGCAAAAGAGAGGGAGGACCATATACTATCAATGGTAATGAAGATGTTGACGATCTTAAAAGTGCATTGAGATAATACGGAGTCTCAGTATTTGTAGATGCTACAAATTGGCAATTTTATTCAAAAGGAATATTTAGCAATTGTGAAGACAATGTCAACTTTGCAGCTACAGCAATTGGATTCACTGAAACATATTGGATTGTTTAAAGTTCATATGGTACATCCTGGGGATAAAATGGATATATTTATTTGGCACCAGGAGATACATGCGGTATTGAATCCTTTGGTGTTAGAGCTATTTGATTATTTATCATATGAATAATAAAAATATCATAACTTAGGTTTGCTTCTTATTTTCTAGACTATTTTAAGTAGGACTTCATGTCCAGCATTCACTTCTTTAATTTATGTGACTCTTGACATCCAATTCAAAATGTTAGGATATTTGGAAAAATCCCAATTAACCATGTGCAATTACATGATTTCACAATAAGCACTTAAGTCGGCAAGTGTGATTTCTTTACCGCAGATGTAATCCTGAGTTGAAAATTCTATATTAAATATAAGACTTTGTACTTGTATCTAAGAGTTTCAAAGCAAATATGGCTTCCTTTTTAGCCTACTCCAAATTAACAGTTGTTTCTATTCCTAATTTTGGAGCCACCATCAAATTGAAAAAGTATTAGGATAATTTTCTTGTTCCTGTGTGATGATAATCCAAGTATTCATCAATCTTGGCTGATTGCTGAGGATCATCAGGATACAAAGGAGTCTTAATATTTCTCGATTTGATAATATATTTGACGATGGCATGACTCTCAGCAAGTTGAAATCCATCTTTATCAACAATAGCAGGAACTAAGAAAAATTCATTAAAAAGATGTACCCTTTCTATATGGATTTATTTTAGCATATTCTGGAGTGCGTTATTTTCCTTCTGCGATTCTGATCTCAACTACTTCATGAGGAACCTTGAGTATATTTAACACGATAGCAACAAATCTTGAAGGTTGAGACAACCAATCGATATACAATTTCAATGACATCTTATTTTATAATATGATGTAAATTATACAATCAGAAAATATTATATAGTATATAATACTGATGTATGATTTATGGATAAATAATCCTAAAAGATATATTCATAATTTGATTATCCAAAATAAAAAACACAACTATACTAATTAATTCTGATGTCTTATTTTTCAAACATATTAAGTATCTCCAACATCAAAATATCAGTATTTAAAAATTTTAATGTTAAATTATTTTATTATATGTACCATTGATAATAGCAATTAGTATAAGTTAGGCAAATTAGCAACACTACCTTTCATAATTATATAATTGTTTTTATAGGAAATTAATAAGGCAGGGAATTTGGAATTGATAGAAAGTTAAATTAAATAAATATATAATGATAACTAATGATAATGTCAACTCAAGATCATATGATCCTCCAGTCATTCCTGATCCTTCTCAAATGCTTGAAGAATCCCAGTTCATCAATATCTCATAGAAGCATCTTCTTTTTCCGAATAGTCCTTTTCAGATTGTCAAGCCTTAGGATGTAAGTGATTATGAATTCCCTTTTGATCCATAACCATTGCAGATGATGTTTGATTATCCTCAATCAGAATAACTCTCACCAAAACAATAAATTAGGAAACCCTCCAAAAATTCGAATCTATAATTCACTACGCCATAAAAGGTACAGCCTTACAGAAGGTAATTATTTTGAGCAATTTAAATAGATATCAATCAGAAAGAGTAGAACGAAGAACTTATAATTATGAATAGTAAAATTAACCCATGAGAAGCCAAAAGGGTAAATATGGACACATAATCAAGCACAGGACTTAGACATTTGTCAATAAAGGTCAAGGAAATCGTGTTTGAATTGAGATCAACTTCCTATAAAGATGTGGCAGAGAGATTAATTTAGGAGTTAAGTAAGGAAGAAGGCAGATTACTAGATTATGATAATGTATGATAATAATAAATTAGAGTCTAAAGATGAGTAAAACATTAAGCGTAGAGTTTATGATGCTTTGAATGTGATGATAGCATCCAAAGTATTAAGAAAAGAAGGTAAAAAAGTCAAATCAGATGTTTGTTCCGAACTGTCTGGAAAGATTAAACTTTAAGACAGAGATGCTCAAAGAGAAAAGCTGGTAATTTTGCAATATATCACAAGATGATAAAATAAAAGATCGTCTAAGGAAAAAAGAAGCATTTATCAGATCTCATTAAAAAATGGAAAACGGCCACTTCTTTAATAGAAAGAAATAAAAACATAGAAAAATAATCATAACAATCATTCTATTTTCCATTAATAATATTTTATGCAGATCAGAAACATCCTAAATTTCTCAAAGATAAAAAAACATTAAAAATTTAGATGAAAAATAAAATTGAAATTCTTTCAGATCTTGACATTGCAAAACAATTGTTTCTGTATCATTTATGAATTTATCTTAGTGAAACTGTTGACAATGATAAAATATAAGAAGAATGCTTAAAATTGTAATGAAATAATTTATATATATTTTTATTGTATGAGATTTTTGAAATAAATAAGAATATATTTATGAACTTGAGATAATCAAAAAGAGTTTTTTAAATAGTGAGAATTTAAATGGAATTCAAGTATATTTTAATCTTATGTTTTCATTAAATTCTGAAAAAATGATTAATAATTAGATTTATACATGTTGAGATATTATTTTTAATTCTGTTTCTAAGTCTTACGAGTTAGACGATTAATAGAAAGAAATTCATCAAGTTATATTTTAAAAATAAATTATTATTATTTTAATGAAGCAGAGGAGATTTGTTCAGAGAAACTAAGCTACATTTACTCATTTTGTTAGTGTACCTTTAATTTTACAACCCACTTAAGGGAAGCTTTAGAAATTGATGGAAGACATTCATAAAAAGTACAATTATGATTAATCAATGAATCAAAATAACCCATTTCTATTTCACATAACAATATCAATGCTTGGATTATCTAATTAAGAAAAAATAAATAAGGCTAAATAAATATTCATTGAGAATGAGCAAACAATAAAAAACTATTTAAAAAACACTTGTATTCGACTCAAAGGTTTAGGTTGTTTTCAAAATCGAGTTAATCAATAAAATAAATATTACAAACGAGGACCTTATGAAGATTTAAATATCATTTATTTAAATGTAGATGAAACTTAACTATTGCCAGTTTCTGATTTTATCATTAGATAATTCCTACAAGCAGAAATCTTTGATTCAGATGATTTAAAATCAATGAACTTAATCATGGATCAGTAATCAAAAATGTTCAGAGCAGAGAAATTTCATATAACATTGTTTCGATTGAAGGATTGTAAAATTAACTTTCAACAATTATTTGATGAATACAAAGATTACGAATTTGGTGATGTTCCCATTTAATATTTTGACATCAGTACGAGATGGTAGTATGATAAAGATAAGTTCTATTAGCCATTAGCGAGAATATTAGTTGATTGATTGTAAATTACAATAATTATAAATATGTATTCTGATAAATTGATAATTCTCATAATATCCATCTTTCAGGTGTTCCTATTATGAAGTTGCAACTGTTTGTTACAGCATAAATTTTTCCTAAATGAATCAAACTGCCATTTTACACCTAAGCAATTTAAGGAGGATTTGGTAAATTCTCGGTTGTAAATTATAAATTTTGTTAATCCACCATCTTTAATAGTTAATATTATCCATTTCCAAAGATCAATACATTAGAATTATTTATAGCCACTAATCCTACCCCTCTGTTGATATTAATGTTAAAAGAGGTCCATTTCAATAGTTTAGTATCAAATACTTCCAATGGTGTTGCTTTAATCACATATTATCGAAAAGCACATACTGATAAATTAGCACCACCCTGATTCATTTTTGGCAGGCTAACTCTAGTTTCAATAACAGACCTCGCCTTACTCATTTGTAATTCTAAACCCTCTATGGTATTTAAATCTTCGTTCTGATTTTGTCCTCCAAGAACGTATAGTTTATTTTATAGGAATACTCCAGCTGATGAATGTCGAGGTTATTATAGTTGATCAGTCGATATTAGGGTTTGTTATTTCAAATCCAATTTGAAAATTTAAGAACTCAATTAATTTCCAATATAACCACCTATGACAAATATATCTCCTTATTGTGAACGTGCAGATGAACTTTTTATTGGCACTTAACAATTCAATCTAACCTCTTGCCATCTGGGATTCTAAACCCATTCTAAATTTAAGAAAAACACGGATTTATCGGTGAAGTAATGCAAATATTTTTAACTACAAAGAGGATCGTAGAAATCTGGTAAATTTATGGTAAAATTGGAGATACCAACTTGTTAAACTACATTATTCACAAAATATTATACATTATTGTTCCAATCTTTTATATGGTGATTGTTCTATTTAGGCTGGTTAAATTTCACTTGTCAAATATGGATGATTATAAGCTGTATTTTTAGGAATTAATGAAGAAGGTTAAATTTATTGATTCTTATAATACTCTGCATTTTTTATTGATGTGTACTGTCCCAATTGAATTTTAAGAAAGTATAGTTCTTACTCCTCAATTTAAATATCTAATGTATGTTTAGAGACTTCTTCAATAAATGCTTCACATTCAACTCGCTATTGTTGTGTTTGTTACAGGAAATTTGTTGTTTATAATTGTATGATTTGCTTTAGATACTTTGGAGTCCTTAGTTTTTAATCAATCTATTAAAATTCTTGAATTTTTAAATTTAACGATCTTTCCATTTATTATAATTCAACATCTAAATTTGTTCTGTCTGTCTTTGTGACTTAATCTAACTCGTTAAACAATTCATCAAAAAATTAATCCACCATTTACTATACTCTCAATTTTGCATTGCTAAGCTTCGTGTGCAATTACCCATGAGCATCTGTTTTTGAATCTTTGAATTACTATAATAACTATATGGCTGAGTTCAAATTTATTAAATGAGTGTTTATAAGTTGTAATGTTTCTTCATGCATTTCATCGACTGTGACTAAGTCTGGAAATTATCCTTACTATCGATGTTTGTCCAAATGTTAAGGAATACATTTTGGACATAGAGGCAATAAACAACTAGGCTGTTTACAGAAATTAGTTATACTCTAGCCTTAATGTGTTACACAAGGTGCTTACAACTAAAAGGTTTAACCTAAACCTATCTCACTAGGATTAGGAGAATTTTGAATATTGAACATAAATATTTATATAAAATTAATTAATTGAAAGGAATACAATTGAATTACTACTGGGTGTTAGATACATAATAAGATTATGATGATCATAATGAGAATGGAATTAAAATATATTAAAAAATGACTTATATAAAACTAATGAAAAAAAAGAATACAATTCGTCCTTGTGTGACTTCCAATTCAAACATAGTTTAGATTAGTTTCAAGCTTAAACAAAATTATTCTCAATCAATTTATATATCAATATCTTAAATTATGAATGTAAAATAAATCACAATAGGTCCCAAGATTAATAATATGATTATAAAATTAATAAAACATTCTGCAATTATTTTAATTATTAGTCATTTCAATTCTCTATGGATGTAAAATATTAATTATTTACAATTTCCTAATCTGTTGTATATATTTACAACAATATTTGATATTTATTAAGAATGATAAATTATTTAATTATATTAATCATAAAAATGAATAAAAAAACTTGATTATCATGCCATTATTTCTTAATCTTACATTACGGATCTGGCTAGTCTTTCAAAAGCATCATCTAGAAACAAAGTCTATTAAGGTAATAAATAGAGATATCTTTTTGCAATATAATATTGTCGTTTAAGAAAAGGATTTATGATATAAAATAGAAAAAGGATTGATATTACTACGAAGACAAAAGCAAAAACACACAAGTACTAAAACTAAAAATAAAATTCTTACTATAATGCTAGACAAGATATTATTGGTCTGATTTGTTAGATCAGCCTTCATATAAGTATTGATTTATTTTATAACTTGACTTATAATAAAGGCTCCTTCCAATTCGTTTCTAGTATTTTCAGTCTTATTTAGAAATTTATTAATCTACATTTCATTTTAGATGTTTGTATATATATAAATTAAAGATCCAGTTAGGCCGTTTAGAAAACTTCCGCCTAAAGTAATCTAACACAAAGCCATTGATTTCTCTTTCATGTTATCATCTAAATAGTTACAGATATTTGTTGAAGATACAGTTTACATGTAATCACTGAAGTGTGAACTTAATAAATACTAGTTTCTAAATTTGTATATATAAATAAATACATTTATAGATTTTATAAATAAGCAGTTACATTTTGCACTTAAGCCAAACATTCTATAATTTGTTCTAGAATTTACTCCAAGTCATCATCTTTATAAAATGGATATCTCCATCTATAGTAAAGCACTTCTCTCATGGCATATATTGTAGGAATATTAGTTCCGAGGTCGGTAATTTATTAATAAAAGTAAGCGGTTGGTTTAAATTAAGTAAAATAATTTAGATTAACATAATATTTAGCAATCGAAAAGGAGATTAGAATTATGAATTAAATAAGTATCAAACAGTATCCAAACTTATTAGAAAGCAATTTTTTTTGGTATTATAATCTTTTTATTGAAGTTTCAATTTATAATTACTTTTATTGCAATTTTAATTAATTCTCCTTTTTATCAATTTGGAATTGGTATTTAAATAATGTATCACTACTCTTAGATATGCTTTCAACATATAGAGTAAATCTATCAATATCTTACTGAATTGTATAAGCTTCATTAAAAGTCATAAAACCCAATAACGAAGCAATTCTTCCTTAATTCTTCAGATACCAGAAGATTTCAAAGCTAACAATAATTAAAATTAAAATAACAAAAGGGTAAAACAATGTTAATTCTTAATCCAAATCTAATTCGATTCTCAAATTACATTCTACATATAATTATTAATTTAATAGATCAAATGCATCATATAGAGTAAGTAGATTTCTGTAAGAGTAAAATATATAAGGTGAATCTGAGACAGTTTTACCATCGTATTTATAGGCAGCTTTGAAAGTGTACTAATAGTTGATTAGAATACTTAATGACTATCTCATAGATATATTATAGACTTCTCCTACATCAGTTTTAATGTAAATATAAAAGTCATAATATTAGGCTAAGAAATCTTATAGAGTCAGTCTATTCAAGATTGCTGCTTAATTCTATTAAACATCATCGAATCCTAAATTTAAGTTTGAATTAGGAAATTCTAGATATTTATCCAATTCACTCTTTGTTAATGATTTTGCTGTGTATTATGCATTATAATTGATAATTGTATATCTAGTAACAATAAATGATTCTACTGGTTGAAACAGGTAATATTTGATTTAAAGAAGATCTATATTGGTTAAGTAATAATTTAAAGTTGATGAACTTGCAGTTAAGGAAATAGCAATTTAAGCTATAAAGACTATTAATTGTAGCATCACAAAAAACATCAACACTTTTTAGATCTAATTCGAATTAGGGGATTGCAACATCTTTTCCATGAGAATGTATTTTTTATAGTAAAATGCCTTTTTCTACCCACTTAATTAACTAACCTAAGACGATTACCCTTCCATTTAAACATCTTATGAATCATCATCATTGCTTTTTGAATATTTTTAGTTAATTTTAGATTTCTCAATGAAGTATTTTTGTTGTTATTATAGGGATTACAAAGGTTAATATGTTTTACTTTAAGATTCGTTTTACCTTGAAGTATTTTTGCCAATAAATTAATCATCCACTAAAAATCCAATTCCATCATTGTTATGAGATTCTCTATTAGATAACAGTAAATCTGGATTTTATAGTATAACTATATCATTGATGTATTTTGGTTCTGATTCTTCATAAGGAATCAACATTTCAATTTGTTCATCCATTTCAATTTCGCTTATGTTGTTGCCATGTTATTAGAAATATGATTTTTGTGTTAAAGTTCTGGAAGCACTTTGACTGCCTCTTCTGGTTCCATTTTTTAAATAATTGAATCTAACAATGTAATATTTATCATCGTTATTCTAAATGCAACAATGAGTGGAATAAGTATCATAATTATATTGATCTAGCCAACAACCATCCATAAGATCTGTTATATTTCTTTTTTATTTATAGTGGATTAGGAGTGTGACAAAATCAAATAATTTTGGTTTTGTTAAGAATCTAAGTTATATTTACTAAACTTGGTTGTCCTCAATATACAATTTGAATTTAGGAATAACATAATCAACTGGGATACCATAAATTAATTCAATTTAATCTGGATTTCCTCCAACAATTTCAAAAAATTCTTCACTCAATCCCACAATCTTATGTTAGTTATCAACCACCATTATTATTTGATTTTCATCTTAAATAGACAATAAGATTAATGCATTGAGTTAATTTTTCTCAAATAAAATTTCAGTTACAATATTCACTCCTTCACAAAATCCCTTTTTGGCTATCAAACCTTCTTGAACATTTCTAAAGAATTTGGATTTTCCAGTCTTGATAAATGTTTTTATCATACTGGAATGATAGTCTTTTATTCCATTGGGTATTAGATCGTCTAAAATTAATTAGTCTACCTAAAAGAAATCATAAGCATTGCTTGAATTCCTGATTATCTGCATGTTATCTAAATTTACCATCAAATATGTGGTTTTGGTTGAATAGAGATCAATTTTGAGATTTGAGACATTTTTATAAACTTTATCTTCCTATAAGGCTGCCTAACAAAATACTTTCATAGCAGATAAGTAATCATTAAGTAATTCAGCGTAAATAAAAGCCAAGATATTTTGCATCCTATTGCTCGGGTATTGTCTGTAAAGATCTTGAACAAACCCCTTCAATGTATCTAATTCCAAGACTAAAGTGTTTGATTTGGAGTATAGTTTATCAATTTGATCGTAATCAAAATCTTTAAAGTATTCAATCTTCTTCTAACACAACAATATAATTCGTTTACATAATTCTAAATTTTTTGATTCTATATCCATGAACTTCTTTATGTTCAACTCAAAATCTTTATCGGTATCAAAGTTGTTCTTTTGCATCATGTGATAATTCAACTTCTGTCTACACTTTCTGGCACATATCAGAAACTTGATTTTGCTCAATATTGTTTGTCCTTTCTTGTTCTCCCATTTGGATATGTATAAGAAAGCCTAGAAGTAGAATTCCAGTTTCAAAAGGAGGGATAAGTGAGAGATGAAGTCTTCTTGAACCAACTAAACACAAATTTGAACGATTTACCTCTTAGTGTTTTAAGCTCAACCTAATATAAAAGTCATAAATATCCTCCTAGTTTAGAACTGTGAGTCTCGATGGTTCGATGTCCACTTTTTTCATGCCCTTGCTCACTATTGATTCTATCAGAACACGCTGTTTAGAGTAGGAGAATTTGGATTTCAATTCTAAAATCAAATTAACGATTTAAGAAGGATGGGATTACTGTGCGATTGTGAGTAATTGTTTTTTAGAATAAAAATATGATGCTATTTTGAAATTCATGGGCAACTAGAAAATAAAGAGCAATTCTATGAATCCCATTTCCAATTTACTTTCCAAAGATATCAGAAAAAAAAGATTGTATATTATAGAATTAAAATTAATGGCAAAAACTATTAGGAAGATTTTCTTATTCAAATACGGGAAGTAAATCATTGCGTTTGTGAAAGTTGCTATATTGATCAAAAGGCTTATGATGCCCAGATAAAATGTCATGATTCCGTCAATTGAGGTGTTAAAACTAAAGATTCCTATTTATACAAGGTTTAGGGTTTGGGCTATGTAAATTAGAAATGACTAATTGGATAGATTAAAGGTATTCTGTTAGAGGAACAACTAAACCTTAGTGATGAATAGGCGGTAGAGCAAAAACACCAAATAAATGAGCAAAGTTAAAATTGACAAAGCATCCCCTCTTTTTAGTAACATCTCCAAAATAATATTAATTAACCAAATATCATAGATTTGATTACAAAAAGTAATAATCTATAAATAGAGATTTGATTTTAAATCTTCAATATTGTTTTTCGATATAATAAAATAGACAATGTAATGCATAATTATCACACCAGAAATAACAAATAAAAATATTGAATATCCTGGGTCTGTATCTTCAATAAATAAATGAGGTCTTATTATTTTTCCCAAAATTTAAAAGTAAATATTATTCCTTGATTAACCCTCCGCAGGTATAATAGAATACGACATTGGTATTAATGAACTTAGGGTAGTAAAGATAATTAAAGCGAAATCATTAACCTAAAATTCTGTTTCTTAGAGCAAAGAAAACTCTAATATAAATGATATAAACTTCTAAATTTAATATCTGATATTCATAATAATAATAATTAAAATTTATGAGTTCCGATTCATTTGAAAAACTAATGTAATTAATTCACGAATAAAATACTGCATGCGAATAACATTATGATCAAAATAATAGATAAATAATGGATTTATTAGGCAATTTGGATAATAATATGAAGAATTTACAGATGTAGATGGACTAGCCAAGAGTTGAACATCATCACAATTTATCGAAGGTGGAAGAAGTGGAGAACGAGGATCAAGAATAATCGCAATTTTAAGTTTAATAAGAGGACAAGGAGGAGTTGGAGTAACAGATGAATCAGCAACAGGAATAGGAGTAAATCATAATATAAGATCAGATAAATGAAGAATGACTTATACTATTTAATTATTTTATAATTTTCAGTTGTTTTCTAATTAATACGAATAGGACAGCACTAATGATTTGGTCATTAATTCTTGGTTTTTAAACACTGCTGGCATCAATATTATGCACTCTTCTTTGTTCTTGATGAATCCATCAATGGGGTCGTGTTTCTGTTGATTAAACTAAATCTTCTGCCCGATTGATGGGATGTCAAAAGTCAAGGTAGGATCACTGATGTAGCAGTTGAACATGATTTCTGCCAACTTGTTGAAGAAGGCTTCGATCAAGTCGTTGTTGTTTAGTTTTAAGTATTTTTATAATTCTATTCTTGTGGATGTTTGATTTCGCATGCATTTTTCATAGATTGATTTATAATTTCCTTAGAATGATTTTCGCATAACGTTTAGTATGGGTCCGTCTATGTTGGTGAAACACCCCACCTAAACGAATTTGTTTATAATATTACCTCCATAATTTGTTTGAATAGTGGTTGGAAGTATTCTTGAATGATTTTGTCAATTCGGATCATTGAGGTGGAAAAGAAATAAATAATACCTTTGAGATTTAATTCTTAAGTCAACACATCGAAAAATATATCAAAACATTCACATTTATAAAATTCCGCAATAGAATTACTTAATTCATTAGCCATGGGAAATTGTATACTAGTGTTGGAAAAGCCAGAGACCATGCATCTGAGATGAGATTGCATCTACAGTATTTCATGTTATAGATTTTAATTTTCTTTAGTGAGATTCTCTTTTTCTTTTTTCGTCAATTGCAACTTATTCATTAAAAGTTTTATTTTTCCTCTTAATTCTTCCTGTGTTCCATCCAAATAATCTTAAGGTTTTTAGTAATTTTCTTTGGCATAATTATTCTTCATATTTAAATTATGCTGTTAAAACATTTATTTTTTATATTTAAATTTAAATCAGAATTTACAGTTAATAAAAATGGCTTTATTAAAAGACGATACTGCATTTACTCATGTAATTGCAATTGATTTCGGCACAGGAGCCTCAGGGTATAATGTGAGAGTGAATTATTTTAGATTTGGATTGGCTCCAAGAATCCTGGATAAGGAAGGCAAACCCAGAATCGAGGTATTCAATCCATGCGATGACACAGATGACCAAAAAACACCAACTGCAATTCTATTTGATAATAATGGTTAATTTATTGAATTTGGATCTCAAGCACTTTAAAAATATGCAAGCATGTTAGATGATGGTGAAACAGCCTATTTGTTTTAAAATGTAAAAAATAATTATAAAATTCTTAGTATAAAATGCATTTGTATCACATGCATAATCAAGCCAGATCATTGGATAATCGCGAACTATCATTGATGTTAATAATAAGAGAAACATTAAAATATATAAGCAATAGAGCAATTTAGAAATTGAAGGAACAAGTAGGAAAAGTGATACCCACAAAAATCAGATGGGTCTTAACAGTACCAGCCTTATGGAGTGAGGAACACAAACAATTTATGAGAAAGGCAGCTGTTGAAGCAGGCATAGTGGATCACTTGAATTCTCCGAATTTGCTACTATGTTTGGAACCAGAAGGTGCATCCATTCAATGTAGAGAGGATGCTGAACAAACTTTGAAAGAACAAATGGCGAAGAACTCTGTTGTGATGGTATTAGATTGTGGAGGTGGGACTGTTGATATCACAGTACATAAATTATTATGTGAATCAACTGAGAAATTCTTATGCAATGAATTAATACCATCATCTGGTGGTTGCGAATGGGGTTCCAAATATGTAGATCTATATTTTGAGGAATTCCTGAAGGAGTTCTTAGGAGATAAACTATTTAGATAATACTAACAAAATGCCATTGCTCGTTTGGATATTTTACGAGATTTTGAAATACTCAAAAGGAAATTTAAAGGGAATAAGGATGAAAAATGTATGATCAAATTCTCGTATTTGGGGGAAGACTTGAATACAAATAAATTGTAATAATTAGTTAAAGATCATAACCAAAAACATCCTCCTGAATATCAGGTGAAATTAAAAGGATTATCAAATGTTGAGATTCCATCAGCTTTGATGGCTTCATTCTTTTAGACACTATTTGAAAATATTAAAAATAAAGTAGCTTAATTATTAGTTTAAGTGGAATAGAAAAAAGAAAAAGTAAACTTTATATTTATGGTTGGAGGTTTTAGTGAATCTCCATTCTTGAAATAAGAAATCATTAAAAGATTCGAAAATAATACAATTTAGATATTGGTTCCAAGAAGACCTTAAGTTTCAGTCATAAGAGGAGCTTGTTTATTTGGGTTGAGTCCAAGATCAATTACAAGTAGAATAGCAAAGAAAACTTATGGAATTAATACATTAACAACTTTTGATGCTGAAAGACATCCTATTAAAAAAAAGGTCATTATTGAAGGAGAGGAGTTTAGTGAAGATGTATTTGATGCTTTTGTTAGGAAAGGAGATGCTGTTGGGTATAGTATTTCTCTATAATTATATAGTTGCGATGAAGTTCATACGAAAATATATTGTCCTGTCAGATCCAGACAAACAATTATGAGGATCATCTTTTATGTAACTGAAAAGAGAGAGGTGGAGTTCGTTGATGAATAGGGTGTTTAATAGTTAGGAGAATTGTGCATTGACATAGGGAAACCTTTGTAGTCTGTGGAGGACAAGACTGTCAAAGTTACTTTATTATTTGGAACTACTTGTATATATGCGACTGCTACTAACAAGGATGGAACTGAAATAAAAAACTGTGAGTTCAAATTCGAATGTGGGTAATGATCATTTTAATTAATAAATGAATAATAATTATATACTTTTTGCACTTTTAACTAAGCCTTTTATATTATTAATAAAAAAACGAAAATAAAATGAAATATTTTCTTATATTTCTGTCACTTTCAATATCCTTGTGCATCAAATTAGAACTTTTAGAAGTATTTCATAAATCGATCGACTGGTAAGCCAACTATTAACCGACTTATGAAAAATAAATGAAAAAAATGGAAAGACAAATATAAATTATGAAAGAATAAAGAAGAGCAAAGAATCAACAATGCGATCGCATTTAACGAGGGTTAGACTTTATCGTTAATGAGTAAAGAGTTTATAATAATTAAGAAAGGAAAAAAATGAAAAGTTTACATCATGGTTGACATCTCGTATTGAATAAAACCAGAATCGGGTTGAAAAACTTAATTAAATCAAATGTCAAAGCAGTTCTTCATTTTATGAGACAATGAATGAACAAAACAGAGTGAATAAATTAAACTAATTTTTTGTTAGTTGGATAAGTCGAGATTAGAAATTACTCCAATTATAAGATACTCAAACCTTCATTTAAGAAATGCAAGTTGAAAACGAATATCAAGATGCACTATTAATTTTATCTGGTAATTGCAATTCAATATATTGTAGAATAAATTCGATCATGCAAATTATCCCCATTCAAATAATAGACAATTGATAGAAGCGAAAGCTCAAGAAGAGATTTTGAACAAAACATCTTTGCTTTAGAAAAGTTAATGACTCAAAATAATGACTAGCTGGAGCTTAACGAAGTGAGGGTTTAGGATAAAATCACTAAATTTATTTAATAATTAGATAAGGAGACAGAGCAATTACAAATTCATTATGAATCTATTATGAAGATAATCAATAAGAGTCCAGTTGAAACTACCTCAAAATAACGATTAGATCAATGTTAGAAGGATGTGTTGAGTATCGATAAATTGATTGAGGCTACACAGGAAGCAATAAAACGAATATAGACTTGTGCTCCAAGTGAAGGTATTACTATGTTGTTATTTGTTGTAGGATTGGCATATAAGCAGAAGAGAATTTTGAGTCAGATTGCAAAGGAATATTCATCAGGAGTTGCCAAATTTGAATAAAAATGAATTCATAAATAAGTTCAATAAACAATGCGATTTTCATTTTTTTGAAATTATATATAAATTAGTAGTTATTTAAATTAATCGTTAATGGACGCAACTCAATTAAAGACTAAAGTGATCTATGAGTTCACTAAGAAGAATAAATCGTTATTAGACGAATGGTCTGAAAAAACAGCTTAGGCATACTTGGAGTAATGCAGAAAATTTACAGAGGAAATGTATTAAGGGAATTTGACCATGGTCGATGATGGATACAATTAGACTCAGGAAGAACTATTGATCTTGGAAAACTTGTTTAAAAGTATCCCTATTCAAGTGAATTATAGATTACACAAAAACAAAAGGAGACATTCAACATAAGCTTCGTATTGGATATTCAATTGCAAGAAAACTTTACATGGAGAATCTTCAATAGAGGGTGTTCAAGATATTCAGAGAATAAGTCAAATTTTAAAAATACATCAGAAGTATGAAGGTTTATGCAACTAAACATTATAAGTACAATTTGATATGAAAAAATAGATAGCGACTTCCAAGATAAGTGTTCTCAAAGTGGAGGAAATTAGCTCACAATTAAACGAGACAAGTCATTTTACAATAGGTGAATAGGAAAACTGATAATGAAATAATGCAGATGCAAAAGGAATACGAGTAGTTGATTGGGTAGTTGGAGACTGTGTTGGAAAAGAAATTAATTGAATTGAAGGTGGAGGAAGAGTAGCACAAAGAATTGGTTTTAAGATATGATGGAATAGTTGAAAAAAGGACTGCAGTAAAGCATTGAATTATCTGATTATTATATATTTCTAATTATAAATAATTGCTATGCCAATTAGATATGTAGATGTACTAACAGTGGAGCAAGCATTAATTAAAGCTGGAAATGGACACAAATTCTAAATCAGGGCCATCGTTATAATGAGCTTGCAGTATATGGTAGCAGGGATGTTTCATATTGCTATAACGGAATTGTATTTCCATCAAACCCAATATAAATGCATCGACTAGCAATATAACTTTTATTAGTGCAATGAAGCCGATTTTTGCAAATAATATTACAGAGAGGACATAGACAAAGAGAAAATCACATTTGCATCTCAATTGGGAGACATAATTCAATTCTTTTAATTAGTTTGCGGTGACAAAATTATTATATTAATACTCGTTACTTCATATTATTTGGGTGGATGTATAGGCTCCCTCTATTATGGAGAGCAGATGGAAATTCGACAAGGCAGATAGTATTTATTGATAAAAGTATTAGATCAATTATGATTGAAACCTTGGCTTTATTGGGTTTCACCTGTTGTCTAACAATCCTAATACCGAATGCGTACTTATTAAGTGTGGCTTTGTTTTTTGCTAATTTCTTTTTGAGAGGATTCTTGAATTCCTCTATGATTTTATTTTTTGAAATATCATCTGAGAATCTGTAAAAATTAAGTCCTTCAATTTTATTGACGACCTATGGAATTGGGACTATTATATCACCAGTGATTATAGAATCGTTTTAACTAAATTGGTAATAGAGTATGTTAATTCTATTTGGTGGACCAGCTGTTATGTTTTCAGTTCTCATTAAGTTCATGCAAGAATCACCAAGAATGCTAGTCATTAAAAAGAAATATCACGAGGCTAAAATAGTAATCCAACTAATCAGTTAATGTAATGGGAGAGAAATGCCCAAGGATTGGATGTTAGAAGATGAAGTAAAAGTCAATGAACTTAAAGGAAAGATAGAAGAAATTGCTTTATAATTTGGCGTAAGGGAAGTGGCCAAAGCTTACAATTTCTCGTACTTATATTTTACATTAAAATAGCTCAATTTTCCGTTATAATTCAACCAGAGTTAGAATGTTCTGTCTTCTTTACTTATATTCAGTGATCATCATTGGATAATTTCAAACCTCTAAAGAAATAGATGCATTTTCCAGATTGGATAGATAGAAGACTGAGTTATTGCTATCAACTGTAGCAACAACAGGCTATCTTATCAGTGGATATGCAAGTTTGAACTACAACAGAAAGGATGTCTTGAAGATTGTTTTAGGAGTTAGTGCCTTATTCAATTTTCTTTATGCAGTTTTTCCAATCTTTCAATTAAGTACAAATGCCATAGCCTTGATCTCCTTCTATGATAGATTGATGCATACGATAGTCATGATGATTCTCATTATGAGCAGATTAGTCTTGAGTTTTGGGTGTGCCTTCATTAATGTAAGAATAATCATTCTATATTAGATCTATGCCTTAGAAGTATTTCCTACATCTTTGAGACATTATGGTTTTTCTGGAATGGTCTTTTTGACTGAATTTCTATTCATTTTCTAAGAGACTTATGTAGTCTTTTGTCATACATTTGGATTGAATACATCCATAGGTATGTTCTTTTTATTGTTGTTTGGAATTCTAACGCTGAATAAATTGCGAGAAACATATGATCAACCATTAAGAGAGAATGTTGAAGAAATGAACGATGAATTACTTAACAATGTATATGTATTATGATTTATAATGCAATATATTTCTCATCTCTTTTTAATTAACAATGTTGTAATAAAAAATAATAAATTTTATTTAATAAAATGAGTGAGCGCTCTGAATTAGTATTCCTATTGTTTATAAACATTAGCTGGCTGAAAATATCTATTTGAAAAACAAGGTTCAAGAACTGAATATAGAGATACAGCAATGGAAATCTCACATCGAAGAATTGTCAATGAAATATTACAAACTGCAATAACATAAGATTAATCCAGAGGATCTTTTGGAACTCGAAGATTTGAAACTTTAGTAGCAAAGATACTAGGAATAGGAATTTTAATAAAGTGTTATGATAAATCAATAAAAATAAGTGATCCTCAATTTGTAATCTGAAAATAGAGATCTGATTGATAAAGTAGATAAATTAGAGTAGAAGGCAAAAAATTATGATTGTTTGAAATAATAATATTGGAACTTGGAAAAGGCAAGTCAAAAATATTTTGAAGAATTGGAAACTATTAAATAGAGACCTCCTACTATCTTGGTTCCCAACCCAGATGTCACAGCTCTGTATAGAGAGATCAATCGTTTAAATGCGATTATTTAATCAATGTGTAAAAATTCTATTGAATCAATGTGCGTGACTTCAGTTGATCACAGGAGGAATCAACCTGAGGAGTAGATGATGATGAGGAATTCTGCCGAATACTAGAAGCAGAGGTTGAATGACCAGTCAAATAGGAAATCTAATGGGATGGAATAATTCTATTGATAATATATTTATTTTCTAATTACGTGTATATAATAAAAAAAATAATTTATAATGAGTTTTGCTGGTTTTGGGCAGAATTTTAATGGGGACGAAATGGCAAGGGAATAATAGAAGGCTCAGGATGGTTGGGATATCGAAGATGAGGATTTTCCTTCTGATCATGGAAATTAAGATCAGCAGTAATAATTAAACAATTTTAGAGATAATCCAAATTAAAATTAAAAACAGAATGAATGGGAAATCGCTGATGATATTGACGATCCCTTCTAAACACCAGCAGAAACCTAATTAAAACAGGAATAATAAACTTAAATTTAATAAGATGAATAAAAATCTCCAGAATAAGTAGATATGTGGGGAAAAATAACAAGCACTGTCCAGTAGACTTAAACAATCGAAAAACTTATTAAAGAAAGTGCGCCTTAAAAAATTAAGCAAACCTTTCAAAATATATTTGGATCCCAAAATAGTGGATCCAATAATATTATTATTTCACAGGAGCAAACATCAAATAGCAAAGTATTCGCAAGTGTTTAGTAGGTAATTGATATGAAGAAATTATTCGAACTTGAAAAGTAAGTATTATAATAATCTAGATCTGAACTTGAAGACCAAATGAAGTTAAGAAGAATCTAAGAGCAAAATGAATTAAGAGAGCAAAAGTAGGAATTAGAAAATAAAATAAGGCAATTCCAAATTGAGAAGGAATAATTCAATCAGCAATTAAAGGAAGCCAAATAATTATTTAAATTGACTGAGCTCATAGAACCACAAGATAATCATTAAGTCATTATTTGTAAATTGACCAAAGAGAATGAAAACCTAAACAACGACATCACTAAACTGATAGATACATAAGAAAAATAGATCAATGATTATGAGGACAATATCGAATAAATGTAATAAGAGATTGAGTATTACAAAAATCAGTTCATTAAATACTAATCGAAATATGAAAATGCCAAAGAAAAGATGAGAGTAGAGATTCCCAAAATTTAAAATTAGCTAATGACTATTAAGAATATAGAACTAAATACATTAGTTACAAATAAACTGACATAATTCTAAAAATATTATATCACCAAACAACAGGACTTGTTGCAATATGCATTATAAACAACTTCAAAATAATCTAAACAAATAGGTTCTCTTAAAGAGGATAATATAAGATTGATGCAACAAGTTGATGAATTAGATGAGTTAAAGGACGAACATTAATCAAGTTTATATATTATAAAACAGTTGAGAGTCTCAGAGGATAAACTAATGGAAGAAAATGAGAGAATCTAAAATCAGAATTAGGATAAGGAGAATCAGATCATGGAACTCTAAAATTAATTAAGTGATTTGAGAAATGAAAATGAGAAGGACAAATTTAATTTAAATCAACTGATTGCATCTTTACAATCATAGCTTGACTAATTTAAAAGAAACTCTGTTGATAAATAGACTATTAATAAATTAGAAAATTAATTGGCACTCATTCAAGAGGAAAAGAGAGCTTTACTAAGTAGTTTAGAGAACAAAGAAACACAAATCATAGTATTGGAACAATAAATCTAAGAATTAAATGAGGAATTGACTAAGCAGTAGAATGTAGATTCGAATGATATTTGGAAGTAGGAGGATAAAGGTTGGGAATTGGATGATTCTTTTTAAAAAAAATATGATGAATGTAATTTATGAATTAATGTATTAGTGGAGTTATAAATGATTCAATATCGAAATGAAAATCATGAATTAAAATATTAGCTTAAGGAAATGGAGGTTCGAATGCTCTAGTAATAGCATAAGTAAGAGGCTCAGGTTGAGTAGATGCATTAATTATAGATGTGTTTAGTTGACACAGAATATTAGAAGAACTTTTAAAATGCAGTATAGTATTAAATTAATCAAAATATTTAAGATAAGAAAGAATTTAAGAATTAGAAGAACAAATTTCTATTGAAAAAAGGAAGTTCTCAGATGAAGAAGAAAAGGTAAGTGAATAAAATTTATAGCCGGATGAAGATTCCCAAAGAGCAATTAATTAATTGAGATAAATCGACTATGAGGAAAATGCAGTATAAAGAGAGGATGGGGCTTGGGAATTCGAAGATAGTCTAAATGTTGACATCTAAGAAGTAATATTATAATATTAAGTATTTTAGTAAGAAGTTGTTAATGAAGGAACTGGTGAGTATTAAAATATCTAATTAGGCTAAGGACAAGAAATAAAACAGGATGATTATGAAAAATAAGTAGATGAAAGTTCTGATTTTTAAGATGAAATAGAATAGAATGATGATTATGTGTAGGATGATTCTAAATAAAATGATCAGTCAGACAATAAAATAGAATAGTAATATGACTTATCCTAAGAATAAGGATGGGAAGATAATTAAAATGAGATTGAAGAGATTCAATAAAATATAGAGAAGGATTCAGAGGAACACTCAGAAAAACAAGGATTATTATAAAATTATGATGAGGAAGATGAAGAAAATTATGAAAACCTAGAAGATAATTATGATCTTGAGAAAGATTAGGATCATCAATAAAAGGAAGAGTATTACGATGATGAAGAATTGCCAGAATAAGATTCAAAACAATTATCCTAAGATAATCAAGTAGAAGTTTAATAGATGAATATGGAATAAAATCATTTGGATTATGAAAATAATTAAAATGAATATTCAGAATAAGAATAAGAATAAGAATAAGAAGATGAAGAAGGTTAAAAACAGGAAGAGATTTAAAATGAGGAAGAGGATTCTGAATATTAAAATGTAGAATATGAGAGTTAAGAAAATAATCATGATTAAAATAAAGAAGGTTCTGAGGATTAAATATCATCAAATGAATAAATTGAATCATAAAATGAAGATTAAGAAGAAGAATAAAAAGAACATGGTTCTAATGAAGAATTTAATTAAGATTAGGAATAAGAATAAGAAGAAAATGATTATGAAGAATAATAATTTAATCAAAATTAAAAAGATTATGTTGATGATAAATAAAATAATGATAATCAGAGTTAAGAAGAATAAGTTTAAATCGATAACGATTAGGATGAATAAGAAATTAAATCAGATGAATAAAATTAAAAGGATCAATTAAATACATCTGACAAAAATCCTTAAGGGGAGGAGTTGAATTCCTAAGAGGGAGATCATGAACAGAATGATGATGAAAATGAACCCTTATCAGAGATTGAAGGAGAAGATGATCAATTAATTAATCAATAATAAGTTGATGATAACAGAGAATTATCAAAAGAGGATCAAGTTGAAGATGATAATTCTGACAAGGAAATTAATAATGTAAATCAGTAGAACGTTTAAAATAATTTATAAGAAGAATCCCCACAGTAATTAGTAAATATCAATGACGAATTGGCTGCTGAAGATTTCAATACTTAAGAAAACAACTAAAATAATGAAGAAGTTGAGATATAAAATTAGATCAATAAGGAATAAGAGTAGTTAGAAATATAATATTAGCTTGTTGTTGAACCCACAAATAATTCTAATTTTGAAAATCAAGCAAAAGAATAGAGTTTAGGTGATTTAGATGCTATAGATACTCACATTAATAATAATGCTTAGTAGAAAGTTGCCATTAATTCTTCTAATTAAATAGAAAATAATTACAACATAGAAGACAATTCTCAAAAGAATGCTCAATTTTCTTAAGATCTTTCTCATTCCTATCAGGATATAGGCGTTTAAGAAGTTATCTCAAAACCAATTTTATATTCAGACCCAAGGTCTTAAGAAAAGAGTGTGAATGATTAAGAGGATGAAATTTAAAATGTTTAAGAACATTATGAAGTGGAAGTAAAGTTAAACGAACAACAAATTAAAAATTAAGATGTTGAAGAGAATGAGAATCCAGATGAAGATGATGGCAATCAATGGAATGTAGATGATGATATTGACTTCGATAATGAAATAGAAAATCAGTAAGTGCAAACAAATAATGAGGAGAATTAGAGTAATAAATAAATTATTGAAACGAATTTAAATAATTCATCATAAAACCAGAAAGAAAATGAGGAAGGATAATAGGAACCACTTGAAAATTAGAAAGTAAACTAATAATTTGAAGAAGAAACTCCTGATGTGTAATTTGATGATGATCAAGATAATTAAGAAGAGAATAATAACCCAGCAGTGAAGAATGCGGAAAGAGTGAGTCAAGGTTAAGTGGATTTGGAGGATGAATTAGAAGAAATTGATCCATGGGCGGAGTAGTAAAAGCAAGGGGAGAATGCAGAATCAGGTTGGGATTTAGATGATATATGATTATTGTCTAATATATATTAAATGTTTATAATTGATACTCAAAAATACAACCCTAAAGCTAAAAATGTGAATACTGTGCCGGAGGATAGAAACAGAGCTGTAAAAAACCCAATTGCCAACTCTTTTGTTAATGCTCTTTATTCTTTTTATTTAGTAAATTAATAACTATCACTTAGCATATGAGTTGTTACATTATAAAATCTGATAAGAAACAAAACCCAATAAATGTTAAGACAATCGATAAATTGCTGTAGTGTTTTGGGTCTATTAAGGGCTAATATGGGGAATATACCATAATTATTAATAATGTATTTATTATATTTTTTTATAGTTAATAATTCAAATTTGAATGAGTTTTGTAAACGATTTGGATGATCTCTGTGATTTTAGCAAATTAAGTCAAAAGTGGAAATAAACAAAAAATGAATAAATAAAATAGCCATCTCCGAGTCCTTCGAAAACTGAATCTGATATCACTTCTAGTAAATGTGTTTCCAATCCATGGAATAAAGGTTTAGATTGTTGTAGTATTCTAGAAAATTACGTGCCGAATAACGAAGAAGCAAAAAAGAATAGTAACAAAATTAGAAATCATGCTCCTCAAATAATAGATGAGGACACAGAACAATTTAAAATAAGATTGGAACATATTTTAAATGTATTTAAGACAGAAGCCACAAGTGAATTTATGGCTATGAAGAGATCTATGTTGGAGGATTAGAAATAAACAATTAAAGTAGACACTGAAAAGTATTTGTAAATGTATGAATTGAAAAATAATGAATTATCACAAACAAAAGAATAATTGGCAGAATAAATGAGAATTTGCAATTAGATTACTGAGAGATCTGAGAAAATTGCATAATATTGTGGTAAAATGAAGAATACAAAAAGAAGATAACAAGTCCTATCAAATGTATTAAAAGGTTTAAAGATGTATGCTAAATATTCGTTAAAGAAGAAAAATGTAATAAATATATATATATATTAGAATTAAAAAAAAGGGACTAAACATTACAAACTGTATTTATAAAGATGGATTTTTAATTTATGGAAGAAGTAGTTCAATATTCAAATCAGAATTAATTAATCTGATAAATTGAAATTGGCTCATTAAAATGATGTGGATTTGTTGTTGGCTAAATTCCAAAAAGAACAATAATTATTGGAATAGAAATTATTGGAAGCCACGTCTTAATTAGATGAAGCCAATAAAATCAAATTGTCAATGTAAGAAAACTTAAAGAGGGCGTTTATGAGAGGAGTTTGTGCTCTCAATTTTGAAGCCATGAATGTATTGAATGGGTCATCTCAATAAATGGAATTAGATTCCTTAGCAACCAATTTATTAATGAATCCATTCTAATAATCAACTACTACATAGTAATAATAGTCAACTCTTCATTAACCTTAATAATTTAATTAATTAAATGACACATTGATTTTAAATGAAAGCAAAGATCAATGGTAGAGATAGCATTCACCTCCTAAAAATGTCACTTATCACTAACAAAATAGATTAGAAACAAATGATCATCGTTGGAAAGATGCCCCCATCGTTGGAATGAAGTAATTGTCAGAAATTACTGAAAATCAGAGCATAAATATGTCAATATCGAAATTAGTATAACAAGGTAATATTCAAGATTTATTTAGATGATCTATAATTTGATAGGGACGATGAGTAAAATGAAGGCAAAGTTATTAAAGTAACCTTTGACAATCCTTCGACCATACCAACTTAGACCTAATCTATGAAAAAATAGACAGTTCAAACAAAACAACCGTAAACTAAATAACCACAAAAATAGACCACAACATCTAGTTCATCAACATTTAAGAAGAAATGAATGTATTAATTATTTTGAAATTAATAATTATCAAATTCATTAATATGGTACCTTCTCTATTTTAGCTTTGTTATCATAATTCTTTAAATATTTAACGATTGATTATATGTTATTAGTCCCTCCTAATGGTTAGATTACATAATGATCATTCTCCTATTATTTAATTTGAAATCCATTGTGCTTAACAATGCTTCTAAATTAATTTGGTAGAAAGCCTTTTCCTTTTGATTCTATAACAATGTCATAACCTGTAATCTCTTTTTTAGGTATTTCTATTTGATTCAATTTAACATTGATTTCTTATTCCTATTTTGATTACCTTCTTGATTAACTCTAAGTAGAATTATATTACGATAAATAACTCTTTTATTTCTGATATTCTGCCTCCAACTATCTTTCTTGATGTTCTAATTTCTTGTCCCTCAAAGAGTCATGTTTAAGAAAGCTCAGATCAGAAGCCATAAAATTAGTTTTTCCAGGATGTTTGTGCTCTTCATAATATTTGCCAAGAGTATTAAATAATACACTCTACTAGGATTGTTTATTTTCAACTTTTAAATCGTCTTTTCTGAATTCTGCATTTAAAGTACCTCTTACATATGAGGGCTGCTAATATTGAGGTTCAGTTGTAACTCTGGATGAGAGGATTGCTGATTACTTTTTCTTATTGTTTTAATATTGGAGTGCTTATTTATCATTTCTAATTTAAATTTTTGTATCATGGAAAATATTGCTCTACAAATAGCTTTGCTTATTCTTATTGGCCAAATATTAATTTTCCTCATAATCCTGTTTAGAGTTATTTGGTTTAGATGGTTTGTATTTGATAGCCTCTCCTACTGAATTTGATAACAATTCTTTTATTTTAGACTCTTAATAATATGTCTATGACTTTTTCCTGTTTTCAATAGGATAGCGGCTTTCAGGAAATAGTAGCATTAAAAAAAGAAATAAAATTTATATATTTTATCAAACTTTAGAATTAATTCATTTAATTGTTAAGACATTATGTCATGACCAAAAATGAATTCAGAGAAAACAAAATTCCATTAGATGGTATAAATGATAATTCAATATCAATAAAACATTTTTTTTTCTATTAGAGAAGATCCATGTTCATCGTAGTCCGACTTATTTAAGGTCCATTGATCATATATTTATGAACTTGCCACGATGGAAGCTCCCAACCAAGATGCATGTTAACGATCAAAATACTTGTGGAGGGTTTGCACTTTGCTTCTTGTAGATAATCCAAAGATTTTAAGATTATTGATAGTTCTTTAAAATCTTTCAACCATATTAACTGTGCAACTTGCTCCTCCTATCAAAATTACATTCTGAACAAGTTCCTTTCTATAATCTGAATCAATTTTCTCCAAACTTGTTTCTAATGCCTTATCCAATCCTTCGAAGTTTTCAGTTGGTTCATATAAGAATTCGGGGTACTTGTACATTTCTTCAGATATTAACAATTTAGTCTAGTCTGGTAATTCGTAAGCCTGATTGTCAACAGTTGGGTTGAATTTTCTTAATATTAGTAAGTATGGATAATTACAAATTGTCTATGGGTTAATCATATAGTTTAACACATTAATGCTTGATTTCTCTAACTATCTCCAAATCTCCATACATTTAAAGAGAGGGTGAGAGTTGACTATAATTTTTAAATCTAGAAAATGGCAAACCCTATTATTTCCAAACCTCATATAATTTATTAGTTAAATACTCCCCTCCTATGTCACCTCTAAGAATGCCTAAAACTTGGTAAATTTAGATTACCTTTTTCTATAACATTTCCATCTAATATCGGAGTAATTGTTGTATGAGATGCTCCACAATCAACTACTAGTACATTTTCTTTTCCTACTATATATTATGCTAACATAGTGTTTCTGTGGAAAAACACAGAGGAAACATCAATTTCTTCAAAAAGCATTTCTATGATTTTGTTTCTGGTTTCCTTTTTGACATTACCATTTTCAACAAAGAAAAAGGGGAATTGTTTCTCTTAAAATAAAACATTATTGAGAATGTGTTCGACATATTCTTTCCATATATCGAAATCAACTATCTATCCTCCTTGAAGGATATTCTTAACATCAAATCCAATAGGTTGATACGTGCTATTTTATTCAATAAACTTCATATTTCCCTCGCTATCCATCAACAAATCAGAAGGCAAAACTACTTCTGGTCCATCAGTTCCTGCATATCCAACTCTTGTATTTTATTGTCCGAATTCAAATATAACAGGGATTTTGTACCCTTTATTTTTTTTGTATGGTATGAACATAAATTAATATAAAACAAATATTATTGTTTACTGTAAATAATGTAATTTTATCATTTGAGTTTCTTCTTCTTGATAAGCTTCTTAGACTGTATCTTGATTTAATTTACAACACAATCGTAATTATTCTAAGGTTTAAACTATTAATATATTCCAATATAATCAATATCAAAGTTATCCTTAAGATCTTACTTATACAAGACATTATCTAAATCACTGTAGTGTTAATTTTATCTAGAAGACAAAGCTGAGTATGATCTAGAGTTAGATGCTGAGATTGACTTTTTCTTAATATCAGGACTAACAGCACTAGAAACAGTATTCGTTTACTTTTGTGTAGTTCTCCTAACAATAGTTGAGGGATTATTCCCGTCTCTCCTTTGAGCTTCATCAATGCTGGACATACCAACAGAGCTAATGGACATGGCAGATTGATATGGATTATTTGCAATTGGAATATTTAATAATGAGTTGCTCTCTTCAGAGACTATTGGGAGTTGATTTTATACACTTGGAACATAATTAGTCGAGGATCTATATTAGGGTCTAGACATAGCCTAATATTCAGGCTATGGAGCAGCCAATACTTATTATTTAGAATTTTATTCATGATAGAATGGATCATATGAAAATGTTAATTTTGGTTGAGCATTTCTGCTGCTGCTAACTAAAAGTTGATTTGTTCCAAGAGGAGATTGAGCATATGTTTTCGATTAATATAGAGATTACTGTGTTTGTTATTAGTTTTGCTGATATTGTTATTATTTTAATTACTAACTCTTTTGACTCTAATAAGTATTTTATCCACTGGATGATCTGAAAGTATTGCTATTTTAAGTAAACTATTTGTGCTGTAATGGTATGTTGATCGAATCTCCAAAATACAAATCCTCACCGGTTTGGAATCCAGCGGTTTGTAAAGTTTACTTATTGACTTAATGTCGATTAATTTCCTGTTGTTGTTGTTGTGATTGCCATTATTATTAGTAATATTACAACTATTCTTCATTATCAATATGATCATGATAGATGATGTCCCTCAAAGTTTGACCTGAAATCATTTCAACACTTTTCTAAAGTAGATATATAAATATACTCTTGATGGGTTGGTTAAGTCTTTGTATGATTATCTACCTAATTAAATTTCTTCATCATCTTCATCTTCATCATCCTCCTCTTCCTCCTCATCATAATAATCTATTCGATTATTTATTTCCGGTTCTTGAAACATGAATCCATAATTCCTTTTCAATCTCCTACCACAACTTCGTACTAGTTTAAAATTGTATAACGAGTTCACTCTCCAATCCCACTTCCTTTCAAATTTCTCTCTTTTTTATGGGACTGAATATAAATATCTACTGATCACTATGTTTTTATTTAAAACCGAATGCACTTTATTACATCCAGAACTCAAATGACATTATGATCCACAGACATAGCAATTTTGTAACAATAATTCTATTTTATTCATAAATAACACTTCATTTTTTATGGAATGCAGCATTTCTAAATCACTATTAATCTTTTTTATTGTATCCCAAAATAATGAGTGTTTTATTTAAATAAGTATAGAATTTCCCTTACTTCTCATTGTTAGATTGTGTCCCTGACTCATAAGCAAATTTTCTATTCCAATAGCCTAGTTGGCAGGTAAATTTTACAAATAAATATTTTTATCATAGATCCCTATTTCTCCTTGAAGCACTACATACATGTACTCATCTAATTGACCTTTCTCAACTATTATTTCATTGGTTTTATAAAACTTGAGAGTTGATTCATATCCAATTTCATCCAAGGATTGCTTAGAAAAATACTACTTAAAAAAACTAATCTGCTGTAATTTCTTGCTCTTCATTAAAAAAAACAAAGGTTTCTATAAATTAATTGGGAGTGATTGCATCAAATTGTTGACCTATTATAAATCGAACTCTTAGTTACAGTTGCTAATGTATTTGAGTATTAGTTTTCTTTCAGTACTTCCCTTGTATCTTATATCATTCTGTAATCAACTTTATTGTTCTGTAAGAAGTCTGAAAATATCTTCATCCTAACATTTAACATAAAATAGTACTCGTTTGTGGAGAATAAGTATTTGATGAATGAGGTTAAAAATAGCAATTAAAAATAATAGGATGCAATCTAAACTATTATTGTGTAGATCTGATTGGATTGATGGTGCGACTCAATATTATGGAAGGGCAACTTTCTAATTATAGTTAATGTTATACGCAATTGTTCATTGTCCAAATTACTGATTCGATGTAACTGAACTCATCTTCTTGGAGTAGCAGCCATAGATTGGCGATGTAGTTGATGTAGATCAGAAATATAAAGGAAAAGGTGATTGCATTCCAATGGAACCGGTATTTGATCCCAGTCAGTAAGAGGAGTAACAATATTAATTTCCCAGTATTGCCGAAATCAAAATTAATTAATAAAGTGCTGGCAATATAAACAAAATTGCAAGTGATATTCACTCTTTCCAGTTTTAGTTTAAAAATATAATCAATTTATTCGATTAGTAACAATAAGAGAATTAAACCTAAGACCCACAATTACACTGAATTGGTTCCTGCTTACAATGGAACTAGAATATATGATATCAATCTTGTGTATTGAAAAAATTATCTCAAGTGTAAAAGGTAGGAAGGCTAGAGTTATACCTCTTGCTTCAAGTAGTTTTCTTTGAAGTAGGTGGTGGAAACAGGAGATTCCACTATATTAGCATTCCTTTTAAGTTTCTACAGAAATGTCTTGATAATTTACTGTATATCGGTTTGTTTTGGTAACCCATTTAATTCTTTCCATTTTAATTAATAATATTATTTAGTGGTAGCTGTATATTGTGGAAGGCTGGGGTTGTGTTCGCTTAAATCCCGTTGCCGATTATTGATTTGAGAAAATTAGGAGAGTCTGGATTTGCGTTAACTATAAATTGTTGGATCCCTGACTTCTCCACTGTCACTTAATCTTTTTCTTGATAGGTCGGAGAATTCAATTTTAAAATTTCTCATATGCTCATCCATAAGGACTGGGGAAGCATGGCCTTGGCTTTAGCACTGACTTTAATCATTCTGATTAGTTCTTGATTTTCTCAAAAGCCTTTGAGACATTAAATTATATATAAATTAATAAAAAGTTATTTTAACTGCTTCAAACAAAATATTAAAATTACAATACAGTCATTATTTAGTTTTGCTGTAAGATCTTTGTTGTTCCAAATCAGCAATATCATTAATTTATTTCAAGATTACACTGCTATTTACTTTCGGGTACCTGTATTACATATAGTTCATCAATTTATCGGTTTTCTAACAAAAATAAATGGATGATCCTTACATTTAGTTTTATCTGAGATTTCAAAAACATGTATTCTGAGTCTCCAATCCATTCGCTACAAAGTTATTTCTTACTATCCAATAGATTTTAGAAAATGGAGTCCAGCTGTTTCTCATAAGGTATAGAGAATCTTGCTGGAGTAACTTATGATTACTATTATTATTATTTTTTATGATAACTGATAGGTTTAACAACTCCAACAAAATATTTGTTTGTGTAAGTTTATGAAAGAAGCTATTATTATAAATAGATATCTTCTTTTCTTTTTATTTCGGTCTTGAGATTTTCAGAATCCAGTTTTCTTTCAGAAGAAGATTTCTTGGTTTTTTATTTTTATTAAAATATTTCTGGTAATTTTGAATTTTAAAAATTCTTTTTTACAACGACTTCCTTTGATATTTATTTAGGTGAATGTAAATCAAATTCATTAAATGAATATTAAACTGGGTATGAAATTGTAGTCTCTGAACTATTGATCCAATACATTAAGTGTCTTTTTTATTCTAATGAAAATTCGTAATAAGGTCGATTAATGGCCTCCTTCACCTCCTTCATCCTTAAAATCTATAGAATATTCGGTCTCTAATTCTCTCTGATAATCAGACAAATATTAATCAATTTGACCAAACCAGGCGAGTAAAAGTCAGAAATGTTTATTTGAATTCTTCCTCGACGTAATTACTCCTTGATTTGGTTCTCCGGAGTTGATTAGGGAAATAATAGTTTCTGAGAGACCATAAAATATAGAATATGGCCGATCTACCAAATGTGAGACTTTTGTGTGTACTGACCATCGAAAAAGTATTCATGTGGCAAGTAGATTGCTGGACAGGGCAACTAACATAGTGTCTATCTGGATGACTTATGAAAATCAGTTATTCTGATCTAGTATCCCTCAGTTCTAGCCAATAATAGTATGTTTTCTGGTATGAGAACCCTGTGTTGTATGCCTAACTCATTAAGTTGTAATAGAGCGTAAGCCATTTAAAGAAATAGTGACCATATAATGCTCTCTTGCATTTTGTAACCGATATGTTATAAAGTGAAAGTTTTCAGATCTCCTTAATCACAATATTCTTAAATGATTACTAATTGCTATTCTTCATTCTCCATGTATTCAATAACTTACAATAGAAACTAATTTTTTATTTGAGCCAACATCTTTATAGCATTTAAACCTATTCAATAATCCATTTTGACATATACCTTCATTCTTATTGGACAGGTACGTTTTCTAAATGTAGGTCTAATTGTCTGTCAATGATCTCACTTTCTCAACCCTCACTCGACCACTTGAATATAATTCTTAAAGTATTTCATAATTAAATTACATTTTTTTTAATAATAAAGAAATCAAATCAATAATTGTAAAATGTGCTGTTATCCTCACCAAATTAAGCAGTCTTGTTTTTTTAATACAACAATTATTATTTCCCTTATTTATTCTTATTCGGCAACTGTTCCTCCAATTTCTCTGGCATCTCTTGACTTAATGCTCCTAAAAGTGCACATAAAATTAACTATCATAGCAACTACAATCTACCTTAAATACGAAAGACACATAAAGTAAAATCAAGGCTAATCTATTGGGCCCGTTCTCTATGGCATAATATTTATCAGTCTCAGTGGCTTCACTACCCCAAAACCCTCTAGAATACTTGATTGCCCACACCAAATCACATAACAATGAGATGCCCACGGCTACAGAATAGTATATCAAACGCTATTTGTAAAGTCTATTGAATTCAAATTCGATAATGAAGAAGAAGCATATAATTAGCTATGTCGGATATAAATAATTTTACATCCAAAAATTGAGTCTTTCCAAAACAAATAAATACACTAAGTCCCATTACAATTAGTATACTCAGGCGCGTATACAATTTGTAATCATATTAAGAACTAACATTATTGATTGGTGTCATCACTAAAGTATTGGGTGGTTAATGGTTTATAGCCAGATCTTCTTTTTCTATACTGCGAATGAGTTGAACGTAATTTGGAAAGGGTTCATAGAGTGTAGCGAGATCTTTCTCAAAGTCAATTAGATCATCTTAGGCAGTTTTTATTTACTCATTCCAGACCTCGATTTAATGACTCAATGATTTCGAATCGTTAAAGATCCATTATGATCTCAATTTAATTTTGGTCTGTGTTTGTTATCCATTTTTATCAAATAATTGACAGCAATCTTCAATTTTGGTTTGATTGGTCAAGTGGGACAAGGACAAAGTCACAGTTCCCAGTAATTGTGGTATGTTAGGATGGTTTATAGTGTAGAAAAACAATTATAATTCTTCGAGGCCAGTTGAAATCTTGCTATAATAATATGACAAACACAGTATTACAAATTAAGGGTCTTATTCCATTGAAGTGATGGTCCATTTTGTTATTGGATTTCTTATTTTTAATTTTCCAATTTTAAAATTACTGATACATTTTAAGCTGGAAAATTGATTCCTTCCAACAATTCAACAGTCAAGTGGCTGTCCTCCTTTATTCCGTATTAATTAACTCTTTCACTATCTTTAATTGACTTAATTATTTTCAATTCATACATCAAATTGGCTTGATACATATTTTCTTTATTTATTATAATCTAAGATCTGCTTTTTACAACCTTCGATTTTATTCTTCAAGATCTCCTCTGCTTGGAGAAACACCTTGATAAATTCATCCACAGTGATTTTGTTATTAAAACTTTTGTTCATTCTTTGATATAATTGATCTCCCAATTCTCTATCAAATTGTCTTCTTAACTAAATTTTGAAGCAGTTTATACTTTCTTATCCAGGCATCTATAAAATTGCTCAATCGATAACAATTCATCGTGATTTATTTCGATTTCCAAAAATTCTTTTCTAAGCACATTCGCCTTTTCAATTGCATTAACCGAAGTTTGCATTTTATTAATATTTTGAATAAATTAATTATGAAGTTAAAGAAATAATCATCTCAAAAGGAGACATCCAAAAAGGAATAAAAAAAGAGTATTATCGAATTATAACATAGTGAGAAGAGGATTCAAAGCCTGTAAGTCCTGCGGATTCGAACTTCATATCCACTAAAAAATTTGTAAGAATTGCAATCATGAAAATACATTCGTCAATAAAGTCTCCTTCCCACAATCCAAAAATAACACCATTGATTTTTTTAAGAAGATAACTGAAAACTAAACCAAAGGTAATTTTCTAGTCTCTCTCTAGTAGCAAATGTAGAAAAGAAAATTAAAAAGGTTCCTCAAAAATTAATGACACGCATTCATGTTTTTAAGAAATCTTTCCTCTACAACAATGAAAGCAATTTGGATGAAAATTTAATCAAATCCATATGCAATAATACCACCAAATAAGAAAGCATCGATCTAATATAAAGAAATGAATTTAAATTAGACAAAAAAGAAATTTTGGTAGACTCCCTTCCTGTTGAAAGCGGTCAATTTCACAAGTTAGAGAAGGGCTACCTACTTTATTTTGGTTGTTCCCTATTGAACATAGCAATAAACAAAGGTGTCATTTTAGCGAGTATCCAAATGAATTAATATGATAACCAATAGTTTAGCTAATTGCATTTATATGGCAAGACATATGAAGGTGATGGAGTATTGGGAATCATACAACAATAAAAAATTAGATACATGCATCATAATGAAGGTGCCATTACTCAAATCAAATTCTATCCTTAATCAACAACCACAATCGGCACCATCAATGCAAAGGGCAGCTTCACAATGCTATCCTTAATCAACACAATATCTGATAAATTGAAAATACTATGCAAGGTAGATGTTCCTAATCAAATTCTAAATTGCTTCGATTGGTGTCCTTGCAAAGAATAGAAGATATCTGTTGGAGATTAATAAGGGAACATCTACATCATAGAAATTAAAGGGGAGGACTTTGTAATTGTCAATTTCCTTGAATCATATCACATGGGAATCATCAAGGATCTATAGTTTTATATTCATAATGATAACAACTCTCCTTTATTGCTAAGTGGTGGCTATGATGGCAACCTTAAGATAATAAACCCTTCCAATTCTTAGGAAATATTTAACAGACACATTACTTCAAAGGGAATATCGTAAGTGAAATGGGATAGAGGTGGTAAGTTCATTTTATGCATCAATGATGATCCAAACCAAAAGGCTTTAATGTTTTGCTTCTTTTCTATTATAAAAAAGGATTCAATTCAAGTTTTGCAAAACATTGAAAAACGACTCATCCAACCATTAACTGGGGATGATGAGACTCAAGTAAATGTGTAATATTATATAGAGCTGTGCATATAATCCATTCCACCATAAAATCTACTTTGCCTCATAGAATGGAACCATTTATGGAGCTGATATTGAGCAAATTAGAAAATAGGCTATTAAAAAGGAGAAGAAACAAACTTATTAATCAGCTGTAGTTCACTTTGGTTAAGTTCTTTTAGAAAACAATACAATTTCATACATTACTTCGAAATCTTCAGGAAACTATAAGAAATCTATTCAAGTAGTATTTTGATATTAAAAGTAGTACTACGATTGGAGTTAAGGGTATCATTTTATAGATGTAGACGAATCAGGAAATTTAATTTTGGGAAACATTCTAGGAGTTTTAATTATGTTATGATGCTATATTCATTGAATATCTTATAAATGATTATATGCTACAAACCATCATTTAGAAATACAGATAAAATTAGTCTACATTTAAGAATATTTCATTTTATAATTTTAATTATAAATTATTATTGGTTTTTGTTTTATCTAAATAGATATCATATTATTATTTAATGTAGAAAAATTGGGGATTCAAAACAGGGTATTAATGATATTCACTACTTGCTTAGTTGTTTAACAATTGCATCTGGTATAATTATCGCAGCTGCTGGTGGACACAAGCCGTGGCCAATTGAGCAAAAACTAATCTTCGATAGAGGGTTGACGTTCCATTTCTTAAATGGGATTGGAATGATTATATCATCAGTTCAAGGTGTTAACATATTGCCATTTTCCCTATTTGGAACTGGAGTCTTGCTTTTCTGTGGTCCTCTTTATCACAAAAGCTTCACTGGGAAAAAGACATTGTCAAATTACTTACCCCCATTTGGAGGTTTTGCCATGATCTTTGGTTGGTTAGTGTTAGCCTTAAAAAAGTGATTAAGAATAATATCAATATTTAGATGTTAATATATTGTTCTCTAGTATTCCTCATTATTATATTTTAAGAATTTGTTATTTTATAATCTATGGAAAGTAGAAATTTAACTCAATTTCAGCATTATTCTCATAATGGCACCAATCGGTATTCTATATAGAGAATTGTTTATCCTCAATATGCAAGTGGTTTAGTTTAAGAAGAAACGGTATCCCAGCATCGAGACTCAACTGATGAGGAATAATTCATAGAAGGAGAGTGTTTTATTTATATCGGGGGCTAATAAATATTTACTATCGAACTTAAGTAGCCAGATTTTGTGCATTAATAATTATGCATTGATTTAACGAAATACCAATGTCCTTTGGAATGCTTGACTGCTTTCCCATTACCAAATGAGTTTCAGAATCCCCAAAGAATATTACCATTAAGCACAGGTATATTAGTGGTGAGCAGCGGAAAAAATGGATAGCAAATCAACTTATTTGATGATCAATCGAAGGAGATTACCATGAATGTATAAATCACAAAGAGAATAATCTGGATGAATTCAAGATACTTATAAGAGGTCATTATATTAATAGTTGGTTTCAATGATTCAAGCGTAGGCCTTTTTGAAATTGATATCAAGAATAAATAAATTAAATTGTTGCATGAATTCATTTTTGAACAATTGATTATATTCAATGACATTTCAACTCACAATTAAATCTATTACATAGCGTTGACATCCTATAATGGAATCATTTCAATTTTGTCAATCGATCTCTTTTTTAACATCCAACATCATGTTCATAATATTAATAGAATAACTTCACCTCCTAAACTGTATTTTTAGCACAACAAAGCCAGCTTAATGATTCCCATACAAAATGGAGAAATGTTATAATATCTTGAAATAGGAAATTATGGATTAACAAAATGGAATGTAATAAAGTATCAAAATAATAACAAATCTATGATTACAGCATTTGATATAGAACCTAAAAAATGTGATGTGTCTTAAAATTAGAGTGAAGAATTTGAGATTTGTATGATTCATTTTGATGGCACCCTCAGTTTTTATGATTATGCTGATAACAGTATTTATATTGAAATATCAAAACAATTGAATGGCTCCAGATTTTTTGTGTCAAACATGTAGTTGTAATTCAAGCAATTCATATTAATGGGATCGGATGATGAAGTCGAAATATATCAAATGTCCTTTTATCACATCAATTGATTATATTGTTGTTAATCAAAGACAATTTAATTATTTATAATTAGTAGGAGTATTTGTTATCATACACCAATCTTTTATTAAGGAAGTGATTAGATTGTATCTGTAATTTTATATATTTATATGATAAATTTTTAAGACAAACAAAGATTTGTTAGATCATTTTTCTGTAAGCTCTCTATAACCTTTCCAATCTTTGGGAGCTTTTCCGCCACAAGAATGAATAACCTCTAAAAGAGTATTGGATGGTCCATCCTTATGTTCAGGTATCATAGTCTAAATTATAGTGCATATTATTTACTAATGTCTTTTAGAAAATGGATTAGGCTTCACCCCAATTTCCTTTAATGTATTAATCAAATCCTTATTTCCAAGTCTCGTAAAATTACTAAAATCAATATTTTTCATAATTTACTTAAGTGTATGGTTCTCTAGCAGCTGACAACTCATCATCCTTTTCAAAAAGATCAGTAATACTAATCTAATTGTTCATCACTTGCTTCATCTATTGATCTCTCTTGAATCTATTCACAACTCTAAATTTTTTTGAATCTTTTTAAGTCATTTAAGAAACGTCAAATTTATCTCTAAGATTCTTGATTTTTGCTTATAAGTTTTTGATTGACATATCCACAGTGTGTAGCTCTAACAATAATGTGATTTCATACCTAGAGGAACAATACTTCCTTTCACTGTAACAATATCAATCATTCTCATCTGCTTTTAACATTCATCAGTCAAATATTACTTTAGAATACCACTAACGAGAATAAGAGCTCCAAATTATTTTGTTGCTGCTTCCAATCTTGATGCCATATTAACATTAGGACTGAGATATGAGGCATCAATTTTAAATCCAGAACCTATGGCTCCTTCAATTCCCCAACCCATATGTAAACCGAATCCCATTTTCACTGAGTAGTCCTTCATTCTTGCATTGAGTCCCTCATGCTTCTTATACTTCTCAAGCTTTTTGGAGATAGAGATTGCTGTGATTATTTTGAGAAATGCCATCACTGCCATGTCTCCTTTCTATTTAATGTACCTGTCGGTCTTGAGTTTTAAGTTTCTAGGGTTGTCAGGATCAGGATGATAGTCATTAGGAGAATATTTCCAAACGAGTAAAAAGGCATCACCGATATTTTTATTAGCAGATCCGCTCATAGAATCAACGGTCGAGTGGACAATCTCAGCAATTTCGTTGACAAAAACCATGACTCCTTATTATAAAACTTCAGTTGCCTAGATATTTATTAAATCTTTTTACATCAGTAAAGTTTCTTATGTCACAAAATCCAAAAATTGCCAATATTTTCTTGCCGGGTATCATGGGATCGACACTACCACCTTTTTTAATGTTTTCAGCGATAATTTCTGAACCTGCTTCACCAAACCCAACAGCTAACAACGCACCTACCTTCATTATTAATCTTTAAAGAACATATGTTTCCATGTGTTTTTCAATCTCTTTCTACTTTAACTTTTCCACATCCTAAGATTTCTCTAATTCCTCCATAATGAGATCTTCCTATTCTTCGATATTAACTGCCTCAAGCGGATTTGCTGCTATCATCTCTATCTTCTACATCATCCCTTCTATTGGATCTATAACCAAATCAGAAACATCTTTATTGAACATCAGGGCTGATACTGCCAGCACTATACACACAAAGATTGTTTAAAATATGGACAATATTGCATTAGTTTGATTATAGGCCACCAAGTCAGCTGATGCGTAAATCTGTAGATATGATCCATCAGATTTAACATAATATTGCAAATCTGAAAATCTATATTAGTCTTTTGTTTCATAGGCAGGCACTTCAAAGATTTCTGGATTAGTGTTATAACTCCATTCATCAAGATCTGTATTGCTGCCTCCTTTTAAATTCACATTCACACTATAAATTGGATAAATCTCCCCTATATGGAATTGAGAGTATTGATACAAAAGGGATTTCATTACCTCAGAGTTGTCTTTGAATTAAAAAATTCTATAAATTCCTGAATCGTAGCTACTGATTGTTTCTTAATAAGTATCTAAGGAAAGAACAGGAATACTTATTAAGATAGCTAAAATGATTGTAATTACTCTTCTCATAACAAGATCTGATAATTAAGCTCCTACAATAGATTCTTTAATTTAATTTTCTGCCTAAGAAGAAACTTAAGATGATTTTAATTGAGAGTTAGAACTTCTATCTGGTGTTTTGGCAGCTTCAATATCATTTTGAGAATTATTTCTGGATTCATCATTTTATGGTATTATTTATTAGATGGACAAATTTTACTCTTATTATTACTATTACTATTATTATTATTATTATTATGATTATTATTGTTATTATTATTATTATTTATTAGTCTTGACTCTTACTTTATTAAGCTTGTCTTAAAAGTTCTTGAAGTAACTTTTTTTATTATTCCCTTTCCATTTACTAACGAGCATGCTTATAGAGTTTAACCAATCTGACAAGTCTTATAACTCTTATAACCCTAGCAGCCTTTCTTGCAGCTCTAGATGCAGTACCAATAGACTTAATCTATGAAGCACTTGTTAAATCTCCAGAATACCAAGTATCAGTTATCCAACCTAAATCTAAAATCATTGTTAATGTAGAAATAACATCCAAGATAAAATAAAACTAAAAAATTTGATAATATTTACATTCAAAATATATTCTGGTTTAGCAATACTGGTTAGGGTAATTTCTATTATAAATGCAACCATGCATATAACAGTTAGTACAAAAAAGACATCATCTCCTTACTTATCCACTGACAATATTCTGATATCATCTCCAAATAGAGCATATATAGTGACTATGGCCATGACTATTGAGAATATGGTGTTTTCTGTAATTTTCAGTATCCTTTTTGATATATCTGACTACTGCTTTTATTAAGAGAGTCGACTCTTAACTCTACTGTTCATTCTTTTAATGCGTTTCTATTGGGTTTCTTATAAATTAATAACACATGTACATGAATGATGAGGAGATTTAGTGCCTCCTCCTGAACTCTTAACAGAGATGTCATCTTAACTATGATTGGCAGACCCTTAAACAGGCCTTGGTTATTATTTTGATTCATCGGCTGCTTGATCAGGCTTCTTAATTAAAGGTTAAGCTTGCTATTTATCAGTTAACTACATATATTCATATATGTACCAGAGGAGCCTAATTTTGGGCATTATTTTCTGATGGGGGCTTAACCTGATCTATCAGATGGTAACTGTAGCTACATTATAAAGTGAAAAATACAGGATGAGGTTCAGCAACCATTTGATTAAAATTTTTTACAACCTAAGCTGGTACAAATACTTCTCCTAAACCTTAATCATCTTAACCCAACTTTTCTTGGTCATTTTATGCGTTCATATTTTAATAAAATAATTATATGATTCATAATAGGTCATATACTCACCCTTATTTCGACATGAAGAAAGAACTTAACAGAAAGAGTCAGCCGATTTTCAATTTCTACGAAATAATCATTAATCAAGAAATTCTACAGTGATTTTTAAGTTTGCTAGTTTCATTAATTTATAAAAACTTATAATGCTTTTGAAATATGAAAAATTGTTACTTTACTTAACCAAATTCCAAATATTTCTCTAACTTCAGATGAATCATTAAATCAAATATTTGTTCCATTTGAAATTAACAAAATGTATATCAATCATTGCATAGATTCGGGTTAATTACATTAAAACTAATTAATTTTATTTATATAATTCATAAATAACCAAATTTATCAAAATTTACTAATGTTACATGAAACTTAACCTTTACATATCCTACAGATTTCACTCGAGTCACCTCTCTTCCTTCACCTGAGGAAATTACTTTATCGAAGTTTTTAAGTTCAGCAGTGTTTCCCAACAGATAACCTAAAAATCCTGTGAACCCTGAAATTGGAAGAGGCTTGAATATTCGAATTACTCTTTCGTGACTTGAAATATTATGCATAATTCATACTATCCTGGTTAAGTTGGAACATGGACCGATCCATAACCTTTAGCAACACTTCTTCCCATAAAATCGGGACCTGAAAGTCTGACTACAACCTAAGGCCACCCGAAAATGTTTTTAGTTTAAAAATTGCATTCAAAAGGGAAATTCCAAACAATGTTTCTTGAATGCAAATTTCTGGATGTACTTAATTAGGATATTCCACTTGGTTCTGCATCATCAGCATTGTTCTAATTATATTTTTAATCATACACTAGTTTTCAAATATGCCCAATCATCGCCTCCATATTTCACTGCATATTCTATTCTCAATGATTCCTCATCTTCGCACTTTATTAATCAAAATAACATTTTACTTCACCACATTCAAGAACTCCACTAAAATTCAAAAACATTGAATCAGGTTATATATTTCTTGGATCCATCATCTCTTCTTAAATTCTTGAAATTCCATCTTAAAATTGCTGAGGTTATGAATATCCAAAGTTTTAATTTGTTTATCCTTTCACTGACCCTTAATCTGATATATCCTTTTTCTAATTTCTTGTATTCATCATTATCAATTATTTTATAAATAATTAAATCAATTAAAAGAGTTACTATAATTCAAGAGTTGTATAATAACTATTCTATTGTGATTAATCGATTTTATTTAGATATGATTATGTAATTATATCTTAATAAACTTAATCATTAATTTATTTTTAAAGATATTGCAAAATATAGTATAGCATTGAACCTATCTCACTTTGAAAGTTATCTGAAAGTTCTCATACTTTTGGATATTTGTATTACCAAAAAGTTCTAGCTCTCTTTAACTTAAAGATCAAACTGATTTATTACTCGAAATCTCAATTAATAATTAATTACGTAATAATAAATTTATTTAAAAAACAATATACCAGTTGATGAAAATTATCGAACCTTCAGTTTTTTGATAAATAAATAGAATTTTAGAAAAGATAACCTTAAGTTGTTCATTTAATGATAATTTATAGGTACATATTCTACTTTTGAGAAGATGATGTTCTTAATATACATATCATCCAGTTAATAACCCATGCAAAAATTGTTAAAAGAATAACATAATAATTTAAAAAACTAAGGATTTATAACACTTTTGAATATCAAAATACTTATTCTTATAAATATTACAAAATAATTAATTAGATCAATGTTACAATTAATGTTTAAAAGAGAATGCTTCAATATTATTGAAGTGTAAATTTGCATCATCTTATGCTAATAGATCTAAATCATTGAATGATTCGAACTCTTATTCTACTTATTCGATTGTTTTCATCCTTTCATGAAAATGCTTACTAGTCTCTTTGCAAAATGTTGATTATTGTTTCTACATTACTGTTTGGCTTTTCTTTTGATTTCTCGGTAATTATTATTGCATAAACCTCCGATACTTATCAACTTCAACTATATTTTTATGACTTTATTGGTAATTTATCATTTTGGAAGTTCCCTAAGTATGCATGCTGACTCCCTAAAGAAATTAAAGGATCAATTTTTACATTTCGACTTCTATTTTCCAAATTTTCAGGTTCAGGAATGATTAAATGAGTGGAAGGCTGCTTTTTAGGATAATCAACAACAGCAGAGGATCTTTTAATAGTACTTCTTACAACTGGAGGATTACCTAATTAATTTTGGAGAGTTTATTTTTTGTTCTTAACTTCAGCTAATTTCTCCCAATCAAACATATAGAATGATTCTTCAGACTCTTTTTCATTAATGGTTTTTCTGAATTAATCCTTAAGAAATGCATAATTAGGAGATTCTGAAAATTCCCTCGATTTTGCATGTTACAACAACAATAAATAGCACTAAATAAAATATTCGATTACCTAAGGGAGTCCTTCAGTCAATTCTTCTAATTTCGTGTTTTTCTTCATCTCCAATATAGTTTGATATTTCTCATGCTTATCCGCTATTTAGAGATTCATCCATGGAAGTTTTCCCAAGTTTAAATAAATCAAGACATAGGCTAAGCTCTCTAAATCATCTTTTCTGGATTGCTCAAATCCTTAGTGAGCCGCTATACTTGCGTATCTGGCGGTTCCGATGATTCCCTTTTTATCAGACAAAGGTATATGTTATCCATTACTATCTTTAAAATATTTAGCTAATCCGAAATCAATCAGATAGACAATATGACTGTCAAGATACCCAATAACCATATTTTCAGGTTTTAGATCTCTATGAATGATGTTTTTGTTATGCAGAGATTCCAACCTTTCAATTAATTAAAGAGATAATTTAAGACAAGACAATTAGGAAAAGCCTTTGCTTCTTCTGAGTAGGTATTCTAAATTATGACCCAAATAAGTGATCATGCAATAATTGTAATTTTCGTCTCTTCCGTAATATTGGATCTATGGGAAACCTTGTTGATAATTATATAGTAATGATACCATCGACTCCGCTTAATTCTAGCAATACTTTGATTTCTCTGACCAGCATGCTAGCTGTGCCATTGCTGCGATTCTCTCTTTTCTCGAATTTAGTAGCCACTATTTCTTTTGTTTCACTATTCTCGGTTTTAAAGATATATCCAAAGCTGCCTTGGCCCACTTTTTCCATCAATATAAACTTGTCTGCAATGATGGTTCCAGAATGAAGATGGGTGGCGGAATTAGTTTGGAGCTGAGTTTAATGTTTTTTGGTGTTCCGATTCATCATTTGCCAAATTAATATAATAATTTATTTCTTACAAAATAATTTGATATGATTATAGTTACTTGAAGTAAGATTGATCAAATCACTTTAAGTGCTATGATTTTATAATAATATAATAATAATAATGAATCAATTTAAATTTATAATTTGGATTCTTTACAGATTATCAAAAGACTTCAGTAAATATTGGCAATTTTGATAAGCCAATTTCTATCTTGACAATAAAGAAAGAATACGATAGATAATTAATTTTTAATATTATGCTTGTTAACATCTAATCAAATCACATTTTAAAAGTTAAATTAAACTCATAGATCATAAGAGTAAATTAATTAAATGAGTTAACTTAGTTTTGTAATTGCTAATGCTTAAGAAGAGATGATCTAAAAGAGAGTCAAATCTCTTAAATTTCAACTCAAAGCTCTGGGACAGAAGAACACAGTTCTGCAATAAAAAATAAAGGACGTTAACAGAGCTAACTTAGACCACACAAAATCACCTGTTTCTTAATTGCAAGAGAATCTCCACTTCGATAGAAGGCAAGTCATTGAATTATTCAAACCAATAATTGCGAAAGAGGCAATCTACATTCGAAATGAGAGGTTTAAGTCAGAGCAGTTCATGATGTAATCAAAGTTGAATGAAATTTAACAGAAAAAAATTAGGGCTCGATAAATTGAATAATTCGATGCTGACGCAATCAGAAGAGTAGCGGAGTTTAAAGAGAAAAAGGTTACTGAAATTCGTCAAAGAAATGTCACAGAGATTGAAATCAACAAGTCAACCGTTCTGAGGAAGCTTGAACACATCTCTGTTTTGGAAAATGAAGAAAAAGAATTAATGAACATGATCTAACAGTATTATTTATTCTTAACTTTAGAGCTAAACTAAATACAACCTAGTTGCAGTAAAGATTTAGCAGAGCCATTACTTAAACAGATGAAAGCTCTATTCTACCCAATATCAGAAAATTCAGCTGTAATTAGAGATTCGAGTCCCCATTTAAAAATCGAACCCCAAATCACTATTCAGATAAATTCTTGGATCACAGCAACACCAGCAATAAGAAATAGCCCCAATACTTCCTCTGTCGAAGATAATCAAAATCAACTAACAAATTAAATAACGCCCAGCAAGAGGAAACGAATGGAACTCCTCAATGGGCAATTCAATTTAAATAATATTACAATATGAGTAATAAGGAGAATTTTGAAGATAAAGAGGATTCTTAAGAATAATCAACATAATAGTGACATTTTTATTTGTATATAAATTCATGATTTATGATTTATGATTTTGCTTTTCTAATTAAATCATTTTAAGAATAGAGAAAAAACAATTAAAATATTACTATTATATATATATTCTAATCAGGTCAGAGGATGGAATGCGAATTCAATGTCTCTATCTTCTTTTAATTGGAGTATGGAATCCTTCAACCATTTCTCAATAGTAGTAAAAGCATCCATGTTATGTTTGATGTCCTTCACCCACAAAGCCATTTAAATGAATCCTTTCTTTGTATGGCAAACAATCCCGTTTATAAATTCATCATAATCACAATCTGCCCCAACAAATGACAGCAACAATTCCTCAAGAATTTAATTACCAAGACTTTTTCTGACTTTGAAGATGAATCTCCCTCCAAATTTATTCTATGGGTCTTCCCAAACAGGTGTGATGTTCTTTTTGAATAAAAATATTTAATTGCCCTCTGGCTATTATTCTGGTCGAACAATATGTTAATAATATGCCCAAAAATCTTCTGCAGTAGAAAATGATCCTTAATTGTCAATTTGCAAACATACCAATAACTTCTTAAACATATTGCCCTTATTTAAAGGTTCCTAACCAAAAAGTGAAATCCGAACCTAATTAAAGCATAATTTAATAATAATATAAATTTATAAAAACTCATGGGTTTACAAATAATAAATCGACCTTAAAACATTTTAGATCTCATCCATTATGACTCATTGAAATATTATTTAAAAAATTCAATATCTAACATTAATATTATCAATGATTTAAACAATATATTTCTAGGTAGTTTCTATCAAGATGAAATTAAAATTGTAAGGGATGACAGAAAGAACATGAGAATCTGAACAAGAATAGTTGTATCTTAAAGCAAAAATAGAAATAAATTAGCCTGACTTTTTTAATCATATTTTACAAATATATATTAATATAAATGGAAAAGTACCTTATTCAAACCCAGAGCGTATTCCTTAAGAGCTTCTATTTGCATCTCAGGAATAATAGGTTAATTCCAAATATATTGGTGCCATTTTTATGCGGATTAATACTGTGGCTATCTTACTTTAATTCATTGGATTTTTTAAAATACTCATAAACATTGTAATTGATATTCATGTCATTTTAAGTTACATGCCTTTGGCTGTTTGCGGTGTTATTAGAAGTTTTATGATGATGATAGTGAATGAGAAGAAGGAAAGATAGAAAGAAAACTAATTGATAATGGGGTTGAAACTAAGTGCCTATTATACAGGATGGATTCTATCAAGTGTAATATGGACGTGCATATGTGCATCAATCTATATTCTCATGATTGCAAGTTTCGTAGCATTGCATTGGCACTACTTTGCATTTTATTAATATGCAATCTTTTATGTTCAATACATGTTTTATTCATATGCAGTTGTTGGATAGATGCTGATGATTAGCAGTCTATTTTCAGATGGAAGGAAGGCTACTGATGTATATGCGGTAATTTACATGATCATAGTGTATCTCTATTATTTCACGGATTGGTCAAATAGAAGTGAATATTCAGAATTGCTTCTGTCTATTTTTCCATAAAATCTGATAGTTTATTTTTGGTTTTAAAAAATCACATTTAGTGCCATTTCTATGAATTACATTTACACTCTAATAATATTTAGCATTCAAGGGACAATGGGAATTCTCCTATATGTGTACTTAGATTAGGTGATTCCCGATGAGATTGGGACACACAAGTCTCCTTTCTTCATATGTTAATGTTTGTTGAGGAAAAAGAGAAACTAAGTAGACTAATTTGAAATAGATTTAGAACTATAATAATAAAATAATTTAGGATCTGAATTGTTAAATCCTCAAGATCAAATCTAACCAATAGAAGCTAATGAAAATTAGGTATTAAAATTGACTTAATTAACCAAAGTGTACAATGGATAAGCAGTTGTGAATAATATTAGTTTGAATCTAAATAAAAATACTATCTTTAGTTTGTTGGGTCATAATGGAGCAGGCAAATCAACTACTGTTAACATGATTTGTGGTTTAATTCAAAAGACAAATGGGTAAATTAATATAAATGGATATGATATTGACAAAAGTTTAGATGAAATCAGATAGATATTGGGTTATTGCTCTTAAAAGGATGTGCTATATGGGGAGATGAGTGTTTATGATCATCTCTAATTTTATGGTCGCTTGAAATTAATTAATCAGCTATAATTGTCAGGGCAGATTGAGACTGTGTTAAATATGTGTTATCTTCAACAAGAGAAACATCAACTTGCTATGTATCTAAGCGGTGGAGGCAAGAGAAAACTATGTTTGGCTATTGCTTTGATAGGCAATTCTTAGGTTCTTCTTCTAGATGAACCGACCACAGGTTTGGATCCTATAAGTAGATAGCAAATATGGAATATTTTGAAGGAGATCAAATAAGATCGATGTGTTATTTTGACGACTCATTATTTGGATGAAGCATAAGAACTTTCAGATTATGTTGGCATCATTTAATAAGGGAAAATGACTGCTTTTGGAACAGTAGATTACATAAAGCGACAATTTTCAGTTGGTTACAATATTCTAGTTGAATGTCAGAATGAATTGCATTAGAAACAAATCTTGGATTAAATTTAATCAACATTACTATTAATTTGCAAAAACGATATTCAATTCATTCCTCAGAATAGAAATCTCAAGTTGAATATTCCCTTAAGCAATAGCGCAAATGTAGCTTCTGCTTTGGAATATTTGGAAACTGTGTAGAATATCAATATATCATTTGAAATGACAACTCTTGAAGATGCTTACATTAAAATCCATTCTTAATCAGATTGGGGCAATAATCAAATTGAAACCAATAATAATGCTCTTTTTAATAATATGTTTTTTGATTTTACTCCACATTTTAGCTTTTTTAAATAAGTAAATGGACTATTTATGAGAAGAGTCTGGATTGCTGGATAGAATAAATGGTAGTATGTGATGTTTTTAGTTTCTTGGATCTTATTGTTAGGATGTCTTTTTGGCTTCAAGAACATCAATCCAGAAATCATCATCTCCTTATACGTTTTGATCAAGTTGATATTTATCAGTCAGCAATCCTATTACCCTATCTACGAGAAATAACACAAAATCAAAGACTCTTACATAACCCATGGTGCTAAAATAATTTCATATTGGACATCAGTAATGTTGTTTGATGTAGTTGTTATCGCTTTTGAATAGTTCATATTTATAGCATTGCTCCTAATAGCCAAATAGATAGATGGCGAAAGACAATACAGACAATACAACTTAGGCGTATATTTCAGCATCCTATTAATAAATACTATATTCTCAATTGCACTCAATTGTCAGACATATGTTGCAACATACTTCTTTAAGAGTACATCTTCATCAAATGTTTAATTGCCATTCCTTATCCTGACCTTTTAATATTTAGGATTGGTTATATTCACAATACTATTTCAATGGAATGACATAATCGGAGTCATTATTCCTTTAGTTTCACTTGGTAATGGGTATTATTGGATCTTTTCAGAGAATTACGATCGTACTTATCTGGCAACCCAGCTTCCTTCTCTCATTTCAATCGTAGTCTTCTTCTTCCTTATAAATTACCTAGAAAATCGTTTGATCAGCAGGAAATCAAATATTTCCAATTTCTAAGGAAATGTTGAAGTAACTTAGGTGAACTACAATATTGGAAATAGACCTATCTTGCAGAATGTAAGTTTTTCAATTGAATCCAGTGAGATTTTTGGACTCTTGGGACCGTATTTATATATTCATATCATAGTAATGGAGCAGGCAAGACAAGCACTTTCAAGATGATTACAAGGGAAGAAAAACCTAGTTCAGGGCTCGTTGAAATTAAAAATGAGTCCACTTAGGTTGGATTGGTTCCGTCCTTTTCGCCTCTCCATGAAGATCTATCCTTGGTCCAACATCTTAAAATATATGGTAAATTAAAAGGCTTAGATGATTGGAGGATAGATAATTTCATTGATAGCTACACTTAATATATGGATTTGAAAAAAATCAAAGATAAAAAAGTTAAGGTATTGAGTGGAGGTGAAAGAAGGAAGGTTCAAATGGGTATAGCATTGATTGGAAATTCTTCAATTTTGTTAATGGATGAACCTACTAGTGGAGTGGATCCAGTTTTTCGTTAGCAATTTCAACAATTAATATTAAGGAATTGTCAATAAAATAAAAGTTCAATTTTGATTACAACTCATTCTATGGTAGAGGCTTAAAGAATTTGTGAAGTGCTAGGGATTATCATTAATGGTTAGTTGAAATTTAAAGGAACTCTAAATCAATTGCGATAATAATACGATAATAGAATATAATTGAGTTTCCATCTAAAAAATAAAGAGGATAAAGATTAATTACGGGAATTACTTGTATAAAATTTAACTAAGCATGTTTTTGAACCTTTGGGAATGAGTGGAGATAACTTGACTGTATTTGTGGATGATCAATCAATAAAATTTTCATAACTATTTAGATTTTGTTAATTAAGGGCAGTGGACAATCTAATAGAAGATTTTGAAATTTAGTAGGCAACTTTGGATTAAATATTTAAACACTATGTGCAACAACAATAAGTCAATGATTATCCTTAATAGACAGTGGAAGTTCAGCGTAGAAATTTGCTGGGGATATGCTGCTGTTAGATTTGATTATTTTAAAAAATATATAATATTTATTTTGTTATTTTAAGATCTAACCCATAAACTATGTAATAAGAACATTTTTTGAAAATTGAAGATTGGATCTTTGATTGCTCTGTTATTTTGGGAAGTGGAACTTATGGGAAAGTTATGCCTTGTAGTAAAGAAGGCTAACAACCAAATGAAAGGTATTGCGCAAAGATTATTCCTAAATAAAACATTTATCTGAGGGATAATGAATTAGAAAAATCAATGTAGAATGAGAGAAACACATTTACCCTTTTGGAAGATGTTAAATGTGAAAACGTTGTTAAGCTTATTAAAAAAATTGAAAATCATGAATATATGTGTTTGATTATGGAACAGTGTGATTATGATCTAGCGAAAGAGTTTGAATCTCTCAAACCCAATTGGTATACTCCTGAGTAATAAGTAGATATGATTCAATAAATTATAAAAGGAGCATGTTTTTTAAAAGACAATAATATAATTCATAGAGACATCAAGCCTCAAAACATCCTTGTCAAAATCATGAGGGATCGAAATAACAAAGTAAGGAAAATTTATAAAGTAACAAATAAAATAAATAATCTAGTTGGCAGATTTCAGCCTTTCAAGGACTCTAGATAATATGTATAAAAAATCAAATCTTACCTTGGTTGGTACCTATAACTACTATGCTCCTGAAATCTATAATCAAGCATAATTTTCATCGAAGTGTGATATTTACTCTTATGGTTTACTTTTCCATCAGATTTTATTTAAAGGATAATTACCATTTAATGAAAAAGAGGGTTAGATGAAGCATTTTGAGAAAATCAAAAACTAAGATTTTAAATGTCAAAAACTTGATAGGAAACACGGAGACTTGATGACCTATCTTGTTGAAAGAATGATTGTTTATTCTGAAGAGAGAAGGATTAATTTTGAAGAATTAAAGTAACATAAAATAATGAGCTTGAATGTAGTGATACCATAAACGTCTATCCACATTGCAAATTTTAATAGAAACACCAAAACTGAAATTCAAAATTAGGAAAGTTAAATTTTACAATAGCAGTAGGAACAAATCTACAAAATATTAAATATTTACTATCGTAAATCTCTATTATGTAAACATGTTGTTGACCATCTAAAATCAAAATTTTAATCTCCAGATCAATATTTGCGAACCATTGAGGTATTAATTGGTTATATTGGATTTTAATAAATAAAATATGCATTTTCTTTAATTTTATTTACTCATGCTGGCTTAGAAAAAGAGATTTAACACTAATTCACTACTTTAATATTTTTTTAATAAATGATAATGGAGTATTTAAAAGAGGCTTAGATAGCCGGAAAATATTTGCAAATGAATTAGACTATTAAACAAACTTATCATTAATTAGAACCTCAAATAAAAAAAGAAATCAATGAACTTTTAAAGTTGAATTTAAAATTGACAGATTCTCAAAGGTTAAAATAGGAGTTCTAAATTTTAGATTCAAAACTCAAAGTAATAAGGGAGTTAGATGAAAAAAACATCTGTTGCAGTATCTTGTTTGATGCACTAAATGATTTGATGAACATTTAAACAGATCCACGCAAAAACATATTTGATTAATATGGTATATAATATGCACTATATTCTTTAGACTAAGAACTTATTAATCGAATAGGAAATCTCTAAAAAATGTTTCATATCGAGAACTTTAAAATTATTGATGAGGATTAAATCTTCAATCCAAATCTATTTTGAATTCATTTAAAATAAGTTAACAATCATAATACTTAAAACAATTCTGGCTAGAATAAGCCATTAGAGTTTATTATTAAATTCACATCATCTACAATATCTGATAATCTTCCTTAATCAATAAAATCAGCAACTAAAAAGTTCGGCATTTTCGAGCATTTGAAATAATATTACAAAAATCTCTATCTGCCATGATTGTATGAGTTGTACTTCTTCTTATATGAAGAATCTAACCTTCATATTTGAATATCATTTTACTTTAATGAGTTTTCTGGGCAATAATGAATCTCCAAAAAGGGAGACAATATTTCCCCAGTATCTTCCTTTGTTTTGCCTCTTGCTACTCCTCCATCTTTTACATCCTTAAGAGGGTCTAATTCCCAATCCACTTATGCACTCAATGAATATGAATAATAGGTGTATTTCGATAGTTCTCCAAATATTTATTCTTTTGGTTCTATACAAATTAATAAAGTCTATTGGTTCTCTCTACACCAACCTAAAGTGGGAATCTCCCCATCTTTTTCAATTCTAATCGCTCTTTGATCTGCTCTGATTTGCACAAATAAATTGTGCAACATAATACTCACTAAAAGGGGATCCCAAAACTTTGTTCCATTTCTTTTACTTTTGCACATTAATTTGCTTTCGATTTTTATTATTATAATTTCATAAGGATTTTTAAAGGACAAATCTACAATCTCTTTTAAACGCACACTTGCTTTTTCTGGCTTTTTGAAACCTCTCTAAATTATAGTCAAATTACAATTAGAACGTCCATTAGGTTCATGAGCAACTGCTATCTAGGAACAATAAATTAATCTACTTCAGGACTCTAACCTTCCTAATACCAATGCAAAGGAACTTTAAAGTGTCGAGCTCCATATTTTTCAAATTAATCAGTAATAGTAACATTTTATTATGCATAAGCCCACCCGTACTCTTTCGACATTGCACAATTATGAGCACCTACATAAGCAATTTCATTTAGTTTCAACTTCTCATTAAGATGCCCATTACTCCCTGGCATTAACTTTTACATTTATTAATTTATTTCTATAAGTTGCCTTTCTATGAATTATAATTTATTATTGACGTATAATCAAAATGAATTTTAATGAAATGATTATGTATTTTAAATTTGGAGTAATTGATAGAATAGTTTATTCAATTTAATTCATAGGTAATTCATTAAAAAATTATGAATCTAATCATTATATATAGAACTAAACTAACAATTCAATTTTCTTAGTCTCATTTTTGCTTTAATTCCAAACTTTTTCAATACAATTTTTGAGAATACACTGGCAATAATAAATGATATCTGTAAATTCATAAAAAATTTTTATTCTTTGTCTTTGAGAAAACTTTAAGCTAAAATTCAGAAGGTAATGAACCCAATTTTTTCAAACTCTTCTTGAATAATTAGTTAAAATCAATTCTTATCTCGCCTCAAACACCAAAGTTTACATTAGAATATTAGAATAGAGGAATTTGAGTAATAATTAAAAGAATTATACAACTCAAGTATACAGTAATAATTTTTGAATTTCAATTGATGTATAAATATTAGATCCAGCAAGATGGTTAAGTCATATTTAGGTGACTCATAATTGATCAATATTAATTAAATAATCACCTTTTTATTACTTCGAGAATATTTCACAATAATCCTCTGCATTTAAAATCACAGCCATTTTAAGTTAGTAATAATTAATTTCTGATTAAATTTCTGCCTCCAATTTTTCTTAACAATAATTTTGTTTTTGAAATTTCAAGTCCTCTTTTTTCTTCCCATTTATGTATTTAATGCTTTAAAGATTTTAATAATCTAAGCTAGTACAATATAATAGGTTTATTTTTTAAAAACAATAAGATAAATTAATAATGATACTTTATAATGGAGGGAGATCATCTTAAGCGGATTATAAAAGAATTAATATATGCGAAACTTGAGGACTTGTAAAATATTGAATCCTTATTGGGCAAGTTATATTGATCCAGTAAATAAACATATGAGTAATATGGAAAACAGAATATAATCATTTCATCCAATACTTAAGTTTTTTTTATTAGCAATACAATTTGTAACCTTAAATCAAACAGGATTAGGACATAAAACTGGTAAATTCAAGTATTGGTGACTTAAAAGCTCCAAGATTCTGAATATCATCACCAAGTTAAAATGTTTTTAATTGTTGCTTTTGGGAATTTTTTTGCATATAAACTAGTTATTGGGACAATATGTTCAGACATTTTTATGGAATTTTTAATTGGTTTGATAAAATTGTTAAGATCATATTGTAATGATAGTTTTGTTATGTTCTAGATATATGAAAGACTCATAAAACTAAAACAATAAAAAATTTTATGAATTTATAGATCATTTATTCAAGACAGCATATATTCATATTAATTCTATTGAGAAGACTAAGAAAATTGAATTGTTAGTTTAGTTCTATATATAATGATTAGATTCATAATTTTCTAATGAATTACCTATGAATTAAATTGAATAAACTATTCTATCAATTACTCCAAATTTCAAATGCATAATCATTTCATTAAAATTCATTTTGATTATACGTTAGTAATACCAAATACTTATCAAATTTTCATTCTATATTCATGATTCTATTGCTTATGCATATTTTGATTGTGTTTTAATTTGTATTTTAGAGGAAATAGTTTCATAATTTTTTTTTATTAAAATGCCAAAAGAAACCAAAGGTCAACAAAAAGGTGCGAGATCTAAGTATGAAACAACCGAACAAACTGAAACCTATAGACAACAAGATGCTGTAAATATTGAAATCTATGAGATAGAAAGAAAAGAAAATTCTGGGACCTAAAACCAAATTAGATTTAGAAAAATTAGAACCTTACTTCACTTAAAACAATAACTATGTTGGAATGTTCAAGAAGGATGCAGGAAAGACAGACAATAGTACAGCTGTAGCATATTCTGTAACATTTCATCGTAACTGTTAGCATCCATTAGATAGATTGGGAATTGTAGAGAATGAGTACTGTTAAAAATGCAAGAAGGATAAGGGATTCTGTCCTCATAAGAAGGGTACTCACAACACTGTCAAGGATCAATTCCAATTTCCAATAATAAGGTAAGAATATTTTAAAATTTGCAAGCTCAGCCGAAATTGGATGGAGAGAACCCATCGACAATGTGAATTGGGGATATGGAGTTAAGCAGTCTTTCCCAAATTTCAATGCCGATTTCAGAAACACCACTAAAAAAGAGGAAAAGGAAAAGAAATGATTAGTAACATCCATCCTTTTAATAAATATGAAATATTATAAATTTCTTGGGAGATATGTGTGGACTGTGTCTTTCATGTTCAAATTATCAAAATAAAGGCTGTGTTTATATAATAAATTTATTTATCGTAAATGCAGGAAATTGAAGCTAAGAAACAATTGAAAGCAAGTGAAGGAGCTCACTTCTTTTACACTTTGATCTTCCTTAGTGCTTCAGGCATAATAGAGACATAATTTATTGATCAGAAATGTAATTAGAATTTAGCTTTGTTTATTCATTTGGTTTTCTACGGATTAATTATTTGGGGAACCTACATTTTGATAACCTTGATACCCAGGTTTGTAATCTCATTTATATAGATACAAAAATCCTGCAATAAACTTGTTCTTCAATTTCTTGGACATCTGTTTTGCAATTTACATCACCTTTTTGTTAATTTATGGATACCGACTCTATTCCTCACAGAACGATTGTGCAGTTGAGGCTCCTGTGCTCTACCTCTTTTTGGAAGTATTCATGCTGGTATTAAATCATTAATGAATCAGGTCAATGGGATCATTTTCATCATTTTGGGTCTTGCCTTTATTTCTTACATCTTGAAGAGATTCTCCAAACATCAATAGACATATGCTCAAGGGGAGGAGGAATACTTAGATGCATGATTTAATTACATTACGATAATAATAATCACCCTTTTTTTGAAACAAAACTATTATTTTTGATATAAAATCTCCAAGGTTTATCCTTGTATTCTTCCGCATAATCAATATTTATTCGACTAGAAATCCCTATTTCATATTTAGTTGAGTTATCAATTAGATACATTCCGCTGTTCTTATCACATAAATTTAACCCATTATGACTCTTGTCAAGTTGCAAGCATTCTCCACATTTCCCAGGACCATTAGATAGTTCTTACAATTTAAAAGACTTTATCTTCCTGATATCTTTAACAATATCAAACTTTAAAGGTTGAATCGCTCTTATGAGAACAGCTTCAGGATCATTCTTTGTGGCTGCTGTGATATTGAAGCAATAATTATTTCCATAAATTGAATAGATATACAAGTGTCCACCATCTTGCCAAAAATATTGTGTCCTTTCTGTCTTTTTATTATTATATGCATGGCAGGCCTTATCCTCAGGCGCTAGTTTGATTACACTATTTACCTTTATAGGCTTCTGCTTCAACAATCAATGCTCTTACCTCTCCCTATGGAAGGGTTCTTACTATTATTTTGCCAATCAATTTCTAAGCTAACTAAATGACATCAACTTTATAAAATGCGGAATCTAATATTGTTTCTATTGGCTCATATTATTCAGCTGGATTGTTTTATTTTTATCCTTTTTAATTGAAGCTTTTCTTTGTGATTTCATTCTTTGTTTGTAAATCTACATTATTATTTTGAATTTATTTTTCTGTTTTCTCCAACATTAACAAAAATTATAAAAACAATTTTATATGCAATCGAAATTAAATAATTTATTTTTATAATACAAAGTTAATAAAGTTTAAAATGCTTTTTGAATAGATTAATTTCATACTATCTATTGAATTACTGAGTATGATGATTTCTTTTAATTTATGAAAAACTTCTGAATTTTATTTATATTCCTATAATTATTAATAATATTTTTATTTATGATATATTGAAGTAAAGTATCACTAAAGATGTTAATACTTATTAATTTTTCTAATATTGATTAACTAATATGAAGTTTAAATCAAAAAATTATAGAGAAAATAATTATTCTTATTATTTTATTCAGTTAAATTAGAAAAAGATTTTAAATTTTTGTTTTTACTAAATCACTCAAAACACTAGTTCAAAACAATTGAAATGAGATTACAACATGTAGATTGTATTGCCACTTGGATTCTTATTAATTTCTGGATCAAACTAGAAGATAATCAAAATTAATTTGTATTCCATAGAGGAATGGTAAATTGGTTAATTTGATTGCAAATAATAGAAAATATTTTTCAAAAGATATAAAATCCTAAGATAATTGAAATAGTATTTATAGACTTGATGAACACTAAAAATAACACTATTATATTTTGAATAAAAATTAGTAGCTTTACTTGAATGTAGATTATAAAAATGACGGTTATTCCTAAATACTAATCGAAGAAACTTATATGACTATGGGATTTAAGTGTTCGTAGTTTAACTTCTAATATAAAAATATATATTATCAGAAATTATGGTTATACCACAGAACTGATAATTTTAAAGCTAATTGTATTCATTTCATTTTTATAATAAAAGTTTATTTTTAGAAATGAATGATCCTATTCATAATAAAGAGCTCAGACAGAAACTAATTCCATTGGGTTCTCTCGATCCCTTGAGAATTTAGATACAAATAGTTTGAAAGAAGATCTTAATAAAAGCATTGAATTGGGGCGCAAAAAGAGAAAACAGTTGACTCTTGATAATCCTGAATTTAACATCAAGCAAGAGATTGAGGATGAGAAATAGAACATTAAGGTGCAAACCCTCATAAGGAGGGGAATAGCAGATGGTCTAAAGATGTAAGAATTATGTACAATATTAATGTTTATTTGTAAGTAAAGTTGAAGGTTTCAGCGAAAGACAATAACAACCCTGTTCACAGTCTCTTTAGATGGTGCATGCTAATACTTTATAAGGAGAATCCAGAGATATATAATTGGTCAGAGTTTAAAGTAAGAACGAGTTTAGATTTTGTTAGAAAAAAGTTCTTGAAAAGGAAAACGGTCAAGACCTTCGCAATCGTTTGGGATATCAAAGTGTTATTCATATAACCTAATTGGAAGGAGAGAAAACAAAATATTTGTTAAATTTAAAAAAACCAATTTTAGAACAAAATAGTAAACCTGAAGAACTGTAGTGGGTACTATTGAAAATATTTGATATTGTTGAAATAATCTATAAAACACATGAGCATGCGAAAAGAATTAATTAACTTGTTGATGATTTGTTGATGGTAATTGAATTTCGTTATGCAATCTATAGCAAGAGAGCAAAATCAAGCAATACTAAGAGGATATTGACAAGGTGAATTAAGAAATTCAGGTAGCCAAGACTAGCCTGAAGAGTTTGGAAAGCAAGTCTTTGAATGATGATGAGATCGTTCAGGAATGATATTATAATTATTATAATTGTTCTTAAAAAAAGAATTTTAATCAAAAGATTGATACTCCAAAAGGAGAGTCAACTTAATACTGAATGTAGTTTACTATTTTCTCGATAATTAGAAAAATCAAAATAAAAGATAGTTTTATAATAAGTGAGGATGAATGCATAATTTTGAAATTGATTATTATAAAATTAAATATATATAGTAGAGATTTAATATATATTATAAAGGAACAACTTGATATTAGTAGTTAGTTTGTAAATGTATTTATATGATGAATAATAAATTATATATTGTATTGCTTAAAACGGATACTCATTAATTAATTTTAGATGAAATAGCTAGTCGTATTAGCATTAATGCTAAGCTTGGCTTTGAGTACAAGCATAACATCACCTTAACTATTGGTGGAATTGTAGGCAAGAACTGAAAATGTGATAGACGATGGAGTTGATCTATTGGAACAACTTCTTGCTACAACAGAATAGTAATATGAGCAAGTCATCCAAGAGAATGAAGCTGAATAGCAACAATTAAAAGATTAAGTGGCTTCAAAAGAGTAATAACTTTACGATCTTTAAAACACTTGTATGGTGATGTCTGACGACTTGGCCTTGCTCAAATAATAAATTGAATTACATGGAGATGACACAGCATACTTCAGAAATGAAATCATAAAAGACAATCGTAGAATTGAAGTACTTGAAGAGCTTCGTTGCTAATAAAGCAAGAATTGGTTGAATTTCATCAAATCAAGCAAATACATTCTTAATTTGATTGAGTTTTTAAGAAGAGCCATTTAGAATTATGGATCATTCGCTGAGATCTAAAACTTTTCAGTGATGTTGGAGACACTCAGCAGAGAAGTTGATGATAATGAACTATTGAACTCTCTTTAAGCAGTTAGTAAATCAAGAGCAATTACTCCAGTTAGATAGGAATTACTATAATTGCTTGATTAGATTGAAGAATCCATCAAGGCCAAGATCAATACAAGTTAAACTGACGAAGTAATTAATTAATCTTATCTAGATTCTGTCAACATCAAGAATTGCTGATTATTTACATTAGCTCAAATAAGAAATCGCTTGGTATGAGAATGAAGTTGCCAAACTCAATGAAGCTTGGGGAGATTCACCAGAAGAAACAGTAAAACAAAGATAAAAGGAATTGGACACATGTGAAAGTGGAATCAATGCTAAAATTGAAGAAGCTAAAGAATTCAGAAATCACGTGAGTGAATAAATTATTCATAATGAATCCAGATAAGCTCGTTTCTTAGAGTAAAAGGACTTAGTTGCCTAATTGATTGTTGAATATTAAAATGCCTTCAATAAAATTGGAGAGACCTACAAAATTAGAATCGATGATTATGTTGAAGATGGAGTATTTGACAAGACTGTTGATTTTGATAAAAGGTATCAATTAGATATACATATTGTAGATCATTAACTGACCTCTATGGAGATAAGGAGAACAATTTCGAATAATACGTAGATGATTTAGTAAGTGGTGTTGCTACTCCAGTTGAAGTACCAGTAGTTGAAGAAGATCCAGAACTATCAGGTGTTTTTGAAGGTGGAAGCGAGTCAGAAAGTGAAGAGGCTGAATCTGCCGAAGAAGTAGAGGAGACTGTTACTGAAGGAACACAAGAGAGTGCTACTGAAGAAGTAGTTGAGACCGCAACAGAAGAACCAGTTGAGACTACAACTCAACCAGAGGTTGAAACTACAAATGAAGAAACCAATCATTTTGAATAAGGCGAAGTTCAACAATCTGTTTGATTCTATTAAAATAAATAAATATTTATATCAAGACACAAAATAGTGTGCAAAATTATTCACCTAAAGAATTATAATGAGTATGACTATTCACTATTAAAACTGGGATCATAATTTCGCCAGATTAAATCTTAAGATTAAATGTTTTATAGATGAATTAGAATCATCTAAAATTTGTATTGATTGTAATTTTTAATAGACTGTTGATGCAATTTATGAGGAACATGTTACATCATTTCAATATTTATATAGAATTGAAAAGACACAAAATAATTTAGTTGATTTTATTATCTATATTATTTAGATCTTTTTAAAATAAATAAAAAATATGAATATCTTAAATAATTCACTGTAAGAGCCTTAAAAACCTTAATCTCCTTAATCCTATTTTGTTAAATTCAACTCACCTTACACAATCAATAAATTTATGAATTTCCTTAAAGCAATTATTCCTATAGCATTGATATTTAGGTTTATTAGACTAAGACAAAGTTTAAAGCTCCGATAGAGCTTTAAGAATTCAGCTGCTAAATTGGGTTATTTTTTAAAGGTTAAATATACGAAATAAACACAAATTTAATTGAATTAAGGAGAAATTTTAATTTAAAAAATCTTTAATTTACCTGCTTAGAGAAGATTATATTTATAAAGCTGAATAATTTTCTACCGATATTTTTCTATATTTAAAACAAATAGAATAAAGGAAAATTAAGACGAACATGTTAATTAGGCAAATTAGCTTCAGATCTTCGAATATTAATTATGTCATCAACTATGAGAATGATAATAAGATATTATTAGACCCTCTTCCTTCTAAATTTCTTTAGTTGATTACCATAAAGGAATTTTTGTAAATGAAAGAGGTTGAAATTTAGAGTGTATGAAGGATATCTTGGAAATAAGATATATTCCTCATTAATTCAGAATTTAACAAAGGTTACTTCAATAAAAATACTTTTTTATGAACTCTTGTTTTTAGTATCTAGTATTTTAATTATTGCTAATAATAAATCAAGATTATGTGAAGAAATATATCCAAAGAATGTAATGAAGAGCAATAATTATATTAATATAGTAAATTAAAATATATTAAAATATGGAAAGGTTATTAATGGAGAGTGAATTTGATGTATATTTTATTTTAATGTCGATAATAATGGTATTTGATAATTATCACATTTTAGTTTATAAATTAAATAAATATAATTAAATGGGTTAGCCTAGTCTTAGGTACTCTAAACCTCCAGATGATGCTTTGCTAATTTCCTTACCCATTAGAAATAGTCTAGAAGTAAAGTTCAATCCTAATAATTCGATAGGCTGTTGTAGTGAGACTGGATCGTTCTGCTTAATATCCTCCTCTAGACACAAAGGAATGGGGGTAATTCCTGTATTAAATTAACCTTCCTTTGGATAAGAAAAATAAGCTGAATCTTCTTAATGATAGTACAAAACCTTAATAATATATAGATTTCAAAGCGCAAATTCTATATTAGTATCTAAAATCAAAAAAGAAGAATGTTGAGCCTGCCATTTTGGGGACCGAAGAAGGACTTGAAGACTTATTGGTTTATTTGCGATCATTATCAAAATAAGACTTATCCAAATATATTGTGGAAAAAAATCTTATTGAGAAATTAACAAAGCTATGTCAAACTGATTGCGAAGGTCATCACGATAAAGAAGTATTAAATCATATTATTGATAGTGTCTTATTTTAAATATCATATTATTGGCATTAGAATCTGATAACAATCTCGAAATCCCGACTTCTTCGTTAAACGAATTCTGCATGATCTTGAATCCCCTTCACATTGTAAACTTTTCGTTAATACTTGAAATTTATGTGTTGATTTGCAAATTTTAGACTGATGAGCGCATGCTTCAAATAGCTTTAGCGTGGTTGGAAATGAAACGTCAAGGACATTGGAATTATCCCATTGAACCTTTCATCCAACTGCTTTAATCCAATAAAAGCGTGTTTGCAATAGCCAACATGTGTAGATTTCTTAATTACTTTATGGAAGCCCATGCAGACTAAACTTATAGCTATAAATTGAAGAAGAGTTTCATCTAATACGGACTAAGAATCTTACTTTAGGATGTGAAGAGCAAAATACAAAGTGGAAGTTATTAATTGCAAGATTGCACATATGCAGCTATGGATTAGCAATTAATGGAATAATACTTGATGCTAAAAGATAATCCAGCAAGAAAACGAAAGGTGTTACCTCCAGATGGAAAACCTGTAGAATTAAGCATTTGTGCCAAACTATGTCACGAATTGTTTATCGATTTGAATAACACTAATGCTTCTACTAAGTTTTAAAAGGTATGCGAAGAAGCTACGGCACAAATAGATGCATTTCTTTTTTTAACAGAGGACATTGATGAAGAATTGAAAGGTCATAAGGGGCCAACCTAGAAGGATAATAATATTAGTCAATTTCGAAGACAACAATCTATCTCCAACATTTATGAAGTTGAAGATTCATAAGAAATTAGAATCCCCAATTTAGACTATAATTAACTTAACACATAAGTGAGAGAAGCCCCCACAATTTAAGAGACTGTTAAAATCCTTGATGATTACGTTACCTAACAAGCTAATGTTGGAGTGAATCCAGTATCTTAACTAATTCAAACAACAGCTCAAAAACTCTTGGAATTAAAAAAGAATGATCCTACACATTTAGAATTAGTAGAAGCTGAAAAAAAATGCACATAATTAGAATAACAGTTGAGAAAGATCTATGAATAAAAAGATAAGTATTTTTAAGAGATGAAAGAACTAGAAAGTAAATTAGAATAATAATCTAAACTTATTGAATAATTACAATCAGCAGCCCCAGCTTCATAGGTAAGTACTACCATCTCAGCTCCAAACCCACCTTAAATAGCACCTCCACCACCTCCTCCTCCACCACCACCTCCTCCAGGAGGTTTATTAACTGCGCCACCTCCTCCACCGCCGCCACCTCCCCCTCCTCCTCCTGGGGGTTCATTAACTGCACCTCCTCCACCACCACCACCTCCTCCTCCTGGAGGCAGACTTCCACCTCCTCCTCCACCTCCTCCTGGTGGAATGCCTCCTCCTCCTCCTATGCCTGGAAGAGCTCCTCCTCCTCCACCAGGAGCAGCTAAACCAGGAAAATAGAAATGCAATCCAACTAAGCCAATGAAATAAGTTCCGTGGGTTTTGATTAAAGAAGACAAGATAAAGGGAACAATTTGGGAGAAATTAGATGATAAAAAGATTAAATTAGATGTGGAATTATTAGAGGAGAAGTTTTCAAGACCAGAACCTACTCAGAGATCGCAATCTACTATAGTACAACCTTTGAAACCATAAAAAGTATCGTAATTATCCTCAGAGAGATGTAAAAATGTAGAACTTGTCATTTCAAGATTAAAACTAAGTGCTTTTACATTGAAGGAGGCACTTTTGGCAATAGATTATGATGTGTTAACGGAAGATAAAGTTGGTATGTTAATAAATGCAGTTCCTGAGAAGGAAGAGTAGGAACTATTTTTACATTATTAGCCTGAAGATATTAATTTAGTGGCAGTTCCTGATTAATTCTTTATGGATTTAAGTCCAATTCCATAAATAAAATTGAGAGTGGAGGCAATAACGATTGCATATGAATGGAAAGAATTAGCCTCAACAATAACGGCAAAATAGGAGAAGATTAAGGTTGGAATTAAAATGTAGAGAGAAGATGAGAAGCTTCCCATTTTATTGGAATATTCATTGGCACATGGAAATTACTTGAATGGGCAATCAGCCAAAGGAGGAGCTAGTGCATTTAAATTGGACATAATGTCTTAATTGGATGATGTTAAATCAAATGACAATAAGACAAATTTATTGATTGTGATTTTGGAGAAAGTTGAAAGAGAAATTGGGTGTTTGTATGACGTTGAATTTTTGGCAAAGATAGATTATGAATTCTTATCGAAAATTTCATTGTAAACAATAGGATAAGATTTGAATGAATTAAAAAGAATGTAAAGAGTGGTTGAAAGAGCCTAAAAGTCATAGGGAGAAGATTCTAATGACAAAGCAGCCGAAAAGTAAAAATTCAACTAAATTTTAATTTAGATTCAAGATTTTATTTGATCAGTTAGAAGAGACTTGTGGGACAATTGACAAAAATAATAAAGACCTAGATTTGGTATACAAAGATTTGTTGAATCATTATTGTGAAGATTAAAAAACCCAGTCTGACGAGTTTTTTTAGAAAATCGAAAGAATATGGACAGATTATAAAAATGTAAGAACATATTGATCATTAGGCTAAAGCATAAATGGATAGAACTAAGCAAGCTTAACAAAAAGAATAAGAAAAGTTGATGAGATCCTAATCTAATTTAGTCTAGTCATAAATGCTAATGTCTTCATCAATAACGCAAATGAGTCAAAACGAACCAATTAAGTAAGAGGAGAAGGCCTCACCAGCTCCAGTAACGGAGAAGAAGGATCCAAAGGAAGTATTGGCGGAATTGAAAATGTTGCAATCAAAGAAAGCCGAATTAGCAGCGAAGAGATAATAACAAAAATGAAAGTGATTTATGTTAATATATCAAACGTGATTAAGTTTAATAAAAGATAAGAATAAATGGATACTTTATTCATGCTAAATTATTTATTTAAATCATGATATTTGGAATTTTTGCTTTGTTATCTACATTGATTTGGGCTGAAACTGCCACAAGCGAAGTGACCAGAGATTATTGCTCTCTTCCTGATCCAATTTATGCGGACGGTGTTTCAGCAGCAGATTTTGGTGCAGCAGGTTGGAGTTATGCTAACGCTGCAACCTGGGCAGGTATTTAGGGATGATATATCAGATTTTGTTGTAACGTGCGGGGGTAGTTTCTAATCTCCTATAGACATCGTCACAAGTGGAAGTACTCAAGAATCTGTTCAACCACAAATCAACTATAAAAGTAAGGACGCTAATACTGCTTATGAAGAAGCAAACAGTAATAAATTTGATGACATAATTTTAGAGCCATACACCAAAGAATATGAAGGAGAGTACTCAGAAATAGAGGTAACCGATGCCTCTGGTTCTGTCATTCGTTATTATGCCAAATAATTCCACATTCACACACCATCAGAACATACTATAGATGGTAAATATTATGATTTGGAAATCCATTTTGTTCATCAAGTAAATATAACATCATTCTAGGCTATCCAAGATGATGAATAAGATTGTAACAAAGTCAAAAATAAACTAACTGTATTCGGAATTATGTTTTAAGAATCCTCAAGTGCTACGGATTACGACGTATTTAAACCATGGTTCGATTCCAATGCTACAGGGGAGGTCGAATCCTTTGATTTAAAGTAACCATTTTACAATCTAAATTAGTGATTTCTTCTCCAAAATGTCTGATAACACCTATTATCATTATAATGGAAGTCTAACCACACTTCCTTGTTCATAAACTGTCAATTGGGTCGTATTCTAATAAGCGTTACCTATTTCATCAACCTAATTGAAATAGTTTTAGGATTTCCTCGGTGACTCTACTGTGTTCCCAATTAAACACAATAACAGACCCATCTAACACTTAAATGGAAGAAAGATTTTGAAAGGAGTAATTTAAATTCATAATATAATTAGACTGCCATTGCTGCAAGTGTAACTGAGATACCAGATGTGGAAGCCTCATTTGCTTAGACACTTGCTATGGCTATTTTAATGACCGTCTTTTTGATTTAATGAGAAATTATAAATAAATATAAATTATACAAATTTTATAAATATTTATTATAAAAACTAAATTAAAATATTCTAATTACATTAAGCTAAACTGAATATATTAATAAATGATGACCCAAAATATCAAACTCCTTTTTCTGCATAAACATGATTTGTCTTTTGAAATAAACATACACAAGAGGTCATCGCCACTCCAATAAATAACCCTATGATCCCAAACACCAAAGCATGATTTACATTAACTCTCGTCATTTTCCTCATCTACCCCAATTTGATATTCAATTCTGCTGTTTTCTATTGCAAAGTCTAGATTTCCTTTTCCACCCCTTTGATTGTCCCATTAAAAGTATTGGCTTCCGTAATTTACAATTAAATAAATTGCGATATCTTTATTTCTTCTTCTTTTTTTATTTCTTGCTCTTCAAATTCAATTTCCTTCTATTTCTCCAATTCCATCATCTCTTTTAATCGTTACTCTTATTATTCTTGCTCCCTTAACATCTTCTCCATTTTTTATTTTCCAGACTCTGCCAGCGAGTCAATCCATTAAACAAAGAATTCAAATCTCCTGTGATTCTCAAACTATGAAGTCGGTTTATCCTATCCAGGAGGAAAGTAAAAAATTGTTGGAAATGAATGCACCCCAAAATGATGACAAATATGCCTATTTTGTTACTCTTCACAATTCATCTTAGCAATCAAGATATCTGGCCTGGTTGCTTTGTAGTGTTCAAACACTTAATTAAATTCTCCTGCCATATGTTGACAATATATACACCACGGAGTAAAGAAATCTAATACAACCTGTTTCGTTAAATACTTACATGTTTCTACTTCCCCAAGTGTTATTGATAGTTATTTGCAGCCAATGTGAATGCTAAAGTGCTATGGTACCAATCTGCATTAACATCAAATAGTAATATTAGCAATACAATAATCATAATATTTATTTTATCAACTCATCATGAAAATCCTACTTGAAATGTCTGTCACTATCCAATCGATTCCTTCCAACAATCCATCCCCAGTAACTGCTGAACATGCAATAATACCCCAATGTCTTGTTTGTATGAGATCTAATTCCAAATACTCTCTTATTTATTGAAGACTTAAAGATTTTGGTACATCCTATTTATTACAAAAAATCAATAATGTTGCTCCTATCAATTTCTCTTATTTCAACAAATTTTATAATTCCTTTTTGCAATCATCTAAACGAGCCTTATCAGTAGAATCTACCACCCATATTAACCCATCTGTCTGTTCAAAATAATTCTTCCAATATGATCTTATTGTTTGTTACCCACCAACATCTAGCATAATTATAGAATGTGTTACCCCAACAATTAAGCTTATAACCATTATAAGAAAGTGTTTTGATATTGAAACCCAAAGTAGGTGATATTTGAGAAATGTCTTCGCCGTTGAATTTTTTCAGTATTGTTGTCTTTCCCGCATTATCTAATCCCAAAATCAATAGTCTCATCTCCTTTTCTCTCTCCTTTGTCTTTTTGATAATTTTCAAAAGTCCCATTATAAAAGAAATTAATTATATATGTATATGTTTCACTATGATTATAAATTATCTCATAATCAATTCCAATACATGCTAATTAAAAAATCATTAATCTTTATTATTTACTCTTTATCCAAATAATAATTTTTATTTTGCTCCATTGCCAGCCATATACCATTTGAACTATTCTTCCAATTTCTCTACCGAGCATTTTCATATTATCCATCAAAAATTATCCATTTCTTTGTTTTATGATGGTACCCTATCATACCATGATAACTAGAAACCGACTTATCATTTAGTACTATATCAGATGTTTAAACTCTTCCAATAGAAAAAAAGCAAATAGATCTTTTAGACTTATTAATCGACAATGCATTCCTCGATAAATAAACTGGTAATGATTGTCTACGCCTATTAAATAATTATGCGCGATTTAAGCTCTCAGGTGAAGGTGTTCTTTTTGATTTTTCAACCAGCAAATAACTTTAATCCAAATTATTTTCTGAAATTCTTATGATTATACAGGATTTAGAATAGAATTCATCAAATTCCTTAAAAATATACTTAAATTATTACTTTCTTCAATTGTACTGAATTCAAAGTCTAATAAAATTCTTTCTCTGTGATTTTCCGCTCAAAAGATTATTTAAATAGTGCATCCATACCAGAACCCAAGCCTACCACTTTTTTATTATTCGTAATCTCAAATAATCGAGGGCTATCCAAAAAATCTCCAAAAAGTTGATTATTTTATTTTACTGTTAATTTTGATGTCTTGCCAATAATAAATACTTTGTTTTTAATTAGTTCTTGATTTTCGCATTATCTTGATATGTTTATTAAACTTGGATATCCTCGTCTACCAGAAATATCTTTGAGTTTCAATTTTTATTTAGGAACAATTGCAAATTCTCCAATTCTAGAAATTATATTCTATGGAACGTCATAGCTCCTTAGAACTTAATTGTATTGATTTTAAAATTCGGAATTGTTTACTGGTATCAACAACAAAGAGGAGTCAAGTTCAAATTAATCTCCACTAGAACTGACTCCAAAAGGTATAAATACATAATTTTCATTGCCTCCAGAATTCCCTATTTTATATTCTACAAATTCTAAAATAATATACTTTAACCATCAATTGGGATTACTTTGTTAAATCTAGATCTGTCTTCATTCTCAACTCTAATGGTAATTCTCCTTAATCTCTTCTATAAAAAATAATAAAATACATTGTGGTTCATCTGTTTATGAGTAAAAATTATTTATAAATATTTATTATATCTCACTGACATTAAGAGCAACTTAAGAGTACGTTTATAATTTATTATCATAAGCCTATACATTAAAGATAAAAACTAAGTTGGATTTCCATTTTCAAACTTTACTCAAACATGAATATAAATGAGGGGAAATCTCTTGAAGAAAAATTTAGATCTTATTTATTATAAATTTGACCGCAAAGACTTCCAAATGTGGATTTCCAATAAACTATTCTTAGTTTAAGTCAGATAGAATTTATAAAATAATAATATATATTGAGAATATTAAAAATAAAAAAATAGGCACTAATATTAATTTTTCAAAATATACTAAAGTTCGGGATGGTATTCCTTAATAAAATCTACTTGCTTCAAATAATTAACATCTAAATTACTTCACTTGTTTGATCATCTTAAAACCTTGTCTTCAATTCCTAATCATTGAGTAAATTAACAATAAAAGCAATGATCACTGTATTGTTCTTAAGCATTTTAATTTTTTATGTATAAAATAATTGAGTTAATGTCTACTTTCATTTTTTATGTATTGTCTTTGGAAAACTAAACATGAATTTGCTTTATATATTAATGATATATTTAAATGTTATAATCTTTCAATGCCATTATTATGTTATAATGAAGTTATGTACATGACATATTTTTAATGTAGAATTCAATCGATTTAAATTAATTAATTAACTAAACTTAAACAAGTTTATCAGAAAACGCATCCCCGTTAAAAAGGTAAATGATATATTGTATATTAAAGAATTTAATCATTTAAACAAATCTAATCATTTAAAGAAAATTAATCAATTACATGAGAGTGAAAAAGGCTTAGGAACAAAATGATGACTATAACAAAGAAGAAAAAAGACTTAATGGTTTAGGTGCCTCATTTAATGCTCAGTATCGTATAGAATCAATAAATTTCATAACCGAATTTATACCACGGTTCTTGAAATATTATGCTAATTCATAAAAGAGAGATAAGTATGCAAATGAACTGCCATTAATATCTGTAACAAATAGTCCAATTAGGGAAATCTTAGCAAAATTCGATATAAACTTATTATTCCCTGAGAGAATTTGGGAATTTTCAATGACACGTATTTAATCAATATGATCTTAAAGCCACCTTCCTTTGGTAGCTCACTAAACATGAGTACTTAGCCTAAAACCTGGCATAAATATTATATATGATGAAATTGATTTTAAGAGGACATTTTGAATTTCGACAAAAACCATCACATTGGAATTAGAATGATTTATCTGATTCTCATATGTATAGATTGATAGAGCTTGACCATAAATCAAATTTGCATAATTAAAAAATTTATGAGGTCTGCAACTAATTTAAAGATCAAGAAAAAATTGCTGTACAAATAATTCCAAAATAAAAGTATACTCTAAATTCATAGAATCAACTTTCGACTTTATAATATGTTGGTACTATTGTGTTTATATGTTATTCAAGTTATGAGGGCAAAAGTTGCATTGAACAATATTTATCATCATTATTAGAAGATCCTTTTCTTTCACAGGATTTAGTTCTATTATAAAAAATAGAGGACAGAAATGTCAATCAATGTTATATTAAACCCAGAAAATATAAAATTAAAAATTTTTAACCAAATGAATTTAAATTTTCGGAGTAATTACAAAGATGGATAAAAAAAATGGATATCATTCATTATAAAAATCGAATTTAAATGTAGAATGAATTAGAATCTTAATAGTATCTATTGAAAAAATACTTATTCACTCCGAATTTTGAATAATACAGAAATTTACTGAAAAATATTAAGAGTGAAAAGTTTTCGATCAATATGGAATAATTTAAAGCTATTTCCCAAGAGGGCGATATAATTTTGATTGGTAGAAGTGGAACTGGAAAAACTACTATTTCATTGTTGAAATTATTTATCACAGATGCAATATTTATGTTGAGGTAGAATCTCAATCTTTTTAAAGAATCCTCCAAAATTAATCTGTAATATAATAAGGAACTCTAATCTGGAATTTAATTGAGGACTTTATTTTTAACATCTAGTCCTTTATTAGCTCAATAAATCAAATAGAAATATGAAAATATGGTTAAAAATGTTGAAGAGAATCTAAGATAAAAAAAAGAAGTTTAAAGGATTTCAGAATAGCAAAAAGACAATCTCAACGATAGTACAGTGTAGATCCTAGATGTGTTGGGAGAGTAAAATGAAAATGAAGGATAATTTGGGATTGAAGATGAAGATGAAGATGAAGATGAAAATGAAGAAGATGTTGATCAATATGAAAAAGAGATGGGGTGTTTTTAGACTATTTAAGATATTAAGTAGTTTCCTGCCTTTCTTACTATAAGAAAATTATTATTTCTGATTGATTCTTCATTACACAACTCTTTTTTTAAAAATAAAGATAAGATTCATGGTTCAGCTTAATGGCATAATGAATATTCTGGAGTTCTATCTCTAAATTAAAATTTCATCAATAACTTCTCATAGAAATTAGATTCCGAAGTCCATGATCTTGACTCCAAAGAAATAATATACCACAATAATAAATTAAAGGAGGTTTCTTTGGAAATTTTTAAAGAGTTTTTCTGGCCCAAAATCTTGTAGGAATTCATTCAGATTGAAAAAGCATCCCATGATTAACTGGATCCTATGCTAATATGGTCAGAGATTATCACACTTATCAAAGGGAATGAAAAGTCATATCTATTTAACGACTTTCATCTTAGTTAAGAAGAATATCTGAAAATACATAGACCTTATAAAAACTCAAACCCGTATTCGGTATTTCAAATATTCTCAATATATGAGAGATTAAAAACAAAACACAACTATTATGATATTCTTGATCTGATTAATCATATTAATTACCAATAAACCTTTTGTTTTGATACTATCTAATACATGCACTATATTATACTTGATGAACTATAAGATGTTCCGAAGGCCTTGTTAATTCTGCTCAATAGAATGACTCATATTTAGCTATTTCTAGCTGGTGACAATGCTTAAAATATTGTTAAAGGTATTGGAATGCACTTCTCCCAAACAGTTAGTTGTCTCTAGTAAGAAAACAATTACAAATAGCCAATTAGAAATGATAAATATAAGATTTCGAAAATCATATTATCATATAATTTTAGATCTAGCCATTAAATTTTATAATTAGGTAATACTTTGGTCAACGCTCTTGAATTATTGTTTCCTTCTGACATTGATCTCCTACAAAAAGAGAAATCATGTTAATAAGGACCAAAACCAACTATTATTTAGGGTTGTGAAAATAAGGATTTGTTGAATTATTTATTACAATAATATAAAAATAATTAGAACAATTGTAGAATTCGGTTGCAATTCGGTGATTATTGTAAAAGATTAGAATTCAAAATTAAAAATTCCAATAGAATTATAGAATGCAATTGTTTTAACCATCTATGAAGCAAAAGGATTAGAATTTGAAGATGTTATTCTATTTAACTTTTTCACTGATACCAATACTGAGGAAAATGAAGATGAAGATGACAATGTTATAAGCTTTTTTCGATATCTAGAAATAGTCAAAATCAGAATGGATAAAAATAAATGGGATGCTAAACGTATAATAAATTATTATATTTTTAGATAAAAGAATTAATTATTTAAGTTGCAAGAACATTAATTAATATGAGGTGGAGTTGACAATTCTATAAAAAGTAGAAAGTAAAAAGAAAAAATAGTAGGATGTCATAACCAAAAATTTAAACAAATTCAATATTTCTCTATAACATGAATTAAAATAGCTCTATGTGGCTGTAACCAGACCAAAAAGAAAATTAATGATTTTTGATTAATAGTTATAAAATAGAAAGTATATTCAGAAGATTTGGGAATAATTGGACATAGTAGAAATAATTTATGATACTCAATTATAGTAAATCTAAGAAAAATAATTTGTACTATCATTTTCAATAGATAATAAAGCCAATTGGAAGAAGTAAGGATATAGGATGCTAAGACAGAGTAATTATGATCAGGCTTATAAGTGTTTTATGTTTGCTACCGAAATAGAATTAGCAAAGAAATGCATGGCCTATCATTTAACAACCTAAGCAACTCTAAATGAAGATAACAAATAATAATTCATTCAAGCTGCATAGATCTTTGAAGAAACAAACCTAACAAAAAGGGCAGCCTCCTGTTACTTCTCAGCAAAGAATTATTCGAAGGCCTTTCAATTGTATCAATAATTAGATTGCAAAAATGAAATGGCTGAATCTGCTTACTTCATGAGATAATATAAGCTTGCAGGTCAACTATTTTCAGAATTAGGAGAAATAAGAAGAGCTATTGAATGCTTTAACAAATAAAAACTGTGGGATGATTCCTTGGATTAAGTTAATTTAAACAAAGAATAATTAACGACTGATGAAAAATTAATGTTCTTAAGTATTATAGTACCAAAATATTTGAAATCAATAATAGAAGATATCGAAAAACAAGAATTATTACAATAAGAATAAGAAAATCTTATTAAAAATTAATCTGATTCCTTTTAAGTTGAAAATTCACTTGTTAATGACAATTTGATTGAAGAAAAGAATAATAAAGAAGATGATTTGGAAATAATTAATCTTCATGATGATTCTTAATCATTTCAAGTTGTAATAGATTAATCACTTGATCACTTATCTTCTTATGACCCTGATGATGAATGGCTGAAAATTGACAAGGAATCTTTAATTAGATCTATTTCTTTTTCCAGTGTGGAATCAAAATTGTCGAATGTCTTATTGATGAATTAATTTACAACTATTCCACTTCTTAAATCTAGGTAAAACATTTTTATAAAAAACAATGTAATGCTACATATATCCAAAAGATTTTAATAGTTTTAAAATGAATTTAAACTACTTTTAGAAAATTAAAAAAGTTAAAGCTCATTGCTGTCATTTAAATAAACCAAAGAGCAGTAGTTAGATGATGCAAATGCTCTTTTATAAGACTTAGAGAACTTAGACATAAAATCTGTTTATTTTGTTTTGGATATCCTAGAGTATTGTAAAAATTACAAGCTTTGTATCTATGTCTGCAATCAGTTTAAATTATCTTAAAATTTGGGGAGATATTTAATTTCTTTGGCATCTCAATATACTCCAATTAATAAAAACAAATTTAAATTAGAAAATTGGATTATTGGTAACAATTTAAAAAGAAAACATTTATTAGATCAATCAATCTTAGCCTAAATGACATTCAATAATATTTTAGAATCTATTAATCCAATTTATTTAGAATATAAAAATGAAGATACACTCCATTATTAAAATAGTTTTGGAATAGAATGTTATAAATCACTGATAGGATTAGGGTATTGGAGAACTATAATTTATTAATTGAACTATGAAAATGCTGTTAAATTATGTTAATCTTTTAATAACTATTAAGATTGGGTAATACTCATTCAGAAAATCAAGGAACCTAGATTAAGCAAATAGTTAACAGATGAAGAGCAATTTTAATTAATAAAAAATAACTACTTCATTTAAGTAGAATAATATTTCCTATCAAATCAATCTAAAAATAATATCAATATAGATGAAATATTCGAAATTACTATTTAAAGTGCTTCCTAAAAAAAATTAAATAAAGAAAATATAATACAATTGCTCAATAATTCAAAACTACATCAAGTAAATCTAACAAATTAAGATAAGTTTAAATAAATAGAATCTATTATTTTGTGTATGATTTGTTGTATGGGAATATTAAAGTTGGAAACAGATTCCTATTCCTAAATTATTGATTTAGTTAATCTATAATAGTACTGTATTAATCAATTACTTTTTGCTCATCTCAAACCTAATATAATTGAAGCCCTTTAATTCGTATTCAAATTTTCTTTCCCAACTGGGGATATTATGATTGATTATTCTTAATTTTGCATTATTCACATTACATCTAAACTTGTAAAAAATCTGAATAATCAAATGATCTTTATAGATATAGCTTATGAATATATCTTAATACCATTTGAAGCCTTATGTTAACTATTTAAGCAATATTTTTGCAATTCCAAACCAATAGTTACATTATTTTCAACTATTAAAAATTAAGAGGATTAACAAGAAACAATAAATATCATTTATTGCTTAAAATAAAGACTGTAATATTAATTTCAGAATATACTTCCAAATATCACATAGTATTAGCAGGATAAAATAGATTATTACTCAAAAGTTGTGTATGGAATTCGTCAAAGGAACCCTATAAATGTAGTTGATGATCATGAAACTTCAATTTTACATTTTACTAAATCTGATGAATTAAGAACTGTTCATAAATGGTTATTATAAACAAATTTCAGAATAGATGGTATGGATAAATAAATTAGATATTATTTAAAAAATGAATGTATACTTTTATTTGAATAAGGATTAATAGATTTATAGTAAAAACACGGCTTTTTTGTTTTAGCCTTAAATTTATTACACTTATAAGATAATATGCCATTTGCCATATTTACATTATAAAGTATGAAAGAAAAGGAAGAATCGAACTATTATTTAAAATATCTAGAATTTTTAGAGTGCCAACATTATGATATCATCGAAGATTCATTCGATTGTTTTATTGCTTATAATTAATATTTTGAAAATTAAATATATTTAGATGAATGGATGAATCATTTAATCCGAATAGGCATAAAGTTGCTTTTGGCTCAAGAAGGTATAACCTAAATCTTTATTCCATAAAGGTTTTAAGACATCATATCTTCAAAATTGGAGTTTGATCAATCTCTATTCAAATTATCTAAAACTGATATCATCTTAGAATTTATAGAATCACTATAATAGTTTATAGAAACATGTAATTCAGAGCATTATGAATATCAATCTAATTTACTGTTGATTGTATTTACGTTGAATATATTGAATCTCACTTTTAAAATAAAAGAGAAATTGTGCTAAATCTTTTCGAATGATTCTCGATATCCATTTTATATCAAAATACATTAATGTCTCATTCAAAAGAATTCAAATTTGCAATAGGAATTAATTAACAAAATGGATGTATTATTTATCAAAGGATATTTTGAAGAAAAGATATTGACTGTATAAATTAAATAGAATGTCTAAAATCTAAACTCTTAAGAAGTATACTAGAATTGTTTAAGTAAATGGGAAGGTTACTTTTAAGAAGCTCAGACAATAAGAAATAATGGAATCAATTTATTAAAGAAATGGAGATAATTTAGATCTTAACAAAAAATTAGGTAACAAGTTCCAAATAAATTAAATCCTAAGGTTATAAAATTTTATCAATTCAATAAACTATAATTAAAAGATATTTAATAGTAATTTAATTGGATTTAACATGAGAGCCTAATTATCAAAATTTATAATTTATAAGAGTATTTATATTATTTATTTTAGAGAACTATTGAGGTTGAGATAAAACATTTTAAATGGGGCCGATCTTTAATTTATAAATTAGGTCTTAAATAATTCAGCAAGCATACTCAGAGAAATAAAGATTGGCAATCTATAATGCGAAGCCTTTGAAGAACTAAAATTATAATATTAAAGCTGGAGAGATCGTATAAATACATTTGAAAAAAATGAATAAGAGCTCTTAGAAAGAAACAGACAAATTCTCAAATTGAAATGGTAGAAAGTATAAGCAGGAGTGAAAGTATAAAGGAAATTTGATTCTCGTCTAATTTAAACTGTGGAGGAACATCCGGATGAAGAGGCTTAAGATTGAAATAATATTTAGATATAAAACTATTTTAAGAAATGATTTTAGTATAAGTAGAGAATTCATCTTATTATTTTTCTATCGTCTAGATATTAAGGACACTAATCCTTGGTGATTAATGCTATAACAATCAAATAACAATTATTCACATAAGTCTTCTTAAATAAACATACTTACTAATTAATCGAACATATTTTAGATTATAAAGAGAGTAGGAACTTGTCTTACGATTTAGCAATTTTATTCTCAACCAATAATAAAAAGAAGACTGCCAAAATAAAAAATATAAATATAGAGCCACAAAAGGAATCTAAAAATATAATTAATTATAATTTTGATTTTTTTACGATATTATATGGATCAGATTCTCAATTAACTGATAAAGAATTAGTTAGAGAATATATTTAATTATTTTGTTATCTAGATAAGAGTGGCATTTGATTTTGTTGTTAGAGTTTATATATTTTATTATGTATACTTTAGTCACAATTAAAAGGTTGTTTGATTCAATCAAACAGTTCAACCTCTGTAATATATGATTCAGGATCGAAATTTAAGAATAGGGTTTGAAGTTCTTTAAATTTCTCATCTCTTGTCATAGGGTTTTCAGGTCTTTCTTGATTTTCTTATTCAAATTTTGTAAGTCTATACGTGTTTATTCATTACAAAATACAAATATTTTCTTGGACTTCGGGAATGTGTTAATGAAGATGCTTGCTGTTAAGTACTTTCTTCAAGGATGCTAGAATTTGAACTTTACCAACTGGAACTAGAGGCACTCAATGATAGCTTCAATGGAATTGGTGTATATATGATGGAGGAGTTGTATGATTAAGTATGTTAATTAGACATATAATAATTAATTTATATGAATGTAAACGAATATTAAATTTCTTTTATTCCTTAATCAATTAATCTTCTCCCACCTCTGACTACTTGGTTCCATATAGAATTCAAATGCTAGAGAATGCAAATATTGACCTTATAATTACATTATATATCTGTACATATCTGATAATGAAAGTTACGTCTTTCTCGATGATATGTAACTTGAAAAAGGAAATTCTTACATTTTTGTTATTGAAAGAGTAGGAAATACGAAATAAATAAAAATACCTCTAATTGGATAAGATATTTATGGATGAAGTTTGTAGAATCTGCATTTATATTATTAAAATATTATAAAAATCTTGAATTTAAAAAGTAAAATTGAGAAGTAACTAAAGTAATTGAATATGATTTTAATTGCATATAGTTGTATAAGGTTCTTTCTGATAAACAAAACATTAAAATAAAGAAATTGAATTCAAACTATTTTTCATTGATATGGTTTAGTCTATTTAAGAATTGATTTAAGGATTATTTCTTTTTGGTAATCCTCTATTTTTTTATTGCTGCTAGATTTGATGTGAAATTTTTCCTATTCTTGAGTATTTGTACATTAAGAAATTGTGTCCTTGATTGATAGTACTTCCTCATCAGGATTAAATACACAGACGGTGACAAAATTATCAAATGCTATTCCATAACCAGTGCCTTTGAAAATCTGTCTGCCTTTGACATCAAATCTAGGTTGATTTTATTTCATGACTTTGATTATTTTTTGTTTAATTAAAATAGGAGAGGGTTCATCAGGGAAATCTTCGTCATCATCTTGTTATCTAACTTAATTCTATTAGAGCAAGACTTTTGGACCAATATTCATACTTTTCATTTTATAAGGCTATGCTTAATTAGCAATTATTATTATAATAAACGATTTATTTAGAAATTTGAAATGACCATAAAATTCAATAAAATCTATATGTAGTATTAAAATAACATTCGAGTAATCATGGTTCATTAAATGTGATCCTCTTGGCTCTTTTATATTAAAGTTATTTGACAATTTTAAGAGTGAAGGATTCCAATTGTGATTAATTATACTCTTGTCCAAGTTTATACTCCTTTATATCATATTCGATTAAATAACATAAATGATAAAATTTACTGATTATTATTAATAAGACTAATAATTCAATAATTATTAGTATTATTAATAAAATTTGATTCATGTGATCCAATTCAAATAATACGAAGATCAAAATTTCTAGTGTAATCAAAGAGCATAGTAGAGAAAAGGCCATTAAAAACGCGAATTTTTCTTTTGCGCTTAAATTTGAGATGCTCATTCTTGATAGTTTATAAATATTATACTTTTCATTGATTTCAATCGGAAAATAGTCATTACAAATTTAACATCGAAACAAATTGAGTCCTAATTTAGGATAAAGATTAGCATAATCTAAGATACAAATTATATGGTAATATGTATCTATGCAATTGCATAATTTGATTGCTAAACTCCCTTTTTCACCTTTACATTTTATGCATTCATTATTATTTGTATATATGGCATTTTTTGATTTACTGACTCTAGCAAGATCACCTTCAAGAAAAGTTTTTGGTTTCAAGGTTCTCACTTTATATTTGTGCAATTCAAAAGATTCTACCTTTGGACTCAAAAATGGTGACTCATTGTAGTCAAAACAAGTTTAGAATTGTTATCTATTCTTAGGCGTTGATTTTGGACTCATTTAATATAATGACTGCATAAATTAAATTTTATTAAAAAATATCACATTAATCCTAAAGTTGAGAGTCTGATAAAATAATTAATTTCAAACTTAAGAGGAAAAGCCTTTCTTAGGAGGTTCTGAAATTTCTGTTCATTTATTACTCTTCATTACACTATTTCTAGTTAAGTAATCAAAATAGCTGTTTTTTATTAAAAATATATCAATTAATTAATTAAATATTATATTCATTATTATTTTAACAATTCTAGTTTTTTTTAGGCTGCTAAGACTTTCAATTCTAATTGATTCAATTATTCTTTTAATTATTGATTTTCCTCTTTCAAATTGCAATATAAATTTGTAAAATGTTCATCAATATTAACAATTTTTTATCTTTATGTCTTAACAGTCTAATTTTCTGCTTGGTACCTAGGTGTGTCAAATGGATTTGAATTCAATTTTCTTTAAAAATTTTATTAAATCTTAAATGCTAGATGAACAATTTACTATTATTGGTTGAGATGAGAATTTATTACTGAGTAATAGCTTTTAAGATGGTTAATAGTACATAAATTAATTAAATTAATATTAAAAATAATTCAACATCAATAATAAAATAAGAAAAAAACATAACATAATAATAAATTCTGCTGATCTTAATTTAATTTTGTGTTTGAGTCTAAGAAAGAATTAATAATTTCATGAATTTATTAATATATTGACGGAATTCTATAGTAATTTATAGAACATTAAATCATTTAGAAAATTTTTATTACAAAACAAGAATAATATTAGAATAAATTAAGGGCTTAAATAACTTCTAATATTGAATAAATGTTATGCTTTTAAAGCATTTGATAAAATAAATAAATATAAAAGCATTTACAAAATTTCATTGATTTCTTGTTTTGAAGGACAGTGAAGTAAAACTTAATTAGGAATTAATTAATTTTTATTATTTAAACATATGAATAATTATTATTGAGAATTCATTCTTTTGTTATAAAATAGTCTTTCTAATAATCTAATTAATTCTAAGAATTTAAGAATGCCTTTGATTATTTATAATATAAAAATTACTTTTAGTTAACCAATCGATCTATTCTTATAACAAATGTTGAATTTATTATTGATTAAAGTATTTCAAGCTTCATAGAATCTATGCTTAAGTTGTAATGATAAAATATGTTTAATTAATGAGTTTGAGTAATTCTAATCACTTTTTAGCAAAGGATACATTATCTATATATATTATGATCATAATATTTATTTTCTTTCAAAGCCGAAACGGTTTTATATCAATGAATAATAAAATTCTATTTTTTAGTATTGAATTGATATTTCTCTTCTTTTCTTTTAATGAAAGAATAAAAGTTTATCACTTTTTTTTTCTAATTCTTATCAAAGATTTCATTGTTGGAAAGAGTATGAATTAATTGTGACCATAATTCCATATAGGATAATTTTGAAATATTATTAACATGATTAAATCGATTCTTCTATACTATTTCAAGCCATTTTTTGATATAATTGTAATTTCTAAATGGGTATAACCTTTAGTGATATTAAATCTCTAAATTAATAATTGTATGAAATCAGAAAATGAATATGTTCAACTAAAATGAATTTTATCCTTAATTGACACACTTAATTAAATAGAATTAAATTTATCCTGTTTTGGAAGATATAATAAGAGATCAGCACTTAAAGTTTATTTATGAAAAGATTTTCAATTTGAGCAAAAACTCTCAATTGAAAAAGAAAGGATCTATTGTTTTTAACTTCATTGTAATTTTTGATTATAATATTATTATATTTATTTATAATTTTATACAAAATTTAATTCATAGTTAATTTTCTATTATAGTGATAGCAATGTAATCTATTAAGAAATTAAAAATGTAAATAGATTTAAGTAAACATAAAATGTTTATCATAATGATGCAAATGCTTGTAAATGTTATGTTGAATATTTTAGGGAATATAATGGTGGTTAAAATACCAGAATATATTTATATATATATTAATTTTATTATAATTTTACGATTATATGATTCTGGGAACCGTAACTAAGATACACAAAGTAAATTCTACAGTTTTAGGTCAAGATAGAATGATAAGGTAATGAAAATTTAACAATTAGGACTTATACTTTTCTGTTACGGTTCTTCAAATTGCATTTGTTAAGGAAAATGAAAAGTGGTGAATGCCTTTAGATGTGGTAAAACAAAGTTGATATTATATGTTCACACTTTTCTATGACTAGAAGAGTATTGCAAATCAATATTTTAAGATATTACGATGGTCACGAACAGCATTCTATATTCAGATTCTAATGAATAAACTCAAATAGTAATCGAGCAAAAATGAATTAAAATATTACAGAAATCTAAATGATGTTTTATTTTATGCTTACCTAATACTTACGGATGTGAATGATCTAATCTTTTGGATGTGTTAAATTGGATTGTGTAGAAATGTCAAATTATTGTTAATAACCAAAGAAATCAGTCCAAAATTTTACTTTGCTGAATGTATAGGGTGGTTTATAACTCTGTGTCTAGAATATAGAGTTAATCAATAAGAAATTTATAAATCATAAGTGCAAAACGATCCCAAGAATAAAATTAAAACTCGATAGATTCAGATCTTATAGAATTTAGTAAAATACAGTCTAGATATACCAGTGTCTTATTCTTATGTGAACACAAAAGCAATTTCATAAGAGAAAGCAGTTATTCTAGGAACTATTTCAAGTTTCATAAGTTTATATCAAACTTTTTAATAACATTCTGGTGGCTTTTAGTGATTAAAAATTGTAACATATTATTTTATATAAATTATTATTATATATTAATATGCATGACTACTTATTGTTATAATTCTCAATTTGCATTATTTACTTACTTATTGAAAATGTAATCAAATATTATAATACTTGGTTTAAAATTGCTAAAAAAACTACTAAAAATGTAAATGATCAAAATAAGAACATAAGACAAATAGTCAATAATTACTAGATAATGAATTAATTATTAAATATCATCAATTTTTATTTGAGTCATATAATTACATTGATTAATGGTTTAGTTTCTTTTTCTATCTACTATCCCTTTTGTTATAAAAACACATTTGTAAACAATTATTGCAGGATACAGTGGACTTATCCTCAGCCTTCTTCATTGATTATGAATACCTATTGATTAGAAACTATTAATATTACTTTTCATAAGTGGTTTATCCTGACAACAAATTCATTGTTTAAATGTATAAAAGAAGCCAAAGGGGAAAGAGAAATAAAAGCATAATAATAATGGAAAATATGGAGAGAACAAAAAGTATAATATATGAGTCTGTTACGCTTCCATCAATCTAAATCTCTTTGATGACAAAGTAGAACTGAAATGTCAAAGTAACGGTGATATCCAAACAAAGGAGTAATACAAATATGTAAAACTAAAAATGATTGTTTTATCCTATCTTATATATAAATTAATAATTACACAATTATCAACCCAAGGGCAATGATGATCATATACTAATACACAAGATTAACAAATATCACAATGTTTAGATCTTTGATCTTTGACACATACACATTCAGGACATATATCTTTGGCATCTGATATTTTTAAAATTTCAAATAGATTTTTCAGTTGTTCTTATTCTGATTTTTCTTAATTCACGATTTATTTGCCAGGATTACTGAGCCAAATTAAAATTAATAAAAGCCAGATTATCAGTTGTGGGACTCCATAGTAAATGATGTATAGATAAGATTCTTCAGCATAAATATTTGAATATATAATAATCGCTTGACAATAAATTAGCATAGCAACAAATTTGATCATTTTACCTTTGCTTCTGTCTACTTTCTAGAATCCTTAGCTGATACTAAAGTAGGTAATAAAGAAGTTTTATGACTCCGTAAGCATTTTATAAATGGATTAAAAGGAGTTGGATTTAGCAATATCGGCAGCAGTTTATCCTTCATTATTTTTAATGTTTCGATTAGCTCCATGCAGCAATAGTTTCTTAACTATTCTGCTATTGCCACTCATAGTAGCTAAATGAAGTGCTGTTAAACCTTCTAAATCTTTAATATCTAGAAATTGATCTGTAAAGGACAATAAATAATTGACTGCCAATTCACACCCATAATAAGATGCCCAATGTAATGCAGTTCCTCCTTTAGAATCTTTTTAAGCGAAGTCGAAACCAATTTTCTTAAAGTAGACAACTGATTTTGGTTAATCTCCTTGTGCTGCCAAATGCAATCCATTCATTCCTTATGCGTTTAGAATATAGAGATTGGCTCCGCATTTTTCAAACTCATGAATCATGTCCAGATTTCCTCTATAGGCTGCAAAGTGAAATGCCACAAAACCATCTTCTGTTTATTAATTAACCCATTCCGTAAGAATTGACATACATTTATGTTTATGCTGCTTTTTGACATGATTAATCAACATCCTAGATGCAGATGATATTACATAAATACTTAACAGTGTCTAAGTTGTTGTTATAGGCTGCTAAATGAAGGAGAGTGTATTTCTTATGATCAATGATTGATTGGATGTTGATGTTCTCTACCTCATCCAATACGTTCTATATTTCCACTTAATCATTATTCTATATGATTTTGATGAGATGTGATTCTACTCCCTTTGATTCAATCAATCCATACGTGTGTGATTTGGCCTTATGTTTATCAACAATAATTTCAGGTTAAATCTTGGCTGGTGGAGGAGACAGCAGTTTTTTAATATCTGAATAAGATACAGCAATCAAACGAGGCTGATCTTCATCAAACTCTTCATTTAAGACTGAAATGTTTGGAAACATAAAAAATATATATTTATTTTAATGTAATATATGTCGCTTCAGATTTTTTCTATGGGTTCAATTCCAACCAAATGGAAGGATTGCAACAACACCATTTTCACTGCTTCGCACAATAACAACCTTGTTTGAGTGTGCTCATCATTCAAAATACGATACTAAATTTAAACATAAATATTACTTAATTATAAGCTTCTGCTATCTTCACACAAATGTCATAAATATAATCACATAACCAATTAATTGCTAATTAATCAGTCACTGATTATAGAACATCAACAAATCGTAATAATTAAGCAGCTAAATGTCGTTCATGTTGATGTGTTATTTTGAATTTATGTTCTCCTTTGAAAACTTCAAAGTCTTGAATACCACTCTTTCTTAAGATAGATAGCATTCGAACATATGAATACATCAAGTAAACTGCAGTATTACCCTTTGGATCAAGCATCTTATCATAATCGAAATTGTAATCAGATATACGATTCTACTTTAAATCATAGTATTTAATAGCAGCTATTCCCATTCTCTCTGCAGCAGTCTCGAATTCTTCTGGAGATAGGGCTGTTCCTGTTGAGAACTCTTTTCCTTACTAATTTTCTTAAACTCTCAATTGGATTTGCTTTAAAGCCCTCTCTTTGGCTTCATCCAATAAATCAATCAACTTGACTGTATCACCTGACCTTGTCTTAAACTTCTTGCCATCAGGACCCAATACTAAACCAAATCCCATATGTTCCATTGATGTATTTGGTGGTTGATGCCATCCCATCAACTTGGCACCTTCAAAAACTAGTTTAAAGTGATTCCATTATCCTACATCAGTTAGATAAAGTAATCTGTCACACTTCCATTCTAAAATACGAGTTTTAGCTGCAGCCATGTCAGTTGTATCATAATTATAACCACCATCCTTCTTCACAATCATGAGAGGCACCTTCTCACCTTTCACCCTGATGATCTTGGCTCCCTAATCCAATTCAACTATTCCTTTGGCTTCACATTCCTTCACTATTTCATTTAAAATGGGATTGTAATAACTCTCTCCATATTCTGTTATCTTGACATTCAACCTTTGATAAATCTTATTGTATTCCTATCGACTTAAATCACATATCATTTTCCATGCATCTATGCATACTGGATCCAAAGCTTGCAATTTTACAACGAATTGTTAGGATTTCAATTTGAATTCCTCATTTGAGTCGAACTTCTTCTTTGCTTCCTTGTATAAATCTTCTAATTCCTTCAAAGCTGGTTTGTTAGTCTAGTAATCAGGGTATTCTTCTAATAGATGATTAATCAACATTCCAAATTAGGTTCCCCAATCACCAACGTGATTAACTCGGACTACCTCTTATCCTTAGAATTCCAAAATTCGGCATAAGGATTCTCCTAAGATTGTTGATCGTAAATGACCAACATGCATTTCCTTTGCAATGTTAGGACTTGAGTAATCTACAACTACTTTCTAATTTATTGTAAAATAGGACTCATACTTATTTCTTCTCTAATGGGAATTTTAATCCATTTGCCAAGATTGAGTTTATTTCATCCTCTATGAATTAATTATTTAATTGAATTGTGAGGAATCCTTTCTCAATGGCCTCAACCTTTTAAATAACATTGTCTTAACCTTCTGTAGCTGCTATTTTCTATGCCACTTCAACTTCTGATTTCAAATCTATATTCCTTTAAAACAGACATCATTACCTCCAAATAAATTTTACTTTTTAAATTGATTGTAGATTCTTATCACTGTGGGTGTCTTGTATTCAAAATTAAGATTGTTTGATATTGATTCCAATTAAATCTCAAAACTATTCTGTGGGAGATTTGGAAATGCTGTCAAAACCCTTGTTTTCATTGCTGATTTAATCAGCTTCTGTACACTTCGCATTGTGTTTACACCAATCTAATCCATAAACTAATTAAATTAAAATATAATTTAACTCTTCAATAATAATTCTTGTTTTAATATACATAATTCATTTATATACTAATTAATACAATTGTTAATTCTTTCATAAAATATAGTAAATTGATATATCAATTTATACAATATAGAATTAATTCAAAATTCATTGCTAACTTAAACACTAGTCTTTGATAACTTTAATAATTACATTTGAATTAAGAATAATTTCTATTTTGGTTCTTTTTTTCAATATTATTTCATTATATTTATCTATTTAAAATACTTCAATCTAGTTTTTCATTGTTTGATAATATAAATTCTATCATCACTTTTCTGATCATAATACTTTAATCATTCATCAATTATTAAAAATTGTTGACAATAATAATTGATGTTAAAAATATTGATGAATATGAGTTTATATTGTAAATTTAAATACTTTGTTCCGAAAGAAGGTGCAGCATTTGGAATAGCAAAATAATTGGAATTATTTAGTTTCTATGTTCTTCAACACTCCTGTGATGAATTTAATTTTTATAATTTTTAGCATAACGAAAACGTATTAGGATAAATGGGTTGAGCATTTAAAATGGGATTAGTAATTGATTAGAAGGAAGATTATATCGCTGTATTAACTAGATTGGATTGATAGGATAATGTTTATATTCAATGATTAGAAGGGAAGAATAATGAAAAATGTTCAAATGAAAAAATGAAAGATTATTAAGTGAATTTAGATTTATCTAAGATTTCTATATGAATTTATATATTATTAAGTTGTAATGCTGGTTTATTTTTTGGATTCAAGAGGATTCAGAGATTTAATTTTTTACTGTAAGTTTATGCAAAACACATCATCCCAAAGCATGTGAAATATGATTGAATAATAAATTTAAGGTTTGATGTTGAAGGAGCCACTAAAACTCAACCTGAGATTAGAAAGTGAAATTAGTTAATTGATAGCACTTGCGAAGTTCATTTAAAATTGATTGCTTGATTTGATTTTGTTAATACCATATTGAATGATCTGACTAATGCTTAAGGATATGTACTGAATAACTTATGAGTTATCTCAGTTTGTAACAAATATTATATAAATAACAATTTTTATTTATAAAGAAATGTGATAGGGAACTTCATTGTTTAACTTTTTTTGATGGTTGTTTTTCTTCATCTGAATTATTTGCTTCTTCTTCGTGTTAAGTTAATTTGACTTTGGTTTTTTCAAATCGCTTTTTATATGGTTCTCTTTGATCATCTGGCAAGAATTTCCATTTCTGTAGGACTAAATCATCAATATCACTTTGGGATAATGTTTTATCTTTCTTTAGCTTTTTGGAATACCTCTCCTTGAAGATTTGGAAAGCATTTTAATAAGTTTTAGATTTTTCATTCATTCTTAAAGTAATTTAATTCTGATTAAATGATAAATAATATAGTTATTTGATTTCAATATCGATTGGTTATTTAGTGTGTTTTCATTAATAATAATCGCGATTGGAAGAGTGATTGATAAAATAATAGTTGTAAAAGCTGAGTATTTCAGAATTAGAAAATTTGCTTAAAATAATTTATTTTAAATCTTTAAATTGATGAGCACAGGACTTACTAAACCAAAAAAGCTGAAACTCACAGATTATGAAGTGTTTTAGACCTTGGGTACTGGTATCGTATTTGTGTAATGCTGAACTTTAGGCTCTTTCGGTAGAGTGAAACTGGCAAGGAATAAACAAACAAATAAATATGTGGCTTTGAAAAGCTTAAAGAAGGCTGAGATCATTAGACTTAAGCAAGTTGATCACGTGATTAATGAAAACACCATATTGGGAAATTTGCAACATCCATTCATTGTAATAATTATCTTCATCACCCTAGGTGACCTTTGAAGGTTTCTGCTAGGACCCAAGATATCTCTATTTGGTCTTAGAATTTGTTTCTGGCGGAGAATTGTTTACCTATTTAAGAAGCATCGGAAGACTCGATACACAACATGCTGCGTATTGCAATGATTCGAGTTTATTATAGGTTTTATGGTGCTCAAGTGGCCTCTATTTTTGAGTATCTCCATTCCAAGAACATCATCTATAGAGATCTCAAGCCAGAAAACTTATTGATTGCAGATGATGGATATCTCAAGTTAACAGATTTCGGTTTTGCAAAAGTGGTCGAGGGAAGAACCTATACTTTGTGTGGCACTCCCGAATATTTGGCTCCTGAGATCTTATTAAATAAAGGACATGGCAAAGCTGTTGACTGGTGGACTTTGGGAATTTTAATTTATGAGATGAATGCAGGAATCGACCCTTTCTCTGATGAAGATCCCATGGCCATTTATCAAAAAATATTGAAGGGCAAAGTCAAATTCCCCAAGAGCTTCGACAAGTACGAATTTCTTTTACTATCCAAGAAACGCTAAATCTTTGGTAAAGCACTTGCTTGTTGCCGATCTTTCGAAACGATATGGAAATTTAAAAAATGGTAATATTTATTCATTCTATCAATAACAGGAGCTGCTGACATCAAAAATCACAGATGGTTCGGAAACTTAGATTGGAATTTACTCACTCAAAAGAAGTTGCCTGTTCCTTACAAGCCAGTAGTCAAGTATCACTTCAATATCATACTCTAATAGAGCACCAAATGACACTTCTAATTTTTCATCATATCCAGAATCCGACACACAAAGTCCAGCTCTTAAACCAGCCGACGATCCCTTCTTAGAATGGTGATTAAATAGAGAAATATATATTATATAGATTATCATATATTTTAACTTCCTTTTAAAATGCATTTCTATCACCCCTACCTAATTCAGACAAGTAGTTACCTAATGATTAATCATTAACTATCAAAATATACAATATTACGCAATTCATTTTAATAATTGTATTACTGGATTTATCATCTACATCTATTATTTGTATCTTAATATATAGATGTATATAATGTGAACAATCAGGACGTAATAAAAATGTGAAATCAAAGGCCAAATTGCAAGACAACACGATTATTTTTGCAATACCTACTCTTGATACTATATTTATATCAATAATGGTCAGAATTGATTAATTATTTAAATAAAATTTTATTTATTTATAAAGTGATGAATAGTCTTAAATAGTCATGTTTGATTAAAAAAAAATTAATTAAAGTCATAATAACTTTTATTTTTTTATATAAATTGGTATTCAATTTTATATATTCAGGGTGGTCTAGGCACTCTAAAATATTATAATCTGACTCAGGAGAGTCAATTTGTCATTTGAAACCAAAAATTTGATCTTTGAAAATTTAGTCTAAATTGGATCTAAGAGGATGAATAACGTAATTGGAGGGGAAATACATAGGATACTAAAAGAATGGATTAATGAGATTATTAATTGAATTATTTAAAAAAATATTTAAAAATATTTAAATTTAACTATTTTTATTTAAGAATAGTCATTAAACTTTGAATACGACTTTATAAGAAAATTTTACCACAAAATAAAAAGCAAAGAATAATTTCTTATAAATGCCAAAGGATAAACTTCACGTAAATCTCGTCGTTATTGGACACGTCGATTCAGGAAAATCAACCACCACCGGTCACTTGATCTACAAGCTCGGAGGTATCGACGAAAGAACCATCAAGAAGTTCGAAGATGAAGCCAACAAATTAGGTAAGGGATCCTTCAAATATGCTTGGGTGTTGGATAACCTCAAGGCTGAAAGAGAAAGAGGTATCACCATCGATATTTCCCTCTGGAAATTCGAAACCAACAAGTATTACTACACCGTCATTGATGCCCCAGGACACAGAGATTTCATCAAGAATATGATTACAGGAACCTCATAAGCCGATGTCGCTTTGTTGATGATTGCATCACCTGCAGGAGAATTCGAAGCTGGTATTTCAAAGGAAGGATAAACCAGAGAGCACGTTCTTTTGGCTTACACTTTGGGAGTCAAATAAATGATCTGTGCCACCAACAAGATGGACGAGAAGACCGTCAACTATGCTCAAGGCAGATATGACGAAATCGTCAAGGAAATGAGAGACTACTTGAAGAAGGTCGGATATAACCCAGACAACGTTCCCTTCATCCCAATCTCCGGATGGGTTGGAGACAACATGTTGGAAAAATCAGCCAACTTCGGATGGTACAAGGGACCAACACTCCTTGAAGCTTTGGATGCAGTCACCCCACCAAAGAGACCAACTGAAAAACCACTCAGATTACCATTACAAGACGTCTACAAGATCGGAGGTATTGGTACAGTCCCAGTCGGAAGAGTTGAAACTGGTGTCTTGAAACCAGGTATGGTCGTCTAATTCGCCCCATCAGCCATCACAACTGAAGTCAAGTCAGTTGAAATGCATCATGAAGCCCTCCCAGAAGCCGTCCCAGGAGATAACGTAGGATTCAACGTCAAGAACATTGCCGTCAAAGATTTGAAGAGAGGATTCGTCTGCTCAGACTCAAAGAGTGACCCAGCAAGAGAATGCCAATCATTCAACGCTTAAGTCATCATCATCAACCATCCAGGATAAATCCAAAACGGATATTGCCCAGTATTGGATTGCCACACAGCCCACATTGCTTGCAAATTCTAAGAAATTCTTTCAAAGAATGACAGAAGAACAGGCAAAGTCATTGAAGAAGAACCAAAATTCGTCAAATCAGGAGATGCTGCTATGGTCAAATTAATCCCAACCAAACCAATGTGCGTTGAAATCTTCTCTGAATATCCCCCACTCGGTAGATTCGCCGTCAGAGATATGAAATAAACCGTTGCCGTCGGTGTCATCAAGGTTGTTGAAAAGAAGGAATTAAAGAAGAAATGATTTAATAAGTTCATGTACATTTAGTAGGAAATTTAAACATATAAAAATTATATTTTTTTGGTTTATTTTTTATCATCCTTCTATCATATTATAATTGAAGAATGTTTAAAAATAAATTGGGTTTAAGTTTTATATTAAACATATGTTTGTCTTTAAATTATTTTATATTTTTATGGATTTATGGTAATTTAAGATATCATGTTTACTAATCGCAATGTTATGAAAAGTATTTAAAATATCTATCCTTTTGTGATCCTCTATTGATTGCAATATACTTCCTTAGATATTGTGCTAATTCAGTTATTAGATTATTTAATATTATCATTCTCTCATATTAAAATAATTTGTAAAGGGAAATTAATCAAGTAAATAAGCATTTTCTTAGTTATTTTCTATACAATATGGCTGTTCCTACAATTTATAATTTAGAAATATATTTTATTTTTATTCATTCTTATTAATGTGAAAAGTAGCTTAGTTAGTGTTTTAACAAGAATCCTAATCAAAGATGAGATATATATATAGTTTCAATATTAATAGGTATTACAAAATTTTATCAAGAGACTACAGTGTTGTAATTGATTAAAATCAAATAGCCAAGAGGTTTCTTATATCAAGGACCAAAGAGAATGCAATTAGTCTTGTGAGGCTTATTTCTAGGAATTTTCCAATAAATTCACAACGGAGTTTTTGGGATAGATTTACTATATCACATAGTTTCCAATTTTAATTAATATTAAATGAAGATTAAATTGGGTATAGTTCAATTTGAATAGTTGATGACAAGGTATCTGATTTCTAGATCTAGCGTTTATTCGATGTAGAATAAGAAACTTAAGGTTGTTGCTCTATGCGGAATCAACATAATCTGAAAGAGTTTCAACTTATGTTTGGTCGAAGTTTTTAAAAAAAGTTTTTGTTTTTCAATCTGAATGGAATAAATTTGGGAGGGGAAGTTACTTGGAATGAAAAGTTGTAAAATGAATGAAAAATTACTTTTAGCAGGTAGATGTTCAAAATTAATTGGCAATAAGGAATAAAATACTTCTGGCTTTAATAATAAGAGTTTATGAAATATAAAATTATAATAATTTAAATTTTCAGAAAATATCCTATTCTTAAAAATATATTAAGATAGTAGATTACATGTTCAATAATATGACAAATTAATCCTTGTGATTTAATTTTTTATGTATTTATAGCCTTCTCAACTCATAAACAATATTAATTAATAATCTAATAATCCAAACAAATTAATAATGGGAACTTGTGCCAGTAGAAAAAATCCAGGAATGCTACAAAGAAGTGTTGCTTAAAAACATATTGAGATTGATTTCGAAAAGCTGTTGAAATATAACAAAGAGAAGGAAGCCAAGGAAGGAAAAGAACATCTTCAGCAACAACAATCGTTTTGCCAAATATTCCTTCAAGAGAACAAGCAATCTGCCCCATATACTTTAACCCAAAATTTGGGACCCTCCACTTAGTTAGAATACAAAAGATAGTGAGAAGTACACCAATGTCATTGATCCTTATATACATATTACTCTGAAATAACATATTTTATAAGTCTTTTTTGTTCTAAATTCTTTAGTTGAAAATTGACAGCATTTTGTAGGGAATTGAAAGAATTTCGCTTAAGAAGTATTATTTGTTAAAGAAATTAAATGGCACTTATAAAACTATACTCCTTATCCTCTCCAGGTTAGTTAGTTTAAGAGTTTATATATTTTTGAAATATTATGTCATCAAAGTACAATAAATCATAAGGGTTGAAAATCCTTTATGAAAATAAATTAAAAGTGCTTAATAAGGACTGCTTGCCTCATCAGAACCCAAATATTTGGGTTATACCAATATATTTGACGTCGAAATTTGTTTAAGTTACTGGGTAATTTTGCTATTCATAATAAATAGTATAAACATTAGAATTATTTAAATTTGAGAGAGTTGAAGCATTCTTAAAGAAAGCTCTTATAACTATAACGAATTTAGGAGAAAGAATATAAAAAGAAATGATTTTACTAACTGTCTGACCCATCGGTTCAATATTAGAGTATATTGTTAAATTTTATTGGATGATCAATAATAATTATTAAATAACTTGAATATCTAATTAAATAATATGAAAAGTTGAGTTAAAATACATTTACAAACCTTTTTAAATTAATATTAATTTTCGTGCCTTTAACTTAAAATAAATTTGGAAATACATAATTAATATAATGGAATTTAATAATACTAGTTTGAATGCCAAAATTCCTACTTTAAGATGTAAATATGAATCATTTTATTCATATTAGAGGCTGAAAGCTCTTTTTAACGATACAGAAATCCATTGAATGAATTTTAACACAAGAGTGAATCAAATTCTTTTGAGCATAAATAAGGTGATATGCAATTTCCGATTCAACAATACACATTCTTTCAGTCAACTCCCATTTTTCCAATATTAGGTATTGAATATTGAAATTATGAAGGCGAACCAAAAAATGAGTTTATAGAAACAGCAAATCAATTTATTAAGAATGGCATGTAAAATAGCTTGGCAAGCATGATTTAAAAGTAGAGTATCGTTTAAAATGAATTCAAATTAAATTAAACTACATATGGATGCAAAAAAATGTGTGAAATCGATTGCATGTTGGTAGAAAGATATTTTAATCAAAAATATTGGGTAATTGTTAATGTTATACACAGATATTCTAAAATTCAAATTAGAAGTACAAGCTAGATTAAACAAAAACCAATAATACAGATTGGCTCAAAGCCAGAATGCAGCATAGATATAAATCTTAAATCTATGATGCATTCTCTGAAATGATAGATTTAATACTGAAGGAAGGAGAAATCCAAATGAATTCTAGAACTCAGTTAATTAAAATACAGAATCTCAAAGGATTCTAGAATCTAGAGAGACAAATCTAGAAAGCAGTTAAGGCAGAGAGAAAGTTTGATGCTTTTCTATTCGAAATTTAAAAGGTCTTAGCAGATTTTATATTTTCAACTATAAATTGATTCATATAACATATATATATTTAACTTAATCATTATAGATAATAAAAATCCACAATATAGTCAGGTCCTAGCTAAGCATTTTTAAGTAAATCTAATCGTTTATCTTCATCTGTAAAATTGCCTATAAGTGTGATAATTTGATACTAACCTGGTAAGAAGGAACAACACTTCTCTGCTTCTGGTATAAATCCCATCAGTTGATAGATGTAGGCAATGAGTTCTGAACAAAAAAAGTTTTTTCTTGTGCTCTTCTTAAAGAATTTCATCATACTCAAAGAGTAACCTTTCCCAATTTGGGCTTCCGCATAGGCATGCATCAGGATACGGTCATTCTCAGACACGTTCAGCAAAGGCTTGTAAAGAATCCTTTAATTTGAAAGAAATATTACTTTTCATAATTTCTGTAAGATTTGGCTTTGACAAAGCGTTCTATAGGATATCACTAAAAAGAATACTATAACTAAAGGAGATGACTCCATATTGATTGCTAGACTCAAAGAGCATTGGATCTTCCCAAGAGTTCTTAAGAAACATGACCATGTGATCATAATCACTTCTAGTGATAGATCTTTACAAATTTTAAAGTGTTCCTTTCGTTCGAAATATCAATAAATCTCCTGTTTAAGCTTAATCTAAAATTTGAGGGTCCAAAATTCTTTCATGTCTCCAAAATCTATGATATTTAGACATGCTTGCAATATTATTTTAACACCCACATGATTACTAGATGTATTATTGAATTAATTGAACCCACTTTTTTGACTAGTCTCTGGTTCTAGTGGGAACTACAAATTCGAATTTCTTCTCACAACCTTCTGGCTGTAATCTTTTATATTTAAATATATACATGAAACTCAGAATGTATTGGTCATCCTTTGATTTCACAAAAGAAAAGATGTATTTTTAATAATCAAAGTCCAAAATTCCTAAAGGTTTATCTTTATTTTTGATGTTGTAATAGGTAAATCTTTTTGGTTGTAAAGTGCAATAATATGTCTTTAAAATAGTTAATAAGCTTTACAGAATTCGTTTCCAAAAAATGAGGACTAACTTTGTAAAATTCACCCTCTAAAACTGGTTATGGTCGTTACTCATTTTATTTATGTATTTAGTGAGCAATTAAATTTAAATGGCGTTCTTATCGGTACATATCCGAAACTTGATTGTTTTATTCTGGTATTTCCTCTTAAAATTAATCATCATTTAGATTTTGAACTTAAAAAACTTAAAGTAATAAATACTGTCAAGAACAGATTAAAATTCTAGATTGTCCATGATGTTATTAGGCTAATCATCTTCTTGATTGCTTTAATTTTGCTGCATATTTTAGAATAATAATTATTAAATGTTATAATATGAATAAGGCAGTGAGAATTGTAGTAATCTAATTATATTAATAAAAATTGATAATCTCTAACAATATAACAAACAAGAAATCGAATTTTAAATAATCAATATTAACTCCTTCAAAATCTTTAGCAGAATTAAACAAATTTGTATGTAAATTATCTTATTTATAATCAATTCTATCAGATCTAAGGTACATGGCTTCTTAAACAAATGAATATATTATCAAATCACCTTGTTTAGAAAGTTTTTCAAATTGCGGTATGCTTTTGAAGGAAATAAGGGTTGCAAAATTGTTATCATATCTCCAAAAAGAAGCTTATTAAAGTATCAATTTCATATAATATTTAGATTTTGTAGAAAACTAATCTTGATAATACAGGATTGAGTTTTAAAATTTATATGCACATTATTCATAATCAAAGGAGATAAAATGTTAAAAGCTGTATGAATAAACAAACAACTTAATTGTAATCTCAAAATTGATGGAACATTGTATAAACTGATGAAATTAACACACTAAATAATACAAATGTAATATTATCAATCGAAGAAGTTGTAGGAATTTAGAAATAGATAGAATAATGGAGAATGTAAGATATTGTATAGATTGAAATAGTTGATTAGCAGAACAATTAACAATATCGGATAATACTAAATAAACTTTGCATTTATAATTTATTTCATTTTTTCAAATAGACTAGGATGGTAGTCATATTGTCACAACCTGTTCCTTAACTTGTATCTGGGGCTAATAATTAATCTAACAAATCTTCAGCAGCCTTTCTCAATAATTCTTCAGTAACTTAAGCTTAACCCAAAGTGGAATTGACTTATTTTAATAAATCCATATGATTCAAAGTTTCGAAGACACCATCGCAACCCAATAAAAGAAATCTAAGTTTAAGAGTATTGATACTTGTCTTATGGTCCTAATTCGACTTTCTTGACGTCTGGAATAGCAATAATCAATTATTCATTAACTCTTAACTTGCTATCACGTTTATATTCTAAATCACCCAAGGCTCTTGATAAATTGAGGTTACCTAAGATTCATATTATAATAAATAATTACCATTAACACGACCATCACTAACGAAACCACCTGCTCTCTCAATTCTGGATTTCTCTTCAGGATTATCTGGTTTATGATCAACACTCATGTCATAATTAGCATTATTTCTGCATAAAACTGTTCTTGAATCACCAGCATTGGCAACATACAGAGTATTCTTATAAATCAAGGCTACATTGGCTGTGCATCCAGCATAGGATTCTAACATCTAATCAAAAATTACCATCGGTATCAGTTGCTTTGTATTAATTTAATTCTTTCTATCCTTCTGGAGTTACTAACAATTCGTCCATCTTTAAAAAGGTTTCTTTGAGAGCCTCTTCAAATTTTTGTTCCTTAAAATTTTTATTTTTAAGTAATTCATCAATGAAGTGCTTTTCCACAAATTAGGCAACTTCTCTACCTCCATGGCCATCAAACACACCAAAAATAGAGACATCTTGTATAACATCAGGTTTATGAATATGAGCATCCTCCATAGTGTTCCTCCAGCCTAAATTGAGTCATCAATTACATACCTTGCATTTCTGAGGCAGCAAATATAACAGACTTTCCTTATCCTGTTGTTGTTGTTTTATCTTTTTTTGGTTAGCTTAGATATGGCCCCATTTAATTTTATTTTATTTTATATCATTTATATCCACTTATTTCTATAAATACGAAAATTTCAGTATCATCCTAACCTTAAGATTATTTTCTAATTATTGTATTAATTTCCATATTTTAACTCCAAACCACCAAATCCTTTTTCACTTATCAGAGTGCAGATAGAATATCCAAAATTGTTGACTTCCTATCTGACATCATAAATTGACAGAGACTTCATAGTACATTTTAGAAAATTTTAAGAAAATAATTATTTAATCAATTACAAATAAACTCCTCCTTTAATTTGATTGCAAGGAGTAGTCTCTCAAACACCTATATTTTACAAAAATAGATTTATAAAAATAATGATGTAATGATATATTTTATAATGGATAGTTCATTATGGACCTTTAACATCGGGCAATTAGGTCTCAACATAACTCTTGCTCAATAATTAAGGGTATACTATAGTTGGCATTTATTGAGGATATTGTTGATATATTGGATAACCAGCTACAGGTTATTAAGGAATTTAAGTATTTTGAGCAGCCTATTATTATTATAACAATAATTGTTATTGAATCTATTATTATTATTGTTATAATAAGGCTTCTTATTGTTGTTTTTATTGTTTCATCCAATTTTTATATTGTTCATATTATTCAATAGGAACAGCATAAAATTAAGGTTGTTGAACATTGTCATTCGTTGGTTCACCAAAAGCCACAGTATCTGATAAGTTATTATGGCCTTGCTTTTTCATTCTTTTCATTTGTCTTCTTTTTCTTATTATTTTTCTAATAACCAGAAAAGCCCCAATTGAAAGTAAGGTGATCAAAACCCACTTAAATACTAGGTTATTTTAACTTATTTACCATGTCCTTTCTTGTGTCTCTAATGGTTGTTTCTATTATGATGTTAATCTCCAAGAACCAAGATTAGGAGTAATGCTAAAATGATAATTTATTTCATTAAATAATTAATAAAAATCAAATTTTATAATCAACAATTAAAATAGCCATTTTCTAAGGTTTTTTTGTAACCATTAAGATCATTTAGAATAATTAGAATGTATATATATAAAATTTAGTGAAATAATGTGTCTATAGAAAAAAATCATCATTTTTCAACTTTATTTTTCAACAATTAAGCTCTAGTTGCAGTAATTTTTAAGATTAATCTTTTATAATCCTTTTAACGAAAGGTTCGAAGGATTAGTTGTTAAATAAGAGCCTCTTTGAGCACTTTTGCAATTCTTACTCCTTTCCAAGTCTTTAGCTATTTTATCATAGTTATTTTTTAGTTTGATATAAGCTTCATCCTTTTGAATTATTGATATTTTAAGCCTTTCTTAGTCTATTTTACCTTGCTATATGATCTTTAATTAATCTTATATTTATAATCTTAGTTATAATATATCATCTTAATATTTTTAATTTTCATGCTCAATAGATTTGACATTCTATAAGAGATCATAAATGTGTCTCTACATTTTCTTATTATTGTCTTAAAAGAATGAGAGCTATACTATTGAATAGAAATGAGTTTCTTACATTTTTATTGATTTGGTTAAATGACGATGGATTTGTTAGTTTTGAATTCTTTATTTTGTTTAATCAAAGATTAATAACAAAGAGCATCTCTTTTCAAATTCTCATATTCTAACTTTGATACTGGACTAAATAATCATTTCGATATACTTCTAACAGTGTCATCCTTGATTTCGAAGATTGAATCCTAACTTGGATGTCTATTAGTATTATTCGTAGGGTTGGTAGTGTAATTATCTTCTTTCTTGGAATCTGAGGAGAAATGACATGCCTAAAAAATAATGCAATATTTATACTTCCTACTGGAATTCAGGTAAATTTGCACTTTATTCAACCTCACCAAAAGAGGGGATTTCTAGTTTTTTAACCTCAGCTGTTTTAAGTTCACAAATCTTAAATAACTCATGAATTTGAGTCTATGTCAAATAGATGTTAGAAGACATTTCAGTTTTAACAAAAATAATATTTTATATTAATTGATAAACTACATAAAATCATAATTTTTATTTAAGAAAAACAAAAGGATTTTGTTGAGATTCGACATTAATCCACTTATTAGAGAATAATTTGATAAGATTGTACAAATAAACAAATGACTAGGACACAAGAGATATTTAAAAATATAATGCCATAATTGAACTTATCCTAGAAAGGTTTCTGTAACACAATATTAATTATGATATAAATATATATATATTGATACTCTAAGTGGATTGGGAATGAAAAATAGGAAGGAAGATTGGTTCAAATGAATTATTTTTAAACGAATACTTAATAAAATGAACATGATAATTGCATCATTTAATCAAATAATAGATGCATAAACCTCTCCTTCAATATCTAGATGGTTGAACCCTCTTAAAATTTTGAACTTTCCATTGATACCCCAGCCATCGTTCCATGAGTTTATAGCTTCCCAATAAGGTACTCCATTTTCAGTTCCCCACCCAATAATCTTGACTGCGTGTTTACCTCTTCTTTATCCGGTTGTCTATTGATAGACACCTGATTTATAATTTAAGAAATCATCAAAGACTGTGAACACTGCTTAAACAGGTCCATTCAAATAGATCTCATTTTTTATTTGCTCTTAATCTTTAATAAGTTTATAAGGGTTTTCTCTTGATCTGATCTTATCAACATCATAGGTTCTAGAGAATTAAGGATGACATTTCTTGGTGCATGAGGGAGTGACTTCGGTCAACATGAAAAAATCATTTTCACATTTTGAATACTTTCCAGAATCATTCCCATGACTACAAGGAGGAAAAGAGTAAGGTTTACATAAACTAAAGTCATTGTATGTTCCTCCTGTAACTATTCCATCAACCCTTAAATATTTCCAAGCCCCATAAGGATAGCCACCATCACAACCACCATTACCATCTAGTTCACAATTAATTCCACAACAACTTAAAAGATCTTCAGCAGAAATCTGTCTCTTATCAGTTTGACCAGAGGCAATACAAAGACGATCGCTCATTGTAGAGGCAGCTGATACTGCCCAACAAGAACCACAGTTCCCTTGGTCTGGAATCAACTCAATAGATGGGCAACCAGGCCATTTTTCTTAAGCTGAAAAACTTGGTGGCAAATTTTCTAATTTCTCATGATATTTGTATTCGACTGGCTCACTGTGATCGACGATTACATTGAAGTACTTGGAGTAAAATCCATCCGACTTTTCGTTCCATCTTTCGTAATTGGTAGCCTAAATAAATATAAAATGAAAGTACTGTCCAAGTTGTTTTGATAGAGTTTACAAATGCCGTAATAAATGGGTTTCTTGCAGATACCAAAGATATTATTAAGCATATAAATTATAACATTTTATAAATCAATTATCCAATTCCGAAAGTAGTTTTTTAGTTTTAGTAATTTATTTCAAATTCTCAATAACACTCAGAATTGACTATTCTTCTATCAGTGAATCATCAGATTCGTTTTCATCATCCTCAACAACAGAAGATAAACTACTGATAGAACTCTATTTTTGAGGGTCGATCAATTCTTGATTCTTCATATTGATAATAACATTACCCAAGGATAAGACTTCAAAATTGTTGTATTATTGTTTTTCTGCATCATTTTATAAAAGTAGGACTTCAATTCATCATAGTTGATTACTTTGTACTGATCAAGATTAGACAATTTAACATTGTAATAAAATTAAATTATTTCTTTTGGCAGTGACGGAAAAGCCTTCTCAATTATCAGATTCATCTTTTGTAACTCCACCTCCTTTATTTTATCGCTTTTCGTTTTCTTCTGCTTTGTCTTAAATAGTCGACCTCCGATATAAAAGTTTATCAGAATATAAGCCAAAGATTCTAGATCGTCTCTAGGACACGGTTCTTAATTTAACTTATAGGATTACTTATCCCTAAATGCAGATTTAGACTTGAATATTTATTTAGTGCTAAAGCGTATTGAAATTTGTTTTTCGTATTCTAGTTTAGGATCTACCTTAATTTGTATTTCTGGGCAAATTTTAGGTCAGTTAAAAGCAATTGAACTCCTCTATAAAGCGTCACAAATTTCTTAGGCTTCAAGTAGCAATGAACTATTGATGCCTAATGCATTTTCTCCAACGCAGATATCTAGATTTACATTCTCAGTATTACCGCTTCGATTGCCAAAGTAGCAAACACTTAATCCGAAAACTTCCGATTTTGATGTTGAAAACACAGTTTAAGAGATGGCCCACATCTCTCCTTAATATTATATCGATATTCCATATTCTTATACTTATAAACTCCCTATTGTATGGTCTTTGGAATGAGCTGCACTAAAACCAATGTATTTATAATTAGTACAATCATGCATTTTCTTTACAATCCTTTCATCACACACAAAGGAATTGTACTACTCTTAACTATAGTTTATTTAATTCTCCATACCTTTTCATTTCCACTAAATAGTAGGTATTCGGATCATCCTTATTTAAAGCTACACTTCCTATTAGATTTACCTAATTACCTAAATACAAGTTATGACTCCTCCCCTTGTAAATCAAACGAACCAGAAAATATTTATGGTCCAATATAACTGCATTAGCATTTCTTTCGAAGGAATTTGACTCAGTTATTGAATCACTCATATTAATTAAAAATCTTAATAAAATAAGGACATATAAATAAGTAATTAAAATCAAGAGTACAAACGAATAACCAAATACTTTTAGAGCTGTATTACTGTAATCAAATTTTAAGGCTTCCATTATGAAAACTAAAATATAATAAAAATAATCAATACTTCAATTACAAGTTTCTAATTGTTAATTTTCGATTGACTAATTATTTTTCTAAAATAATGCAATTTTCAACTCCTTTGTAAGTATCTTCTCATTTTATTGCTTATAAGTTAAGTAATTCTATTGAATTTACAAAACCTATTAGTATGTTTTTTGAATAATTAACTTACACAATAAGATGAAAATTCTATATATTATTTAATATTTGATGTCCAATTACTGCATCTTCATTTTTCAATCTTTTGCATTAATATTTTGATGAAATTATGCTCCTACTTTTCTAAAATTATTTTGAGAAGACTATTTCTCAAAACTACAATTTATTTTGTTTTTTTTGTTGTTGTAAATCTTGAATCTTGAAACCAAATAATGTAAATAATTATTGTAAAATATAGTAGTGGAAAGCTATGGAAATCAATTATTTTAAGTATTTGTTTTGGGTTGCAAAAATCATTTGTGATAACAAGGAGTATCTAAAATTAGTGGTACATAAAGATTTAAAAGATGATATCAGCAGGTTTAAAGCTTAGAACAATATACAAAATATTCTGAATGAAAGTCTATTTCTAGTAATGAAGAAATTATAAATTGAAAGGATGCTAACTAATTTACTATTTAGAAAGTGTTAAGAAATGGATCTACAAATTGCAAAGAACTATGAAATTTCAATGAATTGTTTAAGATTAATGAATTTAAGGAGTCATAAATAAATAGACAATATATGTTGTTTTCATCATAATTTGGTATTTAAATTTCGAATGGAATCAAAGAGGGACTATTCAGTCATGCTAATCATAATATTTTAATTGACTAATACTGTTTTAGATTCTCCCTCATGATTATATAATATTTTAATTAGGTCCAAATAATTTCATGTTTTATTAAACATTCTAAACTTATATTATCTTCTTACTAACCATTTAAGAATAAGTTGGTTCATCAATTTTTTTTGTTGATTTCATTTCAGATAATTTAGATGATAATATTGCCTATTATAATCGCTTTCTTTTTAGAAAGATTATAATATTGGCTATCATCAAAATGTCATCCAACTAAGGATAAGTTATTAGTATTCTGTGTAATTTTGATTACTATTTTAGGATGATCATTAGATTATGGTATAAATTTATAAAAATAATAAAATAAAACTTTATAATTATACTATCTTTAGATAATCGCATCTTGTTTTAATATATATTCTTATAATAATTGTCAAATAATTATCAATTTTGATTTAATCATAATTATAATAAATAATGTGCAGAAACAAACTATTGAAGGAGGAAGCGAAATATTCCTTGAACTATTTTATCTGTCTCTTTTTTTTGGGATTGGAAATTGAACTTCAGAATGATCTAAGTGTTATTCAAATTCTTTCCATAATCATAATTGTTATTTCAATTACCTTTAGAGTGCTCTATTCATTTTAGAGAATCTCATGGAAAATAGGTACACAACACCATAATATTAAGATATCTCGCCCATCTTCTTTTGGTTACTAACTCTTGCAAGAATTAATAGTGCAAACAATTTAAAATAAGAATCCAATTCCTTCCTATTTTATACTCTGGGCTTTATGAATGGACAATATAATAACACTTTTAGTATATAGAATGAAAACCCCATAATATATAAAGGCAAAATTTGTGTTCAAATTATAATATTTATAACTTGTTTATCTCTTACGAATTAAATTAAGCTTGGAATTATATTTGTACTAATCATGCTATGTATCATGGTTGGATTGAACGAAATATTTTATAGATAAGCGTTGAGTGAGTTTGACATTTAAGCCAAAGAAAATAAAAATAATAGACTCTTTAATGAACTATCATTTCAATAAATTTTAAAAAATTAAACCAAACCTTCAAATGAAGAATAAATTTTTATCAAACATTCAAGAGGTTGTCCTCTAGAATCCATTGCTGAAGATGATGAATTACCTGAATCGAAATAAAAATAACAAAATGCTTCAAACTCTACTAAGTCATCCCTTTGGGGCAATTTTGTATTCTAATGCGATGATTACATAATTAAATTTTCATTTAACGCTTATTAAAATAATTCTCTCTTATAAAACTCTGTTAGCAATTATTCATTCAGTAAATTCCTTTAGGATAATAACATCACATTTGTAGATTTTCTATCAGAAATGAAAGTTTTCAATGACATTCATTGGACCTAATTTGATATTCAAAGTCCAGAGTTTAAAAAATAATAAAGTCTTTATGATTGGCTATAATTTCATCTAGAGTAATATAAAATGATTGAATAACTTTAATCCAAGAAGTCCTTCAAATAACTAGAAGGTGCAGATCCTTTATAGCTTAGTAATCTATCCAATCAGAAATCCATGTTGATGGACATTATAATGGAGAAATCTATCTTGGGATTATCATCAATCCCATATTAATAGAGCTCATCAGAGGCATTAAATCTGAGAAATAGTAAAATGAATTTGTTTGGAAGAATAAAAACTAGTAAGTCTATGTGTGACTTGCAAATCAAATTTTACATTTTTGAAGAAGTATAAAATATGTTAAATTTAGGAATCTGATGGTTTGGCCATAGTATTTTTGATGAGAGACATCGAAAAATTGGTGTAATCAATTAAGTAGAATGTTAAAAATGTTGAATTGTTGGATATTGCCACCAAATTTATATAGAATCAAGCATGTAAAATGACAGAGATCCATAAATGGATTCGTGAAATAAAGAGTCCATCTTGTTTAATTGAGACTGATTAATTGACTCGTTTGGGTACTTCAGTTCGCAAGAGAACTTATTCATTGACTTCTAATAAAAATAGTGTAGAAGAAGGATAGTCTGATATATCTGAAAAGGTTTAGATACGAAAGTCAAATCATTTATAGTAGTTCCTATCAAAATTGCAATTCGATTTCTTTTAAGTTGAATAAGATAATTTCAACTTTTTTGAAGTGTTTTAACAAACAGAAAAAATTTGGTTTGATAGGAAGAAGATTGATATATCATAAACTATCCATTTACTATTTGAGTAATTTTAGTACAATCAAATTCTCATGAAATATGGAGTTAAGTTGATGTTGATTGACCATAACCTTTATGATAAAAATATAGTCACAGATGCAAGGTTAAGATATAATTTATTTTTTTAGAAGATTCAAATAATTATTGATTAATTTAATTAACAATTCTATTGAAGCATATCAATATGAAGAGTATTTGTAATAGCCGAATGAAGTTGAAATTACAGTATGGAATTATTATGAGGAAATCCACTTTACTATTACAGACTATGGTTGTGGACTTACTCAAAATAATCTTAATTAATCAAGGTTGTAAGAATGTAAATTAGGATTGGCAGCATCACAACGATTGTTGTATCAATTAACTGATGGAAAAAAGTAGTTAACTATATAATGTCTGAATTAAAGGACGAGTTTATCTTTCTAATTGCCAAGGATTATGCTGGAAGATAAGATAATATAAAATAATGAATTTGATTATGAATATATTAAATTTATCAATTCTTGAGTATTTTATTAATTAAAACAAAAAAATAACTCATTCATGTTTATCTACGAATAAATGCAAAACTTAGAGGTTTAATTATAATTGTCTCAGACAGGAACCCAATTCTCTCCCTAGTCGTTTGAAGATGAGATGTTACAAGAATACTTAGAGATTGAAGTGTAAAAGTAGGGCTTTTCTATGTTATTCGAAGAGTTGCTTGTCTGCTCCAATATTCCTTAGGAAGAACCATAACGTCATAAGAAGTAATTTAGTAATCTAATTTAAGTTTAAGTAGGAATACCAAAATCAACTAATTCAGAAGAAGATCCCACAAAGTTGTGAAGAAGTAACAAGAAAGGAAAAGAAATTAAAAATCAACATAGACTTTTCTTTAGGAAAAGAAGCAAAGAGTCTTTAATGAATTTAAATTAAAGGAATTTTAAGCTTAGGGTAATACATAAGAGACTCAAGGGGAATAAGGGGAATGGCAAGGAGATCATTAGAGTCATGTTTAGGAGCATCATGCTATTCCCCTTAGTTTACTCAGAGAAGATTAGAGTAATTTGTTTGAATATCTTATATTTTAGATTTAGTGCTCCTAAACTTGTGTAATGATAATTTTAATATCAATGACAATTGTATTGAATAGAATAATTACGAAATCAACAGCAATAAATTTGAGATGAATGCATATTTGATACCAAAAGCACTTGCACCAAAAATACCAAAACTTTGAGTTGACCCCTTGTTTCTGAGATGCTCAGAAAAAGGGGTTGAAATAAAGTGCGATCGCTTTTGAAGTGACAATGCTTTCATCAACACCTATAAATAATATCATTTTCCAAATATTCTTTCATTAATATTATAAATGAAATTGTATATACATTCTGGAAACGTCGTGGAAATTTATGATTCCATCCAAGGAGAAACCATAGACTAATTATAAAAGGCATTGGGAAGCGAAGTGCTTCTCAATAACAGGTAATGCATTAGAATTTATATGCAAGGACAATTTTAAACACTTCAATGTTGGTCAATAGTTTTTTCAATGACAATGATGATGTGATTGTATAAAAAGTGAAACCCATACCAGTTTAATAGAATGCTTAAGTGCCTGCTTAGGTACCTGCGTAAAAACCTATCCATTATAACAATATTACAAAATTCGCATTTTATGATGCTGATGAAATGAATGTTAGGTATTTGTGAATATTTATTTTACAAAGAGTTGTAGTTGAATTGAAGGATATTGCAAAGCATCCATTAGAAAAGTTCTAGGCCAGGTTTTTTGAAAAATCATTTGAAATAAAAATTCACGATTATCAAAATAAGAATTGGACTTTTGGAGTTGCCAGAACCTAATGCAAATTAGATGCTGCAAATAGTAAATTCACTCTCAAGGGCGATAAGATATTGATCACATTAAGAAAGGTGAAGAAGGAGGATAATTGGTTTTCGATTCACAAGCAAAAAACAATAGGTGGTGACGATTCAGATTGAATATATAATTATAATAAAAGTGATTGAGAAATTAGCATATTGGTTGATATTCTTTGACACTCAGAGTTTTAGTTCAAACAATTAATTTAGGAATAAATTAAATAGTAATTTATTTTTATTTATTTATTATGAATCAAAGTGAAGTTAATGAAGAAAACTCACCTCACAATTCTGATCATGCTTCATAGAATATTTCTCAATACTTGTAACATGACTATTATGAGAAATTCAAGCTTGGCTAGAACCTATATGAATAATCAATTACTTTATCAAGATTATCTTTGGGAGAAAAGACAACAGAGGATCATAACAATATCACATAAATAGGATTGATACAAATTTAAGAACGCCTATCTGATGAGATCTGCAAGAATCAAGTAAATTATTGACTACAATTAGCTAGCTATTAGAGAGTAAAGTAACATAACTCAATAAGGATTTGTAAGCAGCTATGGAACATACAATGATTCTACAGAAACAAAATGAGAAGTACGTTCAGATGTTGTAATAAACCAATACACAATTACAAAATTAGATTAGGAATTACGAAATAGAAAAAAAGTTAAACTCACAATTAATGAAAAAAAATAAAGAATTAATAGAAGTAAATAAGTATAATCTTAATCTAATTAGTAATTATTAGAAATAAGTATAAAGTTTAGAAAAGAAGAAATAAATCTAGAACTTTTCAGATTGCAAAAATATTATATTATCCAAATGTCATTAAAAGTCGAATTAATCCATCTGTTCTTCGCATAGGAATAAAAGGAATTTAAATCCAGGGAATACAGAAGAATCAACTGTTAAGGATTCTTCCTTCAGTGAAATGAAATCTAACGATAATTACAGATATGCTGAATCTGCTCAATAATTCTACAAATCCTAAAATTTTTGGTCTCCAGTAAAATAGTCTTCTCCTAAAGCTCCTCACAATTTAAATCTAGAAAAAAAAATTGAATCTACTTTAGCATAAATAAGAGCTATCAAAATGCAAATTCAACAGTTAAATTAAAAATGATATATTTACATTTTTTTTTCATTATATAAATTAGAACATTAAAAAATAATTAAATGCTTTAATTCTAACATATAAATCTTAATAATTTATTTGATGGTGTCATTAGCTGTTTGATGAGGATCTGATATTTAAATTCTAAAATTATGATATTTATAATCAATCCCTAATAACGTGTAGGGATATAGATTGGAAATAAAAAAAGTATTTTTTTTTTTGGATCAAAACTAATAAACAAATTAATTTATGTATGATTAATCAAGAGTCGACCTTATGGATTCTATTCAAGTATTCTCTGATAGCTTTGATTCTCTAGATTAAATTTAAGGGTATCATTGATAATAGGAGTGTTGTCCTTCTTATCTAAAATCACATTATTAATAAAATTACTTCGTTATTTATTTTATTTGCTATTGGCCACCAAAACAAGAGATACACCAGCACAAGAACAACCAAGAACACTATAAATATTGTTACTGTTGTTGTAGTGTTTGTGTCTAAGTCTTTCTGCAAACTATCATTAAAAATAGTTAGTAACTACTGAAAGATTGATCTTATATAGATGTCTTGCATTTGATCTATTAGAAATATTAGAACTTATACTTAATTCAACAGCAGAAATGTCTGTGTACATAAGTGACAGGATCTTATTCCGCTGAATGTTGTCTGTGAAATTATAAACTGTTCCAGCTATAGCGGTAGCAGAGGAATCATTCAAGAGAGAATCGTATACTGTAAGTAAATACCTCAGATTTTCAAAGTGTCTTGATAATGCTAAGGCTAATGATTCATCCACAATTCCTTTAACGAAAGCTTAACAAGTAGCCAAATCTACTCCAGCAACCTTGATGACTTCATTACAGGCTCCAGCTTTCATTATTGTATCAAAGTAATCATTATAAATGGAATTGTGATAACCTAAATTTAATGAGTGATCCTTTTGCATATTCGTATTCAAGTTGTAGAGATCTTTGACAAAGTCTGCAGAAATAGTTTTGGATACATTATTTTTTACAGGGAAGTTGGGATCCCATAACATTTACCTAAATACATTGTTTGCAAAAGTAATAGAAGGAACAGCCAATGAGGTGGCATTCATTTCTTAGATTAGTTATTACATGGAACTCTACAAATTGGTTCCAATTAAATAATGGGCTATAAAGTAAGCTATAAGTAGCCCAATAGAAATAATGAATTTAATATAAAAATTCCTCTTGTCTTTTGAATCATATTTATACTTCTTTCTTTTCTTTCTCCTTCCAAATTCTTCCACTACTCCTTCTCCTTCCTCATTTTCTTCAAATGACAACTCATTTTCTTGGTTGGCATCCTCATCTTCCCCTATTTGGAGAGTGTTTGAAAAAGCTTCACATTTTGCAAAGAGCTATTTAACCTTTGCTAAGGGAATCTCTAGAAATAGTTTTATGACTTCCTCTTAATTTTGTGAAACTAAGTTAAAAGTACAAGCAATCCATGGTATTGAAATAAAAGTAAACACGCATGCTACTATCAACAATATAAGTAAAACATTTGAATCATATGCCAAATTTATTAATTAGTTTGTATAGAGATCAACACTCTCTAAGGTGGCTTAATAGTAGTCATTCAATAGATTATATCTAATAAAATATATGGAATCAGTATCTGGATCGAAATCAGTGATATCAAAATTCATAATTTCAAATGCTTTTGATATTATTTATGATGTTCCTTAGTTGATATCTACTAATTGATTGCTTTCACTTCCACTGTCATCTCTACTAATCATTTTAATAGAATTAGTTGTCATTAATTCATCTTGTCTTCCACTGACACCTGTTGATGATTATATTTTGGATTGAATATCTTTCAGATCACTAATAGTAGTATTCATATTGGTAAGTTAAGTTTTCACTTTATCATCTGTACCAGCCACATTTATTTTATTTAATCTACACAACTCCATTATTTACCATTAGATTCTTTAACCTAAAGCAACTCTTATATTTGAATCTTGCATCATTATGTATCCTTCTTGAATATCCTAAAATAATTGTTATGTTAAAACATAATCTAATAAACCCAAGACACCCAAACAGATAATCAGAAAAGCTGCACTCCATTTAAAACAAACCATGCTACTTTGATTAACATTTCGACTTTCCGACAAGAATTAGACAAAAGTTCGTCTGGATTTATAGATGTTAGCATGTCCTCCTTCAGCTTCTTCTTCTTCATCCTCTTTTTAAACTTATTACATTCCAGTAGTTCCTCCTTTCTTTTAATCGTTTTCTTCTGCATCCTCATCAGAATCCTAATTTTTGAAATCATCAATATCAAATAATTGCCCATTGATATATTTCATGGTCCTAATTCCTAAGGCCAAATCTAATTTTTCATCTTTTTCCCCAATATTTGAAGTGGGAGTCTTCTCATCTTCTTTAACTGGTTCTCTCTATGAATAATCAAAAGTTTCGTCTTATTTGACACTTGAAATAGCAGACATCTAGAAATTTTAATCTTAAGTATATTCACCCAAATAGATATGTTATTATTAATCAAATTAGAAATAAAATTTGACTTATTATTGCTTTTTGATTTGAGATTATTCATTAGGATTTAGAAAAGATTTTTCTTATTTATTATTTTCAATTTTTATAACATAACCTTATAATTTAGAATCTTTGAACATGATTTCACCAGCAGTAATATTAAATTTACCTTAGACTGTCTAATCTCTATTTTTAAAATTAATTTCTGCTTCAGCCCCTGTTTTATTAAGATATTCAGTGATATTCTCTTAGAAATTTGATATGATGTCACTAACTTTCATCTTTTTTTTCGTGATATAATTCAAGTCTACATGAAACATGGTAATAAAAGTGGCTGAAATATTTTCAATTTCCTAAGTTGATCCATTCACAATCATGAAAGCCACATTCTTAAACACTTTTTCTTGTCTCATGGCTCCAAAAAACTATGCTCCATGGATAAATGAAGGTACATATCTAACATAGATGAAGAAGGGAAAGATGTATCCATTTTTAGATTTACCTATAATCATTCTTTCTCTATTCATGATTCTGCTTTCATAAGTTTACAAATAGGCTTCCATGAATTAGTCATGTGATTGAGCAAAGACATTGGGCATCAAAATGTTGACTTTCCTGTTAATTAATTCACTCTTGGAATAGCCAAACATCTTGGATGCAGACATATTGAGTCCTATGATTCTACCGAAAGTGATATCTTCAGCTGAAATACTGATCAATGCAGTGGATTCATTAGGGAAATCATTGATATTATTTGTAATTTTGCCTCTGTCCATATTGACAGAATAGAAATTCTTCAATCTTTCCAAGACCTCTTCAGCAGATTCCTTGTCATACAAAATGTCAATTAGATATTTGGAATAGATCATCATCAAATTTGGTGGAACATCCATATTCATTTTTATGATTCTCTTCCATGAATCTTCGAGCATCTTGTCCACATACATCATGCGAGTTCCCACATCATATAGTTTCCCTAAGTCTGGAGTGTCTTCACTTAATTGAGACCAAAACTCTATATGTTGTGATGCTGATTTCTCAATCTAAGCCCTGATATCCCTCAGATTGTTCTCAGTGGTAAGTTCATTGACAGCATCGATGCCAGCAGCTGGATTTTTGGATGACTTTGAATTCTCAAACATCTATTCTTCGATCAGTTTCTTTAATCTGTAAATGATGAATTGTTCATCCATGTACGGTTTTTCTTGTTCTGCAGCTACCAATTCTTATAATGCTTATTAATTTGATTACATTTTTTCCATCAAGAACAGCGAATGTGCAATTCTCAATTCAGTGCAATTGGGAAACCTCGTTAAGGACAGAGTGAATATCCTCTCCAAAATATACACGAATACGACATATTACTCTTTGATTTCTTCGTCCTGATTTTAGAGTTTGAAGTTCTTCTGAAATTTGGCAATCTTCTTATTTCCCATGTTTTTAGCCTAACAAGGACAGTCCTCTCTTTTACAGATGGTTCTGTGGTATTCAACAAAGCCATCGAGGAGAGTGGCTATGTTTCTATCTGTGTGGTAGTAATTTAAGAATTTGGTTAGATATTGTAATTGTTGGATGGCTTAATTTAAGGAATCGAACTTATTTGAGTCTATCATCATTATGTCGTATCGATATTCTTTTCGCAGCATCACAATCAACAACAATAATGGACTGCCGAATACCCACAAATATGGAGCACCTTCATAATAGGTATCTTCGACGATGATGCCGAAGATGATCATACAGATTGTCCACATGATGATTGCATGTTGTGAATTTAACACTTTCGAGTAATAATAGTTCAGATAGACACTGGATTTATTGAATGAGAAGAATTGAATGACAGCAAAAAGAGTGATTATTATGACAACCAAAATCCTCAACTCACTCACATTCAATAAAGTAAAACACAGTACCAAAATGATTTTGAAGGTCAAAAATTTCATATCGTCTCTCCCTGAAATCTTGCAGAGAGGATTGTTAGGTTGAAATCTTGATTCATAGAATGTCATCGTAACCAATCCACTCACGCATATCAAAATTAAGGCAGCAATGGCGGATAAAAATGCGTGTAATAAGTAATTACCAGTATAACATTATTGATCACTATAATATCTATGATAACCTGTTCCTGAGTCACAATAAAAGATAGTCAAAAATAAATGGAGTGTTGGCATAAAGAAAATGTAGTTGAGAATTTCAAAAAATATTTTTAGCACAAACAATGGACCAGTCAATTTACCCACTGATGTTGTCTATGCTTTTATAGCTATAAAGATTATCAGCACTATCAATAGAAAAAATAACCCCATTACTATGTATAGTACCAGGATAAAACTTGGAAATTGGACATTTTTCAAATATGGAGATATCATGAAGTATCCAAAAAATGATTGAAATGATTCAGACCATGATTTGACCTTCCATAATGATAGGAACTAATTTTATCATATTGAATTACTTCGTCGCTGAATGCAAAGTAAAACACTTAAAAGCTTTCGATCAGCACAAAGAAAACGTAAAGAAATAAGGGAAAGTTCTCTCCAGATATCAAGTAGTATATAATCTCAAAAAGGAGATTCTTGAAAGAATTTTGCATCTTATCTATGGCTGACTTATCATCATCAAAGATTGAAATTCCTTGCATAATAATAATTCAAATAATAATAAAATAATAATATTCATTTCACTGCTTATAATATTTCTCCACCAATAAATTATTATTTCAAGTTAGGGTATTTTTGAATGATATCCATAGGTATCATATTCAACATTCCTTTAGTTCTCCAAATCTGCTTCGATAGATTATTCAAGTAAGGAGTCCAACAAAAGATGAATGCAGCAAACATCACCACCAAGTACACACTAAATTTCATTTGTTCAATAGAATCACTGTAAGATAAGAAGTCTGCTATGCCTGACATGAACCGATCTGTTAAGTAGTCACATGCAGGTGAAATATAATACAATAGCCTATGTAATTTATCGTGATAAGTTTAATTGTTGATGGTTGAAATTAAGTCTAATTATTATGATAGATATATCTATACCTGTTCTAGTTCTTTGAGTGTTCTTCCAATAGCTGATCATATCATTTGTGCTCAAGGCCACTGACACAAAGGCAGTCTTCAATCCACTTGTAAGTAAACCTGAATCTACAGCTGCACATCCCGATTAATCAGTAACAAAGTTGTCTAAGTGTTAAGATTACGTATTTACTTATAGTGAAATCGTTGACGCATAAATTATTGTAAGTAAAAGCCTAGAATTTGGACAAATACGAATCAAATTAGGAAGGGAATGACTAAGTCAAAGATTAGAACAAATTCCTTTCATTATCATACAATCTGCTTTGGAACTCTGTTCTCATATCAATTGAATTTTCCGTTTACGTCTTATTGGTCACAACTTCTTCGAACGTGAAGTAAACATTATATTTAATGGAAATAGGTCTTTTGGACGAATATTAAAGATGATCATAAACCTTTTACACATTATCCAAAAAGATCAATTCTAAATTAATGTCCAAAATGAAATAGGAAATAAAGATTAGAGCAAAGATTAGGAATTGAACAATGACTACTGATTTGTTATTATCCTTTGAGTTTAACAATTTTTATGAGCGAAGATTCTCAATTTCCTCTTCATTTTCCTTTTTGTCTTGTTCTTATTGCTATTGCTATTTTTAATCATTCTTGGTAGCACCTTAAGTAAAAGCAGATGGTGTGGCTCTGTTTTCAGAGGGTTTTGCTGTGATGGATGTATGTATAGCATTCGAATTAGGTTGGCCAGTCTGCAAAACATTCTATCCACTGCCATTCTATCCACTTCCATTGGATCCATTTTATTATTAGGTTTTCTTTTTATCACTCCTGTCTTCTTCTTCATTATTCATTTCAAAAACATCTTTGTTCTATGTTTTCTCTACCTCTGGAGGTTAGACATTGGGTTAAGGAGGTTTATCTTCTTTATCAACTATTTCCTTCTTTTCATTTTTATCCTCCAAGAATTCCTACATATAATTTTCACATTTAGCAGCCAACTCCTTAATTTCTTAGATTGGAATGATACCAAACAATGACATAACCATGTTATTTGTTTTATGCACCTAAAACACAATAGGAATGAGGATCATAGCAGATACCACTAAACAGAATATACCAACACCCATAATAACAAAGAAGGTAACTTAATAATTCTTGATTTCATCTGAGTAAAAATCGAAGAATCGTTGTGCAATACTCTCGGATCCACTTCTCAATACGAATAGTCCATTTGTCATCACATAATAAAAATTCTTTTGCGTATTATCTACTGTGGTGACAGAACCGTTAAATGATGCAGCTGAAGAGTTTCTGAGTGAAGATGCTGATGTAATGATTTAAAATAATGCATCATTGAATATATTGTCGTATCTAGAATGGTAATAATTGAATTGAATACATTTTGGTTTCTCCAGATGTCAACAAAAACGAAACCTAATATGTCTCCAAATTAGATGATCCAGTCATCCTTGCTTCCATTTTGATTCTGGCCTTAATGACATCAAATTACACCACCTTTAAAGTGTCGACCAAATAGGATAGCTAATCAATAATAACATAAAATTACATTGGCCTTTATATATGTATCTGCAGTTGCTGTGGTGTAACCATGTTTATCAGCTATGTAAGTGCTGTTTCCTAACATCTACAGCAATCTAGTGTAGAAGTTGACATCTGCCATTATATTATGTCTCAGATATGACAAATAGATGGCATCCGCACCTTCTTAGACATCTGAACTTTGAGTCATCCTATAGCCCAATATCAATGCACTTAGAACGATGAGTACGAGCATAATAAACCATACAGTTCGTTTCAGAATACGGATATACTTTGGTTCTGTTTTCTCAGAAATCAAAGCTTTGAAATCTTTCAATTATCTCATATCATCATTTACTGATCCACCAGACAAATTGGATTCACCCTCAGAGGCATTTACATCTTCCTAGACTTACTACTCATCTTTCATAACAGTTTTCATTTAATTCTACTGTGCTTCTTCAGCAGCTGGTTCCATTGATCTCTATTGTTTAACTTCCTCATTCTCATCTACTTCATAGAATCTGATAATTTGTATTTTTTAATCACCAAATTCTGTCTCATCTTAAACGAAAGCCTTAATCTTATATTTTTTGTATCTTTGCTGCTTTTACAACTTCTTACTCTTGGCCTCCTCTATTTTTGAATTCTAAACTTATTGTGATATATCAACAGCGGTTTCTTTGTATTAATGATTCTAATTCAGCATCTAACCTAAATTTGAATCTCCAATCTTAGATTACATTTATGATGCTTATTATGGAGGTTCATAAATGTTTTCTTCCTCTTCCAATGACATCTCATCATCACTTTCTCCTCGTCCCAACAGGAAGTTTTATTGGAGTTAAGATGTATCAATAGTAGTAACCAGACCTTGAGATTTGAGATCATCCTGGTTTTTAATATCCACTAGTTCTGGAGCAATGGCATCAATAGTAAATTCATTAGTATTTGTTGAATTGCCATAGACCAAAGATGCTGGAATACCATATCTTGTATAACAGGATTGGGTAATTCCCAAGATGGCTTGACTATTTACGTTGATGATAATGAAATGCCACTCCTAATCAATTTCTTATTCACTTCTCAAATATGAACTTCCAGGTTCTATGTCTTTCAAGAATCCCACTATCTAAATTCCTTCATCCAAATTAGGCAAGACTTTAATCATGAGAGTGCATGGCACCAAATAATTGTTCTTATTTTAAGCCAATAGTATTCTTTCCTATCCAATCACTTTGGAATCACTGGTTTCTAAATAGTTCTTCATGAATTGATCGTGTTGATCAGCATATACTTTTGGCATGATTCTATTTACATTCTATCCAATTATGTCTGACTTAGAGAACCCTAGGATTCTAGTGATTTCATTGTTAACATTAGTAACCACACCTATATTATTATAATTGCCTGAACAAGTGATAATGCAAGTATTGGCATTTTCACCATACTTCTATCTTTCTTAATCCAATCCTAACTTATTGACAGCAGTGCTCTTTTGTATATATTCAGCTTTCTCCAAGATCCTTTAACCTTCCACATCGTCATTAACAATATCCTTCAAAAAGTTGCCGTATACTTACAGACATTTGATATGATTCTGATTCATCTCTTATAGTTTTTTGTAGAAATCACTTGTAGATTCAACAGTGTTTGTAATTTTAGATCCAAGTGATTACAATTTCTAAATATCTGGGTTTTCTTCTAATAGTTCTCTCCAGAATTCCATATGTAAAGTAACACTTTTTTCTATACTACTGAGGAAATTGACAAATTTATTTTAGAATACTACGATGATGTTGACATCTACTCCTTTGTTTTCAGATGTTCTCATATCATTCTCAATCATTTCCTCTTCAATCATATTCTTATATCTGTAAATACTAAATTCTTCTTGTAAATTTGGTTTATTTTCTTCAGTGATCATCAATTCAAATAAGGCTTTGAATTTATTCTTCAATTTCTCATGATGTATGTATGAATTCAACAGATGCAATCTTGGACATTTTGGATACCTGTCCAGAGCATCAGATATAATACTCTTTATTAATTGATACCATCTCTTTAATTTTTGGGGTGTTTCTTCATCCTTCAAATTGTCAGCTACCAATTGTTGACATACACAGCTATCACTTGGTTTTCCACAGTTCTTCAAATGCAATTTTAATACACCTTCCAAGACAATTCTGCATTGAAGAATTTCACGATTTTCAATTAAATCCATGAGATGATTTATGTAGATTTCGATGTCTGTCTCCTTCTTGAATGATTTAATTGGGGTTCTCAGGAGCTGCTATTGTCGAAAAGTCAACAACTGGAAGTAAACTAAGGAAAGCAATGGCATTCCCAGAATCATATAAAACAACCCAATATCATCAACTGATCCTAGATCAAGAAATGCCGTAATGACTCCAACCAAGCTAGCCCAAAAGAGTAAGACTTCCTGTACGACTATGAAGGTATAGACACTCTTATTGTAGTAGGGGGGAGATCGGTATCTTTAGACCAACAACAGCAAATAGAATGCAGCCAATAGAGAGATGTACACTTTAGATATATCGCCATTGAAATCCAGAGTCACGTAGAGTGGTAGCACGATTTTAATGAGTTGTCTAACCAATGGAGTTTTGGATTGGGGAGAGGAGAATGGAATGGGGGAACTTGGGTTGAGTTCGGCGTAAAGCAGTCCAAAGTAGAGCACATTGATTAGGAACAAGATCAAACCTATTAACTACGATGATTTATTATATTACAGCCAAGGATATGTGCAGGAAATGCAGACCAGCGTAGCATTCTAAGCCATCTGAAAATGGAGCATCTGAATTGCAATAAATGGTGGCGATGAAGGAATTGAATATGGGGATTGTCAAAATGGTATTCAAGAGCAAGCCATACAATGAAAATATTTTTAGACAGTACGTGAGAAAGGTGCTTGGCTTTCGCTTATTCGATGTGAGTTTGAATGTGATTATGATTAGTAAGAATAACATGAGAATCTGAATGCCAAAAGCCTAGGGATAATAGACAAATCGCACTTACTATGTACATCACTATTAACAGCACATTCACTCCACCGTTGAATATGATATAATTAACTTAAAAGTATTGCAATGCATTACGGAAGTACTCCAACCACACCGTCTTGAATAAAAATTCCAAGTTCGGATGAATCGAATAGTACAGCTAGATAATTTGTTAATTCAAAAAATACAAGTTGGATGAGCTCGATCAACATTAGGAACTTGAACAAGAATGGACTGCAAACCTAATTCTGTAGCAATTCGTGTGTGAGTCCATAGGTCCAGGTTTTTATTCTGTTCTCAAACCGTTCCCAAATGGACTCGTCATAAAACACTCTTCGATTATTCATAATCATTTTCGATATATAATAAAATATGATTAATAAGTAAATTCAATTACCTAAGCACCCTAACATCTCATTCAAATAATACTGTTAATAGTTCGTAAAGGAAAGTCCGAAAGCTAAACTCAACAAAACCTCATATGTCCTGGGAGACCTACCACTAAACAAACTAAGAGAAAAACAAAAAGAATAATTCAAATCTTTTATCCAAGATCACATTTCCTTGACTCGAAAAATAAGAGACGATGCAGAATACGATGCCACTATATACATGGGATTGACATCCAAGTGGCAGAGAGCGAAAAAGGATTATTTCAAATAAGAGATCCCTCTTATCAAATGTGAATTGGATATGCGTCATATCAAATAGAATCAAGAGCTCAATTTCGATTCCTGGAGAAGGATCGATCAAGTGAGTTAAAAAAGAGTTCGAGGAATCTCAGTCGACTCAAACATGAAAAAAACTAATCGAAAAACTCACACAACCAGTTTTCGATTTTGATAATGGTCACTTTCTATATATATATTTTTCCTCATAACTCTTTACATGATGTAATCAACAGCCAATTTAATTTATTTAATTAATTTATAATTATAAAACAGTTTTCCCAACTCATTCTTTCCTGTAAATCTTACATTGCATCTCAATCATCCTAAGCTTGTAGAGAATCAATATTAAGAATTGAATCTTTGAAATACTTACAGATACACAATCAAATAGACCTTTTTTTGTCAATATAAGGGGATAAATCCTACTATTGCACTCTTACTTGATTGAATACGAAGCCTCATTTACATGAATATAAAGAGTTTTGATTAGCAAAATTGATTATAATTTTATATAAGTTTGAAGCCTTAAAATGAAAATTATTAAAAATTCGTTAAAAATATAAATGGGCAACGAACCATCATCTACGAATGGCAAGACTGATTTTCTCATTCACGATTCAAGGATCCTTTCTGGCCCTACTTTAATCAATCAAATGCAATAAAATCAATGGAGAATTGGATTGCAGCATCCGCATCTATTATAGACTTTGGGAGGATAACCTGAAGGAGAACAATATAGATATTATTTTGAGATTTGTCCAATCACATTGGCCTCATTGCTATCAGAGAGATACGGAACTAAATAATACTTCCCAGAAGAAGATTTATAAGCATTACTACTAGGGATTGTGAGTGCTTTGAGTTTTCTCTAAGAGAAGGGGATTTCACATGGAGGTATTGATTCATGCTTATAATAAGATATTTGCACATAAGAAATATTTTTTGATTCAAATAGTTCTAGTTTTAAAGTTCTAGATTCCAATTTGATTAATGGAAGAGCATATGCAATTCAAGAATTTATTAATGGTAAATTAAAGTATTTGGCACCAGAAATCATAATCCATCCTACCTAACCAATGTCAGAATATTAATTACATAAGAATGATATCTGGAGTTTGGGCATGGTTATTTTAGAGGCAGGTACTTTAAAATCAAATGATACGCTATATAAAAATGGATTGCAACCAAAACTCATTTAAGATAGAATTAATGAAATTGGTACTATATATGGAAAGCAGTTTGCAGAAAATATAAAAATGATGTTAAATTTCAATCCAAATGAAAGATTGGATTCAGTTAATTTATTTAATTTCCTTCTTGAATAATAACGTATAGCAAATGAATCTGAATAATAGATTTAATAATAATAATAATTATTATTATAATAATAGTAATAGTAATAATAACAATAGTTATTAATGAAACAATAATAAGTAATGTATTAATAATAATAATATTATTATGAATAAAAGATCTCTCATTAAAGTCCAGTTAATAGATAATAATAATAATAATCATAAAAGAATTTGTAATAAAATCAATATTTTTTTTAATAATAAAAGTAGTTATAATAACAATTCTAATTTAATTAAACGCAACAATCATCACCATATAGGAACTAGATCTAAATCTAACCACATATTAGCAACTAATAGCAAAGAACAAATTGCCATCAATAATAGCCTTCCTAAGATTTCATGATGATACAACATGAAAGAACTGTTTCAATTGAAAAAATGCCAAGTAGAATAATTAAAAAAATCATATATCCGGATTGTAAAGTCGGTTATTAAGACGGTTCCCATTCAGCCTCTCGTATGGGTATGAAATATTATGTTATGTTTTAGGACAAAATCAGTATTGGCAATCAAAACACACTCCATAAAAAACTCAGAAACAATCAAGCCCACTGCCGAGGTAACAAAGCTCCCCCTATTAATCGTAATTTATGTATCAGAAATATAATGTGATTGGCAACAAAGAAAATTAGGTTCCATTAAATACGAACGAATAGTTGAGATGGAAATAGGATATGGGGTAGTCGAAGTTGGTAGTTCAATAATATAATTAATAAAAACCTTCAATTAACGAGGAACCGATAAGGAGAGTAATAGTTTAATCATAAGCTTTAAGAGATAACTTTGTGTGAATTTATTATATAAATTATTATTATAAGATGTTGCCAAAATTACATCAAAGTTCCTCTGTCTAGGCAGTGAGAACATCTGAAGATTTCAGTTTAAATGAAGTCAAAAGAAGATAAAAATAATTAGAGTTGGAATCTTAGACAGTTGAGAATAGAATCAAATAAATAAGGAAAGAAAATGAGAAACTGTCAAAAAAAGTAGAGATGGCAGAACAATTGGCACTTGATGTGTATGCCTCACGACTTGCATAGAAGATGAAAGTAATTATTTCAGGTGTAATAAGTAAAATAGAAAGAACAGAAGTAACATCAACTATCTATGACTGATCCAACTAAATATTAGTAAACCCAGTATGAGAGAATGCATCTCAAAAAGATGAAGTAAGAGGTAAAGGAGATGAAACATTCAGATGCTTAATTAATGAAAAATTCCATTAAATTCGAATTGATGAGAACAAATGAAGAGCAAATTAAAATGGCCTAAAATCTGAGGTTGAGAGCAACTTTGAAGAAGGAGGAGGAAAAATTGTCATAAGCGATGATTCAAGAAAAGTTATATGAGAAATAGCAAAAGGTGAGGTTGGAGTAGGAGAGGGAGAGATAAAAGATAATAATGGAAAATGAAAAACAGGAGTATTCAATTAAACAATTAGAAGCGTAGGAGTTGAAGTTGGTTGAAAAACTATAAGCAACGTAATAAAGAGAGTTGGCTGTTAAGGAGAAGTTGATGGCAGCTACGAGATTGGCTCCTGAGGATTTTGATAGGACGTATTTAGGGGGGCAATCTATTATTTGTGATCCAGAAAAACAAGTAAAAATGCATATTAAGTAAATAAGGAATAAAAATAAGAAGAGTAAAAAGAATAGTAGGAATAATAGGAGGGCGGTTAATAAGGAGAAGGAGGATAGTCAGGAGAAGGAGGTTAAGGGACATAAACTGAATGAATTGATTTATAACGAAGAAAATCAGTATATATATTTGCATGAGTAATTTTCTTAATTCAAAATAATATTAATAATATGGATAGATCAACTCATTCAAATGCTGCTAGACCTGCTAGTGGCAACAAGGATAAAAATGACTTAGGGAAGAAGGAGCATGTGATAGCCTAGTTAGAACAGATTGTAATGGAACGTCTGAAAAGTACAATCAAGGATATTGAGGTAACTGATATTTGATATTTAAATCAGGTCGAATAAGAGAGATAGATGAAGCAAAAACAAGATCAAGGAAAAAACGATTAAGTTGCTGTGGCCTTATGGTCGAAAATTAAGGGATGGGCAACTGAGTAACCATTTAGTAACTGATTTAATTTAAATTTTTATAGAAAGAATAGCAAATCAAATCACAGATAATCAAAAAATACCACAAGAAGCCAGATAGCGATTCGCCAAACCATTTATGGATTAATAAAAATTGATTATGAATATAGAATAAGACAAGTCAAAAGTTAAAATTAAATTAAACGAACACTACTAAGCTTTGGCCAAGTCTACACAAGACAATCTTAATTCTGTTACAGCTAGTCTAGGGAGATTGGCATAAGCAGGTTGTTGTGGAAAAGGAGAAGCCTTGAGAAGTTTTGAAACTGAATTTAGAAAAATAGAGTTGGACTTTATTTAATGGTCATCATTGCCAAATTTAGAAAACAACAATGTTGATATTTTCGTAGTTAAGACAAATCTGAATTATGAAGATTTTAGATAATTCCTCATTAAATCTTTAAATGATTACTTTCCAAGTGCAGCAGGAGAAACTAAAATTATTGAAAAACCTGTTGATAAGATTGTCTATGTGGATAAACCAGTTGATAAAATTGTCTATGTCGATAAACCAGTTGAAAAAATTATATATGTGGATAAACCTGTTGAGAAGAAGGTCATTGAATATGTTGAGAAGGTTAAAGAAGTCCCTGTTTATAGGGATCAACCTGTTTAAGACGACAGATTGAGAATTGCACACGAGATGCTCTATGGAATTGGAAGGCCTTAAAATGTCACTGAAGCCTTAAACTTGTACTATGAATTAGCAGAAGTGAACTAAGATGTCAATGCCTTCAATATTATAGCCTAAGTATTTTCTGAAGGCAAGATCTTTCCCAAAGATTTGAACAAAGCATATACTTATTGGGAGAGGAGTGCTGCATAACAAAATGCGGAAGGTCTCTATAGAATAGGTCGTTTGTTATTGGATTAAGTAATTGACGGATAGCTGTTGTCCCAAGGGAAACTATAGTCAAGAGATGAATAGAAATAAGAAGCTGTTGTATTCTTTTAATAGGCCAGTGAACAAGGTCATCTGGATGCTCTAGTAGACTTGGGAGAGATCTTTGAGCATGGACTCAAAAGCGAGGATGGTGAATCATGTATATTATTAATCTCATAAATATAGATATACAAGAACCTAATTTGGAATCAGCTGAGTTCTATTATACTTAAGGAAAGAAGGTCAGGTATCCCAGAGCCATCAATGCGATGGGACTCTTCTATTATAGTCATACAGACTTCTAGGAGAAGGTCGTAGGAAATAACTATCGCAAAGCTCTCAAATATTTCGAAATAGCCAAAGATCTTGGTTATGCTAATTCACTCTATTGGCTGGCACAATGTTATGAATATGGATATGGAGTAGGAGTTAATTTGGAGCAGGCTAAAAGTTACTATAAGGAAGGAGCTTTGAAGGGGGATGTTGCATGTAGACTCCAATACATGCACTTTGTGATGAAAGATTGTAGCAATTCAGGAAGATAGGAGGATTATTTGTTTGCACATCAATATTTGATTCAAATCATGATCTAAAACCCAGAAATTACAGAAGTCTATTTCTATCTAGGACATCTCTATGAGTGCGGGTTTGGAGTATAAAAGGATCCACAAAATGCTATTCATTATTATTTTAAAGGAGCAAAACTAAAGAACCCTACTTGCATGACCAAATTAGGAGATTGTTATCATAGTGGATTCGGTGTTCCTTAAAACTAGAGAGAAGCTCTTAAATTCTATAAGGAGGCTGCTGAATTGAAGGATTCAGAAGCATTAATTAATATGGGTCTAATCTATGAATAGGGATATGAAGGAGTGAGCATAGATTTCGCCAAGGCTTTCAATGCTTATGAAGAGTCCTCCAAATTGGGTAATTCAAAAGCCGATTTTCATTTGGGTCTAATGTATGAGGCTGGGAAATATGTTAAAAAGGATGTCAATTATGCCATACAAAGATATTAGAAATCTGCTCAAATGGGATGCCAAGAGGCCAGAGACCTACTCAAAAAAAAATAGATTCCCATGTTGTATGATGATTCAGTTGGTGGAAGTACCCATCAAGAGCTCGGTATAAAATTCATATCTAGTTTAGGCATTCATGCTGCCAATAGAGATGCCATCATGCTCAATTAAGTTATTCCCTAGATTCAAAACCCTTTAGTTATTAATTAAGGTAAAAAAACTAATTAATCCATCATTGCTTACAAATCTCAGCATCAGGAAATGGGAGAAGGAAAAATGGTCAGTATTTTAGCTCATCCAAATGCAACTCAATCTAATTACGCTTAAAGCCAATATTAGAAACCAGGATTTTAGCATTGAAATCAAAGCAAATGATAATTTTATATTATAATTAGATTCACAATATTATGTTCTCCCTCTCAATAGATTACCATTCTATTCATCGTAAACTCCATTCAAAAGCAAACATATAACTTAGTAATTTAAATAAATTCTCTTTATTCTAAACAAATATATATTTCAAATGTTTCAAATTATTGAATGAATCATAATTAGATAAATTTAAAACTTATAATGTAGGAATTAGAAGAGTTCTTAGAAAAATAAAAGGATTTAAATATCAATATGCTGACAGACATACTGCAAACCTAAAGTCTCATCCAACATAATTTGTCTATTGGATTGGACTCTCTAAAAAAATGCATCGAAAATTTGCCTACTAAAATTGTCCCCAAACAGGGATTGTAATCCAGAATAACCATACATAGACAGAAGTATCAGGTTTATTCTACTTAGCCAACATCAATTTATTTTGAGCCAATTGAATCATAAGAATTTTATATCATACTTGAATTTAGAAGAGGAGATCAAGGAAATCTATAGAGACAGGATGTTCAATCTGTCCGTTAGTTTGAGAGACATGAATGGGGATCTTATACAGGATGAAGACTGTCCTATTTTCTTGAGAATGTAAAATTACCTTACAACTCAGATACACATCGGAGAAATTTCCAAAGGAAGTTGATTCAAATATAAGAGGGAAACCAATATTTAAAGGATAAACTAAAATACTATTTAGAGGAAAAGGTGAATTTTAAAGAATCTCCATCACTGAAGTTTTTCCATCATATAAATATTATATTAGGTTTCCTCTCATTTCCCTTCAGGAAAATTTCTTTTAGTGATATTTTCGGAGAAATCTTACATCAAACCCTACATAATTGATAATTTAATTGTTAAAGCGAAAAAATTGCTCAAATGAATTATTATAATTTCATATAAAAATATAATCCGAAGTTGTTTTATTTATGTTAAAAAATATTTCTCTTAATAAAAATTCTTATAATAAATTGTAATAACAAAATTAAATAATTCAAATTTAATTAAAATAAATTAAGTAAATAATATTTATAGAAATGTCAATTTGAGGAACTTAACTTTAGAACCAATAAGATTAGCAATGCATTTTTATAATAATATTCGTTAGTTGAGCTTAGGGAAATAAGCATTTTAAAACCAATATTTCTAATTGTAAATCAACTTATATATTGATATATGTATTTATAATAAATATAATTATCCATTTAATTTTGAAACTTGAATAACTTATCAATATATTTATTTTAAAAAGTAATAAAGTTTTTGTATTAAATCTCTTATTATTAAAGTTCTCAATAATCTAATTAATAGCATAATTGTACATAGCAATAAATTTAACACAAGTTCTGATATGTATGGATGATGCTATATAAAAAGTTTTTCTAATAAATTATCCTCCATCAAAAATGATCTAAGTAACAATTTTAGTAAGAACCCTTACTTATATAAAACTAAAAGCACTTGCAGCGAAGAAAAGAATAATGCTAATGCTCTTTTAATATTACATAAAAAAAATTATGTTATTGGTATTCTTGCTTTGGGGCTTGACCTTTGAGAGATTTTACATTATTATTTCTACAAAAGGATTTGTTATCAAAGAGGATATTGATTCAGTTAAATACAGAATATAGAATATATTGGAAAAATTGATCATTATTCTTATAAATTACAGCATTGCTCCCTAATTAGTAAAAAAATACTAGATGTATTCACTCATTTAGTATGGTGAACGAATGAATGTAAATAATAAAAATTGATTGAAAATTTGTACTTTAAATAATAGTATTTTATTTTATATAAAATTGGTTAAACAATGAAATCGAAAAAGAGAGAAAAATCATTAGTTAAGGAGCTTGATGCTATTAGATCATTAAAAAATGAGAGCATTGATTTGAGAGAGTTGGAAGATAAAATGGTTAAGTTAATCGAAAAAGCAGCTCAATTTTATCAGGATTAATTGGATAATAATATGGCCTAATTTTATTTTGAATATGGGAGCATTTTAGTTTAAATATTGGAGTAATCCCAAGATTCCGTTGAAAATTCATTGAATTGTGTGGAGATATCAAGAAATGACAGGGAATTGAAAAATACATAATTGGCTTTTGAGAATCTGGAAGCAGCAAAAACAATCATACGAAACAGGTTGGATAAGCAAAATATAGAGATGTATAAATTATAAGACTAATTGCAATGTAATAGTATTTAGATATTAATAGAGATTAGATCGAAGATCAATGAAACAGAATTGGAAATGAGTTTGATTTTGATTAGAATAGGAGACCTCTAGACTTGGAGAGAAGATTATAAGGATGGATTATTAAATTTTAATGCGGCATTAGACATATTGAAAAACTCATATAATTACAAAGAACTTAGTGCAGTACATTTTAAAATAGGAAATGCTATACTTTTATAAAATGAAAATGGGTGTGAAAAATTGAGTTTGAATCATTTGGAACAGTCCTTTCGTTATTGTTATTAGTAAATCTACAATAGAGAATGCGATCTGGATTTGAAGGAAAAGAATTTATCAAAGGTTGTTCTTGATAATGATTTATTGAAAATGCTACTGGAGAAAATGGAGGACACCTATATTTAGTTAAATGAAGTGAATGCTTGTTAGAAGGAGATAGAGAAATGGAAGAGTTCAGAACCAATTTTATAACAGGAGATATAATACTTAGGAAAAATTAGTAGATAATCAAACGCAATAAATGGTATTCAAATAAAAAGAAAAATTTGAACTTTATTAATTATTATTTTCTGCTTTTCATTATTAATTATTAAATCTAATGAATATAAATGGGCTTGAAAAAATTTGTAATTAAGCTACAAATTTTTGGAAATAATAATTCATTTCATCATCTAAATAAGATTAAGACGTTTCAACCAATGTTGGGTCGAATATCTTAGAAGAATAATCTATTTTTGAGATATCTGCTAAAAAAACTGAATAATATCTCTTCCCTGATATAGAAAGATATCACTTAAATATCGAAAAATGTGAGCCACAATTTCCTTAAAGTGTGATCTAACAGCCTCAATAATTAGAATTGGAAGACAATTATGAAGCCAGTTGTTCGCAATGCTCTGATTGTTAGAGCAAACGAAGAGATAAAAAAAAATCAAAATCAAGATCTTGCAAATCAAGTATTCATCTTAAATATATTTTTAAGCAAAATAGAGGTTTACCATATCCCAAGAAGCATTCATTATGGAATAAACAAGAAAGGGAACTAGCTTCACAGATATTGCTTAATAAATTCCAGGTTCAACTGTGAATTAAGTCAAACATCATCTCCTGAAAAAACTTAAAATTTGTAATAAAAATACTGATCTTCAAGGAGACAATATTACTGAAATTATCTTAAAAATTTAATAATTATAACAGTAATCAATTTTAATATTTTAGAAATGAGAATATAGATAATGCTGTTAAAATTAAAGAACTTAAAGAACATATATCTTTAGTAGAAAATCATTTGCATCAAACTAAGCAAATCATTCTTTAAAAATATATGGTATTATTTCAATAATAATGACAATGAGTAGATATCTTTTATATTTAATTGTTTAAATAGAATCACACGATTATTTATAATATTCTAATATTTCTTAATTTTCAATTTCTAAGAATGGAAGTTATTTGATCCTTACAAAAAAGAAAATTAAATGGAAAATGGAATCTCCTTATACAAAAAAAGATTACAAAAAAAACAGGGGTTTGATAATTATCTTTATGATGCTATTTATTTATAAATAGTGAAATAAAATTCAGAAGAATTCTAAATAAACTCTTTTGGTGAAATCATTAGTTCTAAGTTTTGAGAAAAAATCCTTTATTTCGTTTTCGTTGGTGAAAAATCTACTTTCTGATGAGACTTAGGCTAACTATTTGAGATAAAGCATATTCATATTTTAGTTGGCAATATTGAAAACTAGTAAGTGAATATTCTTTTTTTCGATTAAGCTCTTCAATCTATCAATTGACATTTGATTATAATTATGAACTCCTTCGCTAAATATACAAACATATCTAATCGTATGTTCATCTTTTTCTTCATCAATATTATCAATATCAATTTTATATTAATTCTATTAAAGATTATCTTCAATTCTTACCATGTTTTCATTCAAACTAACATTATCAAACTGCTATTCTTCATATTACTTCATTGCTTAACTGAATCCTCCTGAAAAGGTCTTGCCTACCCTTGGAGAACTAGTCTTGCATCTAAATTCCATATCAGAACATCGGAACTCCTCCTATTCTATTTGTTATTTAATCTAATTAGATTTCAAATGTAATGATAATTGTTTGCTTTATTCAGGCTTGTCTTTCTCAAATAGAGATGCTATAGTGATTTCCAAAGCTGAGAAGATGTTACCCTCGCCTCCTGGTTTTATCAATACCTTTTCTATAGTAGATTCTAACAGTTTTTTGTATGTTCCTTTCAATTATAAAGGGAATATCTCATGCAAGGATTCATTGAATGCATATAATCCAACAAATGAGTCATCATTTAATGACTAGACAACATTCTGACACATATGATGTGACAATGTAAATTGTTCATTCGTCATTTCAGAAGAGTAATCAAGTAGAAAGATTAATTCAAGTCGTTTCAATTAGTTTTATTGTGAAAATTTGATCAAGCAATTATGATCCACATTGCATCTTTTAAATATTTTAGTTAAAGTCTTCAATACGAATTTCTAGAATCCAGGATCATAGTGGCCTTCAGCTTTTAGAATTGAAATAAATTTATAGCAAGCTTCAACATACTCTCCTCTAATCATTAATAATGATGCCTAATTCACATATGTATATTACTTCTAAGCCGGTGAGTTTTTCCCTTAAGATTTCTAGAGGAATTTCTCGAAAAATGTCAACAAAATCACTAATTTCAAGTTGCTGAATTTCAGTTTTATTGGCTTATAAAATTTTTAGTCTCGCTTCAGCGTCTTCCAATTCCAACCTTGCTTTTTCTAGCATTCCAGCTCTGGCAAAGCAGAATGCTTTTTTGGTTATAATGTTTATTTTCATATATTAAATTGAAAATGAATCAGGTAGATTCTATAGATCATCCATGATATCATTAAACTATTTAACACTTTCATTTAGAAATGTTGATTGTGACTTTGTCATACTATAATTGTAGAGGATGCAAGCTAATTAGTACTTTCGAAAAACAATTTTGTGTTCGATAATAACTTACTTTTTGGAGTATTCTTCATTACTGTTGATTTTGGAGATTGGACTAAGTTTCTTTGGAGTTCCCAAATTGTCTAATCGTTCACTTGGTAAATCGGAATTTTCTTCTCTAATCGCATTTTTTTCTTCTTATATAGGTTTTCTTAACCAATTTGATGTTTATCTTGGTGTTTATTGACGCTATAGATGTGCTTCAGATTCAATAGAACTCTTTAATTAAGTAGTTTCATTTTAAGTTTTGAATTTTTAAGTAGTTGGTCTTCTGACAATTCCATTCTAAGAATTTTATATTACTTTGGTTTTGCTTTCCAAATCTTTAATCACTTCTTTCATGACCTTCTCCTCTTGCCTTTGAAATTTCTATAAAACATTATTTTTCAATCTGAGATATAATTTAATTAGTTATTAATCATCTTAAGGCTAAGCTGCTTGATTTGCATATTATTCCATTTCTTTTAGACTTTAAAGATCTTGATTAGCTATTAGAACTGATTCCTCCTGTTCATTCATGGCTTCGAGGTATCTTTGATTTCTCATATGGATTTTAGCAATATTATTGGCACAAATACCAACAGCAGGGTTATTATAGTATTTTTTATAGAATCTCTTAGACATACTTAAGATGATTAAGGCTTCAGCTTCATCCATATCTTTAGATCCCTGTAAGAGTTTATTATTTGAATATTTAATGCTATTCAAATAATTGATTATGACTTCATAGAATTTCCTTATTTCCTTGTTGTTAAAGAGATCCTTATAACTCTCTAAATTAAAATCTTGGACTTCGAGATACTTCATATCAACCTTCGTCAATTTAATCAATTAATTAATAGGAACTTCTAGAGAAAGTGCGATCACTACACCTTTCCTCCAGAAATAAAATATTAATACTACATGTAAGGCACAAGCAATAATAATTTCATTAATTAAGACAGTTGTTGCCTGATCGTTTTGACCAGCCAGTTGTAGGTAATATTGCAAAGACATGGATTACAAGTAGATCATAGAGCATTTCGTAATTATTTCTTTGGTTAAAGTAATGTTAGGGTAGTTGGGATGGGCAAAATAATAGGTTGAGAAAAATACAACTCTTTGTTCTCCCATTCCATCATATAGCATTCTCCATTGTCTGAATTCTATTGGGACTGTAACCAATGTGTAGAGTTAATCAGTGAAATCACTGGTTTGATTTGGCCAAATTTGTAAGGCATCTTCTAAAGTGCTATTGAGAAGTTGTCCATCAGAAATGATATTAATATTTCCATTTGTTAAAAATGAATTAATTACTGGTCTGCTTGAATTAATAATTGCAAGTTCTCTTTTCTTTTAAGCATGCAACTTGCATTCATAACCCTCTTTTCCAGCTCTCATTCTCCAAACATCATTCTTTAAATCTAACTTAGGAAAAGCTATCTGTGTGGAATACTAAGTAATATAATCATAGCAATCATCATACGCCTTACAATTGGATATAGAAGTATCATACCAATTGTTAGAAGAATTAGCATCTTCACCTTAAAACGATATGCCTAATCCATTTTGACATAAGAAGTGGAAATGATCAAAGGCATTATTTTGGACATAAATCAGTATCAATTTTGACAAGGGTGAATAATACTTTAAAAGTTCATACTATGCAGGATAGTTTCTCTCCAGTATTTACAAACTAGTAACATTACTAAAATGCCAATCGATTTTAAGCAAGCTCTGATCATCATCTGATTCTTAATAATCTTCGATGTAATATATAATATTTGAGATTGCATAGAGTGAATTGATATTAGGTCTATTGGATCTTCCATAGTAATATCTGGCGAATCTTATTTTGCTCTAATCTAAAATGATTGACTAATACCAAAGAAGTCTCATTATAAATTCCCTAAGAGAGTTTCTCGCTCTCAACTCTATATTCTTCATCAAAATATTCACCTAATAACAAAACCAGACTAAACAGAAAATAGTAGAGTGATAAAAACACAATCATTAAGATAAGCTTAATTCTCAACTTCATTAAATTAAATATATTAAAATTAAGAATAAAATATCTCAAAGTTCTTATTATTTTTACTTCCTAAAATTTTGATTTTTAGATTTGATATCGACTTATTAGATGAATGATCCAAATTCTTTGATAAGAATTTTCTATTCTCCAAAGGAATTTCCAATTGATATTCTTACAAACCCTCTGTGTTATTATGAGAATTATTTATGATAATTAGAGAGACTCTTTAAATAAAAAAAGATCCTATTTAAAATATATAGATTATTATAAATTGATCATAATTTAGCTTCATTTTAAATTGTATACATTTCCATTACTTCCTCCTCTTATTTCTTAGAGCAGTATTTATAAAGTAATATAGTCAAAACGAAACTTAATACAATGAAAATTGCAAGAAGCCACCAAATGTGTTCCTTTTTATTATTATTTTAATTTGGACTGATTTGTTAGTCTTAGTGATCCTCGGATTGTGTTGTAACATAAATAGAGACTTGTTAAGTCTCAAACAGAGAATTTATTTTAGTATGATTGAGTTCACTAACATTGATTCTATAAAGAATTTTATTTGTATTTTGAACTAAGTATTGATCAAACCGATACTCATAAGTGTCATTAATTCTACTTTGTACAAAATATGATTGAGGTTAGAGTTTTGGATCCGGGTTTCTTTGAGTTTTGAATTATTTAACATCACATTAATAACTAATTTCAAAGAGATCATTTTTTGTGATATTTGGAAGTACATAACCCTTATTAAACTGATCCCAAATTCCTGTGGTATTTTAATCTTAAATGATGCTTTTTTTGTCACTTCTTATGATAGTTAATTTGGTAACTGAATAGCAACCACCAAAATTTAGAATCATTTCTTTTTCTCCATCCCACTTTGCAATTAGATAAGGTTTAGCTAAATCAATTAAAGATAGAGAAGCCATGAGATTTCTATTAATATTACCATAACCTTATTGATATTTAGTTAGTAGCTTTTAATCATAGAAATGAAGAGGAGGCCAATTTTATAGCATTTGATTGGTAGTTTCAATAGTTCCTAAAGTATTACTTTTAGGTTATTTCAAAAATCCAGCTTCAATTAAGTAAGTCAACGCTCTAGCATTAGAGGATGGTTTTAGATATTCTTCTGAATTTCTATTGCCGCAAGTATTGGTTCTATCCCATCCAGCAGCATATGCCCAATCTTCGTAACCACCATTAACTTCATAAACTAAATCAGTCATTCTGCCTATACTATATTGTTGAATTTATAGATTATTATTTTCAGCAGCAATGTCTTTCATAATCCTTGCAATCATTTCCATGGCACTATCATCTGGTGATTCAGTAGCCATTCCATTTTATTTATGATTACATGTTCCCCAAGAATATGAGATACTCTAAAGTAATAATTTAGAATTTTACATTGTCCCCTCCATGAAAGGTGATCCCTAATTAGATAATATACTTGTTATAAACTTAGGCCAAACCTCGAGCAGCGTTAGTCTAAAAACAGATGCTAGACGGATTGTCAACATTGAAATCTCTATTAGCATCCTTACCCATTTCCTCTCTTACTTTATGGTAATAGCCATAAGGATTTACCATAGGGTAGAGTAGAATTCTCCTATTATTCAAAAATTCTAATTTTGATTCACTTGTTAGATACTTGGCTAATTCTGTGACTACATTTTGTCCAATGACTTCATCTCCATGAAAGCCAGCAGCTATTAAGACTGTTGGCAAATCAGCGGCATTAGGATTCTAAGCAAATTCTGCATAAAAAAATTGGCATTCTTCATCTCCGCAATCCAGATATCTCAGATTATCTAGATCCTTGGTTGGATAGTAGAGTCTAAAGACATCAGTGTGATCTATTTCTAGTTTTTTGAAGGTGTCTACGATTTCCTGGTATGAGTAATACTAATAGGCTTAAATCAATGAGAATAGTGTTAGAAATAAAGAATTCATTTTATTTTAAATATTATACTACTCTTCATTTCACAAGGAATAACAAATAAATATCAGATAGATTTAATTTCAAATTTAGTAAATAATAATATTATCAATAGGACTTGCTTTTAGTATATATATATAGCTCCAAATAACTTGTTAAATATATATTTTAATCCTTCTTTAAATCAATATAAAATTAATTTCCTGCATAAATTTAATTAATGATTGAGGAAGAGTACAGACCTGAAGACAAGGCTTCCTTCAAAAAGAAATACAAAATATTTTAGACTCTTGCTTCAATGATTAGATAAAGAGGGTATTTTGAATCTACTCCTGCTAAACTTGTAGAGGATGAGACTTTCGAAATATTTGAGTCGAAATATCGCGATAATTTACCAGAAAAAATCGTATGCTTCAAAGTAGACTATTTAATTAATAATTGAATAGAGAGATGATGAGTCTGATAAATTACTTATCATCTTTTACACTAAATAAGCACCTCTCACTCATGAAGAAGCAAAAAAAACCATTTAAGATTTCTCCAACAGGTAAGTTAAGAGACTCATCATGATATTTCCAACTGACCCTTTTGCAACAAAACCACAGGTCGTGGATAAAAAGGCAAGATTGTTTATCGATCAAGTTAATTCCATTTAAACTTACTCATTTGAGTTGTTTGGAGAAGACGATTTAGTCTATGATGTTACCAAGCATGAATTAGTGCCTCAACATATTATCTTGAATGACAGAGAAAAAGAAGTAAAACTATTTGTGATTACATTTAGTTATTATTAAAAAAATACGGGTTAGTAGATAATCAATTGCCAAGGATTCTACAAAGCGACCCCATTGCCAGGTTTTTGGGACTCCATCATGGTGATGTAGTAAAGATCATAAGAAAAAGTGAAACAGCAGGATTATATGTTACCTACAGAATAGCCATATGATTTGAAATATAAATTAGCTAATGTTAAATACCATTTAAGTGTCAAAGTTATAATTCATTTTAATTCATTTTAAGGCCATGTGTACAAATTTAGAAGATTCAGTACTAAATTTCACATGTTTTGGAGTTATTTTTTCATCAGAACTCGAACTATGAAATGAATCTCTATTCTTTAAAATACCCTTTCTCTCTATTGATTCCTTCGAAATATTCAACTAACTTGTATTTTTATTAATAGAAGCATCTCGTTAACGACAAAATTTAGATTCCTTCTAAACTGCCTTAATATCTCGCTGTTTAATTCTTAAAGCAGAACCAATCTCCTAATCCAGTGGACTATCCGACTATATTATTTAACTAGGAGGACTTTTTGTTGCCTTCTCAACATCCGCTTTGGTTTTTATATCCAGAGTCCCCAACCGCTCATAATTTTCAAATAATGAATCAAAATTTGATTGAATCTCCAAGTCTAAATCACTCGACATTAATTAAAGATAATATTTAATCTAAAAACCATTATTAAAGATTAGAAGAATAAACTTAATTATTGACATACAAATGAATAAATATCAATTACAATTAATATTTTATGCTAATTAATTTTGAATGCTTCCTATATCAAATAATTTGAATTATTTAATGTTTCAGCTTTAAGGAAATCAACTTATTTAACTCCCTCAAATTATTTAAACTCTATTTAGTAATCCAAATATGTGCATATCACATGAGTTATGCAAACTAAAACTTGGGTCAAGAGAAGAATCAATTTTGTTATAGAATTTTATTCTACATTACAAAATCCCATACCAACTGTAATCAACAAAATCACTCACTTATTAATATAAATCTAACAACTCTACAAAAATTATAGTTCAAAACCCAACTATCCAAAAAATGGAACTTTTCTTGTGCCTTAAATTCATCACTAATTTTTACTTGATAGATGTGCAAAAAGGAACATTCAATTCTTATAAACAATAAAATACCAAAACTCTCTGATCATATTAATAAGTTCAGTTCAATGTAAATTTGAATCATAAATATCATTGAATAAAACCTGTCCTTCATCAATATACCTATTATAATTTTACCAATCATTCTATCAATCAATTAAAATACCTTAAAAAACCATTATATTTCACCTTTATTTTATTGACTTTTTTATTTTCACATTTTATCCTTATTAAGTAATCAACAAAGTATTCCATACTAGTTAGTTTAGATCCTTATAATTTTATTATTTCTTTTCAATCTTCAATTAAATAACATCCCTAAATTTCGTATGATGTGTAAGTTTCCTGGCATCAGAAATCGTAATCAAGGAAAATGTTATAAGAGCAGTTAGGGAGATTATTTTAATAATTAATAAAATTATAAATATTTATGTAAAATAAAGTATAAAGAATCAATTTTCTGATTAGAAAATCTCTATCAAATAAATGATTTACATCTGATGGTTTCCATTATGAGTTGTTACATACTTCTTAAATTGTTAAGTAGATTTTAATTATTGAAAAATATAATAATATAAAGGTTTTTCTTATGTTTAGACCAAAAAACTTTGCTTTTTATTAGAATTTAATTTACGTAATATCCATATTTGACTTATACCCTAAATATTCTAGCTTAAATTTAGATTTACTCAATTCCAAAAATTATTTACATATTTGGCTCAAAATGATTCTTATAAATTCTAATAATAATTGGGATACCGAATATTAAATTAATATTTTGAAATGCTTTATTAAATGGATGAAACCTATTTTTAAAGAAAATATTAGTAAATTAAATTCATACATAATTAATATTTTTCAAAGCCTATTTCTAAAGTAAATCTTTATAGCAATTTTTTAATAGCCTCTACGAATGTTAATAGCACCTAAATAATTCGAAAACTAAAATAACAGTGCTTTGTTAATAATACCCAGTTTTCTACCTCAGCACACTAAAAAGATTCTTTATATAAACTAAAACGCATGAAGAATCTAAATATGTTTATGAGTTTTATTAAACAATCTAAAAAGGAAACTTATATCTATTTTTATATTTTATAATTATACAGTATTTATGTAATTTTTATTCCAATGAATTGACGCATTTATTAATAAAATGAGCAAATAATATAAGACCATAAACGATTTGCCAGATTGGGTGAAAATGATCACAGGTGGTATCGCAGGTAGTGTTGCAGAGGCTATAACCATCCCTATTGATACAGCTGTATGTTACTTATCGATGTTTCAATATAGAAAGTGCGACTCTAAATCCAAAAGCCAGATGCTAATGGAAAATACAGATATCACGGATTGTTACATACAACTCGTTAAATATATAGTGATGAGGGAGTTTTAAGTTTGTTTAAGGGTCTGACAGCAGGTATTCAGAGACAATTGGTGTTTGCATCAATCCGTATTGGATTGTATGAACCTGTAAGGAATAATATTAAGTTTCAAAGACACGTGATTTCTTCTGTGGAAAAGACTTCAAAGGAGACCCTCCCCTGTCGAAAAAGATCTATGCAGGTCTCGCAACAGGTGGAATTGGTATTTCAATAGCAAGTCCATTTGATGTGATAAAGGTGCGATTTTAAGTGGATGGAAATCTACCAGTTGAATAGCGTCGTTATAAAAACTTGACTGATGCCTACATAAAGATTTATAAGCAAGATGGGTATTTGATATTTTGAGAATTTCAGGTTGCATGGATTTTGGAGAGGAGTAACTCCAAATATCATAAGAAATGCAGTGATAAATTGTGCTGAGTTGGCTACATTTGATCACATTAAGGAATCTTTAATTAAGACTGGGTTATTCCATGAAGGTTTAACATGCCATTTTGCCTCAAGTGCTTGTGCAGGATTCATAGCAGCTGTAGTTGGATAGCCAGTGGATTTGATTAAGACAAGAGTTATGAATCAAAATGTTGGTGTTTTAACAGTTGTGAGTAACATCATAAAAAACGAAGTAAAAATTATAATCTATTATGAATAGGGATTGTCAAATCTGTATAATGGGTTTTCAGCAAATGCAGGTAGAATCATTACATGGAACATTTGCATGTTTGTTACATTAGGATAAGTTAGATTATATGCATTAAATAATTTCTATAAATCACCTGAATGATCTAATTTTATATATAAATCATGAAAAATAATTGAATAGGTTTTCAATTGGTTCCAATTAAAATAAATTAATTTTAGAAATTTCTAATATTTTTTAGAGTCCGTTGAAGGTATTTTTGCTTAAGTAAACATTAAGTCGTTTTTAAGATTCTTAAACTGGAGTTTGAGCCTTTTGCTTATCTAATAGGATATCTATCCAGCATCCTTAAATTGAGGCAATGTCTAAGGTTTTATAATGAGAGAAGTTTTGCAATAAAAACTAAATCAATTGATAAAATAGAATACCTTTATGTCCTTATGAGTAATTGTCAAAGATTTTATAATGAGTTTGTCAACAAGAACAGTTGGAAATTTCATTGAAGATTTCAAATCGAAAGCATTTTCTAGTAGGATTGTTTTCAATTTCTTGTGATTTGTTAGGTCTACTCCTTTTTTGAAATCCAAATAAAGCACTTCTAAGTCCAATTATTATTATAAAAAGAAGTTGAGTGTCTCTACTATTCGAGCATCCACAATAGTAATTTTCAAGTATAGTTTCTTAAGTTTCAGTTCAATAGATATCAGTTTCTCTATGAGTTAATTTTGATCATTTCTCACCTCTAATTTTATACAAGTGATTTTGTGTTTCATAAGTTCAATTAAAGCCAGATCTGAAATTTATTGTTCCTTAATTATAATTTCCTCAATTGATGAATTTAATAGAATTTCTTATACTTCCTAAGATATTTATGGGTTATTAGTTCCTCTGAAATCAAATTTCAATTCTAAGGCTCGGAGTCCAGTATTTAATTTCATAAGGTCAGCAATATCTTCATAGCTTCGAAAGCACAAATGAGTAATTTCTCTGATTTATGGTCTCTTCTTTTTGCCCACCAAAGAAGTCATTTAAACTCGCTTATATAAACAAGGGTATATTAAATATTTTAGGTTGGTGCATTTTGCTATGTGTAAATGATTAAGTACCTATAAATGGCTTGAAAGCTTTCATTTTAGTGTTTTATGCTTAAAAATTTAAGGACTCTATTGATTAAATGGAATAATAATTAAACATCCTACAAACAAAGCGACACATCAATTTTTCTTTTGGTGTTAAGAATGCAAATATTTTACAAAATACAACCTTGGACGATTCAACTATGCATTTCTTCTTTACTCTTGTTTTTCGAATTTTTTTGCTTATTTAATTCATAATATTTATAATTATATCATAATTAGTGCAATTTATCAACTATTTTCTTAAGGTTTGTAAATCAATCAATATGATAATCATCCATTTCAAGAGCTATAGAATATTTGCAATTGAATAGACAATCTTCAATGCCATTTTCATATATTTTGGCAATTTTTTATAAATATTTTTTGAGACTTCTCTCTTCGTCAAGCTTTCTTCTATGATCTTAACATTTGACTATTTCCTAAACACTTTTTAAATACGCTCTCTTTATTTAGGAATTGTAATAGGATTCAATTATTATGATCATTTATCCTGTATTTCAATTTCTAATTCGTTAATTTGATTCTTCTTATCCATTAATATTAATTATTATGGATATAATATTGATAATTTTTACACTTGGGTACTTGGTGTAACATGCTGGGGCTTACTTCTTGATTAAATACATTTATGAGAAAAAGAATATTTCAGGATTGGCCTTTGAAACCTAAGTGATGTATTTTATTGGAGCTGTGATGCGAATCCTCTATATCAGTGATACCAGATTATTAAGCTTCTCATTAATTTGGATTGAGTTGGTCATCTCAATTGTATTGAGTGCTTACATTTTTTATCTTTTCCATAAATACAGGTATACTCCTTTTCATCTTTTATTATAGACATACACGTTTCCATTAAATATAAAATCCATATGTTTCATATCAAACTATCATACCCGTTTGTTTAGTCTTGTCTTTCTTTTTCCACCCTGGAACGAAGAATGAAAATTACTTCACAGTTCAAATGTTCGTATCCATGAGTATGTTTATCGAGGCTTGTGGCTTGTTGCCTCAAATTTATGTGAGGTAATTTTTTGTAGAACCCAATTAGCAAAAAAATCGGATCAATTGAAGCAGACATATCCAAATATCTTGTTGCCATGGGATTTTCCAGACTTCTTAGATTAGTCTTTTGGGTTATGAATTACATGGCTGGAGAAAAGTTTGTGTATTTAATACTTGCAGATGTTATACATACAGTCATCATCGCCGATATCATGTTCATTTGGATAAGAGATAAAAAAAAGGGAGCTATTTTAATATGATAACAATCTGCTTAAATAAAATCAATTGTACATCATTATTACACAATATTAAAAAATTTAATGTTATTTACACTTGTTTGCATGGCAACAATTGCTTTCTCGTCAATATCATATCATATCATTAATAATACTAATATATAAGTGAGAATCATTTCATAGGGTCGACCAGAAATGTATTCATCACCTTAAATTTTAAGAAAATACACTAAAATCTGGAAGTGCAACACTTAAATAGATTCTCATGAGGATAAATTCTAATGTTGTTTTTATATATTATATAAGAATTTAAGTATGCTCATTAATTATGATTCCAAACTAAAATGGTATTATTTAATTTAAAATATATTTAATATAACTTACTCATTTTCTGGATTATCAGACCAATCTTATTATTAGTAGCATAAATAAGATAACTAGACTACTAGGGTTTTTTATTTAATATATAAAAAATTACATGTTTATTATGTGAAGATTAATTAAGCTTAGTACCGAATATCTCAATCATTCCTGAATTTATAATTATTCAATACTTTTTAATTTTATTAAATCCTTTTTTTCACAAGTTTTGCAGATGTTTCCAATATAATATCAAAAATTACATAAGCAAGATCATTCTATTAAATCAATTGTATAATAATATCTCTATTAAATAAACATATCATATATCATGCCATTACCAATACCAATGCTCAAATAGAATAATGACCAGAATTCCAAAAAGTAGTAAACTCGCTATTTTTTTGTACTTTCGGAAATTTTACATATTCAGCCTTGATATGCTTCTATTCAAAAGACACCTTTTTAATTTAATGAGTTTAATACTTTCAAAATGGTTTCATTTTTTTGCGCTGTATTTTCTCTTAATTTCTCCAAGTATTGTTAGATTTATTTTTCGTTGTCCTCTTCTAGTTTGCACTTTGTTATATCCAAGATATTAGTAAAAGCCATTATTGTTTCCAAAGTTGGAATGTCCAAGGCTTTCAATTTAATGTATGTATTATTTTCAATTACTAAATAATCATATCTATGTCGAAATTAAGTGTTCTAGATTTGATCATAACAAGAAAATGCATAGAAGATGCGAAGTTCTATTTTAAATATATAATGTATTACAAGGTAGTTTGGTAACAAATGCATTAAATACATCTTGTTTTACGCTGTTTGATTCGTAAGAGCAAAATAGTAATTCCAATATTTCAAGGTTTTTGATTGACTCCAGAAATTTTAAAAAGTTTTAGTAATGTTCTTCTTTAAAGGTTGGTCCCCACAACTTGATTTTTAATACCTTTAATTATTCCAAGGGTGGAAATTCGCTGGTAGAAAAGAAGTTATTTATCTCTTATACATGAAATGATAGAGAAACTAAACTTCTACAACCTTCCAAAAAGCTTTTATCCTTAAGTTCCATTACAGATGACAAATCTAATTGCTTAATATTCTCGAGGGGCAACCATTTGAGTGATAAGAACTTATTGATTCCAACAGAATTGATGGCTGTATACTTTTGGAAAAACTCTTTTAAATATTCTTGTTGAGCTTATGAATCATTCAGGAAATCATGGAAAATAACTTAAGTCAGATACTGTGGATTTACTTCGTCACATAATTTGTGTTGATCTGATGAAATTGGAGGCAACTTTATTTTGGTTAATGATGAAAATTGTTCTAGTATTATTTGCTATAATTAAAGTACTGATAAAATTATTGAACTATTGGAACGTTCCTTTTTGTACTTGTGTGACCAGAAATCTTTTCAAGCATTGTAAAACCACAACATTGCATTGATGAGAAACCAATCTCATTTACAAATGCTAAAAAGGTGTTAAAAATTAGAAAATCAAATCCAGGATATCAGGTATCAAAGGAAATACAAACGATTCCTCATCCTCATTCAATTTTATTATTCTTCTTCCCTTACTAAAATCTTCCTCCTCTCCTTCAAACTATTGCATCAAATTATATTTATGCTTTTTATAATTAATTAATACACTTATTCATTTTTATTGAATTCGTTTTCCTTCAGTCCTCTATCATTCAACAATCGTATATTATAATAATAGCAATCTGTTATTCGAAAGTATCCAGTTTTTTAACTATCTATGAATTTGTTCTGCCTTTATCATTTAAAATAAAGGCAAAACCTTTTGCTTCTCAAAGAAGATGGAATATGAATCAACAATATTAACAATGTATAAGTATTGTTTTTAAATATATATGAAAAGTAGAGAAACGATTATTTTATTTAACATCAAATAAATTTAATGAGTATTTCATTGTCTGATGTGAAATTATTCATTGTAAAAAACAAAGAACCAATCATCATCAATATCTCTCAGGGCCTGGAATCAATTTTTCATCTCGAAACATTAGCTGGTACACTAAATTTAAAACAATTAAGAGCAATCTCCCATCAATATTAATTTACCTTTGGTGGATACAAGAAATCCTTTGAAAGTAAGAGTCAATAACAAATTTGCACAATTCAATCCAAGTGAGCTCGAAAGCTTCTAATATTATAAGTTACTTCTCTAAAATGGGTAGTTAGTAGAAGGCAAGATTTCATCGAATGATGACTACGCTTTAGCCTTTAAAATCAGACAGATCCCCAATCCTATGACCAATAATTCATCCATGTTATCTAATTCTCAATCTGTCAAAAACAAACTCTACTCAATAGAACGAGGAACATCGGAATACTAATCTGCTTCATCTTTGAGACATAGCATACCCGAGGTATCTTTTAGTTAGGCTCAAAGGTTATTCTATTTGCATCTATTTTAGATTTACAAAAGAGTACCTCAATACAACCGAATATAATTACAACGTGCCTGGTACTATAGGTAGTGGTCGCAAAGCAAGTTTTGGATATGGATCTAAATAAATTGCTCATGCATATGTTTAAAGAAATGCAGAATAGAATCCTCCCCCGAATGCTTATTTTCTGGGAAACCCCATTTTGTTCCGTAAAGAAAATAAAACTAATTTGCCCCAAGATGAGAGATGGAAAAATTAAAATCTTGTGACTTTACCAGGTCCAGCCTCTTACGAAACCTCAAATTCCATAGGAACTGACAAGGTAATTAGTTTGAAATGCTATATAGCCCGCAGCAACTATTGGGATAAGGTTTAAACCTGTGATTACTTTTAAAGATTCAGTGCCAGGTCCTAATTCTTATGAAGTAAACAATAGACTCATTGAACAATCGAGATTTAATAAAATTTCATTTGGTTATGGATAAAAAATTGATTTCACAAAAAACAATCAAACTCCAGGTCCAGGTGCTTATGATCAGAAATCAGTATTTAAAAGAAACACAAATTAGATTATTAAGAATCTTACACAATTACGTCATAATGATTCATGAGTATAATAAATTAATCATTTTATATAATATATCTGATTAGAATGAACTGAAACTAAATCACAGCTGAATAACTGCAATGGAGTTATATTATTGTTACTAAGGGGTTTAAGGATTAATAAATATTTCAAGTAATTTGAGATACTGTATAATTTATTACTCAAATAATCACTGTGTGACAAGATCTATTATATATATTGAAAAATAAATGTTATTTCTTTTTTTTTGAAAGTAAGGAACATCTTGATAATAAGTTCTTTTTCGACTATTATTATTTAATTTGATAGTAAACTTTCATTGGTATCACTCAAGTTTAATTAGTAACTAATTTCTGGTTGCGATTTGGAGAGATAAATGAAAATTTGGATTCATTTTCAATTGTTAAACATGTAATTAAGGATTTAAAGGAAAATAGATAACAGTTTTTAAATTATATATATAAAAATTATCTAGAAAATAATGGATAAATTTGGTACTTCCTTTCAGTCTGTTGAGGGGCCAACTGATGGGCCTAATCTAAAAAATGCTAGGTTGGTGGGTGTGTACATTGGAGCCAATTGGAGTGTTCCATGTTAACGATTTACTCCTTCGTTGAGTAACTAATTATTGTATTGAGCAGTCGAGTTTTACACGAAGATAAATGAGGATATTCAATAATTCGAAATAATTTACATTGGTATGGATGAGAATGAGGAGAAGTATAAGGAGACAGTTACTGATATGCCTTGGTTGTTTTATGATTTCAAAGAGTTTATAAAGTATTAAGTGTATTATGAATATAAAAAACATATATAAGGTAAGAATAAAAGTAATGCTATAGGCGTCCCTTGTTTGCTTATTTTGAATCCAAACAATGGCTAAGTGATTACGAATCAAGGGAGAGGCACAGTTGAAAAGGAAGGCCAGGGAGCATTCGAGAAATGGTTGACTCAGATGAGTTTCAAATGATATATATAAAGATAATATTTTTGGATACTATTGTATGATTGTATTCAACATTTCAAATAATCTTCCAAACTCTCCTAAGCATATTGGCCAGTTTTGGCAATGTCAAACACCTTCTAAAATTGCTAATTGCACTTTGCATTCCTTTGACTTATAAATAGTAAAGATTGAATACACTCCCAAAAAGCAATCGATCAATGATAATGCACTATCTTTGCAAAACTCTGGTTCAACATGCTTTCCTAAGGGTGTAGATCTGCAAAGGTTAAAACTTTTCCTTTGGTCCTTGCACACTTGATTACCCTTAATAGAATAGATCATCAATTATAAGCTACACACTATAATAATAGATAATGAACCTTTCATCATTAGTATATGTATACAAATCTTTTGCAATAGCTTGTGAGGCCATATTTATTCTTATAAAATATAAATATAATTAAATATATATAATATAAAAATATGAATAATTGACAACAAATCGAAAAAACTATATTGATATACTTTTGAATTACTAATCAAATTATTTCAGTTCATTATTTACAAAACTCAAAAAAGCATCCAAAAAAATAGAAATTAAGTTTAATGTAAAATTACCTCCATGAATAGCTTTGTTAGGAACATTAGGATCGAATAGTGGCTGTGGCCTTTAACGATCAAAATGGTCTCAGCTAAGGATTGTGTCTTAAGTGTTGGCCCCAAAGTTGCAATAAGAAAGTGGTGCTAGTTGAAGACTTGTTAGATATGACTAAGAACATTAAAGAAGAATACTAACAAATGGATACTGAAACAAGAAAGAACATAAGGACTCTCTATTAATTGATTTAAGAACTAGAAAAACTCAAGGCTTTTATGAAATAACAAATAAATGAATCTATCAAAAATGTCAATGACTGGATAAGGTACGTTTCTGATCAAGATCAATGTGCCAGAACTTCTCTTTCAGTTCTTAATATCGATCTCAACGCATCACTGCAGAATGCCTAGTAATAAGTCTAAGAATTATAAAAAGAAAAAGAAAAATTTCTTTAATTTATTTAGCAAAAACTAAAAGAACTCAAAGATAATGATCATTTTAATTCTTGTAATTAATTACTTACAGACATCGATAAAGAAAAGTTAGATCCCCCTTAAATCTAAAGTCCTGAATCCTTAGTTGATAAATCAATGATTACATAAAAAAATTTGTTTTGTTAATAGCACAATAACCAAGGTATTATTATGGTAGACTTAAATAAAAAACCCAAGATTCCTAAACGATTGGCATGTGTTTATTGTATCCAATATAATCCTACGTCATACACAGCTATTTAGATTGCTGAAAAGTAATATAGGAAATAAGAAGCCTAAAAAATTGAAAATCTCAAAAAGTACTCTAAATCGATCGATGAAATGAACCAGACATTCAAGTATATAAATATATTTTTATATAGAAATTTCATCCAAAATGTTACTAGTTCTTTATCCGAAAAAAAAGAGAAGATTAAATCAAAAAGCTGAAACCCATTTAAATAATCTTAATGTCGATTGGGAAACATTGAAATATGACGAAGTCTCAGAATTTGCAGAAAAATTAAGTTATAATGGACACGAAGATTTTTCAAAGTCATAAATTTATTTGGATTTTCTAAAAATCAATTAGGAAGTTAATAAAAAGATTAATGATGCATTTACTGAAATTCAATGCATTTAAAATTCAGGAGAAACTCAAATTAAATAATTGATGAACAAAGATTCTTTAAATTCTCATGAAGCTTAAACTGATTTAAATAGCAAACATAATTAAAAAAAAGAAAATATCCAGATAAACAAAACTCAAAAGATTGCATAAGTTAAAGATGCCAATTCTAATAAATAGAAAAATCAACCAGAAAATACTCCTACAAATACTGATTAAAACATAGAGGGAAAAAGTAAAAAAAAGAACAGAAGTAAAGAATAAAATTCCAATTAAGATGCTTAGAAGAGAAAAATAAGCACAATCAATTAAAAATAATCTGAAATTGAAAAACCTATCAGTAAAGTCTAAAAGAATTAAAAGAGAACTGATATTGAAAAAGTGTTTTCATTTTTATTAAATGATCGCTCAATAAAGCAGGAGGATCCTTGCCGATCCTTTGCCTTTAATTCTAATTGTTCATATCTAATTGCAGCTTGTGACAAATCTATTAAACTTTTTTCATTCAATACTGAACACTTGATATTTCTACAGAGTTTGAACGACCATCCAAGTATGATTGTATGTTGCACATTCCTCAAAGGGTAGAATAGATTTATATCTGGATGCTTAGATGGATCAATGTTAATTTGGTCAAATTGTAAAGAAAACGGATCAGTATGGGAATGCGAATAAACTTTGAATGGCCATACAGATTATCTTGGACATATTATACATGGTAAAGTTGAGAATATGATCATATCATGTAGCAATGATAAAACCATAAGGTTTTGGAAGAAATCTTAGAATTGGGAATTGAAATAAATTTTAGAAGGTCACAATGAATATATATGTAGTATTAGTCTAAATGAATCAGAAAACAAGTTGATATCAGGAGCCTATGATGATTAAATATTAATAAGCGAACCAAAAGGATAAGATAAAAAATGGACTGTAATACAATTAATAAAAGTAGAATGGGGGAGAAGATTATGTTTTATAACTGATACTTTATTTACATTTTAGCCTTGTAAAAAATAATTAATGCATGTTTATGAGTAAAAGGATTCAACAATAGGCTTTATAAAATCAAGGGAAATCAGAGTTGAATCAAAAGGAGATGAATGTTTTTGGCTATTCCCCCAATAATTTAGTAAAAAAACGGGGATTTTAATAAATAAGAATTGCCATCTCGTAAACATTATTAGATGGAGGAGGAAGAAGAAGTTTTATACTGATTAGGTGATATTTTTTGGTACAAAGGAAATTTATGGGTCAATGACGGATGATGGCGAGTGGTTAGTTACATGGGATGACAAATCCAAGGAAATCCAATTAAGACATTTAGAAATAAAATTATAAGTATAAGATTTATGATTATCATATACAATTTGATTTTTAGATTATTTTTTATTCTAGTTTGTAAAATATTATAATTTTAATTTAATAATGCAAAATAAATCATTTAAAGATATTTTAGGTTTATAAGTAGTTAAAGTCTAACTCGTTTAAAAACCTACAAAAGAAAACAAAGATGAACCAATTCACTATGGAGTCATTGTAACAACAACAGAAAAATAAGAAAAATAGGAAAAATAAGAAAAATACTTACTTCATAATGGATATAAATTTGGAAAAATTTAAGATTTTATTTTGACAAGCGCACATAATCTTAGCAATAATTGGGAGATCACTTAAAATTATGAATTAGAGACACCAATAAAATTAAATATTTTATTTTAAGCTGGATGTTGTGGATAAAATATGAGATATCATTCTTAAATGAATAACAGCAAGCATGCTTAAGATAGAATAGTCAAAATGGTTAATGATTTAATTAACTCTAAATAAAATATAGGCTGAAAGAACCCCTTTTTCAGTAGTGAATAGTTTTAATTATTAAATTCTAATAAATAATCTTGATAGAGTTTCGCGATTAAAATAACTGTCTTCTTTTTAATATTCGTAAAAGTATCAGCCCATTTTTATGGCATTCTTATGTAATTAGTTGGATTTAATATGCCTTAATATAGACATAAAAAGTAAACTGAGAATTATGATAAAAATAAGAGCAATTATTTAATAACTAAATTTGTAATCATTCTTAATAGCTATAAATCTAATAGATATTATAATCTAAGAATGTTAGATAGGTGAAAAAGTAATAATAATTATAATTCTCATGATTTTATAGACCTTGGATTTTTATGGTTTTCTATATCTTAAGAGTTCTATTAAAATGGTATTTTGTGAAAGAAATATTTTTATATAGACAAGTAGCACATCAATACTACTGAAAATATGAAGTAATAGTTCTCCATTATCATCGCAGGCATAATATTTTCAAAAGATTACCCTATAACCATTATTATTGAAATGCAATGCACAATAATTAAGGAAATGTAATAAGCTATCTTCATGTATTTCCTATTATATATGCAATTCTTACATGACTTTTTACAACGCTTGACTTGAAATTTAGATCCTGCAGCAGGATTAAATTATTATTATTAGGATAAATAAGGACAGAATTAGCCAGTCTATTAAATTCAAGAGCTTGAGACTTTAATCAAGGGTAAATATTTTAATCCTGTATTGACATTGGACAAAATCAAAGATATAAAGTGGCATGGATAAAATTGGAAATATGCAACTAAATACAACTTGGTTCAATAAGGGAACTTTGACTTTGATGGGTAAAGTATTTGTAAATTCTTAATAGATGATGTTCAATATTCCAACTTTGCATGCAATGTAAGCAATTTAATTAATATAAATGAGCGAGTGATCCAATCCCTATAATCTACAAAAGCTTTATTAATATCTAATTAATTCAATCAAATTTAAAGTGATATTTGTTCCGATAATTATTATGTAATAGGTAAATAAAAGTTTCCATCTACAATCAATTGATTTGTCGACATAATATTGTGAAATATTAATGCTAGAATAATACACAAGTTATTGCTCAAATTTATTCCATTTCTGTGTTCTTTGTTTGATTTTTTTCAATTTTTCATTATCATTGCAAACCAAAGTGTTAGATTATTCAGTATATTCTTACACATTTTGTGTGATTTGCAATTACGAGTTAGAAATATCAGCAATTTCTCTTATTGTAGGTAATCTATCCTAAAATTCTTTAGGTATTCTGAAATTATTTTTTATAGATTATTAATCAAATACCTCTACAATTTTTCTATTCTTTTTTGTTCACATTGTTTCAACATCTCATTAAACCTTTACTCTTCCAAAATCTAATCCAACTACGTTTCAGATTGTGTTTATTGAAACTCAAGTTCAACAACAGTTTCATTTTCAGGGCTTGTTTTTAGTGCAACATTTTCAAAGCTAATTTATTCATTATTTTTCATATAGAAATTTAGATATTTTAGAAAATTATTAAACAATTGGGAATTATTATTAAACAAAGCCTATTCTTTCAATTGATCCCAAATAAATTAAACAACAAAATCAAAAATATACTTCCGAAAAAAATTTGATTTTTTTCTCTATGTATTATTCAATTTGAACCAGAATTTTATTGAATATTTATTTCAGTATTCAACTAATTATTCTCGCCTTATTTCATACTCTATAAAGACTTTGGACAACATAATTAATGTATATACACTTAATAAATGTAAAAAGAAAATGATTATACTCATGTTATTAGACATTTATTCATTTAAATATCTGTCTCTAAAAACATTGTTAAATTAATTCATATAAATAATTTGTTTATTAAAGTTGATCATTCCATTCATTAATAAGTCAATAATTATTCATTTTTTAATTTAATATATACAGATATTAATACAAGTTCTAATCAGATATTCGTTAAAAAGAAGCCGACTCAAGATTGACATAATAAAGAACAATCAAATAATAATTTCTAGATATCTAGAAATAAAAATTAAAGATTTTAACTATATTCAATGAAATCCTTATATAACGAAATGGATAAAATACTTCCTTAAACTAAGACTACAGGAGCGTTATGGTTAGGGAATATCAAGGCAGCTTAGAATATAGTTAGGCTCAACCAAGAGAACATCAAAACAGTACTCACAATAGCCAATAACACCAATTTATCTTACCCTTAACATCAAAGAGTGAGACACAAGGTAATTAATCATCATTTATATAGGTTTTCGAAATAAAGGACAATGACAACGTGAACATTCTTGATTTGATTGAAATAACAAATTAATACATAGAAGAGTCACTCTAATAAGGTTCTGTGTTGGTTCATTGTATGGCAGGAATTTCTCGCTCAGTTTCCTGTGTTATAGCCTACTTGATTCATAAAAATAACTGGAATTATGAATAAGCTTTTAAGTTCGTAAAAACCAAGAGAAATTGTTCCAAACCTAATGAAGGCTTTAAGAAACAATTAATTTAGTATGCAGAGCAAAAGTTACCAAACAGTTAGACTCATGATAACCAAGAAAAACTATTAAATGATTTGAGGAGGAAATTGTACCTCTCCCCAGATGATGTTGTTAAAAAAACTTAATTAGTGAAGTCGCCTTAAAAATAGATTACTTCACTAAATTAAAATTCAACTGCTGAAGAAAAATAACAATATCGTTAGTAAATGGCATAGAAATTGTTTGTGAGTACATTTTTTAAAGACAGCTTACATAAAAATAGCTATTCCTTAACATAAAATAAGATTAGGACTGCTCAACCTGTGACTAAAAGAGCTCAATTGAGCATGTACCGTTCAATATAGGAATCTGACTTTGGGTTTTTATCAGACAGATTGAACATAGCATGATTTTTTTATCATTTTTATATTTAAATTATACATTTCCATATAAATCCAATATATCACGTTAGTCATTTAGTATCTTTAATAAAATGGACTATACAATTTCAGATAAGAATATAAAATAAATTAAATTAATTTGTTCTATTTTAAGATATAAGAATAAATTTTATTATCATTAATCCAATGAATCCATAAATTAAAATTGCGAATGTTGCTTTTAGTTAACTCTTTTTCTTTTCCAATCATCTACAATGTTATTCGAATTTAAAAACTCTAATTTATTATTCTAATTAAGTTAATATTATATACAAATTGTATTTGTCTTATTTGTTCATTCTGAAATTAATCATAATTTTACTATTGAGCTTGCCAGTAAAATTTTTGTTACTTAGGGGAATTGTTGTCCAAATTGGAACTGCAATTCCATTAAGGAGATGTAAATGTATTTTAATAAAATTGAAATTACTATGTAGGTGTATAAGTCATTGGAGTTTGATTTATCATAGAGATTGGCGTATTAGTATTATAAGTAGATTAAAATTGTTTCATATATTATTCCATCATCATTTTATATTAAAGTTGATGGAACTCTTCCATCTAATTTCTATAACTTTGATAGAACAATTAATTCTAATTTTATTATTAAAGATCAAATTATTATTATTATTATTATTATTATTGGAAAATTGGCAAAAATAGATTGTTTAAAGCATATGGTGTTTAAATACTATTAATCTCAGGAATCTAAATTTGCTATTATGGTTATAATCGTTAATCAGAATGATGAAAATCATTAGATAACCCAGAATTTTAAACATTAAGTTTGTTTTCATTATTTTCTTTTAGATTGATTTAATTAATTTAAATATCAAATTCTTATTTATTTGATTCTGTTATATTTTTGAGGGATTTGAGATGATTTTTACTTAATTTCTTTTTCTTGTTTATTTTTTTAAGATGCTTAGATTGATTATGGAGTTTTTTTGGTTTGCACTTGAACTGTTAAGAAGATTGGTTTTTTTAAATGAGAGGATCTCCTGTAACTTGATCAGAGGAAACTCCTAATTTCTTTAGATAATCTTGGATAGCTTGAAGTTCATCTAATTCATCATCATCTTCATCCTTGAATATCTTTTGCATTAAACTTTTGAATCTTTATTTATATTAAAATTGAATACCTGTTCTTCACTTGATTTTCAGTTCTTCCTGTCAAGGCTGCCGATAATTATGACCATCTCTTACCGTTTTTCACAATATTAGTCAATAATTGAAGGTCTTCAGTTTATGACCAATTGGCTCTAGGGTATAAATGCTGATTCTTACTTATTCAATTTTGGGTTAAGATAATTCATCCACCTTTCTCTAACCTATTTGGGGGTTCGTATAAATAAACCACTATTTTTATTGTACAACTCCAAGGCAATAAATGTCCATATATGTTTCTCATCTTATTCACTAATTTGTTTTATACATTTTTACTTCATTAAGGAGCGGATGATTTCATCTTCTTGAGAATCCCAATTAATACTCTTTTGAACAGGGTTTATTAGTGTGATCCATCGTTGTTTCAGAATGGTTTCATCAGTTTATAAGATACTCGCAAGCTCAACCCATTCTTCTTTGTTTGGGTTGATGATTTTTTCATTTTTCTATTGAAAATACTTGCTTAGGACCCAAATGAACATCATTTTACATTGCTTATCCCATTTTCTCTTTTTACTTTATTTTTCCTCTTAAATCAATCTGTTGTTTTTATATATAGATTTCTTACTTTTAAGCAATACCATCGAAATACTTGCTGTTCGGATTTATGAAATTTTCTTTGATTTTAAATTGATTTCTAAAATAAAATGGAATTTCAGCATTTTTGATTGTGCCAAGTTACGAAATGAATTTCTGAAACATATATTAATAATAATTTAATTTTGAAATACTGGTAAAATTCTTTACAAAGGAAAGTTTTAATATTAAATCTCAATACCTCCCAATCCTAACCATTGTTGGTAGCCTTTTAATAATGAAATTTATGCTTTAAATTAAATGTATAAAAGTTATATTAATTTTTTAATATAAATATCATTAATTAATATATTGAGCAAAATAATTAAAATAAGTCCAGTTTATAATTTACTGATATTATAGGTTTTTATAAATTATAGCTCTAAAGTACTAAATCAAGTCAAATATGAAAATCCTGCAAGGGCAAGGGGACTATTTAAAATTTTGTTAAATTTTGAATTTGATTGATTATTATGCTTCATTGAACTTTTTAATACAGTTTTTGCATCCATAGGCGAAGTCCCCAATTTTCTTTGTGAAACAACATTAACTTGCTCTCTACTCAATTTTCTTGAGATGTTGATTTCTTCATTCAGAAATGTATTTTTAGGCGGAGAATTCTGAGATCTTGAATTGTTCAGTTAGGAACTATTTATTGATCTCGAATTTCTGTTCTTAAGTTCCCTAATCTTGTCTTAAATGTCACTAATCATTATAATCTATAATACCTTGTGATTGAACCCCCATATTCTATTTTGATTGGACTAGCATAATTTTGAACTAGCGATATTTGCAGAGGTTGTAAAATATTGAAAAACCTTCTGAAATCCTAATAAAATTAAGCCTGTTTTTTTGACAGTTGTTACATTTCATCCTACATTTATTTGAACAAGTTCTTCAATAATAGTTATTATATTTACGAGCTGCTTTATTGATAATTATTTATCCTGTACTATTCCATCGACTGTGGCTACTAATTATTTGAAAGTGTATATATCTTAACTATCTTAATTTTTCAAAATTGCTTTGATTTCATTCTTAATTATACTCATTTCTTCAATGTCTAATTACTTAAAATATTTCAAAAGATTACCTAAACTTCCTCATCTTTAGTAAGCTCATTCAAGTATGTAGTCTCTATATTTGATAATTGATTCTGAAATTCCTCTTATTTTGAATCTAAATACATATGCAAGGCCTTGAATTCTGTGTCTATATCACTTTTTTATGTTTGACATTTATCCTTTACTTATTATTTATCGAATTGAATATTTCTGATCTTATCTAAACTTCTTTCAACTGCTAAATTTAATTTCTCCAAACAAGGATGACCTTTTATTGTAGGATCCTCCTAAAGTGGTTAAACATGCTATCGTTTCTCAGTTGTAAAAGGTTTAACATTGTAATTTGGTTACGTCTTCGATACTTGTGTCTGTGATTCTTTTGTTTATTGAACTGCTTATAGAGATTCATGATCTAAAACTGTGGGGGCATTGCATTTTAGACAAGGTACTCCACTGTCATCTCTGTGAATAGCATGTGATATGCAATATAAACAAAATTTATGTTCGCAATCCAATATAACAAATTAAGTTGGAACAGTTTGACATTGTTCACATATGACTTCATCTTCTTCAGACATTTTGATGTTATTTTATGAATAATTTTATTTATTAACAACTTTTAATTTTAAATTATAATAAATAATATGCAGAATCAATACTTTGTAAAAGGGTTAGGATTTAGTCAGAAATAGGAGCCTTAAGAGACTCGATCTTATGGTCGTATTAAAAAAACTCCATATTCGGCATATAACAATAGAAGTTATAATTTAGTATAGAATTCATTTTAAATTAGAACTATCACGATATTAGGATGTGTCAACATCATGTAAAAAAGATGGTGGTTATTCTCAATAACGCGATTAAGAATTAGGCTGCAACAATGTTCAAATATTTGAGGTAGTTTTGTCAACTTGAATTAGTATTTATGTGCAAAATAAATAAGAGGAAGAAATAAAGGCCTAATTAAGAGTAATCTAAGAAGGATTGTTGAGATTCCAACATGCTATATCATTATACAATTAGAGATTAAAAGGCACTGGATTTTTTTATATTGCAAAAGTGGATGTAATGTCCCATTTGAAAAAAGAATTAAGAAATCAGCACTCCTTATAGTATTAGCCACTTACTCATCAAATATTTAGGAAATGGTTAAAGTTGACACTCGAATTGAAATTAAATCGAGTTCTGAAATAATAATAATAGAATATGATAGGTTTTTATAAATTCACTCTGTGCAAAATAATAACAAAATAAGACTCATTAAAAGTATGGAGTTTTAATAAATTAAGAATTACTCAAAGAAAATCAAAGTTAAACAGATTAATAATTAACTTAGGTTTATAGTATTTGAGACTTAATCTATATAATGCTGAAGATGCGACTTACTAATACTTAAGGAAACCACATTTATTATAATAAATAGAGGCATTCTAAAAAATAAAGCATTATAAATATTTCAACTCCAATCAGCATTACTTTATTTTAATTTTAGTCAACAAATTCAGTAACAACATTAAATTACCTAAGATAGTAAATTACATGTATTGAGAACATTGTTCTTTTCATCCATTAAAAGAGTTGATCATCATATAGAGTATGTGGTACCAAACGAATAAAAATAATAATTCGACATAGAACTAGCAAGATAGTTAGTTCATTGCAAATTGGAACACTAAAAACTATAATAGAGATTTATTAAAAAATCAAATTTGCATGCTCCAATTGGAATCTTTGAATCAATCAAAACAATATTTTATAAATCAATGCTACCCTGTTTCATTCGAATACGAGGATCTCTAAAATAATCTTAAGCACAAGATATTGAAGTTTAAGATGGAATCTCAAAAAATTTAGTAAATTTAATAATTATTCAAGAGCATTTTAGCGAGTAAACTAAGCTCAAAAATTAAAACGAAAAATCGAAAATCTTAAAACTTAGACATTAATTTAAGACTTGAAACAATTTTCAGAAAGAATTACATGCATGAAAGAAAACTAATATTGAATTCATTAAAGAAATGGTAAATGATTACATTTCCTGTCTAATTATACCATGATTATGAGATGAGATTAAAAGTATTGTAAAATGAAAAGGTGAATTTTTAACCTAATATTTATAGGAAGTAATAATGACTGACATTGAATAACTAGAAATATTGAATAATGAATTGATGAATACCATGAATGAAGTTAAAAAAACTTTTCTATCTGATGAATCCAATCTTAATACTTCCAAAAAGAATGACCAAAAACAAATAGAAATCCAAAGATTTGATATTTAAGATAACCTAACCTCACAGAAAGAGATCAAGATTGCTTTTGAATATGTTGATTACCTCAAAGAAGATGTATTTTTGATAATATCATATAGAATATTGATTTAAAGAAGTAAGTTCAATTGAATGAGTAACTTATGATGAACGAAATTTAATAATTAGAATAAGAACTCTAAGTAAGATATATTCTAATATGAAAGGAACTAAAAAATTAATTATCAAATTGAATTTTTTGTGTTATTTTCTTATTCATTTATTTATAAATAAATATAAGTTTAATTTAAATACTTAACATCCTATTAATGATGTAAATTAGATAGTAGTAGAGTTGCTATTATAATTCAAATTCCCTAAGATTAAAATCAAGAGTGATGCTCAATCCTATAGTTTAATCCACTTCAGATATCAAATCCCCCGTAAATATCTCATAAACGAGTAAAGTTTAAGATCAATAATTATAACTCCAAAAAGGATTGAATAATGTTATCGATGAAACTATCTAATCTAATTCTAATTGTCATTCTAATAGAAATTAAAAAGAGACATTTTTTATTGTCAAAACTTCTCGAATCAATGATGGAAAAGATTAAAATCAAAAGGTTCACAGCACAAGTCTGTAGAAATCTTAACCAAAAGGCATATTGAAATAGAAAAGCAAGTTGACTCAATAAAACTTTGAGATTAAATCTTTGGATACCAATGCTATCTCATTGTTGAACACCAAACGAACTAAATTGTAAAAATAAAAGCCTTCTTTACCTTCTTAAGTATCTTTCCATCCTTTTTTCGCAGAAAACAATTCGCCAAAAAGAGTGTCTTTTAATAATTAGGTTTATTTTAAAATGATTGACGAATATATCTCCATCAAACCTAAACGATATGTATTAGCAGATCTTAATGATAAAATTGATTGATAATTAAATTTCGTTAATTGTAATTGAGTATTATTATATGTAATATATCATTATACAACAAGAAGTATTGATAACAAAGTTTTAACCCATATTTCCTGAATTTAGTAAAGCTTCTTAAAATAAATATAAATAAAAAAGAACAAGAAAAATATCAACTTGGAATTGGTAGTCTAAAAGACTTAAATTAAGTAAATTCCTAAAGCAAACTCGTCTGGAGCATTGCAAACTTTTAGTTCTTTATATAATGAAACAATAATCTATATATAATTTTAATTTATAAATGGTTTTAGTTTTACAACAAGTGTAAAAGCGCCTTAAATCTAATCAAATAAAATATTCATAGTTTATATAGAAATGCAGCCAAGAATTTATGATCAACTTAATTCATATAATGAACCCTTTTAGAAATACTAAGTCTATATGATTTTGGTTATCTAAGAATAGATCAATTATTTTCGATCATATACTATTTGTAGATTGTAGATGTAGTTGTAAACCATTATCAGATGGTATAACAAAATCCTAATATATTTCACATAAATTTGAAGAAATTATTATATAGAATAAGATTGATAATAAGAATTCTTGAATTTCTTCGCATGAATCCTATTAAGTACTGCTTTAAAAATAATTTTCATTTTATTATTCTTATTTTATCAAGGGCATAAATAAATTCTAAAATAATATTTACAAATATATTGAGTATAGGATTAAGAATTTGAATTGCATATCCAGTTTTCTTTGGTTATTATAATTATAATTGGGTAGTAATATAATCAGCAGGAAGATTAAATTAATTATAAGAAAATAAAATTATAGTTTAAGTAGAATTAAGTTAGACAACAAGTGAAAAGGGATGATAGTACAATTCAAATACAAATTAACTTGTTCTTAATCTTATTTCAAGTTAAGTCCATGTTTATTTCTATTCTGTTTAAATTTAGCTACTATATTATTCATATTGGCAAGAATTCTTGATACCATTTTATATATAGGATTTGAGTTTGTTAATTTATGACTTTTTTCTTATTGAAAATTATTTTATTTTATCACAATAGCTCTACACAATTAAAAAGAAACAAATTTCAAAAAAAAATATTATGGTAGACAAGAATTTAAAAATGCTTAATTATAATATCAATAGGATGCAGTTTCATATCATTATCTTTTAAGATATGCCTCCAAAGAGAAATCTTCATTATCTGTGTCAGTGCTTTCAAATCCTGCATAGCAAAAATCATTTTAGTTTATTGCCATTTATTTAAGTTTTCTTTGAGTTGTACTTTTATTTTGCTATTTTTCTAAAATAACCGATTATTTGAAGCATTGTGATAATTTCAAATAATTAAAATCTGATTTAACAGATTTAGCAATTATTTTTGGAGATTAAGTTATAGCTTTATTCTGATGTATAACAGCTTTTTAATTTTTAGTGCAATTATCCATTGAAATTGCTCTTTTTCTCTCAACAAATAATTTGGGCAACACAATCCTATTAGGCAATTATCTATTGGGATCTTGTTAAATTGAAGAATACTTAATGACAAGGATCGTTTAGCTCTATAAGTTAACTATATAATACAAGACATTTAATATTAAATATGCACTGATAAATAATAATAAAATAATCCTTTTGGTAATGACGTTATGAAATCCTTCAAAATTTAGTTTTTCCATCCAGATTGGGGTCAAGCTTTCTCAATATATCAAATTTAAACATCTCAGATCTTTGGTTAAAAAACTCTTGGTTTGATAATATTTGGCAAAGGCATTTCGTTAGCAAATTATACTGTAATCCAGTATTATTACTTTTAAATCTTATTAGAAGACTAAATAATCTTCATTCTTGCTATTATTTTTTATTTTTCAAAATTTTGGTTTGTTAAAATATAAGACTTATCTAACTATTAATTAGGATTATAGTCCATAATTGACAAATTAGTTTGAAATAACTCTAGAAATATTAAATTGATATGGTAATACATTTGGTTGCTTAATTCATATCATCCTGATAAAGAATAAAAACTTTAGACTCAACTTTATTTATTTTAAAGATATACATTTATAAAATTAATTTGTACATTGTTTATTTTACATCTATATCTTTATCTGAAGACAGATTCTTAAAGAGGAAATTTACTTTTTATAGAATTTAACATAAAAATGAATGTGTCTCATAAATTGTTTTGGAATTCAAAATATTATTTTTCCTAAAATATTTAAAAAAAAAGAAAAGTCTTTAAAAATACATATGTATTCTATAATGATATTGATCATCAATGAAATTAATAGAACAGTAAATAATTGTTAAAATCAAAAGAAAATATTATTCAAATTTATTAAACTCTCTAGTGTTATTTTCTTCTTTACTGTTCATCAGGTAATGGAAGCTATGGTTTTGATTCTAAAGGCTATAAATTAACATCTAAGAATTAAGCTGGAAAGTACTTTTCTTATTTGTTGGCGGTGTAGCCTATGATAAATTGCTGTTGTTTGTATTGCTATTAAAACCATATTGACTATTGAAATTAGGCACTGTATTTCCACGATTATCAATGGGACTTAAGATTACTTTTGAATTAGGTTTTTTCTCATTAAACTACGGATTGGAGACTTCATTCGAGTAACGTTACTTTCCTTCTTTTTCTTCTAGCATCTAATAATTCATTTTTATCTTCTCAGCCACCAATTATGCTCTATCTAATTGAGGTTAACTGGTTCCATTTTATTTTTGTTGAGATTCTAAATAGTGACTGAAATAGTACCTTTTCTTTGAGGCATTGGAGAAGTCATTCTCTAATTGTATTCAGAATCATTGTAACTATTTTTATCTGTTTATCGAGAATTAATTTCAAGCATTCGATCAGCCTTTTCTTGCTCAATTAAATCGATGGCTGGATTAAATGTGAATAATTACCTTATTTATATGGCAGATTAGGAAAATTGACCTTCTTTGCTTTAAAATTGAATGGAGGAATCTTATATTCTTAGGAATCATCATCCCATTCGCACGCTGCTTGAAGAGATTCCAATTCAGTTTGATTGAACATCATTTTAACTATGCCAGAATACAATTTAATTTCTTTCTCCTAACTTCTAATAGTATCCAAAAGATCTTCTTTTTCATATTCAACCTCTTGTTTCAGATCTTTTTATTCATTTTAAGCCTCTTCCAATTTCTTCCTCAAGTACTTGACAAGCTTCCTCAATTTATCAACTTCCTCTTAGACATTTTGATATTTAGTTTCAATTTACAAAAGCTCCTATTATTGTTATTCTTATTAAGTAATAAGTGCTTCATGCTCCTTTTTCGATTGATCAATAGCTTGTCTCAATTTTTTATATTTCTTTTTCTCATCTTCAGTACCTTTTCCACCTTACACCATCATTTGTTCCTTTTCCTTCAATAAATCTTCCAATCTTTTCCTTGCTTAACGCTCCTATTCTGCTTAGTACTCTTTTTCCTTTACTTCCAACTCAAATCTCTCTTTCTCTTGCAACAACTAATTATTTTTCTCTTTAAACTCGTGTAATTCTTTAAGTTTCTCCTCCGATGGGCCACCACCTGCAGCTGAAACTTATTGTTTACTCCTCTCTTTCAATCTATCATTCTCCTCTTTCAATCTTGCAAGTTCTTAATTATTCCCTGAATTCCCAGCAGGTTATAAAATATCAAAGGATATTGGTTAACCTGCTGCTTATTTTGACAGCATTTCTTTTAGTCTTTTGATTTCTTCAGCCTACTCTTTTAATAAAGCATCTTTTGGATCTTCATTTACTTTAGGTTGATTTTTGATCATCTTAGCTCTTGAGGCATATCTTAAACTAGATAAAGTTTCATCAAAGTTAAAATCAGAAGGGCTGATAGCTGTGATCATTATGGTTTTTGTGTTTCCGCCCAAAGAATCCTATAGTAACCTAGTTAATTTAGAATCTCTGTAAGGAATATGCTATGTTTTGCCATCAACAAGGGCTGATATGACATTTCCCAAAGCAGAAAGTGATAAATTGATTTTAGTTGCTTCTTTTAATCTGTCACCTGTTGCTTGTGTTTTTGATTACCTTTCACTACCTGCCAAATCCACTAAGTTTAATTTACCAGCAGTGATTCTCTCATTTCCTTTTGGATCTGTAACAGAACATTCTATGTATACAGTGAAGATGCAATGACTACGACTAGATTCCTTGTTCATGGCAGTTGCTCCAACTGATCTGTTTTATGTACCCAATTACATGTATCGATCCATTTCTTGGGTTGTCCTAACCACTGCTATGTTTAAATCCTTAATAAACACGCCTTGTTATCCCTCTTTTAATTCATATTTCTGCTTCACGTCTTTGCTTAATAAATCATGTATTTCTTCATTGTAAATTTCTATGTATGAACATCGAAGTAGAAATTTTTTGTTTGTGTCTGAGTTATTATTGATAATGCTGATGATTTAATCAAAAGTTCTGGGGATGATTCCCTTCATCGTTTCCTAATCATGAATAATATTATTACATTTGATGGATCTCCAATCATAGTGAAAGTTTTACCACAACCTTTATGATAATTGAATATTAATACCTGTTTAACCATATGCGAATATTGTTCCATTGTAACCATCAGCTACACTCTCCACCAAATTGAAAGCAGTCTTCTAATAAATAGATAATTGAGGTGTTTCTGCCCCAAACACGTAATCATATGTATACGATTTTACATCATTATCTTATGTCTAGAATACGAATGTTTAAAAAACCATACATTTCGCAATTCCACAGTGTTGGTGTCTTCATAAACTATAACACATGGCTTGCTTCCATTCTCCTTTTCTCTTTGATTGAATGGACGCATTCTTACAATAACTTTGACACATTCAGCTGGCATTTTTTTATATTTTATTAATCAATAATTTAGTAACAGTTGACAATTGAAATTTATAATTATCATTTCACAGTTTCATCAATTCTACCGCATCCATCAAAATAACAATCAAGTCTCACTTTCTTTTCACTATCACATTTCAGCAAGTCATTTTAGTCTTGTCTACACTATCTCTCTATTCAATATTTTATAACTTTATCATTTTTTGCAAATTATTGTTTCAGGCAGCATTAATAATTATAACTATAGTAACTAAACAGTTACTCCTAATTTAAACTGTATATTTAATAGCTTCATAATATAAAGGTGTTATGATGAAAGTTTTCAAACTATTATATTATCATATTCTCTCTAGTATTTATAACTACAGATTTTTTATTTAATAATAATTATTTCTCATACTTCTATGTTCCTTTATTTAACTCTTTTTATAATCAATTATAATATGTAATCATAATTACCATTTTATGATATCAATCTCTTAAACATTCTATTATTCAAATTTGTGAATTAAGAATTTATATTTCAAAAAACATACAAATTCTTGAATCAATTAAAATTTATTCTTAATTGTAAAACAAACACTATTAATCATATTAGATTACTAAGAATTTATTATAAGCAATGATATTCAGTTTTACATTATTTTATTTTCAAGTAAATGCAAGAATTCATTGAATTATTTATTTTTAATGAACCATTGAATCGTAGATTAGGTGAATCAATGCTTATATACATGAAAGTTTAAATTTAAATAATATAAACAAAAAATCACTTTCTAGTTTCAATAAGTTATCCCATAATATTAATTAATTTTAATTAAAGCTTATTAGTATTTAAGAATTATGTTATAATTATATGAGGATAAACTCGGTCTCGTTCGTCTGAGATTGATGAATCAAACGTCGCTATTCTGATCAAATTATTAATTTTTACTATTTATCAATTCTATCTCTGATAAATTATTTTAAGTAAACAAAGAATAAATAATTATATTTATATAATTTCAGGGTTCCCTCTTTCTATATTCAAATATTATCCATAAACATTAGAATTCGAATTATCTATAAGCATACCAAAAATCCATTCAATATATTAAATTAAGTAAATTACCTATACATTATGAGTAATCATTTACTACTACTAGCATATTGCATATTAATTTACTTCACAGAAACCTCACTATTTCATATATCTTTGGAACTACTTTTTTGTGCAAATAGAAAAAAAACAATCTTCTATATCTCGGATATATATAGAATTATCATAATCTTTCAATAAACTCAAAACATCTTAAATTTACTTTAATCAAAATTTCTCTAATCAATCAATCTAATTACTTTTCCAATAAAAATATAAAACCCATAAAAGTATAATAATTTTTGATATAGTGTTAGAATTTATTATAAAAAATGAAATAACTTTCGAAAATATCACAAAATTACAAACTTATTCAAACTTTACCACCATTAGATTAACATTCTATAAAATGGTTGAACTCTCGAATTTACTTAAGTAAAATAATAGGTAAATACAAATAATAATAATATTTGTTATATTGTCATTCCTTTTTATCCTTTTTGGGGGGTTCTTCTTCTAAAGGTTTTGTAGCTCCACAACTCCAGGACCTTTTAATGGACGTCATTTGTTTAGTAGTCAGAAAAACAGATCTTCTCCTTTGAATCAAACTATTAGTTCGCTTTCTGGGGTTTAATAAATTGGAGATTACTTATTCTCTTGTATTATAGAGGCAGAATGGATGATTTCCCATTTCTTTTCTTAATTCTTTTATAATGTGGAATCTTTTCTGGTTGCTGCAGTTTCATCTTCCTCATGTATTATTTGTTTGATTTGAACTACAAAGGAAATTACGGAATGCTTACCTACTTATTCATGTAATTCAATTTATTTTTTCTTATTGCTATTACCAGATTTTTGAGATTGCAGATCAATTTCAGGTTGACTGAGAGAATGTGTCAATTTGGATTTACGCCTTCTTTCAAGACGCATTTGGAATGCATCTGATTAATTGGCAATTTCATTTTTGATGAGACTCTCAATTTTCATGACTTAATTTGTGTGACTGTCAACAATTCCTTTAACTTGAGCCTCAATCACAAAATGAATAGAATACCTCTTTGGATTCAGTTTGACTGTAGATGAGATCCAGTTCGATCCTTTTGGTTTATTCTTGAAATTTGGCTCTTTTGACTTGATTGTCATCTTTGGGTTTTTGGGATTCCTCGAATTTGTTGGTTGCATTAATGAAGGTGGGCTTTAACATCAAGGCATTAAGTTTTCTCTAAAAGTATAGGTGTCTTCTATCCTTGATGGATTCATAATATTCTACTCCTTCCTAGATGGGATGATGCAAGATGATTACCATATAGAGTGAGATCAAATCTTGTATGAGTTCAATTTAAACTTGATCATTCAATTCGATTTCCATTTCAAGATTGAGAATTTGATCTGCGAAATTCTTGGGCAAGGACTTTTTAGTGAATTTCTCCTATCCGAATTTAAACATTTATTAATAAAATTATATAAATAAATGATCATCATACCTATTGACTTTGATTTAATGTATCAAAAGCATTTTGGACATCCTTCTTAATCTTTAACCTCCTATACCCACGTTTGCATTATTTGATGGTTTCCTAACACCCCAACAGCCACAACAATGATCCTTCGATCGCCCATAGCACAAATGAAAATGTTATTGCTACAATATCCAAAGCTCTTTGATTTTCAATTTGATCTGCAAATCTACCATAAACAGTCTGTATTGATCTTAAATTACTACTTCTTCATCTTTAATGCACTACATCCCCCAAAGTTAATCCAAACTATCTAGCAATTGCTTCCCATAATCTAAATTAACAAATGATAAATAGGTCATTGTGCAAGATAATGCAAGTCTCAGCAAGTAGTCCAAATACGTTAGAGTCTTGAAACTCAAAGGGCCTGCATACATACACAAATACTACCGACACATCTAAAAATATATGGGATCATGGGTATCCCATAATTGCAGATTAATAAATAGGCAATCACCAATACGAAATTTGCATATTCAGTCTATCTATAACTTAAAAGTGTATCTTGCTGTTTCTGAGCTATCAAAAACATTTCTCCATTACATTACTGATTCCAAAAAGGGTATTGCTTATAAAACAGAGCTATTTAGGTATTATAAATACTTTTTGTTCCATCTGAATCAATGAAGATGTCTCCAGCATTATTTATCTAAAAGTATAATTGATCTGTAATACTATTCGCCTCAACGTACTCCTTGTCCAATTCCAAACAGGACTGAGGTTATTAATCTAAATTTTCGTCATACTCTACTTCTGGCTAGGCATTAGTTTCATTTTTAGTAGCGCAAGGTATATATGAATCTATACGAATGAGACTAATAGGCATATTCTAATTGTTGGTTTCTTTGTTGGTTGTTATCACCTAGATTTTTCCATCATTCATTTCGAGTGATATACTATTGATTGGACAAGTCAAGTCAGAATCTATACAAAAATACATCTGGTCTATTCCGCAATCCTTCATGTTCCTATCTTCACATGTCTCTGTGGAAGTGACAGTTTAAATTACGTTTTGTTTTATTTATTGTCCACACAAAATAAAGGCAGTTTCGTATTCGGTAGTACTCCAATAGTGAAAGGTTTCTGGAGATTGCTTGGGTACAAGTTCTCCCTTTGAATTTTAATGCTCCTTGGTCCCAGGCCAATCGAAGGAGGTGAGTAATACCCAATCTTCTGGACATTCACTTGAAGAGTAAGCTTGAATGGAGGAGAATGGATATTATTCCCAAGCCCACATTTCGTTGATAAAAGCATATTGCCTATTTTATAAGGATTTATCTCCATCCACCGAGGCTAGCCAAAAGAAATAAAAGAACAGTATTCTGCAACAAACATTGGCCAATAGCAGAGTCACTCTTGTTGCTTTATTTGCAGTATTCATTATAAAAGTAAATAATTAATTTTTGGAAGTTAATCTTTTAATAAATAAGAACAAAAACATATTTTATTCATTATATCTGTTGTTTATTCTGGTCATAGAAAGATTATAATGCAAGTTATATCGTCTCTTGCTAAACTATTCTAAAATTAAATCTACATTCTTACTCTTCTCCATGCTTAGATAGCTTCACTCACAACTTTCTCCGCAGCATGTTCCGGATTATCCTTCTCAAAGTATGGGATCACTAAACTCATCACCTAATTACTAAACTAAATACCTCTTCATTGCTCATGTATTCCCAAACTCCATCAGAAGCCACAATGATAAATTGGTCATGATTAGTCAAAGCAAACTCCTTTATTTCTGGAATGGCTGTTACACCTGCCTAAGCTCCCACCTTATCTCCAAAGGATCTCGACATTGCTAAACCCGGGGCTTGTATGTATTGCAGCCAAACTCTGAAAGGTCCTATGGGATTCCCGTGATAATCTAAATATTAAAGTGATTATACCTCTCTACTATTCAACTCTACCTCCAGCATCTATAATATTCTTTATTTCCTCAGGATCATCAGGCTTATGATCTCTTGTTAATGGTACGATTTACCAAACTTAATCGAACTTACATAGAATTGCTCTTGAATCACCAACGTTTGCTGTGTAGATCTAAAAAGGATAGTGTCAAATTATTTGTATTACAATATCTTTTGTGATTAGAACTGATGCAGTTGTAGAACCAGAAAGATTTGTGTCTGTATCTGAGTTCCATATTTCTCTATTTGTAATTGTAAACGCTCTGGCTATTTGCAATTTAGTTTCGCCTTGATTATCTCCCAAATACTTGTGCAAATGTTTAGGGAGAGTTTATTTAATAAAATTAGACACATGATGGCCATTCAGACCGTGTCCATCTGAAACTGCAAACAACTTATAACCAATACTATCGTGTAATCACATATCTATACTTCTCAAGAACTTTAGGGCAAATTATGGCAGAATCCTAATTGATTTTTGTTGCCTTGTTAATTTGACATCCTGCCTTGGTTCTCATTGCATAAATTGCTGTTTATCTCCTCTGATATTTTGGTGTTATGGACTTTCTTATCTCAATCTTCTTACGTTAGAGCTAATCACTTGCTGCCAAATGATTTTATAACTAAGGTAGTCGCAGCTATTTCTATTTCTCTGTAAACACACTACTCTACTCGATCATTCTGATCTGTGGTAAGAAGAACTTTGATTTATTGTTAAAGTCAGCACTTTCAGGATATCGTCCAGCTATCTATAATGGTTTAAGACGATAATCCTTTCTCAGATTATTCAGAGATTACGATTAATGGAACATATAATTTAATATATTTAATTAACTCATCATGCTTCATTATTGCTTAGTTTCTCTATCAAAATTCTTTGGTCCTATTCCACCTTCTACAGACTATCCAGTTCGATCTAATATCTGTCCAATTCAGCCTTTCTTTCATTCAAAATATTTGATAACTCCATCAACTTCTTCTTTCTATTTTCCTATTCTGTTTCCACTTTATTACGCTAGATAACCTACACACTCAATACCTCTCCTATTGCTCTCAACTTCTCAATCTCTATTTTTTTTGAATATTCCTCCAGTGTCTCATTCAAATTTTGAACCACCTCGTCCAAAGCAAGCACCTTCTTGATAAAATCCATGCTCTCTATCTTCAACTGCTCTGTCTCTCTGTACTTCTCAGCATCCAACACTCTAATTTTGTTCTACTCATCAAAAGTAATTGAAATCTCTTCTGTCATTATTAATAATAATGAATTTGTAATGTGAATAGCCTTTTTAATATAAAAAACTTAGATCCCAATCCCTCAGTCCTTATAACAATTCCAACTTTATAAAGCAACTCAAAAAATCACTACACTACCCTCCCCAGAAGACTATGGAATTACAATCTTTTGAGTACCTGCAAAACCAAGAATAAATCGAAACCAATATAATTGGCTCAGGTAATTAACAGCTTGTAACTTACATAAGATTCTATGAAATACTATTGCAAAACCATTAAAAGCAGAAAGAACTCATTAATTTTTGAAACAGACTCTTATCCCATCAATGAAAGTGCCTAATAAAGTGTGGCAATCAATTAATTTAACCACTGCACTCCTAAGGTTATAATAGTTAAGAACTTGTAACAAAAAATAACCAGGAGAAAACAACCACCCACTAACCCTATCAATCCTCAAGATTGTAACGATGAAGAAACCATACAACATAGTATCGTAGTTTAAAGTCAAAATAATGGATCAACAATTGAAACGAAAAGAGAAAACATTACCATCCTACCCCAAATAAAGAAATCCAAAATCTTAATGGGAGAAGAATAACCAATCAAGAGATCAGCAAGATACGAATAATTAATGGTATTAAAATGCTAAATTAGAAAAAAACCTGTGATGACCAACTCCATGAACTACAATCATTAATAAAGAAAATGTAAAAATAGCCAATTATTAAGAAGGAGAAAAAAGTAACCTTTCTTATTTGAAAATACATTTATTATTATTATAACTTACTAACAATAGAATGTTATTTTAAATCACATTCAACTAATTCAGAGGTTGATCTCCTTCATCATATTTTAACCATTTTTTTTAATCTACTAAATTATTTAATTTTTATAATTAAAATATAATTAGTATATTAATCTAGTGATGAAATGATTAAAAATAAAATCCAAAACAAAATAAATTAAATCATGTCTATTGAGTAATAGAATCCCTCAAATTATTTGTGACCCTTATTGTACTCTAAATTTTTAAACAACATTATAAGCAAGTTTCTTTGATTTTTTCAATCGAATCGGAAACTAACTTATTTATATCATTTTCCTCCTTCTAATAATAATTATCCTCAGTTAAAATCACTTCATCATTATAAATTGATTTGCTTAACACATCTACATTATCTAGTATTTCCTTTTGTGATTAGTTTGCCCAATTTCTTCCCATCGAACGAATTATTTTATTTACAGAGCCATCAATGAAATTGCAAAATTCCTTAAGACTCTATGTTAATTCCTCATTTTTTTATTGACTTGTGCTATGTATGAGATCTAGCTATTATATTATGGTCGATTAATTTTCTTAATGCCTTTATTAAATAGATAGTAATTTGGATTTTTTAAGTTCCTCATACTTTTTCCATTTTTCAATTACTCTGATCAAAGAAGTATAAGGGATAGTATTTTATTCAATGCAATAAATGCATGCTAATCTATTCTCTTTTGCTCTTTAAGGATTCAAATCAAATGCTATAATTTCTGTCTTATGCTTTTAACAAAAGATCTTTAGCCCAGGAGTTGCCTAAGACTTAAATATAAAAACAATACAATAAAGTTTTCATCTGAAGGCTCCAACTCTGATTTATACCAAATCAACGCTTATACTTCATCCTTTAATTCATCTAAGTACTTTAAATATGAATCCATCTTTAAATTGCTCTCCATTTTAGTTATTTATGAATTTATTGCTGTGCGAAAACTGGAAAATTGTTGCTCAAGTAATTTTTGGGCTTCCTCAATTTTATCAAAATTATAGATATCTATAAATTTTATATTTTCTTCTATTTATTTTTAGACATTCTAAAGTCTCTTTATCTCATTCTCGATAGTACTGTTAATTTCATCTAAAGTAGTAGCAAGAAGATTTTTTAAAGCTAAAATGTTCTCAGAAAATTATTTTAACACTTCAATATTTTGCTTCGTTAAATTTTGAGTTTTTAATTCGAATTCAGATTTCATAGTGATTATCCTTTCTTAAGCATCAGTATTGGTATGAATGGCTCTGTCATTAATCTTTAACACGAGACATTTGCTGCAAAAGTATCGGTTCTATTCATCACATTGCAAATTAAGACTTGTTGCTATTACATTTTCATCGTGCTGTTAGCATTTTCTATTAGAAATTTAGTTATCCATTAATTCAATAAGATTTTAGATATATTAAATAATTTTTCATAATCCTCTGTAATATTTAACAATTGATATATAATTTAGGTAGTTTATACAATATTTATAAACAATAAAATTATGTCCAATTATAAGGAAGAAAATATTTGCATGATTCATCATTCATAAATTGTCGCCATTAACATGGATCTCAATTCAGATTGTCAATTGCGTCGTTATTGCAGTAAATGTCTTTTGGAAAAAACTTATGACGGAACTATCTATATAAATAGTGAAGTTCAAGAACATATACAAAAAATTAAGGAGGAATATCTGGAGAAAAAGGCTTATTTTTTGAAGCATAATGTGGGCACTATTGAATCCCTTTAAAATGCAATTTAAAACATTAAAGTCACTTTCTCCTATTCTTTAGATAAAATCTTTGAAAATCTATCAACAGAGAAAATTAGATTACAAAATTAATATTTTAATATAGAAGAAACATTAAATGGAGTGGATCTAAATAATTTCCACTATTTTAAATTATAAAGCAATGAGAACTTATTTTAGATTGAAAGTTTTAAAAGTTTAATCAAAGCTTCAATAGATTAAATTAAAAATAATGAGAGTCTATAATTTTGTAATTAGTAAATTGAGAATCTGTAAGAAGATGATGAAGTATTAACATTCACTAGAGGGTTTAATAGTCAAGAATCCAATGTTATTGTAAATATAATTATTATAATAAGGCTACACCCAGCTTGAAAATATTATGCTAGATGCATAAGAAATAAATAATAGCTTTTGATATGAACATTAATCGAGCCAAGGAAAATAGAATGGCTTGCATACAGTGTATTGAAGAAATTCCAAATTCGTACACTTCACTTAAAACTGTTTAGGATAAATGGAAAAAATTTGAAGAATTCAAAAAAAATAAATATTAATAGATACTGGAATAAAATAAGGAAAATAAAGATTAAATTTTAGAGTAACTTAAAATAATAAGTGAGGCTCATAATGAAATGAATCTATAAATTACTCAGTATTTAAATGATTATTGTTAATCTCTAAACTAAGAAATGCAGTAGATATTTAGTTAAATGGGTAAGAACTGGGCCATTTGCCAACAAAAAGAAATATTTGACAACATAGAAAAATTAATTACCCCGACTTGCAACTAAGAATTCTCAAAAAACATATCGGAGCATTATGCTAATGAGGAAAAATTTGTTAATTTAAATGTGTTTGATTCTATTAAAAAGATTAGAGAAACCCTCAAAGAAAGTTTTTATTAAATTTCAAAAATGATTAAAATAAATTCTAATTTGTAAATAAAGTCAAAAGAGATATAAATTTGTGAAAAACTTTAATCTATTCGACCTCCATTCAGTATGAATTCTAAACAGGTAGAGTTAAGTCTATCTATCGAATCTCCACGTAAATTACAAGTAACAAAAGATGTTGTATAAATGAGTTTGAAAATAAAAAAATTTAAACTTAATTTGGTTCCAAAATCAGTCTCATTATCTCTTTAAATCACATTACCTTCTAAACTTAAGATAGATAAATAATAAATATAAATATCAATGGTTTCAAAATAGTAAAAAATTAGATTTGAAAATATAATTGAAGGATAAAAAGTAACATAAGACTAAAATTGCTATGCTCTGATTTTTGATCACACGAATAATTTATTGGTGGCAGGTTGTGGTTAAAATATACAAACCTTTAAATTTAATTCTGGTTCTTTCCAAAGTTAAAGTGTTTTTGGCTAGCATTACAGTAATGTTACAGCATTATGTTTTATAAAGTTTAATCAGTTTATTTCAGGTGATGCTAAAGGTTAATTGTAATTTTGGAAGGAAGAAAGTAATTCTTGGAAACAATATTAGAAATTATCCTCAGAGCACTTTGAATAAATCAATTAAATACTTTATAGCAAGAAATTCAATTAAATAATTACTTGTAGCAATGATAAAAACATAACAGTTTTAGAAAATAAAAACCAGTAAGTTAATATATGGGCTTGCGCCTAAACCATATCTTCCCATTAAAGCAATGTATGTTCTATATCCTTAAACGATTCCGAAACTACATTGATCTCTTCTGGTTCTGATAAATAATTATAAATTTATTCAAGACAAATAAACTTTAATTTGATATAAACTATAAAAGTCGAAGATATTATTTATCGCCTTTAATTTATAGAGGATTCGAGCTTTTGTGCTTAAATTTAAACTGGTATTCATCTTAATTTTTACAATTTTAATAAAAATCAGGAACAATACATTCTTAATCAAACTGCAGAAGTTTAAAATCAAAAGAGTTGTTCATAAGGATTCCCAATAGGTATTTGTAAAAAACATTCTATGATTTTATGTAAACATGGAACTTACATAAATGTATTAAAGAAAATGAATAATTAAATATATCGTACTGAATAATCTATAAATTTTGACACCATGTATTTGTATGGGGCTCTGACTTCAGATGGCAATTATTTAGTGACATGGGATTACAGATCGAAACAATTTTAAGTAAGATAACTAATTGTAAATTGATTATTAGTAATTAAATTTATAATATTTATATAAATATATAAAAATCATTATAAATTAGGCAATTTTTGTGACAAAATACTATTTGACCATCCTCCTTAGGAGTGGTCTTGAGTTGAACTATAATTTTTATTTGATCTGGAAGAAGAAAGAAAATTGAATTGAGACAACTCTTCAAGAGGAATTATTTTTTGTAATTTCAGTTGACGTTCTAGAAGACTTTTATTTTTTGTAGAATGACATTTCTTGAAATTGAATTAGACTGGAGGTAAATCTTCAGTAACAACACTGAGTTATTTTTTATGATATGAAACTACCTTAGGTAGTTCTCTTTAAGTTAATAATTCTCTAATTTCTTGATGAGCCTATAGTTTTCCAATTTTCTACGCTTACTTGACTACTAGTTACAGATCACTTGATTCAATGTTGGATAATGAGTTTTCTTCTAATGATTCAGTCACAGTTTGAAAGGTCTCGTAATTGACTTTGCTTTGCATTTTAACCATTTTGGCCAGATCTTGAAGTTCGCTAGCATCTTTCATTAGCATGTTTTTGAACAGTAATGGTTATAAGCCATTAACAGTCGAGAAGGATTTTCTGAGTTTGATTGTTAAATCTACTGAATTCTATCTTTTAAGTTTCCTATAGAATTCTGCTTGTGCTTTGAGGAATAATGAATAAGCTTCGTCGGCGATAGTTTTTTTTTCAGTTTCTTAAATTAACTAGCGAAAGGCTTAAAATTTGTTTGAAATGCTTTATTCACTGAGAATCATTTTTAGTTACTATTCTCTTTGAACCAAGAAACTCAGATGGCTTAGCATTGCTCCGACTGATAATGGAACATACTTTTCATCGTATTCCAAAGTTTTCAGAATCTTCAGCATCATAATTCTGAATGCTGACAAGGCTTCTTGATTATGTGTCAGAGCTTTAAATTCATCCAATGATAAGGCCTTGTCCTTGTTATAATCGATAAATTGGTATATGGTTGATAAATCATTCACTGTTACTCCATATCCGTAGTGTTTGAATAGCATAAACAAATGAGCCAAAGTAAGAACTCCTTCATTGTTGCAATCTAAAGTCTATGGGAGTTAATGAATCGATTTACCCTGAAAATCTATTTTAGTTCCATCTATAGTTTTCTTTCTTCAGGATAATAGAGATATTGAGGTTTTACTTAATCAGATCTTCTCTTAAACCATTGGTTGGTAGGAAAGTTGTGAAAATGATTTCGATTATTCAATTGAACTATATAATTTTGGCTAGCTTCATCAACGATTGGTACTTAGTCCCATTTAACTTTGTGATATTTCATTATTAATTATGATGAAATTTTTTATAGTATCAATTCTATTCACAACATTACTCTCATGCTAAGTTTATTATAACAGTGACATCCGATTTGATTTCAGCAATGCATAAGCCAATAATTTGGCATATGGAAATGATGGGAAATCCTTATTCATCACCTTATGTGGACTCTTAAATTATAAATGCGAGAAGTCTAAATCCACTAGAATTTTAGAAGAAACTAAATCTGATTCATCTAATACACCCACTACTAATACTGAAACTACAAATACAAATACATCTACAAATGAAAACAAAACAAATACAGACACAGTAATTGATAAAAATTAAGATGGCAATATTGACAAGAGTGATACTACGACTTCAACAGATACAAACACTCCAGCAATAGATGATTAAAAAAGTGAATCTTAAGTCATCGAAAATAAAACAAATGATGAAAAAAATGATAAGGATGATGATGCAAATGAACTTAAATATGTAAACAATGATAAAACATAATCGCTTATTGTTGCCTAAAAGAACACATGTACTCCTTATTCTGAATAAAGCAATGTAGATCCAAATCAATTAACCTTATTGGTCGAAAATAAACCATTTCAAGGATTAGTTATTGAAAGAAGAGGAATCGTAGAAAAGGAGACTTTTAAATTAAAATTGAAATGTTCTGAATCAGATGTAATGACAATAGAAGACACTGATAAAGATGGATATCTATTCATCTTAACAACATCATCTGCTTGTCCAATCTTAGTTTATAATCCTATTACTTAATTCTTTATGGATTTTAAATTGCTATTCGTCGTAATTCTTTGGGTGGTTGGAATATTCTTACTACTTTTAGGATACTAATTAGCGTAATTGTCATCTATGATACTTGCTGTTCTAATGGGTTTTGGATTCACAACCATTGTCATAGGAGAAGCCACATTAAATAGCGACTCTAGTTATGCAGCTACCTGGGTAGTAGTAGGATCAGGAGTATTAGTAGCTTTCATATATTTCAATGCTTCTATGTAAAGATTCTTTTTCCTTCTATTTAATTTTGGATTCAGTGTTGGAGTAATTTTATCTTTGATGATTCAATCCTTGTTTTACTATTCAATAGAAACAGATTTGATGTTCTTCCCTTTAACAATCTCCATTATTGTTTCTGGAGGTATTTTAGGGTTGCTTGGTCTCAGATATAATCTCTAGATGGGAATTGTATCTACTTCATTAGTTGGTGTAAGTATATTATCATGAATTAGGCTTATTGCTTAATAAGACCTATTGGTTTTCTTGCAGGAGGTTACCCAAACGAATTGTTGTTAACTAAAAAGGCTGAGTATGGATTTGATATCGATATTGAATATTCAGTTTATGCCTATAATGCTGTGATTATCCTAGTGGCCATATTTTTTGGAATCTTTTAAAGAAGATAACATCTAAAAAGAGTGGCTCTTGACGATCAATTATAGGCTGATATCAGATATTACGAAATGGGTAATGTAGAAGATGAAGAAAAATAAGTAAATTTTCTTACCCTATTCTATAGAAAAGATAAAGTAAAAATAGTGATAAGAATGTGACTGTCATTTTTGCTAAACATCTTGAAAATTAAGGTGAAGAACTTTAAGATAAAAAAAGACACTCTCATTTAACTGGTAGTGATATCAATGATTGATTATTGATGATTGTTAATGTCAATATTTTATGTAAAAAAATTCAACTTTTCACTCATAATTATATTTTGATTTTTCATCTTATATAAACAATCACTATTTATTGATCCTCTATTGCTGTAGATTTTAAATTAGATTGTTTATCCAACCTTTAATAAATAATTTTCTAAAACTACAGTATCATTATTATATATTAAATTTAATTAAATGAAGAATTTAATTTTCTTCAAACTAAAGATTGAATAGAAATTTTATCAGACTATTAAAAATACTTCCAGTTATCCAACACTCAAATTTGTAGATCTATATTGGTCTATGTTATCTGCAAAAATACATTCATTTCTTTTTTTTTAAATTATCTATTATTATCATTAAATGTTATTATTCGTGTGTTTACGGATGTTTGTTATTGATTTTTTAAATTAATTACTTAATTTTCATTCCATTTTGCTTCTATTTTAGTTTGTTATTATGAGACTTTCTAGTATCAATAGAGAATTAATCGTAATCCAAATAATCCTTATGATTTTTTTTATGTTTCTTTTATTGTTCTTAGAGATTAGAATTAATTAGGTTAATCTATTCTCCTGAGCTTCCTTAGGGTGGAGATCAGAACTATTATTACACTATTTGATTTTTGCAAAGTATTTTCAATCCAATAAAATTATGATGCAGAATTCATTATAATTTAACATTAAATGGTTTTATTTTCTACAATTTTATATCAATAATTAGTTTTAATTTAAAAGAATATTCACATTTAAAATTTAAGTTCTTTCTCTCATTTTATGATCATTTGATAATTGGATTATACCTATAATTAGAAATATCCTAAATAATTGTAAGAATATATATTATTAATTAAAATTATAGTAAGAAATAAAATTGCAATTACTGAGAGATGAAAATATATCTGAAAATAACTTTAAATATAGTTTTTGAATTTTTAATGTTTACATTTTTCGTTTTGGTAAAAATTCAATAAAGTTATACTATCAATAATCTAAGTTATTTTCTGTTTATTCCTAGGCTTTTGAATCAAGCGCAAAATTTTCTAATTAATGATGAACTCTACACAATCTCTACTTCGATTTTAAAGACAAAATAGTAATAATTTCATTACAAACCATTTGAATTTGAGTAGAATTGTAAGAATGTATAGTTAGACTAAATTGAATAGTTATCGATTAAAAATATTAATTAAATGAGTGAATAAATTTTAGAGTAAGTATTGGAACAAAGATTAGGATTTGGAAAGCATTATTGGAGATAGTTCTTCATAATAAGTTTCATAGACTTCCTAGATGGTGCTGAGTTTCTTTATTTAGCATTACTAATTCCTGCAATAAAATAGGAATGGAATTTATCAATAATGGAACTTTCAATATTTGGATCATCTTTTACCTTAGGGTTAACGATAGGTTCGATCATTTGTGGTTTCTTAGCAGATAGAATGGGCAGGAAGACTATATTAATAATAGGAACAGTTTTTCAAGTATTTTATTTATGTTATAAAGACTGCAGTCGTTTTTCTTACAGTGTTTACCAATAACATAATTGAAATGATCCTGCTTAGACTTATATATGGGACTGTAATAGGCATGAATCTTCCGATTAGTTCAATATTGATGATTGAAGTTACTCCAAAGCTTCATAGAGGAAAAATTATAGTGGCTCTCTAAGTACTTATATTGTTGGGACGTGGTTGGATAATGATATTAGGATATATTTTTATGGAAAGTATTTCAAAGGGTAATTGGAGAGCCATCTCTTTATGTAATAGCGTTCCGTGTTTGCTATGTATAATTGGAACAATTTTTTGGATTTAAGAATCCCCAAGATTTTTGATTTTAAATGAAGAAATTCAAAAAGGAATTGATAATCTAAATTAGATTGGATAATTTAACAATTCAGAATATCAGATGTTGACTGAAGACGAAATTTAAAGTTTAAAAGAGTGGGCATAATTGCAAAAATAGCACCATTAGTAAAAAGAAAATAATTCTATTAAATAATTGTTTAATTAAGATAATTTGGCAATTACATGGATGAACTATTCAATAAATTTCTTGTTTATGTTTGCAATGATGGCTATCTTTAACATTTTACCATTTATTTTGGATGATGAAAACAAGACATTGTTACATTTGTACATTTTGGATATAGGTGAGATTCCAGCTATATTTGTAATGTTATATAGTATCGATAAATTTGGTAGATTATCAACTTTGTTATTTTCTACATCAGTACTCACTTTAATTCTATTTTCTACATGGCATTGGAAATTGTATATAATCATTACAGGACTTGCCATCTTTAAATTCTGTTGCAAGATAAATTGTGGAACATTGAATGTCTTATTTGCTGAATCCTATCACACTCTATATCGTTCCTTAGGACTTGGGACGACAAATGCAATGGGAGGAATAGCAGGATCTCTGGCACCATTTGTAGTCTTCCCAATCTATTTCTATAATTATTATTTACCATTCTTAATTTGTGGTGTGTTTAGTTTATTCACACTAATTTTATTAATATTTTATCCTATTGATTTAACCAAAAAGCCCTTAGATTAGCTAAAACAAAAATGATTTATAAAATATATTTAATATTAAAATAATAAAATAATGGATTTGAAATGCTTATAATGTGGTAAGAATTAAATTTCACATTGGTGTTTGGACAAATTTTGTCAGAATAATTTGATATGTGATCAATGTTCTTTCAGACATGGGAATCCAGAGAGAATTTACAAGGAAGATCATCCAAATATAATAAATACGGAAAATTAGAAATTTAAAATTAAAACATAGGTAAGAAAGATGATGAAACAGATGTTAATTATAATAGACAGAATGAACTAATATTACATTTACATTGAAGAATAATTTATAGAAGTGAATTCTGAAAAAAAAATAGAAACATATTAAAATAGATTAAAGCTTTACTCCAAATTTCTTCAATTTAATCCTTAGATCCAATCTGCCTTATTTAATTTAAATAATCAATTAGATAATTATGACTTCCCTAAGAGTAAAAAGGTTGATTAAAATTAATAGAAATAACTAGACATATGTAATAATATTTTACATATATTAGGCAAAACATTATTAAGTGAGAAATAATATGCCAAAGCTTCAGAAGAAATATCACGTTTAAACCATGAGGAGTCAAAATCTTTATAAAGTATATATTTTAAAGTGATATTTTAGTTGAATGCCAGATACTTCAAAAAAATTTGAAATATGCATTAGAATTGTCAACAAAAGCACTTCAGTCACCACCAACTGAATCAACTTAAAAATTAAATTTGTAACTTTAATAAGGTTAATATCAAAGTCTCATATTTAGTTAAAATTCTTCATAAATAACAATAATATGGTTAGGCTTTAAAAATTTTGTAGACTATTGATAATAATAATAATAATAATAATAATAGAGATAAATAGAAATTTCAATTACAACTTGGTATGAAATTAATTAAATTCAAGGAAAAACTCTAATAAAATGTGGCTTTTTTGACTTAGGATGTTAGAAGATCAAAGATCTCAAAAAGCCTCAATAATAATAAATATAAGTAAGTTAAAATTCAGGATAGGAAGGAGACATTAATAATGATAATGAATTTAAATTGGCATTTGGTAATCTTAAATTTAATTAAAATAGCAAAGGCCAATTTTTAGTTAGTTATTGAAGATAGAAATACAGAAAATAGTTCCTAATCAATTAATGGGGATCCAAGTAATATTTCACTTATCCCTTCAAACGCAAATCAAGAAGTTTAAAATAACCAAAACAGCCAAAATACATAAGTAATTATTTTCTTAAAAATTCAAAAAGCTCAAGGAATCGGAGGACATTTATAAGGAAATTTTATCGAAAGAACCTACAAATCAAAAGGCCCTTTATGGATTAAGTATATATATTATTCTAATTTAGGTTAAATTTTAATTCGTAAAAGAGAATACATTGAGGCAAGAGAATTGTTATATTAACTCATATAATTAAATCCGAAATACCGTAAGGCAGGTAAAAAACAATTTTAATTTAGAAAAACTATTACTGTTCATTAAATTGAAATTATTAGATCAACAATAAGACGATATAGAAGATTAGTTTTCAAGCATTGATGGATGTTTGGGCTATCTATATCAATGTTGTTTTTAAAGAATAGGGGGTAGAGTACACCCAGAATTATGATGAGGGAATCCAGATGAAAATTGATTCATTCATCTGAAAGATTTATTAAAATAATTATAGTTATTTTCAATGACAAAATATTTTGTTTATTGAGAAATTAATATTATGGAAATTGAGTAAGTGATTTTTTCTTGTGAAGTGATAAGAAGACATCTAATAGTGAATAAACATTATTGTCTACAGTTATTAAACAACAGAATATTGATTAGAGAGAATGTATAGTATATAAGATCCATAAATTATTAGTTAGAACATCCTGCTAAGTATTAGATTGAATTAAATCTAAAGGGATAAATAAGTTGGAAATTAGCTGATGATCATAAGATTAAAGAATTTGGTGTCAAATACAACAATAAGCTCAAATGGTTTACTGGAATATCTGAATAGTTACATTAACTCAAGCATCTTATTTCAAATAAAATATTCATGACTGGAATTTCAATTTTTTATTCGTCACATGAATTACTTGGAACTGGAGCATCTTGTAAAGTGATTTTGATTAAAGATTATGCCACTCATTTATGTTATGCAGCTAAATGTGTTAGTAAGGATTACATAAGAAAAAAGAAAACATCTGATAGATTTGATAGGTTAGTGAATGAAATTGAAATATTAAGAACCTTAAAATCACATCCTAATTTAATCAAATTGCAAGAGTTATACGAAGGGGAAAATAGTTACTATTTAATATTTGATTATTTGGAAGGAGAGACTCTCCACAAATATGTCAAGAATAATGGTCATCTCATGACAGAACCTACTGTAAGGAGTATCCTTTAAGTAAAAGAATTCAATTAAATATCATAGTAACTATTGTTAGGAATCAAAATGTGCCATCAATAAAATATAATACATAGAGACATGAAATTAGAAAACGTGGTACTTACAAAAACGAATAAACCAGAAAACATTAAGATTATTGACTTTGGATTGGCTATTTTTAATACTCAGAATCATCCTTTTTCCATCTGTGGAACTCCTGGTTATATTGCACCTGAAATTTTAAATTATGAAGATAACAAATATAAGTCAGAGTAATTTATTTACACTCCTTAGATTGATATGTTTGGAATTGGAGCCATGCTATATAGAATGTAAGTTTATTCTCTTGTAATAGAATGACAAGAGAACCTTTATTCAATGCCGATAAAACTAAAGAACTTCTACATAAGAATTAAAAATGTCTATTTATAAAAAGAACCATTTCTCAATATTCTTATATTCTGAATTAAATTCTTTTTGGATTGCTGGAGTTTAATCCAAAAAAAAGATTCTCTGCTGATCAAGCCTTGGAATTACTTTAATCTCAATAAATCAATTAAATAACTTTGAAACATGAATCTAACAGAAACATTAATTTATCGCAAGAATTTCAAATACCTACAGACTTGGATGTTATTTAAATTCCTTATTTATTTCCGAATAGGAAAATCAAAAAGGAAATGGGTTTTTATCATTCATATCATATCAACGAAGATATAATATAAGGATTTAGGAAATCTTATCTACCTTCTTTTAGTATAAGACAGAGTCTGGATGTTGATCATGATAGTTTAAAAGAGGAAACTGACAGAGATTAAGTTTTAGAACTATGATATGATTTTCAAAATTATATTATAATTTATGCAATATTATGAAATTTAATATCATTGTTAACAAAATTAAATATAAAATAATTTATAGTAAATGAATGAATTATAATTCCTTTAATATAGATATTAATTGAGAATAAGAGAATAAAAGTCAGCAAAAGACTTATGGCTTTCAACCTATTGCTGCTTTTTGTATATGCTACTAAAAGCATTCAATATTACGGGGAAGATGGCAATGGTGCAACTTTATGATTTCATTTATTCAACCAATTTTCCATTAGATCCTGATCCAGGACTAGTAAGTTTTGGAAATATTTAGTACAATCAAATATTAATTTTCGTAGATGGTTTTGTTACGAAATGGCTGCTCCTTTTAGTTTACCTATGATTCCAATGCTCTTATAAAAAGTGCAGTTCAGATACATATTTTTCTTTTCCTCATTTGGATCTATTTTGTTCATTTTCCCCCTTTAATTTGCAACGATTTGTAAGGATTCTCAAGTGTCAATCTGCAATATCTATGTTATGTGGACTTTTACTATAGTGTTTTCATTTATTTCAGGATTTAGTAAGACTTTGCTGCTTTTTTCGATGCTGTATTATTTGTCTAATTTGGCTGGTGGTCGAGAGAAGATTATTTACTACAGTTCATTCTATTTTATGTATGTATATAGATTTTATAATTTAAAAATTAGACATCAATTTTAATGGTTGATAGGTAGTCTGATAGGAAATTTGCTGGTTCATTTTTGCAGCAGAGGGTCATTAGTAGAAACATTAAAGCATGTTTATATTATATTGATAGTCAGTTCTTTGTTTTTATGTATGTTATTCTTAACGATTCCGGATGAAAAAAAGAAATCTAAATTTAAAAAGTTTAACAAAATAATCACCTAATTGCTCATTCAAAATGGAAAGGAGAACCAGAAGGTTTTGAGGTTGGAACTATAAAAAATGAATTAGAAAAACCAAACTAATTAATTATACAATAAGCTGATTGATGGGGAGGCTGAGGCTGAGGCTGATGAAAAAAATAAGATTAAATAAATTATGGATTCATAGGTGTAAATGATGCAGACTTAACAGTTTTTTACAATTCAAAGTTTTTCATATGAGGAAAATAATCTACAGGACATTCTATCAGAAAAACCAAAGTCATCTGAAGATTTGAATTGGATTTATGCTAGTTAAAAGACAATATCAATTGAGGAATATGTCAAAAATAACTACTTTGGGAATTTATATCTAACCTTATCTGTTCTATGTTTAGATGGATTCTATAATTTCATAATATTGATTTTCAATGTTGGAAGTATGCTGTCCTTTTTATTGTTGTAATTGCCTAATCTATTGACAATAAATTCAGTATTGGATCCAGAAGTCAGAGCCGCTACAATATATGAAGGATTTCTGTATGTTGGGATAGGTCAGATTTTTGGATGCTTTTATATGGGGTTGTTTGGAGACTTCTCTTAAAAAATTACGTAAGGAATTTTGTAATAAAATAGAGGACTATATTATATCCTTGGAGTATATCAGTTGGGTTGCTTTTTGGCCTGGGGAATCTACATCTTTTAAATAGACTTTTTAATATTTTCAATGTCATTCATCTTGGGATTTACTTGTTCAGCCATGATGTCAACTACAATATCATTTTAGATAGTTTATTTTCATAAAGTATAAATTTGTATTGAAAATAGTTCATCTACTCAGTAGATTTGATGTATATAATTTTCAGTTTCTCTTTCTCCGTCACCTCCATATTATATATTATTACTAACTTTTTCGGAAAATTTAATGGTTTGATACTGCTATAGATTTCAGGGATAATGGGATTATTATCCATTTGGAGGATACATAAAAAATTGAAGGCAAAATTGAATAAATGACAATGACTAATTATTATACAATAACGAATGAATAGCTTTGTTCAATTCTTCAAGAATGTTGTCAATGAGTCCAACCATTAGATGTACAATCTTTGTTCCTTATCCAATGAATAATGTTCAATGAATGCTCCCAACTCATCATTTATTCCAAAGGTTTTCAAATAGTCTACCAAAGCTAATTGTAATCTCTAAAAATAACAATTAATAATAACCTCATCTAAAGTGATGAAATCTGGACCTGAATAATCTTACAATCCTCTCTCAAATCTTGGAATTTTCTTGTGAGCCTCTAAGTCCTTAATCAAACTAACTAAATTAACATTAACCTAATAGATAAAATAAATATATATACTTCTCCTTATGATGTGGTACATTCATAGCATAAGATTTATCCATTGCTCTTTTACAGATAAACTGTGAAGTCAGCATAATCATTATGTGATTCTTATTATTCTTCTTCCTCTTGATTTTACTATTTGTTATTTTATTCTTCTGGTTCTTCCTCATCTGCTTCATCTGTATTGGGTTGTCTTTATTGGAATTGCACAATGACTTTAACATCACCCACTTATTTTTCCAATGTGATTTCATGATTGCTATCACTGTCAACCAATTAGAAACCAGCCTTCTCAACAAATTGAATAGCTGTGTCATCCTCAACATAATTGGTTTTTTCGTATTTCAATTCTTTCTCTACGATTTTTACTAATTTTTATCCAGCTATTTTATTAATTGAGTGTATACTTTTATTGACCTTCTCCAATTAGGTGCAGAATGGAGCAAAAACTCTTGTAACATTCATTGGTTTGATGGTTCTTAACAATCTAAGAGGGATTTTGGAAATCATGCTATAAATTTTTAATTGTGATAATTTATTTAATGAAAAATGTCAAATAAATTATTATTTCATTCTAAATTATTAATGAAACAATAAGCAAAATACGAAATAGTTCTTCAATATTCAAATAATAATATTTTATATCAAAATATTTAATCTAAAAATTTACTATTTTTCCAAATATATATTTACACACGGAATATTTTATGATATACAATATTTCTATAGTATAAGTAAAGAAACAAATATATAGGCTTATAATTAAATAAAATGGATTATATCTATTATTCCAGAAAAAGAATTTAAGAAATTTTTGTATATATTATAATTTAAAATACAATCCCAAATTTTTTAGATCTATGCTACCTTATATCAATTAGTATTATGACAATTACGCAAATATATATATATAGTTTTTAAGTATTATTGGTTAGAGAAATATTTAAGTAGCTTACAAATCAAGAGTTCCTTCTTTATTGTTACAATTATTAAGAGAAATCTTTAATTAGAGATAATTTGTGCTATTATAAAAATATAAACAAATCAAAAAAACTCTTCTTTTAATTTCTTCTCGCCCCACATATTAATAATATCCAACTATTAATTAAATTAGAATCATTACTCTTCTGATCAAGGTTAAGATTTTACGAACTTTCTTATTGTCCTTAACCACCTCTCCTAAATCAGTTAACGAAGTAGACCAAGGATATGCTTTATTTCTTAATAGTAACTAAATGATTATTATCATTCTTACTTCAATAAGAGGAATGTTATTTTCTTATATAGCTAAATACAAGGGAGTTCTATTCATGATATCAATAGAATCAACATCTGCGTGATACTTAATTAATAATTCTGACATTTCATACAATCCCTTTTTACTAGACCAATGCAAGGCTGACATATTAAAGAAATCAAAATCAAAAACTAAGTATTAATTTTTATCTAGATATTAACGAACCTTTTCTAATTAATTCAACTTGACAGCATGAATGAATTCTTGCGAGTAGAGCTTTTAATATGGCTTTTTGGAGAAGATTTATTTTTATATCATCATTTTAGTAGTGATATTCATTTCTTTTAATTTTTTTAAAGCTCTAAGTAAACATTATCTTAATTATTTTTTAGTTCTTTTTGCAGGCTTAATTTACTCATTCAATAAATTTTCATCTCTTGTCGAATTAATAACATTTCTTGTTTTCATTACTGAAGAATTTTCGAATCGATTTTCCTGTCCTGTTGGAGACTTGATCGATAACATAGTGCTTTCATCAATATCAGTCTATTAAAATGCTCTGTCTATTCTGCTAGTTTATATTTGTATCTCAGTTTCACAGATATAATCTGATTCAAAAGGGATTTTACGATTTCGAAATTTTGAAATCTAAGGAGATTTTGAAAGTGTTGTTCTATTCATACTTTGAGGACTAGTAACAAATTTTATTCTGAATCGAGGAGAACTGTTTGTACCCTTTTAATTCTCTAATTTGATCGGAGCAATCTTCCTTATATTATTGTCACTTTGTGAAGCTTTCTTTTCTTTTATATACCCTTTCTATCTCTCAAGGTATTCCTTATAGGAGAACTTCACTGCTCCATCTTGAAGAATAATCATAAAAGTACTTTAATTTGCAATTACTGTCATACTCTGAACTTCCATCAATTAAGGCCTAGGTTATCTAGATATATCATTGTACTTTATACCTAAATTCTGCTTGTATTTTGCAATAGCTTTAACCCATAGATTTCTTCATTTTCAATTATATTATTTAAGGTTGGTAGTATATATTTATTATAAAATAATAAATAAGTTATAATAATAATATTTGCTGAAATAATTATTGACATATTTTTAGATTAGATCAAAATTCCCAAATTTTACCAATAGAGAAATCACTATTTTAACAATTACTAATAGTATGAAAAGCATTGATTTAATAATTAATGAACCAGAAACAGGTAGCAGATTGAAGCGCTTTTGAATACCTATTTAACGAAGCTTTGAAATAAGAATATCCTTGGAAAATTTTATTTTTTTTAATAATTATTTATTTTTATTTTAAGTACCATTTTAATAACTGTTATAAATCTAACATTATCATGTTTTTCATTTAAATGGCAAATCCATTTAATAGATTCCTATATAATAGATATTTAATAATAAATTATTGATGTGAAAGAGAATAATTTTAAAATGAATATTATCATTTTATTATTGAAATAAATTTTTAATTAAAATATGCTATCGAACTATAAATTGAGATTAATGATAACTTGTAGATAATTTAAATAATTATTTATTCTTTTCTTATTGTGGTAATTTTCTGTTTCTTTAGAATTAAAGTTTATAAAGTGTTTTAGAATCTTTTGACTGAAAGAGCTTGAATTTTGGATTATCTAATGTAATCTATATTTATTTTATATGTAAAAAATTCCCTTATTATTCATTAAGGAAACTAAAAGGAATGAACCCTATTTTTTTAAGTACTGAGAATACCAAAAATATAAGCTTTTAACTATTAGAATAAAATAATTTTATCCAAATTTAATTATCATTGCATAAAAGTTGAATTGGGAAATATTTGACTGGCTTGACGTATTTCAATAAAATAAAGTTATATGGAGTCAATTAAATACAAAGAGAATTATTTTAAATTAGTAAACTTTCTGTATAATCATTTTAGGTATGATGATACCATGCCCCCCTTAATTGGATATTTATGATGAATTTTAGAAGGATTTCTTAAAATCATCATTAGTTCATGAAAAGTATTTATCGACTTTAAAAATATGAATTAGTTTGAGAGTAATTAAACTGGAGGAAGCTCTGATTCATCTAGCAACAAATTAAAAGAACAAAAAATTTTAATGACTTTGAGTTTCTTGACTTTAAAAAATATAGTCTTTCCAAAGATTTTAAACCATTTGTTCTTCTCTGAATAGAAAGGAAGAATCAAAATAAGAAAGACTGATTAATTATTAAAATTATTGACAAAAACTTATAATGTTGATTTAATTGAAAAGTTTTCAATAGAAATGCCTGAATATACAGAACTAGAACTCATTATTAAAATTTTGTAATTGTGTCTTGAGAATTTGGGTTCATTAACAGAAGAAATTTTGAGTAGCAAGGCATTTTATGCTTTTTATTATAAATTATATGATTATTAGAAAAAGAAGTAAAGTAATAATACATATAATAATATAATATTTGAATATGTGCAACAAATAATATAGCAGACTCCAAATATTTAGGTAATCACTGAAGATTTCAGGTATTTCATTTATTTTAAAGCATAAATGATAGCAATTATGTAAGCTTTAAGGTTAGGAATTCCCTTGACTTCATTGCTTTTATGCACTAAATTCTATATGAATAGAGATACCTAATAATTCTTTATTGAATTCTTAATAACTGATGAGGTGTATAAATAAATATATAATAAAAGATAACTCTCAAATTTTAATTATCTAATGAATATAGATTAATTGATAAATTAAAACAACTTAAGTTTATCTGACATGAATTATTATATAGAGAAAATTTTCCCAAGATATGAGGATGAATTGATTGAAACAAACTTTAATATTTTTTAAAAGAATTTAGATTTAATTTTAGAATAAAAATAATATTTGATGATAGATCTATAGCATTTGGTTGAATCAAAGAAATTTATAGAACTTTACTCTGTACTTGCGAAATATCGTCATTAAGTCGATTAAGCTGAAATATTTTATAAAGGCCTATCTTAAATCATTTAATATTGCTAAAAAACTGAAAAATCAATATTGGATTTTAGTCCTGTGAATATTCCATCAGTTATTAAAAAGAACTTCTTTAGAACTCATGAAAAAAAAGAACTTATTTAATAGCAATAAATTGAATCTCTGCTGATATTTAATAAGATAATGACCGAGATGATTAAATTTAGATTTCCATTTCCAATAATTATAACGTATTTGGATTTGAATATTGACAATATTTCAATCAGTATTTCAAAAGAATTAATAATACAATGTTAGTAAGATAAGGTGTTCAATTTATTTCTTGCTTTGGTTCACTATAACTTTTAAACTCTAGCCAAGTCTCAAACTTACTCTAAAGCCTTTTACCATTCTTAAATGGCAAAATAAGAGATGCAAATAAAGGAAATCATTTTTAAAATGTTAGAAATAATAAGGGAATTTTAAAATTTATTAAAAAATGATTTAGAGAAAATTCTAAATGAGGAAGACACCAAATATAAAATTCACAATTTTATTAATCAGTTCTAAAAGACCAAGATCGATTAAAATAGTATTGATTAGAAAATAGCATCCACATTATTAGAGTTAATACAGTTTGACCAATCAAAAGTTGTTGATATGAACAATGAGATATAACTTAAACAGCAATTGCAGAGTATCATATAAGAAATCGAATATAAAACCACTAAATAACCCTATCAAGAACGAAGATTAGGAAGACCCCCAGGATTCTATTAGCATTAATAATATGTTTAGAAGAGAGTAAGATAAAAAGCATAATATTAATAAAGATTAATTTAGTAGCCAATGTGTTAATATTAAATCTCAAAGGTTAAGAAAATAAATAAATTGACTTCTGAATAATAGTTAATGGAAGAATTAGAGAGTATTTTAGTTTGATTATTTCGAATTGTACTTCCGATAATACCGATAATTCCCAAAATTCCACTTTTTTCATTATTTTTCTAAAGTTATAAAATGTTAATTAATCTTTTTCTAGCTTTAATAAATTAGCTCATTAAATAAAGAATCTTTGAGATTGCCAAATTAATCTTTTAAAAATAATTCAAAGCTCAATATATATTGCTGTGAATTATTTCAAAATTATTATATTATGTTAATAAGTAAGTCCTTACACAACTTGACTAAGGATAGAGATTAGAGGGATTCACATTAAAATCTACAAAAAAGGTACATCAGGAAAATATTTGATTGTAGAACAAATTAAGAGTTGATGGGTGGATAAACCAATCCTTAAAATTGTTAATTGAAACCTTCTTTTTATCAAGTGTTCCCACATCAACCAAATGACTTATAAAGTAACGATGAAATGAAGGTGCCCACTCTTACAAATGTTGCTTCCTATAAAAACAATGATTAACAGATCAATAAGGAGTAATCAAAGAAGGTTATGTCTGTTCAAGAGGATAATTCATTGTTATCTCCTTCTGTAAATGTAATGATGAATTCTCATTTGTTATCAGAGACGAAGAAACAAAGTTATGATAATGGAAGGTTGAGAGTAATTTTAACTCAAGTTAAATAACGATTGTTGAATTCCATTCATTTTTCAAAATACAATGATCCTCTTGTAACTCATGAATTTAAGGAAGGTACAACAAATAGAATAATTAACTTAGTTTCTCCATTTTACTATTATTATTTTACATTGTTCATGTTTTTGACAACATTTATCTCCAACTTCTTTACAATTATTCTCATACCCTTGCATAAGGTGTTTCATCTTTAGGAATCGGTTTCTCAGATATTCTATTATTTCAAGATTTTTGCAATTTTATTAGACTTATATTTTTAAAGAGGCCCTTACAAATTATTTAGAGGAAAAATTACTTAAAATTATAAGAATTAAAATAAAGTGTTTTTGGATTTATTTAGGCTAATTATATTATTAATTAATTATAATTTAAATTTGGAGAGTCGACTTTTAACTATTTTATTGATAGTGATCTTGATCCTGGTGGATATGATAAGAATAGCAGAGCCATTTGAGAATTTATACATATCAACCCAATACATAGTGATGATAATATAATTGTGGGCCTCTATAATAGTTAGTTTGACATGCACATTGAAGAGTATTAACATCATTTAAATAAGAGTATTTGACCATGAAGATGATCAATCCTTGTCCTTATATATAAGTTACTCAATTTCCTTCTTAACCCATAATGGATACATTTGTAAATATGCAATGTCATTTAGCATTAACTTTGAATGAGGATAATCGCATTGTAGTTTCAGTGTTTTCGTTGATATGCTACTTTTGTTATGTTTATACATTAGTTCTATTATGGATTTGGATGAAACCCAACATCGAGATCCAGGAAGAGAAGCAAAAATTACTTAAGGGATTCATTAAACATTTCCAGGAGAAGTGCAAGGATTAGGATTTGCTGAGAAGATGTTACTCTTACTTAGATTATAGGATTGATGTAAGATTTAAATGAAGAATAGATAGGAAGATTTAGGTAGAGCCAAAGAGTAATTAATGAAAAAGCTGAGTCCATCTTTGTAGGATGAGATTGATCTGGCCTTAAGAACCAAGATGTTAGAGAGGATAGAATTAATGCACAAGTTTTCTCCTCAGTTCAAATAACAATTATTGTACATGATTGAGCAGGTGACATTCAATCCTGAAGACAATGTTTTAATTGTATGATATATCGAGTTTATAATATAATCAGGAACATTAGGCTGAGGATTTGAGTTTGTATTATATTTTGAAAGGAGAAGTGAAGGTGTAATTCCAAGGTTCTTCTTTGGCAAACAATAAAAGTTCTGTCACAAAACTTGTAGAGGGCTAGACTTTTGGGTAGCATTCCTTTATATCTGGAATACCTTCTAATATTAGTATTTTTAGTTGTGGGGTTACTACTCTAATGAAATTGAAGAGGTCTGATTTTATAGAAATATTATCGCATTATCCGAAAGATAATGAGAGATTCAGTATGATGAGAGATAATTCCCTTTATAATCAATCTTTATTCGATTGTTATTACTGCAAAATTCAAGGCGATTACATTGTAGAATGCAGACATTTACAGTATTTCCCTCAAAGACAAAATGTACTTGAGAGATATTTATACAGTCGCAAATAACATCGTAAACCAATGGTAAGAAAACAAAAAAGATATTTAACTTTAAGAAATCTGAATCGCAATTAGGAGAGATTGAGATCTATAATAAACCATAAATAAAGCCAAGAGGCTATTTCTGAAGAGTTCCCAGATATTTCCTAGCTTCCATATTCTGAGAGTAAAATATATAATTTTATGTTATAGATTAAATAAACTCAGCTAGTCAAATGAGTAATTCAAATCCCTTCCTAAAGGCCAGTTAAGACAACTACGTATCAGGTAGTAATTTTAATGGGGATAATATTGAACAATAACAATAGAATAATGAGGAAGAAGAGGCAGATGAGGTGGGGATAACAATCCCTAAAATTTAAGCGAGAAGAAAGATGGATGACTCCCATAAGAACATTCATAGAACTGCTGGGTTTATGGGTAATCTTGGGAATGGCTCTGTGTTAGATAAAGATGAAAAAGAGATCCTCCTTCAGTTACAAGATACATCAAATAAGGATGCCAAACAATTTGTGCTTAATTAAGCAAATCGGAACTCTCCGAACATGCTAACCTTTCAATATTAGAAAGATACAAGTCCTTAGATTCAAACAGATTATTTATTTTTAGAATTAAATTAATAATAGCAAAATCAGGACCATAATTAAAAAGGTACATTGGGGTAATTGTCCAATAGATCCAGAACTTGCACGAATTCATTTTCAAGAGATATTTCAAATAATCAGTCTTCAAATTCTAGATAAAATAGGTCTCTCAAACAATCAAGGGACAAGGTTAGGAAAACGAATAGTATCAATACACTTTCTGATGACAACAAATTAAGATAAAAAAGTGGAACGAAACAAAGCAATCTAGGTCAGCAATCTGCATTTTAGGCTTTGGCAACTCCTGAGGTATATATGTATTGATTGAAATTTTAGAATCAAGAGTTGATTTTGAATGATGTGATATTTAATTAGTTCGAATGTATGATGAAATACAAGATCTATTATCCTCACAATAATTTCAATTGTGTTATTCAAAGATACAAGAATTAATTTGAGATGAGTAATTTCAAAATTAAAAAATTTAATTATTGTGGGTACTCTTTAAAATGCTTTGTCGCGTCTAAAATCAAAAGAATACAAAAATTAATTAGACGTTAGTGAAATAAGATGCCATTCAGATGTCATTTTGATTGATTGTAATTTTTATATTTAAATTAATTAACTCTAAAATGATCACTTATTTAACCATTCTTGCTGGGATTATGTAATTTAGTAGAGAATATATTATTTAGCACTTTTCTGTAGGCTGAATGTACTCCATCAATAATGAATCTTCTGAACCTGGATCAAAATTATTAACAAATCTCGGAGGAATTTGATTTCAATTAAGAAGTGTCATTCTCTTTTTGGTTTAAGTATGAACCCAAAACTAAAATTTAAACCTAATATTTTTATGGTAGCTCGACCGAAGGCGAATAAGTTGCGTCAGGGTCATTACTATTTAGACTTTATGAAGAATAAGCAAAATTGTTCCGAATATTTACATATTTAGATACCAACAATTAGAATCTATAAACAATGATAATAAATGCTGATTAGAATATTTCCTCGACCGAAACTTTTAATTTAAATTTTTTAGATGGAATTTGGCAATACAAATTCTATAAAATAGTACCTGTTGATCGGAAAATATATCATTTTATCTATAATTATATGATTTCGTCCTATACTACGAGCCAGACTAAATTTGACATCGAATAGACGAAGTTTCAATTGAGCATAGGAGGTTAAGGATATGTATTTTTTGAATTTAATTTAAGTTCTCAGATTACTATCAAAATTTATACTTCAATGCCTTTCCTGGATGGATTTCATCCATAAATGTATTTCAAGGATCCCTGGACATCACTCCACCTTCATTTAAAACTAATCTGGACACATGCATTAAAAGTGTCCTAGTCTGTGATCCGAAACAGCAAAAACTGATTAGTGGCATTTAGACATCGTAAACTTAGATTTTGAAGAGCAATTTTAAATTAGAGAATACATTTGAATTTTAAGCTTGGTATAAACTTTCAATCAATAATGTACGTGTAATAATTAATACTTTTAGGCAAATAAAATTTATCACATGGTATAAATTAGAGATGAAAACATAACAACATTTAATATCATTGATTCAAGAAATCTGCTCTTAGATTTGAGGTGTGTTGTTCTTGATGGAGGAGTCAATGTTGAGATACAGTTGACACTCCAATCATATGAATAACAACTCTATTATTCAAAAGAAGAATAAGTAAAGGTGGACTCTACAGTAATTCTTGTATCTTAATGGCATTTCATTACAATAATGTACGATAGAGAACTAACCTAACAGACAGGAATTGATGTTTATTTTCCTTCTACGTTATCGAAACTTGAAAAAAGATACTCAAACCTAATATTATTTTTCACCGGATCAGATTTATTCTTTTATTTTGGATCAAATAATAAATTATCTTAATATTTTTCAGGACAAATCGGAGAAATCAAAATTAATTCTTGTATAAAAAATAAGCCATATACTTTTGAATTATGTAACATATTTTGATTGATGATTTACTTTAGAATGCGACAACACTTGTAAAGTTTGTGATGGACCAACCTAAAGTTTTTGTACAGAATGTGATTCGAATGATTTTCGTGAAATTTCTAATCATCAATGCCTTTGCAAGGAAAATTACTTTTAATTTGCTTTTCAAAGGAAATGCAGGGGTATTTAGATTGTTTATAATTAGAAATTAAAATTGGAGATTTTTTTTCGATCCAAGAAATTAAACAAGAATAAACTCAATGTTATTATGGTTAATTTTTGGTAAATTACAAAGATCAAGTTCGTTGTGTTGATTGGTATGCTTAATCAATATTATTATCAGTCCATTTTCTCAAATTGGTACAAAAGTGCTTTGTGGAGATTGCTTGGAAAATCAACAAATCTGGTAACATAGTATGAAATGCACATACAAATACGAAGTGAATGATCCTCTTACCTTGGGTTCAACTTATATGAGAGCGGAATCAGAACCGTAGCAATACATAATGGACATCAATTCAGGATCCATCAATATTTGCATAGGTTGCTCTGAAATTTGCGATGATGAAGACTGTTAACCCTATAAATATACTAATTTTGGTTAACTGATCAAAGTAAGATGCAAACCAAGTAAGTATTCATGCATAATTTATATAGATTATTATTTTTAAGATGGGGAGTGTAGATTATGCGATCAATTCTGCAATATCTGTCTAAATCAAGTCTGCATTTAATGTTAGTCGAATTACTATTTCAACTCTATCTTCCAGAAATGCTTATTGTCTACTAGTGCATCATAGTAATGTGGATTCAATTGTCTCAATTGCATCTAATAGGAAAATAGTAACAGATGCTTGATATGTAAAGAGAATTATAAGATATCCGATGATGGATAAAATTGCGAAACCTATGAGTTAACTGATTGTCTAAATGAACACAATAAGTAAGGAGTTAGATCATCAATACCTTACTTATTTGACCCATTAACTCAATTTATAACTCAACCATATTGCAGTTTCTGTACCAAAAATAATTTTGATACAGTTGCTAATAAATGTACTGACGAACCTGCTCTTCCTACTACTTGCAGTTATTACATTGATAAAACTACTTGTTTATTCGGTACAGATTCAACATTAGTGAAAACTACTCCTGCATGTACCTCACCTTGCACTATGTGTATTAAAGATAATGCAGATTTTACATAAGAATTTTGTGTTTAATGTCAGTATGGCTATTATATTGATTTGCTTTCTGGAACTTGTATGCCATGTCCATCTAATTGTAAAGATTGTGCATATAATTTATTACCTTTGAACAAGGATAGAATTTCAATTTCTCTAATTTCTTTCTATTAATAAGGAGTATTAAAGTAGTATTTGGATTCTTTACTCAAAATACCCTAAGATTTATTTGAATTACTTTGTAAAGATTGCCAAGCTGGATATGTAACTAATAATGGTGTTTGCATTAATGAATGTCCATAAAATTGTGAAGAATGCCAAGCAATTAATAATAAGAATGTGTGTATTAAATGTGTTCCTACTACGTAAACTATTCTAGATGCTAACTGCTTAGAATGCCCATCTAATTGTTTAGCTTGTTCTGAAAGGACTCAAGAATAGATCTTAAAAATAAATCCTTTTTTTGATCTATCTATAACCACTTTTAAGAAACATTCAAACCAATGTTACAAACCAACCAAAACTAAACCTGTGATGTCTAATCAAATTGCATTAGACTGCAAGACCATTGAAAATTGCTACAAGAGTTTTAGTATCTAAATAAATCTTTTTTGCTGGGAAGATGAATTTCAAGCTAGTTACGATAGTTAAGTTAATAAAGACTACTATTATATTTACAATTACTTTATAGACAATTTGGTAAGTGATTTCGAATTAAACTTTTTGAATCAATAATTTTTAGAATAATTGAACCAATACTAAATTTAGCAAATCTCAATTGACATTAAATTTATATCAAGTACAGGAGAATGCTCATTTGAAAATGACAAGATTATTTTAAATTAGAAATTCATTAAATACATTTTTAATCTCTAGAGAGTCAACCTTAAATTTTATTCTGAAGATATAATGAGTTTCCATTTGCCTGATTTGCTGCAGTTGTAAGATTATTCAACTTTGATTTTTTAAAATATTATTTTTATTGGAAATAACAACATTACAGTAATAGATGCAACATCATAGAATTCTCATTTTCAAATTTAAATTCATGATTGCTAATATATAAATTTTTATAACGATTGGATGAATGCTGCTTTTCAATTCAAATTCCAATAAGTTTAGACTATTATCATATAAAACTTCAAGATATAAAATGTTAAATTATTTAATTTTGGAATATTTAATATAAAGGTTTTGGCACCAGATTTTAGTTTAGAAGTCAATTAATTGCAAATATTGGATTCAGCCTTTACAAATTTAAATATCTTTGATATTTAAAATCCATCAAATTTTGATTTGAATATCAAATTTGAAGACATTATGATAAAGGCTAGCCTTTACAATTCATCCTTTATCATATCTAGAAACTCGGATAAATTGATTGGAGTGCTTAACTTATTAAAGTTCAATTTAGTTGAGAGTCATCTCTATGGATCCAAATATTTGTTTGATTTAAGAACATAAACAACAAACTTGGTTGATTGTCTTTTAGAATCAACTACATTATACGACGAAGCTTCATTGATGTATTCTTTTGGATTCAATTTATAAAATGTTAAGATAACCAAAAGTACTATTTACTTTGGCACATTCTTCACAAATTATGATGAGAATTACTATTAAATCAATTAGGATTTAGCTTTGACTTGGAAACAACTTTCATTTGAGTAAATCTCCTATTCTAATTATAATCAATTCATCATTATCAAGAACAATACTAGTACTGAAATTGATATCTAAGACTTCTCAATAAAAGGTAATATTTTGAATAAAGATTCTCTCAAAAAGAGCAACTATCTAAAATCCTTAGTGTATTTAGAAGGTAAAAAATTGGTTATTAATGACTTAAAAATAATTAAATTGACAGGAATCATAGAGTTATCTTTATAATTTGACTCAATAGAAATAAGAAAGAGTGTGATAACATAAAAAGCTGAAGCCTAAATAATTATTTAGCCTTCCTTGTCTTGCTTACATAACTATTATGATCTTCAGTTGTATACCCCTATTATCCAGGTTGTAAACACAAGATCAGTATTGATAGATAGTTTATAAATTTCAAGTTTGAGTGTGGTTGATAATTACATGATAGGATTTGAAGAGAATGATGGCAATAAGATCACTGTGACGATTTAGAATAGTCAGTTCTTTGATAATAATATCTTAGTTGAATCCACTTCTGTGAACTCAGGCATAATCAAATTTATTTCAAATTCTGAATCTACAATTGCATTTCAATATAGTCAAGCAGCCAACAACATTTTGTATTCATACAGTTCCGACCAGAATTCATTATTAGGAACAGTCTTAATGATTTCCAATCTTTTTGGTTCCATAGTAATAAACAACAACCAATTCATCAATAACTAAGCAATAAACACAACATTTTCGATCTCATATTTTTATGCCCAATAGGTAACTGTGAAGGATAATTCATTTAAAAATAATAACTTTGATGATTTAGAACTAATTTACAACAAAATAAGTGATTCATACGGAGAAGAAGTATATATCGAGCAGATAAAGGAAAACTACAAAATATTATCGAATGGAGGGAATGGATATTACAGAGGAGATAATATACTAATTTAAAATTGCATTTTTGATTCATCAACTGCGTTGTATGGAGGGGGACTATACATCCAAACGATTAATAAGGGGAGAATAAACATTAATAATTGTCAATTTCTTAATTTAAAAACTGATTTATCGGCAAATTTAGAAGGTATGGGAGGTGCTTTGGTGATTGATGGATCAACTGCTGAAATTAAATTGACTTTGCACGACTGCACATTTGATAAAGTAATGGCTAAAGTCTTTGGAGGAGCAATATACTTTGATGTTTCACAGAAACTTAACAATATCGAAATAAAAAATCTAAAACTTAAGAATGTGATGTCTCTCATGGGTTCGTTCATCTATGCATTGTTTAGTAGTTAAGACATTTCAAATTTATTTGTAGACAACGTTGCTTGGGAAATGGATTAATCGGTAATATTGTAATATTTTGGGGAATTCAAAGGATTTAAATCTGATTATTCTATGTAAATAAAGGAGAAGAGTATGTTGGTAGTAACTTAAAATGGGAATATCAAATTGTAAAATCTTTAAATATTTTCTACTTATTACTTTGGTTTAATTTCGATGATAGATTGCATTCGTTGCACAGTTCACAACATTTTGATTAATTAACCAAAAAGAATGTATTATAATGCATTTTACTTTGGGAATAATAACTTATATTCTTCATCCTATATCATTCTGAATCAAATTTACTTTGATACTTTGACTGTTTTTCCTTATTCATCTACTACCAATTGCAAAAGTCTTTTGGATATGAAAGTAGAATCGGCACACATAAATTGCAACTTGAAACGGTTCTTGAGAAGGGGGATATAGTCTGCCATATCCAATACTAAATTTTCAGACAATGGGGATTGCAATTTAAATTTGTTGCTTTAATACTCTTAGAGCTCATAAGGAGTATCTGTGATGGATATATTTCATGGGTATCAGTTGGACGGGTATAAGATGTCCCATGTTTAACATTTTAAGAGTATTACCATAATTTCAAGTGCATATGATTATTTGGATGCAACTTTTGATATAGCAATGAATGTTTATTCATAATACAATAAGACTCTGTACTTTAGCGATATTTTCTCCATCTAAAATACTGCATTTTAGCATGTTAGAATCTCAGGTACACCTGAAAAACAGCGTTTACTTCAACAAAGTAGTGGAAGTTCATTAAGATATCCAATATACCTATAGAATTTTATTAATCACTTAGGAAATTTCTGGTCCTATTCAGGCTTTCTAATATACAACTATTAGGCAATGGTATTTAATTTCATCATTACTAATATGACTCAATCGGTTTCATATATAATGGAAGCCAATAATGCGTAAAATAATTACCATTTTTACATAAATACCTTAGTGACTGACAATGTCTTATAGGCCGCGAGTTTATCAAATCCTCTGAGAACAGGTGGTAATCCAATAACTCCTGAGTTAATAATGAGCAATACAATTATCTTATTCAACTATAGAAAAGACTATACTGCATTATCAAACATAGTCGAGTTAAGATCCAAAAGATTGGCTTTTAAATATGATGGTGTTAATTATTTGAGAGCAGTTGAGAAACTGAAAACCGATACAAAGATTATTGAAGAAGTTTATGTAAAACCTTACAAAGCACCAGGAGACTCCAATCTAACAAAATATTTGATGCTGCTGCCTCCTAGTGGATAAAGCTTTGAAAACTATTCTTATTTTGACAAACTTACAGAAGCATATATACCATTGAATATCAACATGTCCATTACGTTAATGAATTCTTAGTTGGAAAAAACAGTTTTATATACTGGAGCCTAATACAATCTAACTGCAAAATACAGAATAATGAATCAATCGAATCCTATGGAAAATACAACATTTACGGATCTCTCAACAATTTAGGTTACTGATTCCACTAAAAATGAGAAATTCATTAATGAATTAGTAATCGATTTTGATCCCTATTCAGACCCTTCGCTTTACTATTAATTATCATTTTCTTGCAATTATATTTTGATTTTCACATACTCTGATTCCTTTCCATATAAGATGAAAAACACAATAACAGATTATGAATTGAGAATGAATATTAGGACTTATAAATGTTAAGTAGGAGAATACATCTATTTAAATTAATGTAGATAATGCGATCAGACATAAAATTACTTTTAAGTTTTGGAGGGATAATCTTTCTGTTATTTTAAGGATGATGTGAGCACAATCCAAGTTTAGAGATTCACTGTACAAATGAAACCAAATTATTGGAGATATGTATTCAATAGCACTAAAATCGAATATTGCTATCATTTCCCAACTAATTGTTTGGGAGGATGGAAATATGGGGATCAAACATGCATTGAAGGTCATATTGGAGCTTTGTGTGAATAATGTGATCTATATAACACAAGAGGAGATGGGTCTTTTTCTGTAAGTTCATAATATAATTGTGGAAGTTGTGAAGATGTTAAATGGAACATCATTATTATTGTTATTATTGCGCTCTTGTAAATTAATTCATATATCAAATAGCACCTTAATATTGGGAATAATAACAGTTAAGAGCAATGCAGATGATACGGATTCGTTCAACTTATAAGTAAAAGCATTAGAAGCCTTTGGTATTCCTACTAGTATTAGAATCATGTCCACAATTTTGATTAAACTTTTGACCAACTATGCCTAGATTATTTCGAGTGTTTTCACCTTTTAACTTACACTTCCACCAGAGATTCAACAATCAACTAATAGTGTAGGTAACCCTACTCAGAGTATGGTGTATTCACTGGATTGCTTTTTGATATCTATGTCAGATATGACAATCATGTACTTGGAATTTATTTGGATGGTAGCAACACCCTTCTTTTTCATTTTCATCATCTATTTTGTCTATTTCTTCATTGTAATACTCAAAATATCCAAATTTAATATGGGAGTTATTAGTACCACCCTTATATACTTTTACATCTATATGCAGCCTAACTTGATTTAGACGTATCTCAATTTATATTATATCAATTTAGTATGATATCCCAGTTGAGTAGAAGATCAATATCCGGAGTTGAATTTGTCTAAGGAAATGTAGCATATTTGTTTTAATCTAAAACTCATCAAAAATGGCTTATCTTTGTAATAGTGCCAATTCTCATGATCATCGGGTTTGTGATTCCTCTGACCCTATGGTATCAAGTCTTTAAGAATTAAAGAAGAGGCAAACTCAAGGAAATTTCGGTAAGGAACATCTGGGGTTTCTTATACAATGAGTACAAAATCAATGCTTACTATTGGGAGACTATCAAATTAATATAGAAACAAACAATCATCATCGCTCTCAACTATTATGAAGATTAAGTAAGTATCAAAGCATCCCTAATACTTTTAATCGTATTTCTATATCACGTCTTAAGTAACAAAATTAACCCCTACTCTGTTGTTAAACTGAATCGTTTAGATACTTACTGCACTGTAGTGTGTTCTATTTCCATCATATTGTGCTCCACCATATATTCTGCGTAAATTGGAGGTTAATATGAAATTGTGTGGCCATTCTATATTATCACAGCCGCCATTAACTTGCTCTACATCTTAGAGCTCGTCATTGAAATCATACTTTCTTATTTAGCTTAATATCAGGAATTGCTAGACAAACTAAAAACATTGATTCGAAATAAGTGTCCTTACTTTGTTGACAACTACCCATGCTTCTAGAGACTGCTAACTACAAAGTAAGAGAAACAGAGGAAGGTTAGAGAGATTTGGAAGAAAGTTAGGAAGCCCTTAATGGTTAAAGTAGCAAGAGTGATAAAGGCAAAGGAGTAAGAAATCATCTAACTTTTAGATATACAGAAAATCATTCCCCTGAATCTTTCTATAGGAGACGAGGTGGAGTCTCTAGTCCTAGTCCTATATTTTCATATCGAGGAGATGCAATAAGAGGCGACATGATTGACTCCTAATCCTAATTGAATAGTTCGATGCAAAGGAGATAAAATATGAGTAATCCTACTATCAAGTTGGTTGAAACTCTCTACTAGCCAAGAAACGAAGAAGAAAAATTAGACCCTCGAACCCAAAGAGACGAATTCTAAGTTGCCGAGGATCCATTGAGTCCTCGAATTGTTTATCTCAGTCTCGGTCCAAATACAAGAAGTGTACTAAGAGAATGATATTATTTTTCCAATTCCTTATAAATAAATAGAATCATTTTTATTAAAGATAAATAACAAATCTAGAGCTTTTAACTACTTACACCGTTCCTTATTTTCATTCTTATTGAAAGTATATCATTATTTATCAGCATTTATTTTTAAATAGAATCCTATTCCAAATTCAAATATCATTTGATATTTAGATAGAATGAATCCAATTTTATTCATTTTCTATTTGAGTTATGAATATCTAGGAATCTAGATGAATATCTATAATATTTAGAATCAACTATTCTTTTTAAAAAATATAAATTCACTATAAATAATTTTAAATTTATTTAGTATTAATCGTTTTTAGTATGTATTATAAATAGTTGAATGTATCCTAAACTACAAATATAAATTTATACTTAGACATAGATCAGGGATTGTTAGGATTAAAGATAAGGATTGAGTGAAAGTACAGAATAAGATCATAAAATTCACCATTTCTGTTTTGGCATAAATATCTTTCCTTGATTCAAGATTCTCTCTGAACCAAAGATTGTAATTCAATAAAAAAGTAATTGTAGAATTTTAAATTAATAATTTGAGACCAAAAAAGAGATTAGAGGTTTTTAATGAAAGGTTAATGTGAATAGTTAAGAAAAAAAGAAATTATTTTTATAATTTCTAGGTTAATTGTTGAAGTGAAGTTAAATAACAAAATTTAAGCAAATAACGATTATAAGGCTAAATAAAAAAGACTTTACCTAATCAGAATCTATGTAGTATGATTCTTTTTTGAAGATAAATTTTTAAAATTCTTTAAGTTTAAAAACAAGACAGTTTGGACAAGTGGCATCTTCAATTATAGGGCAAACAATTAGGAGTAAGGGAAAGCGAGAGATAATATTAATAGATTAGATTTGGAGATGATAAAGTTGGGAAGTAATTTTGGAAATTTTGTAGTTTTTTGGATCAAATACTAAGAAAAATGAGTAAGTACTTTGAGGAAGAATTCTTAAGTTGGAAATTCTTGAATAATATCAGAGATTGAAGAGGTCATTTCAATAATTGAATAGTCTGATTCTATATAAAATTAAATTCTGTTAATAGTCAATCATTAATTGTATGTATTATTACTCTAATGATGATGAATTTTTGTATGATATCATTCAATATTACATCATTTAGAATTAAATAATTTTTGAATGATTAAGTAATTGCTTGCTATTGTGGCAATTGGAACACTGTCAATAGTGCCTTACCTTGATAACACAGATTACAACCCATGGTTTGAAGGAGATACATTCATCGTCTCTTTGGATGGAAGCATGAAGAGAATTAGTAGATTTGATCCAAACTGGAAACCATAATCAGCTTATGAGTAATTATCGAAGTAGATAAATCTAGAGATTACCATGAACAAATCTATCAAGAATAAGAGAGATAGCGCAAAGAGAAAATGTCAGACTTCTTGAAGACTACAGCTAACATTTGTACAAATGGAAAGGATCACACCAAATTGACCTTATAAAATTACATGGATGAATTCATCAAAGGTCCTTGCTAACCAGCTGTTTTAGTGCCTGGTCTGATTGGTACAGCTTTATAGGTATATATATATAATTCTATAGTCTAATAGGTAAAAATTGATTGCGAAACCTTATAAGCAAAAAGACCTGATATCTTTGAAAATTGTGGTTGGTAAACTTGCAGTTCATCTAAATTCTGGTTGAAGAAACCAAGTGAAGAATACAGAATGTGGATAGGTGCCTTAAGCAGTCCTTTTTCAATTGCAATGACCAGCAAGAAGGACAAATGTTTTGGAGATTTCGTTGAACTTTATTATGATAGATCCAAAAAGGATCCAAGAGACAGATACACAGCAGCCCCAGGAATTGAAATCACTTGGGCTGGTAACACTCCAAAATCAATTGATAACGAATGCGGAACAACAGCCATTTAAGAGATCGCCACTGATTCCGTTATCAAGGCAGCAATGTGTGATCCCAAAGGATATCATGTTTTCTCAGACACTCTTAAAAACATGGGTTACATTCCAGGATTAACAATGCAAGCTGCCCCATATGATTTCAGAAAATCTATTGCTGCTTCAGAATCCCAATAATACATCAAGAAGTCTGTGGAAACATTCTATAGATTGACAGGAAAGAAAACCTACATCTTTGGACATTCTTTGGGTTCCCTTCATTCAACAGAGGCAGTGTACTCAATGACTCAAGCATAAAAGGATAAAGTAGCTGGTATTGTGACAATTGCTGGACCTCTTTTGGGAGCAACTAAGACATTCAAACCTTAAGTAGGTGGAGATGACAGCTTTATGTTTAAAGTGTTACTCTTGGATGCCGGTATTAACTGGTATGCTCAAAGGAAAATGGCTCGTACATCTGCCAGTATAGTGGATCTATATCCATAAGGACACATTCACAAGATTCAGAGATGCACCATGGATGTAAGAGATCCTTGACAGAATGGAATGGGATAATGAGTTCATTTCAACTGGAAGGAAACCAACAAGAGCAAATCCTTTACCTTGGTTCCCAGAACCTAGTGAAGTTTGCGGTGCTGATTTTGCTGACAGATCTAACCATTGCTAATTGTTAATGCACGACATGAGTGAACACTTTTTGAAAGTCGTTGATAAATTGTATTATTCAACCACAGAATCCACCAAATAAGCCATTACTGACACCATCACTGCTACTGATGCCTAATAAGTCTTGGATTATGTCGAAGGAAACCACAAGAGAAAAAGCCAATAATGTTGAACATCCAGGAGTACCTATGATCGTAGTCTATGCTGCTCATGAAATGACTCCATTCCAATTTGAATATACCAAACAACCTAAACCCATTGTTGAGTCTACTGATGATTTCTACTTCCCAGATCATATTACCAAAGCCATCGGAGACAGCACAGTTCTTGCCTCCTCATCCATGACTCCAGGTATCAAGTGGGTTTATGAACACAAACATGGATTAACCACCATCCCAACTAAATTGGTTGAATATTGTTCATAATATAACGGAGATGCAGTCTCATCTATTTATGATTCAAAAGATGCTTAAGGATAAAAACAATTCACTAATTCAGGATATTTGGGTCTTACTTGCTCTTGCAAATTTGGATAAACTGTATATTTATTTCATTTATCATTATCAGGGAATCGACCATTGTGGACATGCCTGTATGATTCAAGACACATTATTTATTGAGTTTGCTGCTGATGTTTTAACTCCAAACTGGAAATCTACCATTACATCAACACCAGCCACTGAATCTGAACTTAAAAACATCCATGAAGGATGCACCAATTTACATTGATTATATCAATAAATCCCAGTAATAATTTAAATACCAAAATTAAATATCAATATCCTATTCTATTACAATTTTTAAAGATTTTCAATACATTCTAAAGAGATAATTTATATATACTTAGTTGTGAATAGGGCTTTGATATTGAGTTGCTTTAATTGTTTCCTCACTCTTTCGATAGAAGGCTTAATGGTTTGAAACTATTTAAATCTATATTTCTAGAATATGTAAAAATCATAAGTAATGATTTCATAGCAATTTGTTAATTTAAGCAAAACATACATAACCTCAAAATCTATAAGCCAATACAAACTATATAAATACTTATATATAATTTGAAAAGCACTCTATCTTTTTTGATATATTCATATTCTATTATCAAAAGATATAATATCAGTCAAGTATATTGTTTATTCAAATGATAAATAATGTTAGAGAAATAGGAGATTAGAGGGGCATTCTATGTTATTTTATAAATATTAAGAGGATTTCTCTTTGGAACCATAGAGTCTCAAGAATTTATAATAAATTTTTAAATTTTCATAATCAGTTTTTATTAGTGATATCACACATAAGTATCCAGAAAACCTTGAATTTACATAATTAGGTTTAAATGCTTTAAAATTAGTGTTAATTAGTAGAATTTCTAGTCTTTGGATAATCATGTAAATGATGACTTAAACATAGATATTGGTAAAACTTCATTTCTAAAGTCGGCAAAGGGAGAAAAATTTGATGAAAATTATTACCCTAATACAGGAATAGAATTAATAATCAAATAGATTAAGATTAGGGATGAAATATAGAAATTATACTTGTGGGAATTTCCAGGATTTTCAAATTTCAAACAGATAGCAAGAAGGTATTATAAAAGGGCTTAAGGTCTTATATTACTATACGATATAACTGAGTATTAATGTTATTTTAATTGAACTAGTCATGAGTCATTTATTAATTTAGAAAACTATCTAGAAGAAGCAATTTAGCATCATGATTCACTTTTGAGCATCATCTTGATTGGAAACAAAGTGGATTTAGATAGTAAAAGATAAGTTTCAATTGAAGAAGCAGAGGATTTTGCTCAAAAAAAGGGATTCCCTTTTTTCGAAATTAGTGCTAAAACTAATCATAACATTGATTTAGTACTTGAATATTGTCTTAGTGATGTTCTTGAAAAAGCCAAAATTAAAGGAATTGAATTAAAAGTAATTAGACAATCGATTAATATAGAAAATTCATATTGATAATGAAGAGCCAGAATCACAAACTTCCAATTCAGTATCTTTAAACTAACAAAAGAAGAATTGGTTTAAGTGTTATTGATATTTAAATTCATTTTAAATAAATAAACCATTAAATAATTTTCTAATGTTAAAGACAATAGAACAACACCGTTTTTAATTGAACTAAGTTAATAGAAATTCAATTAATATATTCCATAATTAAAGCATATCATAATATAGAACAAATAAAGTGGGCTTTAAGATAATGTTTAGATGATTGAATTCATTTATATATAAATTATTAAATTATGGATTCAAGACTTATAAAATAAGTGAGATAATATAAATTGAGGAAAATATTAGGTCAGGGATCTTTTGCAACTGTGTTTTTAGGGGAAAATCCAAAGAAAGAAATTTTCGCAATCAAAGAAATCAAACTTGAAGAAGATGACGGATCGGAAGAAGTTCAAAAATTACATTAATATTTCGAATAAGAAATAGAGATTTATTTAAAAACAAAGCATGCTAATTTGGTGAGTATGATAGAGGAATTTACTGAAAAGTAGTTTCGCTATTGTGTATTTGAGTATTGTGCCAATGGAGATTTAAATAACTTTTGGAAAAACAATTTACTCACTGAATAGGAAGCCAAGACGATATTCACATAAATTTTAGCTGGAATGAAATATCTTGCTGAATAATCTATTGTACACAGAGATTTGAAATTGGATAATATTTTGATAGATGAAAAAAACACAATAAAAATAGCTGATTTTGGGTTTGCTAAATACTATAATTCAGAAGATATTTTCGTTTCTTATTGTGGAACTCCAGCAACAATGGCACCAGAAATATTAAAGTATTTATTATAGTTTAAAATTATAGTAAATAGAGTTACGATTTTAAATGTGATATTTGGTCATTAGGAGTGATCTTATACTAACTTATTTTTAAGAAATATCATTGGAAGGGAAACGTTCGAAGTATACTTGACTTACAGAAATAGCTCTAATAGTACAAAGTAAAATTGTTTATTTATTAATATTTAGGTTGAATTTGATAATTAAGTGAAATTATCGGATGAAGGAAAGGATCTCATTAGTAAAATGCTAGTTAGTGATAAAGAAAAACGAATTAATTATCAATAATTATTTGCTCATCCTTGGTTGGAAGGAAAACTAGATGAATCCTAAAATTTGTTGGAATCATAATGGCTCATCTAATCTAAATTGACAACAAAATAACCAGGGTAGATAATAGGCAATATTATAAAATAATAAAGGAGAGTGAAGGCAGACTTTTGTTAAATACTTGATCATTGCATAAAGGATTCTAGGAAGGAAGAGGTGAAAGAAAAATTTAAAAATTTTAGAAAGCAAGTCAATTAAGAAAAATTTAATGTAAGATAATATCAATTGATTTAAGATTACAATAAATAGTAATAATTTAATAGACAAACCCGAATTCGAACTCTTTGATTATACATGTGAATTGTATGAATTTTTGAGCAACCTTTATGATCAATATGAAATGAATTATAGAGAGACTGCAAAAAAAGAGTTGGAATTGATTTAATTCCTAAAGGAAAATCCATTATCTAATAGTATCACTTTCAACTTTGATGGATTAAATACACTAGAGTAAATTAAAGTGGTGAGGAATTCTATTGTTGAAGAGGATATAAATGACTTTGAAGATCCTTAAAATTGGTAGATAGACACCATAGAGATTGATGAATTTAAGAGAGATGTCGTTGACCTGGTGATTCATGATAGATTTAAACTGAACAAGCTAGATCAGATGTACTCCTATCATGTTAGTTAGTCTAATAATATATTAAATAAAAATTGATATACTTAACTCTAGATTTATTAATTAAACTTCCCATTTCATCATTATTGCTTAGTAGAAGGGGTACTAGCAATATTGTTCTTGGTTATAAAGTGACTAATTGAAAATCTGATTATTCGTAAGATAGGTAGAATATTGATTTAGTAAACTAAAGAGTTGCTCTAAAATTGTTGTAAAAATTCTATATCTCTGAGAATTCTAATACTTATAGACAATGTTACATTAAGTTTTTAATAAATATCATAAATTGCCTCAATATTATTCTATATAAAAAATGTAATCTAGTTGATTAAAAAAAATATCATATTGTAAGATGACCATTGTTAAAAAAAAGGAACTTAAGAATAAGCCAGATGAGAAATTATATAATCAACAAAGTAAAAATAAATGTATCTTAAATTTAATTGCACAATTAAAACTTTGTAATTCCTAATCTAATAATTCAATCATTATATATCTATTTTAAATGAGCTTAGTATTAGTCGCTAGCAAAACTTGTCCACATTGCATAAGAGTGGTCTTGACTTTAAACCATTTGAAAATTCCTTATGAATTGAAATACATAGATATCGAGAATAGACCAGATTGGTTTATAAAAGCAAGTCCATTAGAGAGAGTGCCTATTCTATTTGTTGGTGATGCAGTCCTTTTTGAATCTCTTGTAATTCTAGATTATATCAATACACTTACTCCTCAATCATTACTTCCAAAAGATAATTTATAGATTGCTTTGAATAGAGCAAGAGCGGAGTTTTCATAAGAGATTATTGAAATTCTTTGGAGTGTGTTCTCAGCTAAAACATTAGAAGTAATAATAAATTGATTTTGAGGCTTTTGATTTATAAATGAAAGAATTGAGATGGCTATTCTCTTCATTGGAAACTTGGCTCTAATAAACAAAATTTATATCCGACAATGTTTTGACTCTGGCTGATTTTGCTTATGCTCCAATTTTCACTATAATACCTGCTTTAAAACAGGTTATGAATTTTGATATATTTGATGGTTTTCCAAGATTAAGAGCGTATGTCGATAATCTTCATGCAATCCCTGAACTCAAAATGAGTTTAGTAGAAAACTATGATCAGCTTATTTAGAAGAAGATACAATCACGAGAACCATACTTTTGGAAGTAATGAAATATAAATAATATTTTAATCATTTACAGTATTTTATTCAATTGTTTATACAAGGGATCTGAAAGTATCAGTTAGTTTGTTAATCAATTAGGTTAAAGAAATTCAATCAAACCAGATTAAATTGTATGAAGAAACTCCATGAATTTCAAAGTGAAAGGAAATTTAATATTTTTATCTTAGAATTGGTGTTAAAAATTGTGAATTGACTTAATATTAGGAATTTAGAAATTCAAATTCACAAATGATTAAAGTGCTTACTTATAAATTTAATTATGAGTTTAAAATTGGTATCCTTCAACATTTGCCCATACGTTCTTAGAGTGGTCTCTGCTTTAAACCATTTGAAAATTCCTTACGAATTAAAATATATTGATTTGTAGAATAAGCCTGACTGGTTTATAAAAGCTAGTCCATTAGAAAAGGTGCCAATTCTTTTTGTTGGTGAAACAGTCCTTTTTGAGTCACTTGTAATTCTGGATTATATCAATACACTCGCTACTCAATCATTACTACCGAATGACAATTTATAAAGAGCATTGAATAGATCAAGAGCAGAATTTTCAGGAGAAATAATTGGCACTTTCTGGAGCGTATTTTTAGCTAAAACTGAAGAGGTATAATTGTATTTGATTAATAGTCATTTAACAGCAGTTTGGGAGACTTGAAATGGTATTTTGAGAAATTAGAAGTCTGGTTACAATAATCCAAATTCATTTTCAGTAACGAATTAACTTTAGCCGACTTTGCTTATGCTTCACTATTCACATTACTGAATGCACTCAAACCTCTTTTGAAATTCAATCCCTTTGAAGGGTTTCCAAGATTGCAAGAATACTCAGATACTATGTTATCGTTACCAGGAGTGTAATAGAGTAGAGTTGAAAATTACGATCAACTAATTCAAGAAAGAGTCATTAAGGTAGATCCCTTCTTTTTGAAATTATGATTTATGTAAATTACAAAAACATAATAAATTAATAATTGAATTTTTATAAGACTTTTACTTAGAGATGGTTCTTGAATTAATATAAGAGAAGCAGTTAATTTATGAGGGACATTAGTTAAGAATTTAAATGAAATTTAATTTAGATAATGATGAATATATATTAAAATAATCATGGATGATAATTATAAAATAATTATACTTAATAAAAATAATCTGCGAAGGTCTTTTCTATTTATTTGTTTTGTGCTGCTCCTTTAGCAAGTTATTATTATTTGGGAATGATGGAGTACAGCTTATCTAACTTGACATTTATTATTTGATCCCATTCTTAACTTTTGTATGGTTGCATTCTTTGTTTGATTTTAGAGAATAGAACATTGAAATCATTGGGCATCTTTTGGAAGTACCTCAAGATCAGGACTGATATATCTGAGATTCTTATGTTATACAGGAAAGCACCAAATAGACAATTCTCTGCAATTAATCTCTATTGAATCTAAACTGTTATAGATGATATTTACATATTATGAATGGCTGAACTAATCGTAAGTTTAGATGTCAGATATGATCTTCAAGCAGGTCATCAATGATCGTTTCTCCTGTATTAAGAGGGCACAGTTAATAAACTAAATAAATCTGAAATAGAATTACGTCTAAAATGTATCCAAATATCTCATCAGTTATCATTTATCTGGTAATTTCAAATTCCAACAACCATTGAATAACATAGAACAGCTGAGACATCTTATGAATGTAATTGCTTAAGTCATTCAAATTGATATATTTGAAAATTAGTAGGATCGATTAATAGATCTGATTTCTAACTTGCTTCTTGCTTGTTGTCAATCGATTTAGGTATTTCAAATTTTGGAATATCTTCAATAATTAGAGCAAAGGCTTGTAGTAGAGTTTGTAAATATTTTGGATACTTTTTTGCCCCAATTACCTTTCTTAATTGAATTCTTTATTTATAGAGTCCAAATGGAATTATACTTTCTAAATTACAAGCAAAATCCACTCATAAAGCTGATCAATCATGACTTACTTCAATTAGCCAATCTATCCAGTAGTATTTATCATCATCCGAGTCAATTTGAGCATATCAAAATTGATGGCTTATGCAAATAAATTCAAATAAGCCTTATCATCAATAATCTACATGATGACACCATAGAGACTCCTAACATTTTCATTCAACATGCTCTGTAGGATAAAAACGATATCTCCAGTGTTTTAAATTTGATCTAAAAACTACAGAACATCATTCTTAAATTTCTATATGAGTTGATCAGATGCTAATTAATCTTTAATGGATTCATTTTCAACATTGAGCAAATACATTTTGACCTTATGATAGTGAGTGATGATCTTTTGATTGGGGATGACTCTAAATTCGTGAAAATCAGAAAAGCATTCTTTTGGTATGTTGATTTGGTTTATTTAATAAAATTCATCTTCCATTTTGACTTTAGCATTGATGAAAATTTTTAAGGATTTCAAAATCAATTCTTAGTCATTGAATAGGAATATTCGACTAAAATTAAAGATAGTTTTTCTATCAATTTACATTTTCTAAATAATGTCCTCAAACTTAATAAGAGCTTATTGATCAAATAGGACTTTCCAAATCTTATACAAGAATCTGTCTGTAAAAGGTGATTATTTTTTTAAGTATAAGAATGCGAAGTCAAAAGCCTTGCTATAAAGTTCCTAATAGTGAAATTGCTTAAACAAATCTAAGTTAATTGGATACAGAAACTATTCCATCTTGTAGAATTGTAATTTATTAATAACATCTAGTTGATATGTTGTGCATTTGATAGATGCAAACAATCCCATAGCATAATACTTGAATGCAAATTCCTGGACATTTTGATCAGGATTTAATTGAATTATTTAGGCAAAGAACTCTAAGTATTATTCAATCATAAAGCAACTGATTTCTTTCAAAATGTGTTTGATATTGTTTCTCAAGAATTTATCATTGATCCATTGGTTGTTCTGGATAATCCAAGAATTAAAAAAGCTTGCAATAATGGGCATAACAAAGGAATGTAACTAACTATAGTCATATTATCTTTGAAATCTAACAAGATTCCTCAGGAACTTAAGTCCCACTTAAATAGCCTCAATGGTGGTCAAAGTCTTGATTAAATTCAAGTTAAGTTCAATCCATTGTTGGGTGTGATTGGCAAAGATGGTCTTGCCAGCAAAATTAAGCAAACTAATAGAATTAATTTTGGATATGTCCGATACCATAATGTTGGATGTGATTTGATAGATAATTTCTATGCTTTGTTTATCATTGGAATAGTATTTTTAGTAAATTTTGCAAATTTTACCCAGAGACTCCCATATTTTAATGTTTAAAGGTAACAATTCTGTGAGTTTAGCAATGAATTACTGATATTTGACAATGGACCAAACCATTTTGATGTGATTAGTGATAGGATCCATGTGATCTAAATGTTGATTTTGTATCATCTTTTCAAGTTCATTTTAATCCAAGATTTAGAATTTGATTTCCTTCATGATGGTTTACAAGTTTCTTTTGTTTTTTACTTCAGCTCTTTTGATCTTGTGCCAATCCTTTTCTTTGAAGTCCTCTCTAATTTCTGAGGATAACAGCAAATTCAGTAGATCGATCGCACTATCCAACAATTGTAAATCTGGATTGCTATTATTTCCGATCAAACTGGCAGTGATGATTTCAAGAAGGGCATCAAGATTGTGCTTGAAGAACTATTGCCTGACTATTTTTTGTTTTGAATCAAGGATCTTGAATTCTCCTACTCGATCTTATGGTTGCAATCTTCTGAGTACAGTGTCGATGATAATGAGGTACACTTGTTTATTGATTATTTGGGCTTGTTCTTTAAAATATTAAACAGGTATTTGATCATAAAAGTGCAAGACGATGTTGGCAATTATGGATGCAAAAAAATGATAGACGGGACGTGAATGAGTAGTAAATCTTTTGATTCTATTCCATGCAAATTCAAATATCTTACCAAACTCTGGTGTATTTTGATGGTTTTGATCGATGTATGTGGATACCAAGCTTCCCACAATTTGGAGTGTGATTTCATTATCACTCTAATCTGCCAATTGACATAATAGAATGAGATTGTCTTGATTCATATTTTTGTGTAATTGATCTGGGTCTATTTGATATGTTTCATAGAGTTGTCTTTCAAAGTTCATGTTAATTTTAATTCAATAATTAATTCATGACATTTCTGCACCTTCAAGGAAAACTATTTTAGGGTTTTTTAATAAATTAATAATTAATTAATCTAGTTCACAATACCAAACTTAGATAATGAACAGAGAGAGAGAGAACCAAATGAGAGTAGATAATGCTTTCTATTTCATAAATAACTTTGCCATTTGGTGATCACAACTTCTATTTTAAATAAATGGTCTAAATTCAAATAATATATATATAATATTTACAAAATTGAAAAGGAAATGTTGGTCGGTAACTTGGAAATACTTGTGAATTTCAATTCTTTTCGAAATATTGACCTATTTGATTAGGGATATTACTCATTGAAGGTAGAAATGAGCTCAGAAAATGCTGAAGTTGTATAACCCTATCTAATGATATCGCAAACAGGGAATAAAAATGATGGGTAGATCTTGGACTCATGTTTTTGTTCGAGAGTGTTTGATATTTAGTATTCTGAACAATACATCGAATTGGACAACACTTGTTTATTTAGAATACTGTATTAGGCTCATCCAAACAAATATGCCGCAATCAAAGTGAATGTAGGTTTGCTGTATAGTTAAACCTTGGAGGGGGAATGCCCAATTTTATCGATGCAATAAGTTAGTAATTTCGAATGCATAATCAACAATGCTTGCGAGGGAGTCTAATAAGGAGTGGATGTCATATTCGATAGCAATCATCTCTGCACTACCAGGATGTACATTTACACAATGATATTGGATTACCGATTCACAGGAGGAGTCAATGGATTTCAGGAGTTTCTGAAGACAAAGACAAATGATTGTAATTCACTCCATCTAACATTTTAGTTGAGTAACAGGAAGTCAACCAATTCATAGCAGAGTATGTAGATTCTCTGGGATCAATACAAACGAAGTACCGTAATTTGCTAATCTAAATCATTAATGAATTGAAGGATAAGAATATTTAAATGCAAAATTTAATGAGGATTCCCATTGTGCAAACAGCCAAATTCAAAGCCAATTTACAAACTAAAAGTTTGGGAGAAGACTGCCTATTGATAATCAATCAATTGGGACAGTCTTTGTTCTAATTATGGAATTAATTCCAACCGTTGCTCAAATACTCAAGGAATTACCTCGTGGAATCAGTGGATCAAAGGTTGTTATAAAACTGTAAGAAACTTTCATCGGAATCTGTCATCTCCAATTAGGCAACTTTTGAAGAGATTCAAACTCAAATCTCATTGCCGTTGCTTAAACAAAGGGAGGACATTTGGAATCAGGCAAGGAAGAGTTCAAAGAATCAAACGCCAAGCATTTAATTATTGGATCAATTCTACTCGCAACCCAATGCTTTGCCCTTCTTCTTTGAAGACATAGTTTCCTCATAACAAAACATCACTCAATTTCAATAGCACTCATAAAATAGAAAACATGTTCTTATATTGGTTCATGGATATTAGGGTACTTCAGCTGACTTATAAACTTGGAAGAGTTACTTAAAAATTAAATTCCCAAATCACCTAATCATCCAATCGGAGATCAATTAGGATGACACAGAAGATAGTATCTCTGTCATGGCTAGTAGATTGGCTCAAGAAATATAGAGGTAAATCACTGATAGGACTCACTTAAAATAATAAGTTTAAATATCATTCATTGGACATTCCTTGGGAGGAGTGTTGATTAGATGTGCTCTACAACATTTAAACAAATATCAAGATTGCATGCATACCTTCATTAGTTTGGGTTCTCCTCATGTTGGATTGGGGATCCAACAATCCACTTTGATTGATGCAGGGTTATGGTTTATGAAGGCATTCAAAAAGGAAGATCAAAGGGTCTGTCTTAATCAAATGACTTTGTGTGATGAAAAAGATGTCCAAAAGACCTTCTTCTATAAGTTGTCTTAGAACTCCAAATTTGGGTGGTTCAAAAATGTCATTCTGGCTTTTTCACTTCAAGACAGCTATGTCCCTTTCTCATCGGCTAGTTTGACTCGGATCAAAGAACAAGGGTAACACTTATTGTCTATTTCATAGTGATCGAGCAAATGCGCACAATCAAATGGTGGAATAATTGTTTCAGCAAGTACCATCTACCCTAATTAAAACTTCAGTTTTCTTTCCCAACATGAAAACCAATATTGACAAAATGATTGGTCGTGCAGCTCATATTGAATTTATCGACAACAGCAGCTTTGTTAGACTGTTTATTGATTATTATTATGAATATTTGTTATGATTAGAAAGGAAGAAGCACACAATAATTTTTCATTGAATTAAATTCCGATTTGTAATTATATTTTAAATCTATTTAGAGAAGGAGAAATAATTTTGGTCAATAATATTAAAATTAATTAATGAGTTAGTCTCCCATAGTCTTTACAAACAAGCCCTCTAAACCCCATCCTCTAGATGACAGCGTTTGGAGACAGAGGACAAATTTGCCCAAACTACATATAAGAGACCTTTAACCTGAAATCAAAAGCGAGCCACATTACTTCAAAAATAATCAGCTTGAGGATAGTTAAATTATCAATAATTATACTGTCCGATCTGGCGTATAACAAGAGGTAACCATATATTATTACATTTTAAGGAACCTGACTATATTGAAGTGGACTGGAATGCATTCCAACTCATCTCTTTGGATTGATTCCAGCATTTTATTGAGTAAATAAAGAAATATATATATATTTTAAAAGGATTATATCTATTTCCCCACGCTTGATTTAGATCTAATACGAATGTTTAGGCATTTAAAACCTAACTCATTTGTTTCTCCTTCCACCCTTTCTTTAATCTTCAATTACAAATTACCATAATTAACTCAACCTTATATTTAAATTCAATTTCCTCAAATGCACCTCCCAAAATCCAAAAATCCTTATTAAAAACATCTCCAAAATATCCACTGACTATTATAAATATCATCCCAACTATAACTCCTTAAATCATATGCGAAAAGTTATATAGATTTGTGTATATAATTCTTTTTTAAGTTCAACTTTCATATCAGAAAATCGAGGATCCATCCATTTAAATGAATACATTAGACTCTGTTAGCTTATTCTCAATATTCATACATGGTAACATCCTAATTCTATTGACTTGACGGTTTAATTAGTTCTAATAATTATTTATGTGCTCAAATTAATAGAACAGCATATGTTTTGTATTTAATTCTACATGTTGAATTCTACCATAATCATAAAAGTCTAAACTTCATTCTCGAGATATTTGTATATATTTATGTATTAATAAAATTTGGTGTCAATTATTTTCAGTAACACGAGTAGGCTAAAAGAGTGGATTCTTGTTACAACACTTTTCCAACATCCTGAAAAATTGAGACTACAACTTGGATGATAGAGCTTTAAGAATTCTGGATCTTTCTAGTAGATTCGCCTATATGCAGACTTTACTTATTCGAACTATTTTCTGTTGATCAAGCAATTCAAGAAGAGCATATTGTAAATATTAATTAATAGCTGAGTATGGCTGATAATAACTAACACATTATGATTAAGATTACATTGTATTAATTATTATTATATAATTTGAAGGGTGTAAAATAAAAATGTCGTGGTTTAAAATAAATACCAGGATTTTTGTTATTAAATTGGGTTGACTCTGAATTTGAAAGTATATTACAATTAAATGAATACTAAATTAGAGACTATACCTGTACTTTAGGAGAAATGCAAATTTCATTAAAACGAATAAGCTAATTTAATTTGTCTGACAGCCTCGTGTTTAAATCAAGGATTTTTCTGTTTTCAATGTAAGAATCATCATGAAGGTCACAATGTAATTTAGGGAATGGAATTCTTTGACTCATTGAAATAGTTGGTCTGCTTTGATGGTTCCTCTAAGCCATCCAATAATGTGAACTAAGTGTCAGCCAGAATAGTAACAGCAATGCTGACAACGATTGACGAATTAGACGCATTGAATTAGTACTTCTCTGAGATTCTGGGGTCGATAAGATTACAATTCGAGAAATATTGTCAGATATCAAATGATGTGAATGTGATAAACAACTTTTTGATTTTCTCTTAGAAGGAAGGAATAGAGCCATAATAATTCAAGGATAAATTTGAGGAGTGTTTGAAGAGACTCTGTCTGAAATTACAGAAATTGCACATCAAATCTACTGTCACATGTCAATCCAATTCATTGTTTGTACCAGACGAGAGACTATTCTAGGAATATTTGGAACCCCTTATATCAACCTTGAAGGGAATACGGTTGTAGGCTGAATCTAGTTTCACTAAGCCTCTATACTATAACAAATTGGATTTGAATTTCAAAAATGGGTTGATGCCTTAGGTGAATTCCTTTTTTGAACCTGTAGTATTCGAGACAGATTAACCGAAGGAAGAGGATAAGGTGTTGGAGAGATTGTGGATAGACAAGAATGAAACCATGAGGAAGATGTTGATGATGAAATAACGAACAAAGGAAGAACAGGTTATTGATGATGAACCATTCTCATATGGTAATGGAAGATTGGAAAAAGTGTTTGCTGTAGCTGGATCCAAAGTCTGGTTCCTAGATTTCATTTACAGTAAATTCAAACCAACATCTAAGCATTCAAAAATTGAACCCAAATAGGCTTGTGTAATATGCAAATGTCATCAGAAATTCGCGAGGATTAACGAGTTCTTGAATTGCAAGTATGGGGATCTGTATGGACCCTATCATTTAGAAGCTAGATTGTTGGACAGTTTCAAGATGGCCTTTGATAAGAGAACCAATAAGGATTACTTGATTGACAGAGGAGGTCTTTATTTCCACGACTTATGTGTGTATTGGTCATCATTGGTGGAATGCGATGAGAAGAAAGGAACCATAGATTTTGAATCTCTATAAGAAGCAGTCAAAATATCACAGGAGACCTACTGTTATTTATGCAAGAGGAAGGGACCCACTCTTAAATGCAATAATGAAAATTGCCAGATTTGGATACATTACTATTGTTGGAAGGAGTTGGAACCTTCTCAATAATACTTGGACAATCAGAAATTTAGAATGCTGTGTTATCAACATGTGCCAGCCAAGTATCGTAAACCAGCTTGGGCTTCTTAGAACTTATTATTGGATGATCAATAGATGGAGAAGAGGGAAACCAAAGAATATAGACAAAGTTAGTTTGTTAAGTTTACATATCAAGAAGCAGGACAGTCCAGATACATATAGAAATTAGAACAATAGGCTACGAAGTAATAAAATGAGGAATGATTTATATTTAATTAGTATTAATTATCACACTCCATTTGCATGAATCTTTGTCGAAATCACTCTACTCTCAGCATTGAGAAAGTCACCCTGTATATTTAGACCCAAATAAAACAAAGACTTCGAGTAAAAATAAGTAAGAACAAATCCTCCAAAGAAGCAAATTGGTATAGTTTGGAAAAGTATTACTGCTGACAGATGCTCAGTAACTATGAAAAACACGAAAGGTTCCACTATCAACAGTAATACTAGCAAAAGCACAACTCTATAGACCTTTAGAGTCCATCTTAATTTGGCGAAGTTCTGATAAAACTTATCCTCATCATAGGTTCCTCCACAGAGTTTAGTTCCCAAAAGCAGAAAATAAATGAAAAGTATTTAAAAACTATTATTGAAACAATTGTTTTAAAGCACAGATGCACTTTTGAATTTATAGGGATTAGTTTATGATGCGCATTTCCTTAACATAGCATTCAACCACATTTCAACTTCTCCATTGTTAATTAGAATTTCATTGCGATTCAATCTGTAAAAAAGATAAGAAATCATTATCCATATAAAAGTTACAAAAGTTGAAATATAAATTGTTCTCCTTCCAATTCCAGGTCCTCCTGTTGCCAAACACGTTTTAAAATAGTTAAGCAATTTATCATGAACATAGGTCATATAATTAATCATCACATAACCTGAATATACCCAACCTAATAATACTTACCCAAAAGTGTGTGCACCAAAAAACACTCTAGATAATCCAGTGACAGATGTCCAAATGATTATGATTGCTATGCTTATTACTCTGAGCACTTTTGGATATTTTACACTAATTTAAATTTATAATGTACTTCTCCTAATCTCTCCATACTGCTGGAAATAGTATACAAGGCAATAAGAAACACATCAAAGATGATTGCATAGCATGACCAGATGGCTTACCAAATTCTTTATTGCATTGCAGTCCTTTTATGTCTTCTTCAGTCCAAAATGGCCTAGCCTAATGATATATGTTTTTGAGTAGAGAGTTCAATGAAACAATGAACATTATCATGCAACCATATAAAATAGCCCCTAATTTATTTTCCCTGAACATGAAAACGAGCAAGGCAATCCCTGGAAAAATGTTCAGCCAATCTGAAAAGAATGTCATTATTTCCTTTTCGCCTTTAAATTCCTTATTCTGCAAGTAAACTGTTAACTTAGTATTCGCATCCCACATCAAATCATTAAGAATGATATCAAGTATTACATAGACTCCTAAAAATAGAGTAGAAAGTATGAAGGTTCGCATTTTATTAAAATTACTGGGTTATTTTTATTACAATTTTATATATATATCAAGAATTCTTGGCTTACAATTCAAACGACATTCTATTAAGTAGCAAATTAGAATACCCATCTGGAGCTGATTGGTCACTCTCTATTATTTATAAGAAATCGCCAGGCACTGAAATCTTTAAATAATATAGCACTTTCGAGTACACTACAGTTATGATCAATCCTCCTAATATCGACACTGGAACTATCTAAATTATAGATTCCATTACTTAACCAAATGCTTATGCATATACTGAATTAAACTCAATCAAGAAAAAAGGAATCAGCAAAGCTACTAACAATATCAACACAAATATCCTCAAAGTCTTGGACCAACAGGACAGTGACTTGTAATGATATCTGAATTGCTTCTACAAGTATATTCCTTTGCTAAGTTTGATTCCAATCACAAAGCTTAGCATGAACCAAATATATAAACTCATACTAAAGCATATGTTCTATAAAACTGGAGGACTATCGATTGTGTATAGACTTGTTTATTTCTGACACTTATCATAGACTGCATTCATCCACAATGTAGCTTCTGCTGGACTTATGAATAGATATCTGTTTAATTCTAGAAATAAGATCGATACACAAGTCCAACTGGATGCAATCAAACCGATAATATATATTACTCTGGTTGAAATGCCCTGATGTCCCACTTACAAACATTATGCTAAGTACTCTGTGATTCGATCATGAAAATAGTTCATGTAAATAATTGATATATAACCTTAATATACCCAACCCAGGAGGATTTAACCAAATGAATGGACTCCCATAAATACTCTTGAGAATCCAGTCATGAAGGTCCAAAAAGTGATTATAAATATAAACAAGACCCTTAAATATAACGGATATTTGCAGCTATGCTTATTAAAGTTATTACTTTGGCTGATCTTTCCAAATAGCTGGAAACAATATAGATGGTAAAAGGAAACACATAGCTTGTGATGACATTGCATGACCTGAAGGCTTTCCGAATTCCTTATTGCATTCATAAGGTTCAATCTCTTAAACGATAAAAAATGGTCTCGGCTGATGATAGAAATTTTTCAGCAAAGAATTAGAAGCAACTGAGAATAGAATCATCCCACCATATAACAATGCTCCTAATTTATTATCCAATATAAGAAAAGCAATTCCTGCTATGCTTGGAAGTACATAGAGTGAATATGAGAAGACTAGAAACATGTCTTTTTCACCGGAAAACTAGTTTGATTGCAAATATAATGTCAAGGTAGTGTTGGCATCCCACATTTCCTAATTAAATATAAGGTCGAGGGCTATGTATAAAAAGAGTGCAAATGTTGCAATAATAAATAGTTTCATTAATTAATAATGATTATATGGTGGACATTGATTTTGCGAATGAGAATACATTTGAAATCATTTTTATTATAAAATATGGCAATTGTAAATTAGAATATACAATTGCTATTAGTAATATCTTTAGTGCTAGTAATTATATTTAACATAAAATTAATGAGAAACTTGAATCATGTGTCATTGTATGCTTTCACAGCCCGAGCAATTCACAGTCAAGTGGCAATCATAGGAGGTGGAACTGCAGGATTGAATGTTTCTGCTCAATTAGTAAGAGATGGTCACTATATCCCATAACAAATTCGTGTGTTTGAACCATATAAGATGCATGCCTATCAAACTGGATGGACATTGGTTGGTAGATAATGATTATCTAATGAAGGTGGTGGCATGTGTAAAGCCGATTAAACGATGAAGCCGATGGAAAAGGTTCTGCCCAAAAATGTATGTCTGAGTGATTGTCCAGTTGTCAAAATTGACCCAGAATAGAACACAATAGTGACAATGGATGGATAGAAATACACATATGATTAATTGATTGTGGCAAGTGGAGTGCAACGTGATTACGCATCCATTAAAGGTATAAATATAAATTTATCCATTTTTTAGGTGCTTTGGAACAACTGAACAACCCAGAAGCACCAGTAGGAAGTATTTACTATTACAGATATGCCTAAAAGATAGACAAAATGATTAGAGAATTCGAAGGTGGTAAACTAATATTTTCAGAACCACCTACAAAATGTGAGGGAATTCCATCTAATATTGTATTCCTAACACATGAAAGATTATCATCAAGAAATGTCAAATGTGATTTCCACGTGTACAAAGCCAATGATTCTATTTTTGGCATTCCAAAATACTCAGAAATACTTGGAGAATTGGCTCATGAGAAGGGATTGCACTGTCATCTAAAAAAACGATTAATTGAAGTTCAAGATCATAAAGCCATCTTTGAGGATGTTGAGACCAAACAACTATCTACATCCGATTATGATTTCTTGCATATTGTACCACCCTAAGTAAATAGTGAATCTCATATCTTATTAAGAAACCAGCTGCATTCATTGCTGAAAGTGGACTGGGTGATTCAGATGGGTTTGTCAATGTCCACCCAAACACACTCCAACATGTACGTTATGCCAATGTGTGGGCCTTGGGAGATTGCTCTTCACTTCCAACATCCAAGACTGCTGCTGCTGTGATGGCCCAAACTCCCATTCTTATTAAGAACCTCGTCAGAACTTGGAAAATGAAATTGCCACCTCTGCCAGAATACGAGGGTATGCATATTTAAGATGGCATAAAGGTTACACCTCTTGTCCTGTCTACACTTCCAATAAGAAAGTCTTACTTGCCGAATTCAAGTACAACAAACAACTAGATGAAACATTCCCAGTCTTTCAATCATCAGATAGTAGAGCCATGTACTTGATGAAGAAACATTTCTTCCCATTCGCTTATTGGCAATTGATGGTTAGGGGTCTTTGGGGAGGCAGAGACGGAATAAGATTATTCAAAGGAGTCTGAAAATATGCTCATATACAATATATATAATATTAAGATAATCATGTAGTCTCGCATCAGAGTTAGTGAGGGGATAAAATAGCAATACGCTCTTAAATTTAATTCGCAATAAAATTGCTATTGAAATAAATATTTAATTTATGAAATAATAAAACTTTATTAAACCTTTCCCTGCTTTTAATACCTTTATAAATGTTTTAATGGCTTCTGGACCTATCTTATTGCCGATGAGCTCTGCAAAAGTGGGTTATGGTTACGCTTCCATATCGCTTACAATTTGTTGTCTCATCAGTATAATAGCATGCGATTTCATCGTGGAGGTAGCCGAATAATCTGTATTTAGACTAGGCTCTCTATTTAGCCGATCAAATTGACAAAGAGACCGACATGATGAGTAGATTGAATATTTAGGCAACTCACACCGTTTCTGATTCGACTGAAGAAATATCGTCATCTTAGCCATTGGAATCGAAATATGCTATATAAAGCCAATTTGAATATGGATCTATGGCAAAATTGTTTTATGGAAAATGGGCTGAATATTTCACAGTCTCCATTATTGTGATCTACTTATATGGAGCAGTTGTAGCTAAAGGAGTGATGGTTGGAAATTCCCTATCGTAATCATCTATATATTAATATTCAAAATAGTTCAGTTTTTAAAGGCATCACCCTTGTTGAAGAATATTGGTTTTGGATTGTCATATTTTTTGTACTTTGTGGAATATTGTCGTTCAAAGATGTTGCGAGCATTCAAATAGTCTAGACAATTGTTGCCATGGCTCGTTATTTAACTATCCTTGCCATGCTTGTAGGATCTATCCAATAAATGTCTTCTGCATAAGAAATCTAGGAGATGCAATGGTTCAACATTGACGCATTGCCACAAATGATTTCAACTGCAATTTTCGCATTTTTGATGCACCATTCATCTCCTGGTATGTTAAGACCAGTCAGACCAACTTCAGCTATCAGAAAGATCATCTTTATCAGCTTCATTTTTGGTTTGCTCACTTTTCTATTTGTATGCTTGACTGCCATTTGGGCATTTCCATTCAAAGATCTTGCTGCAGCCAGCTTTTATAATTAACTCTTCAATCAGGGCAACTTAAAATGGGCCTATTTTATTATTAGCTTTTACATGTTTCTAAATATAGCTGCCCTCCCTGTATTGACTATCACCATAAGGAAGAATCTGATGAAATTAGTGGTTCCTCATCTAGTACCCAAAGACAGTCTTAAAATTACTTTACCAAGTGCTATATTCACTTTACTTATTGTTGTGCCTTGTGCATCGCTTGCCATTTGTAACTCACTTTTATTTATCCTAAGTGCTCAAAGATGAGATTGAGATTATCGTTGGTCTCACAGGAGGTGTGTGTGGAGTATTCATTTTGTTGACCATCCCAGCTGCCTTAGTTTTACAGGGTCGTAAGAAACACACTGTCAAATACGAGGATAATCCATACATTTCCTAATTCTAACATCCTTTCTGGACTTGGGGATTGATTGTACTTGGTTGTGTGTTTGTACCATACAATCTCTACATGCAAATCAAAAAGATCATTGATCATTATGGTTGATCACATTATTTGTCCCCCAAAATATATATATTATTATATTGTAAATAAAATTATAATACTCAATATTTTAAGGCCTAATTCAATTGATTCTAAGTTTCCTTGTAAAGTGATTCGAAGTTAACCTATTCCAGGATCAGCAACATTGCTATTCCTCTCACATTATGGGCCAAGAATCCTCCATAACCCCAACTGAAACTCCACTCCTTCATATTAAATTTCAATTTCTCCCACAAATTCTGCTTTTTTGATGCCTCTTACTAAAACAAAATCGATTTCACCTACAAACGACGTCTCACACTGTCAATTGGATATATCAATGCATATGATCCCAAGTATGCTAATTGTTGATTGTAAGGAGTAGTGCCATCTAACAGAGAATTCAAACCCACTATGCCATATGCAAACAACAATGTCTATAAACACCCAACTGTAAATCCTGAATACAAGCCCTTGAAAAACCCACTCTCTATTTTTATATTAAAGCGAGTCTCCTCAAATCCAACATACATTCTTTTCTATCCTGGAATCTAAATTTCAGTTGCTTATCTCACTCTTATTGTATCAAAGGGGTAGGAGAATATAGAAGTAGTAATGCCACAAAGTGTTGCACAAAGTCCCATTGACAAAAGCTTGAAATTCAATTTATTTATATACATCTTTGTCATAAGTGGCTTGTTTGATATTTTGATAGAAAACATATTATGCATACACTTGAGGTATCCACATGTATATTGCAGTTAAATTTGATCTGAAGAGTCCTTTCGGTCCCTCATTTGATATCGTTTTCTTAAGAAATTAATAAAAATTAGTCATCTTCTCTTTCGAACTCAGGGTAAGAATATCCTGGGTCTATCTGATGAGTTTATATCTCTCTAATGGAGCTAACAATGTTTTTACTATGGATGTGCTCACAAAGCCTTGAATATATTCCTCCATAAATAAAATGTAATATTAATTATTTTATTAATTTAAGCATTTAAAACTCGTACTTAACTCATTCTGAAATTTTGCAACACAATTCAAAATTAAGACATGGGAATACTCCTACTTTTATTTCAAGAAGATAATTCTGTTTTTAATTATTTCGATAAGAATTAATTGTCAATATATACATTAATAATGCTAAAAAATAATTAACATAAAAACTTACCTTTGTAGAAATATCTAAGTAGGTTTCGTATCTGCACTCTGATCCTCCTTTTGAATATTCTCATAATTGCAGTGATAGTCCCACTTATTTTGGGAGTTTACCAAATCAACACTAATCTAGTCTATTATTATTTTCAGGAATCTGCAAAGATGGCATTCGTAAATCAGAATAACAGGACGTTAAATTCAATAATGACATCCCAAGTGGCTTAATTGAAGAGTATGATGAATCGAAGTAAACTTTCTGTTTATTCTTAAGCTGAGAGAACTCTGCAGAGCTTACAAAAATTGTATCTTCTTGATTAACATTATAATTTTTCAATAAACGTAAATCCGGAGATGTGTCATACTTAATTTGATGATGAAGACTCATTTGACTATAGATATGACGGATATTGCATAAATATATATGATATTGAATTTGAAGAATTTTAATAATTACCTGAGTAAGACTACTTTTCGAGGGATTATAATTTTGTGTCCCTTATGAATGAATGCATAATGCCGATGGATCCCACTCAAATATTTTTACCCGATAATATTTATTTTAGCAAAGTCGAAAGAGAATTCACTGCCTGGTGGCCTCAATGGAATAGAATTAGGGATTATCATCCCTCTAAAAGGACATGGTTTATTTAACATTTGCAGAATCATGAACAACACCCTAATTAAACTTGTTTCAAATCTGATATGTATCAATTTTTTGCAGACTATCCTGTAATGGCAATAACCACTACTTGCAGTTTGAAGGATGAAAATAATAAATTAATTGCCATTTTGGCTTCAGATCAAGAGTTACTAGATAAATATTATAAGCATCCTAGGTTAAATGTGATGATTGTGAATGTTGATGGAATGTTAGTAATTAGTACTATGGAGAGTTAATTGATAGCAAATTCAGCAGAACTTGGATATTTTTATGAATAAAATGTAACTGGTTTCAACAATGAGGATTGGGATTAGATTGTTAAGTATGTGTAAAATCACTCTTATTAATCAAATTGTTAATATTTTCCAATTCCAGATGATTTGCTATGCCGTTATAATTCATTGTTGAAATAGGATGTGATATTCTAAGTGCAGAACTTAACAAACCCAAATTTTCTTTACATATTGTAAGAAATGGATTTTGTAAATTATTTAGATTCTTCAATTTGACTGATGAAATTTAATGGTTGGTGGATCAATAAGAAATCATACAAGAAATCAATATCTAATCGTACTACAACATTCTATTCCTGGTATCGATAGCGTTATTAATCATAACCATCCAATTGGTATGTATATAGATAATCTTCCTTCCTCTGAACGATTTAATCAAACACTCAAGGGCTTATCTCAAATCTAACTCTCACAGACTTCTCTTTAGATAGAAGGAATTCTACTTATATAACTTTTACATTGATGGTTATGCAAGCAGTATTGATATTCTCAATTTTAGATAATATCCTATTAGGGTTAAAGTTGGCATATAAATAGATCTATCACAGAATAAGCAAGCAAAAGTTTAAGAAATGTGATTAGTGCTAGATCATTTAGAAGTTTTAGTATCCTTCAAATCAAATAAGAACTAAATTACATTTAATTAAACAACTGGATTTTGAATACTCCATTAAATTGACAGAGAATCAGATAAGGAAACAAATAGTTCAACCATGTTTAGTGAAGTCCTTTGATTTTTGAAATTAGTTATATTTTGCAGAATTACTATCAGAATAGAATATACTAGATTTAATATATGTTAGAATAATCTACAAATTCAATTAAATTCTGGAAGATTAGTGAGTCACAAGATAAAGATTAAATGAAATCACTTAATATTTTTTTGGATTTGCTTAATTTACTTGTATAGATTAGTGTAGATCTCCAAGTTCTCCTGATGTAACTAATCTATATTCTCAACGATGTTCTAAATATCTTCATTGGGATTGGCGTGTCTTAGATTGCTAGAGACAGTAGGTTAAGCCACTCTTTGTACTATTTTCTTGTCTTTCTCTGAAAGTTGAAATTTTAATGAAAATGTATCAGTTTCTTGGAATTGTAATTTGAGTGATTCCATAAACACTCTGTCCCTCATTTTCTTTTCCTCAATGCGAGTAAGAATGAAGCGGTCAGCCTCGTTCAATTCTTTGCCCAACTTACGGACTATGAGATTATCTCTGGTCATCTGGATGGCATCCATTAAACGATTGACATTACGATCACTCCACAAATCTACCACTCCCATTGAACCATCATTGGCGGCATCCCCAAATACATCTCTCACTTTTTTAATTAAAGGTTGTAAGTAGTAATTATTCTTCTTTTCGTGAGTTCTGAATCCAAATTTAAGGAAAGTCAGTCTTTTATTCTTGGATTGCTTATTGGCCACTCCAAATGTTTGATCTCGTTTCACTTGTATGTCAGTTTTAGGAAGTTCACGCATCTATTTGTATCTCAAGAGGCCTCGTAAATGACCCAAAGCAAAACTAGACTTTACATTTTCTTTAAGAATATCAATATTAGGCAGGAGAGAAGGTTCACTCTTCTATTTGGGTTTATGCTGTTATGAAGATCTCGATAATTATTTCATTTTAAATATATTAGAAATGAATTTAAACATCTCTATATTGCTAGGATAATTAATGTTAAGGAGCATTATCAATATCATATAAGAGGGTTAAGAGGAGTCTAAAGATGCAACCACACTGACATTAAATTCATTCGCAGCCATTTTTATTTTGATAAGCTACTTCGTGAATTACCATCTTACAAATCAAAGACTTTTGTAATTAATGATCATTTAGATCATTATAGTATTGCAATTTGAAATTTCATTTTATGACAACCATCAATATTTATCTTTTAGCATAATCGTATACCTAATTTCACTCTAGCAGTATCTCAATAAACAAAGGAATTGTTTTCATTATTTAAGTCACATCGTATTGATATATGTTGTTACCAGATTCCTAACACAAAGATTTAATGATCTTGTTATATGGGAGATCATACTAGTGTTAATATGGCAGCCATTCAATCATTATTTATTACATTTGCTGAGACGAATAAAATATCAAAAAAAGGAAGAGTTAAATTCACAGATCCAATTCCATACTCTCTCAACACCCTAAGCATAAAACACTGAGAGACCCGAAGAGCAACCTACAAAAGGTAATCTTGCTGAAGATTTTTTTGATTGTATTCCGGAGGGATTGGTTATTCTGGATGAATTTCATAAGATCGTCAGACACAATTCAAAAATATTGCATTATTTGAATATAACAGACCCACTTTAGATTCCATCAGCTCTGGATGGGCTGTTTAGAATGTAAAAGTTCAATTTAATTTAGAGCTCAAAAAAATAGAAGTCCTTAAAAGGAGAAAAAGAAGCCAGTTCCCTTGAAGCAAATCAAACAAAGGATGGATATACAATCTTATTATACCAGTTCTCTTGGAACTTCGTTGAAAAAGTAGTTCTGGATGTCTGATAAAGATCAATATAATTTTAGTCTGCAAAAAGGAGATTCCATTACTTACCCTTTCCTTTAATCCATACTCAATGAATTCAAGCAATAGAATTTGAATGAAAATATGACCATAACTTCAGAGTGTAATAGCATAGTAAAATACTAAATATCATAAGAAAACTCAGTCAAATAAAGACACCTTTAAATCAAAATTTATGATATTAAAATGACTTCATATTCAACTACTCCAGTATTTTTATTTATTGTCGAAAATATAACCAATAAGGAACAACTCAAATTATTAACGAATAGATTTAAATTCCAATAAGCATTGTTGAACTCCTTCAGTCACGAGTTGAGAACCCCTCTAAATTGCACTTTAACTTTATTATAAGCACTCAAAAGTAAATTGAAAAATGAAGAACTGAATGATGAATACTTGAATCCTTCAATAGTCTCAAGTCAAAGATTGCTGTACCAAATCAATGACATCTTGGATTATGCCTAATTGGAATGCCAAGATTTTTAAATCAACATTACTGAATTTAGAGTTGGCGAAGTATTTTAGACCTTAAAAGACTTCTTTGAATAAGAGTGCAAACAAAAACAAATCGAATTGATTATTGAGAATGAAAGCTTAATATCCATTCGAAGTGACAAGGATAGAATTACTTAGGTTTTAATCAATCTCATTAACAATTCAATTAAATTCACATCTTAAGGAGGAAGAATTGTGATCAGTTTTAAAAAGAGAGACAATATGTATTAATTCACTGTCTGGGACAACGGTTAAGGGATATCTAGTTTAACTTTGGCCAACATCTTTGAATCCCAGAAAAATATGTATGCCAGTGTTAAATTCTTAGAAAATACTTCTAATTCAAATAAGTTGGGACTCGGATTAAAAGTGAGCAGAGGTATCGCTAGGAATCTCTGTTAAAATGGAGATCTCATTATTAAAAGTTAAAAGGGTAGTTATACATCAATTAACTTTTATGTTGAAGATCAACTCGTTAAAGTGAATGAAGATATCACAGAATAAGAATCCATCATGAGATTTGGAAGTAAGAACACTGTTCATAAATGTGAATGTCCCTAAATACTGATTGTTGATGATGTGCCCTTTAATCATATTGCCTTGATTGCCATTTTGAGCAATTTTGGAATCAAATCAGAGAGTGCTTACGATGGAGCACAAGCAATAGAAAAAGTGAACGTTAGATTAAAAAACAAGGAATGTTGTAAATCATATCGGATCATATTTATGGATATTGAAATGCCTGGCAAAAATGGATTTTAAACTTCAGCAGAAGTAACCATAATGTGATTCATAGATAGTTGAAATTTTGAAGCAATCCAATTCCCAGTCAGTTATAGTGATGTGTTCTGCTTATACAGGAGAAGCAAATGTGGAATAAGCTCGGCAATGTGGAATGAAAGAAATAATACCTAAGCCAATAGCTCTCAATAGTCTATAACTATTAATATCTAAGTATTTTTAATCATTATCTTGAATTTTACTAATATTTATTTTTAGTAATAAGATTATATATCAAATATCTTAATTTTCATCTTAATCAGCTTGGCTAGTACTTTCTTAGTTCTTGCCTACGTCATTCGTCTCCTTTTAACTAGATCTTTCATTTATTCCACTCCCTTTGCTATTGTCATCTTGTTCCATCTAACTATTATTATTGGAAACATCCAATTCATTTGGATCTTCATATACTTCTTAATTTTCTAAATTTTCTTGATTTTCCTTATTTTCATGATTTTCTTCTTCAAAATGCTCTACATCAACTTAACCGACCTCTAAATTTTAAAGTTTCTTTTTTTATTCGGATGCAGACTGCTGTTCTTCAGTTGGCATCTCTATGTCTTCCTATATTGTTTCCTGTTTCTTTCCTCTGCTGTAGATCATAAACCGTCTTTCTCTCTAACTAATAAATCCTTAAGATGCTCTCTATTGACTATCCGTGCTATTTGATCGTGAGTTTCTCTGACTCCTCAGCTGTCTCTATTGAGTAATCCTCTATTATTCATGCAAGGCTTGCTGTTCTAAGTGTTTGGCACTCTTTAGATCTATTTTCAACTGCAAAGGCGGCATCAACTTCCTTGCTGGATCAAATAATTTATGTAACATATAATAAGACATTGTTTTCTTTTCTATCATTTACACCTAAATTATAGTCGAAACTCTACCTCTCTGAAAAACTCAAATATTTCTATATTGGATGCCCTTGAGTTGGAATCCAAAAGTGCTGAAAGTGAGTTAATCAATTGTCTTTGAAATTATCTCAATTCACAGTAAAGATTGCAAGCTAATTTCTTTAGAAGAAAGTCATGTGGAAAATTAGATAAAGCTGTTTTTAATTAAGGAACAAGTGATAAACCATGATTCACCAAGTTTTCCAATTTAAAACACTCTACAACCAGACTTCTATAAAATATCACTTATACTTAGTTTAGAGGTTTGGTTTTCGAAGATGATTATTACGGTATGCCTTCATTTCCTACACATTTAGTGCTAACTTCTGAAGATATTAGAGGAACGGAATTTGTAGATTATCAAGTAACCAAACTTCATTTGTTATCTACTTGAAAACAAAGGTTTCTGGTTTAGACGAAGGTCTACTTTACGATTTGTATTACTTATTGAAATATGCAAAATTCATCTTTGAAAATTGTTATGCAAATTCCTCACTAATGTTTAATACCTAGTGGATTGTGATTAGCATTTTCATCTTCACCGTGTAAGGTTGCAAATCCTCCTCTTAATAAACCTTGAAAAAATCTGTAATATTTTATTCATCAGTTAGAAATGGAATTAGAATTTCCACGTCCTCCTATTTATAAACAAAGTTGTCTCTTGCTAAACTAGATTTAGTTAAAAAGCTTTCGAACTCTGATTAACCCTGAAATAGCTTCTTGAATTTCTTTATCATATTTATAATTATACAATTACCAAAAATAACATGAGTGTTTTACTTCTAATTTATATATTTATTTAAAATAACTCTCTCATACTTAATCAAGACAGACAATTATCAACAATTTAATCTTATTTCATAATTCATATATCAATCTGAATCCTCTTAAATTTTATGGGAAATTAATTTTTTCTCCTCTTAAACCAACCCTGGATGTATAGTCTACAGCAATTTACAATATTCGTTAGTCTCATCTAAAAAGTTTTCGTATTCTTTTTTGGTCATTTAACTACGAGGACACTTGCTTTTCTACTTCTTTATTTTCTTTCTTGCCATTTATATTAAATAATAATATTAAGTAATCTAAGCCACTTTGAAAAGAGTCCTTTAAACAATTTATATAGGCATCTATGAACATCTTATTTGTATAATAGAAATTTTCACAATAGTTCTTAAATTTTATTACATAATCAATTGAAATTCATACTTTACTGAATTTACTAATATGAAATTGTTGTGTATTCTCATTTATCAAAATAGAACAATTATATAGAGTAACTAGAAATTTCCATATTCAGGAAAATTTAGCTATTTTTCATATTGACCAAATTTCATAATTCATAAAAAAATCAAATAAATCTTTTACTGTTACAAAATAAATTATTATTACTCATTATTTAGTTCTGAGGCAACGAATGATTTTCAAGCATGTCTCTTTCTATACTAAGATCATCAATAATATCTGAAAATATCTTTCGTCTCTTAAATTTCATTAATTACAGATATTCATAATTTTATAAATTGAAAAAGTTAGTTTATTCTAGTATCTTTTCTATTTTTGAATTACATGAATACAACCAATTGAACATTTGATATTGTAATTAAAATAACGGTGAGGCATAGTTATTTATATCATATATTAAATTGCTACTAAGTCGCAACCTTAAATCATTAATTTGTGTCAAATTGTTTATTTTTAAATCTCTGTTAAGATTAAATGAGGAGCATATCATTTTTTATCTTAAAATAATTTGTAGGGCCTTACTAATTTCAAGTTTACTTTGATCTAATAGAAATTATTATAATTCCTTTAAATATTTATCTAAATATGTTATATTTTTAATACGTCTCAATTCACTTCTAAAATTTAACAATTAATATTCATTTAAAACTAGAAGTACATCATTAGCAATCTAAGTTTTTAACTCAACCCTTTTTTATTTAAATTTAAATTTCAAAAAGTTAACTTAATTTTTATATTTAATTCTTTCAGATACTGGTAAGGATTCATATTGTAAAATGTTTTTTAGTTTCTAAATTGTTACTTCTAAATTTCCACTTCTTAACAATTTTAAAATTTCTGGTAATTCATCTTAAAAATCGAACTCATTAATGAAATCCACATTTCTCTTGATGGCTTAGCTATGTTCATTAAGGCAGCTTGATTTTTAAAATATAGGAGCTGATTCAGCAACAGTCTCTCTAACAGAGCATTCACTACCAACCTAAAGACTATTTTCATTATAACTTTCCATTTCATCAAAATCTTCAATATCTTCAATTTCTTCTTAATCTAAATGCTTTTAAACCATGTTCTGATGCCTCTATACCATATTTTTTTCAATTTGATTTTTCATTTGATAAACATTTCTAATATCTAAATCATAATTACTTTTCTTGCTATTCCAATAAGGATTTCTCCCTTAAAATATTTGTATAAATGTATCTCTTTTCAACTTTTCTTGTATTTTTAATAAACACTAAACTTTATGTTGCAAAATATCTAGGCAGTTTATTAAATTTGTTGATGGCAAAGAAATCAGAATTAATAGCTAATAAGAATTCGATTATTTCTAAATTTCCGATGCTCATTGCTGTATGACACAAACTTTAACCATTTTGACTGGAGTGATGATTGAAATCAAACAATTAACCTTTCTTAATATTGTGTCGTTTAATTTGATTGTATTAATATCCAAATTGAATTGCTTTGATTTACTATTTCTTTATAGCAACATCCAAAGGAGTACTACCTTCGTAATTCTCTACATTAGGTTCAGCCCCATACTAAAGAATAGTATTAGCAAACTCACTGCTATTTTCGTGTTTGTCAAAGTTCATCATTAATTAATGTAATGGAGTATTCCCATCCATATTTCTATGCATCAACAAAACTTCCTAATATAATTATATAATTTGCAAACTTGATTATTATGAGAGGCCAGAATGAATCTCAAATTTTGGATGTCAGCTCGTTAGCTTATTTGATGAATGGCATTTACTGAAAAAGTTGCTCCAAATGATTTGAGGATGCTTACTGATCTTTTTTATTATAAATACTTAACCTTAATTTCCCATCTAAATAACACACTGTTAGAGGAGTGTTGTTATCGAAATCTGTTTTGTTGATATCTTAAGGAATTATTTAATATAATCCATGCAAAGCTCCGATATCATCATTTAATCCTGCCTAACAAAATAGGTTCCTTTCCTTATAATCAGTTCCAGAAAAGTTCTATTCATTAACACTTAATAATTTCACAAAGTCTAAAAAATTTAATTTATTATGTTTCAATGCATTCATTAACTTTTACTGGATCGAAGGATATTTAACGAAGTTCAATTTCAAAGGCAACGGAGGCTTGCAGTATTTGAACCAGTCAAATTCTAATTGATTCATATTTTTTATGACCCTATCAAAACTCCTAGGGAGTTAAGAGATTGGGTTCATTTAGATACACAAGACATCAATTGAGTAGGGATATGGTTGCTCGAAATTATTGCTTGATATATTCAGTTATTTCAAACTCGCAATATGTATATTTAGACTGTGTAATTAATTGAATGACAAATCCAATATTTCCAAGAATTTTAAAGACTCTAAGAAGTTTGGAACAAAAGTTAAAAAGTTTGAGCTCATATACAGTTTTTAGAGATTGACCATTGATCTTCTAGTAGTATAATAGATTTACTTGATATCTTCTGGAATTTAATGTAATTTACATCTTGTTAAATCAAGTAGTTTGAGGTTCAAATATTTATTAAACGATGTATGAGTATTGTTTAATCCTTTCCCTTGAACTTCCAATTTCTCGTCTGTAAACAAATATTCTTGTATCTATAATATTTTTATATCCCCTTACTGTTTCAGCTGGTGCTTTCAAGTCAAGAGGCTAATTGATGTTTAAATTTGAAAATTGAATTTTATCTTCTAATGTCTTCTAATTCAAAAAGGCTAGGTTTATCCCCCTTTAATGCTCATCAAATTCTGATTCATTATACATGTCACTTTAAGAACTTTCTACATATTGTAAAGTTTAATTCATTTAATATAAAAGTAACTATTTTATTAATATAATTTCTCACAATTAATTCACTTTAACTTCTCTATTATGTCACGCATTTGGATCATCAAACATTCATAGATATTGGTTCTATTAATCACTTGTTGAATATATATATATATTAAAAGGACTAAAAAAATAAAATTAATCTCCTCTCAGTAATAATTCACAAAATCAAAAACTTGACACTCAAGATTTGAATTGATGATCTATTTAATAATTTTTAAAGATGATTAATGATAGATCAATTAATTTTAAATAAGAAATTTATTATTTTCAATAATAACCTTATATTTGACCTAATAATACAAGTTTAGAAACCTGAATTATGTAAAAATTCAAAACAGAGTTATTCTTTGAATATCTCTTAAATAGTTTAATAGTGTATTAATAATACAAGACATTCACAAGTTCCTGTAACAGAAGAATTTTAACTGTTTAATTTGAATGCTTTATTGGCTTACTGCATTTCCCCCAAATTATGGAGCCTCTTATAACTAATATACAAATTTAGCTAATTTAATGTTAGGATTTAATTTGAAAGACTACAATTGACCTTTGTATTAGTATTAGAAAAAAAAATACAAATAATGTTTCAGAACAATTATTCCATTACTCTTGAACTTATTTTTTTAAGCTTGATCATTTTGTCATGTTTGGGATATACAATAGGTAGTGGATCATTATTTAATTATGAAAAATCTATTAATGGGAGGAAAGATTGATGATGTTGAACTTGGGTGGGCTTCCTACTATACAGCATCATTAGGCGTTGTTTATTTTAGATTTAACATCTTTTGCTTGTAAATTTTTTAAATTCTTTGTTTTCCTTTTATTTCATTACGTCAAGCTCTAAGTACTGCATACTCATCGTTGGAGGATCAAGAGTTGACAGCCTTCGTTTAACATCACACATTTAGGATGGCTGCGAGTTTTCAGTGTTAAGAGTTCTATGTCGAAATTATACTGTCTTCCTTTGATCATTTAATCGAGCAATGATTTCCTTAATGTTATATTGCATAAAATAATTTATTGCATATACTAATTTAATTGCTCACATATATTAATTAATCCTGTTAATTTAAATTTTTAAATATTAGTGAAATAAATATAGATCAATGAAGATAGTCTAACTGCAACGAATTAATTTTTTAGCATATTTGTAGGAATTATTTTTTTGTTAGATTTGTTGGTTTTTCTTCCACCACTAATTTTAGTTTGAATTAATTCAATTAGAATATGGATGTATCAAAATTTTTGGCAACATGTTTACAGATCTCTAAGTATACGACCAAATATGTTAAGAGCAATATGCCACCTTCTTCTACTCCACCCAATTAATCATAATCCTTTACATTTATCAATTTGAAGTTCAATTAATTCTATAACAAAATAATTGAGTTTCTTATTAGAGGAAGCATTAGAATGTAATAACTTTCAACTTCCAATTCACTTTAGTCAAAGGCAGCTGCAAATTTCTTATCTTTAAGGATTTCATTTAATAGAATTTCATCCCTATGAATTGAGTCCCACTAAATGATAAATGAAGCTGCTTACCAATTTGTTAAATGAAGTTCTAAATGTCTCATTCATAAGATTGCTTTGAACTATAAATTCACTCTTCTTTGTCTAATCAATAGTAGAATGATTCTTGTTCAAAATAAAAATGAGTTATTTTGATTTAAAAATAGCATGTTTGATAGTAATGTATAATACTTTCTCTTTCAATCCTCCTTCAAGAAAGAAGTCAAAATGATCAACAATTTTAGCTATTCTTAAAATCAATTTAAGTAAATTTAGAATGTTGTTTACAGCATCTCCATAATTTACTAATTCCTATCTTGTCTCTAGGAGATTCTTATTGCTTTAAATTCGTTAAACAGAAGGGTTAGGACGTTATTAAGAATAACTGGTTTTTGCTCTGTTTTCAGGATTTGCTAATTGGGAATTATTAAAGGAAAATTAAACTGACTTTCTGGATGGCCTAACTTAAAAGTATCTGAATAAATCATGTTCCAATAATTGATTACAATTGTATCTCTTGTTCTCTTCCAATTATAAACATTTGATGATGAGATCTTTCGCTACTGATGAAATCTATATATTTCTTGAGAATTAAATTGGAGTCGTTGTGATTACCTTAACAAATTCCTATTCTGTGCCTGCTTACCAAGGTACCTTTCCTAAGAAATGTAGAATATCAATACCATTCAAAATTTAATAGAACATTACTCCTAAACTCCAAATGTCGCTCTTCTCTGAATATTTATTTTCAGTCAAAGCCTAAGGAGGCATATAAAGAGTGGTGCCAACATTATAATATACCTTTTCTTTTGGAGAATTTATCATTTTAGAAAACCCGTAATCAGCAATCTTATAAATCCTTTCCTTTATCAAAATATTCGATGGTTTGAGATCTCTGTGAATTACACCCTTTGAAATTTGCTCTTTGAATCCTGTCAAAATCTGATAAAATATTAAGACTGCTTCATTCTCAGGGATATGTCCTCTTTTTATGATCAGATCTGCTAAATCACCTTTATAAATAAACAATGTGTTATACCCTAATTGCAGTATTCAGTTATGATATATGTGAAATTAGTGTTTTGACAGTAACAAAGCATTTTAACAATATTGATTGAATCTAAAACCTGTAAAGCTGTTATTTCCTGCTGTAATAACTGTCTCTCAATTTCATGCTGCATTTTAGAGTGCTCACATACCTTAACTTTAGTGAATAACCATACTTTTATAGCAACGATCTCTCCATTCATATCATTTTGCCCTTTGTAAACTTAGCTCTTGTATCCTGATCCAATCAAATCATCTGGATTATAACTGTAAACACTAACTTTTATCCGCTTTTGATTGTTCATATTTTTATAATTAATTTCTTTATTTTTATTGCCCTTCGGTAAATTAATCAATTTAAATGCTTAGTTGATAAAACTAAACAATTTATTAATTACGTTTTATCAGTATTTATTTAAAAAATGTTAAGGAAATCCTTTATTAGAGTCTTGCTAAATTAAAACTTAGATTCAATATGTGAATAAATGGTTTTTCTTTAAAATCAAGTGATGCTTTAAGATGTTAATTGAAATAAGAGAATTCATTATATGAATACTCCTAAGAACAGTTAATGTTTAATACTATAAATATTGTAAATTCTTATCATGAATTCTCACTCCATTCGCATGAAAAGGGAGTAAATATCCAAAATAGTTTTATATATTGATTGAATATCACTAAAATTTAAATATATTTGCGACTCAATAAAGATTCATAAGGTCAATGGAAAGACTAAGCTTCCAAAAATAATATCATTTTTCGACAACCTTTGCACAATAAAATTGATTAGAAACGTAAGGATGTTTGGGGAATAATAAACTTTTTTGGATACTCAATTTAGATAAAATAGTTGGAACATAATTCAAATTTCATAATTAAGGGACAATCTAAATGTACTTTTGATAGTAAAATGTTTGAGACTAATAATTTGTTGAAAATCATAAATAAAAATGGGTAAATTTTATCCTCAAGGGAAAAGAAATCCTAATTTTTTCAAAGTTTAGATTAAATCCTTTCAAAATATGGATATTACCAGAGAGACCTCAAGCCATATAATATTTTATTAAGAAATAATGAGGATCCACATTTTTATTAACTGAATTCTATAGATAGGATGAAAATTATTTATTTCTTAATCAGGAAACAGTGATTATCATGGTCCTGAAAAGATTACTATTGAATATTATAATTAAAAGGTGCTATTTCGTTAATAAGGAATGCAAATCTTTTGAAATATGCACTTTTTTCAGTGATTGTGAGAAATTGATATATTAAATAAAAGGATTAATCTTGTTAGAGGATCTTGATACATTAAAGTCAAGTTTGGTATGTCAGAATGTCAAAGTGTTATTCGATTAGTGACTTTAAAAATTATTTTAAAATCTAAATTGTTCTATATGTATAGCTTAAATACCTTTTCTAATAAGTTTGAGATAATAAATTAGTATATTTAAAAAATGAAATCTCCCTCAAAAGATTTTGCTTCAACATAAATTGATGAAAAGATGAGTTCCTGTTGGTAATTCAAAAACATTTCCAATTTGCCTCTAACCATCAGTTTTGATAGATTCAATGTGTTTTCTGAAAAGAAAAAAACGTTCAAAGAGATAGAGATAGCGAAGATGAAGAATTTAATCTTTAAGAAAAAGAAAAATCAAGTAATAAGGAAATTTTGATTTTAGACTGGATTTTTGATTGTCGATATAACAGATTGTATCATTTCAATAGTTGAAAATAATCATATTGGACATGGTCTTCAATTTACGAAGGCAAGTTTTTAGTTTCTGATATTCGGGTCTCATATTCTTGATTGGTTTGAATCATTAAAAAAATATTGCTATTAAACAGAATTTAGTAACAAGTATGAGTTATTGAATTTAATCAACAGAGGATCGTTATACAAAGTATCAAATAATAATAAATCAAGTTATACGATGCAATTAATATTTACGAATAAACTAATTATACTGTAAAAGTATATGAAAAATAATTATTAACAAAATAATCAGATATTGATGCCATCAAAAAAGAAATTTCTATCTTTAGATTGATGAATCATCCTGGAGTAGTAAATTTGATAGAAGTGTTTGAGAATGAATAAGGATTCCTCATAGTATATGATTCCTTTGAAGGAGGCACTCTAAGTGATATGATAAAAAAATATCAAATTCCAGAATAATAGGCTATTAAGATAATTTTTCGATTGCTAGACTCTCTAAGTTATATTCATGAATAGAGTGTCCTACATAGAAACTTGAAGCCTGAAAACATTTTAGTAAAGAATGTTTTGGCTCCAAATAATGTTTAAATTAGTGATTTTAGTCTTTCTGATTTCTTTAGGAGGGATAATAAATACCTCTTTACTCGTTGTGGTACACCTGGGTATGTTGCTCCAGAAATTCTACAAGATAAAAGTTATGATTTTAAAGTTGACGTCTATAGTTTAGGGGTCATTCTCTATACCATGCTATCAGGAGGTGCTTCTCCCTTTCCAACAAAAAGCTATGATGAAAGGATTTTTCTCAATTACAATGGCCAAATCGATTTTTCAATTATTGATGCCTCATCTGATGCTCTTGATTTATTAAAGTAGATGCTTGAAATCAATCCACAGAAAAGGATCAATTCATTTAAAGCAATTTGGCATCCTGTATTCAAAGGTTTACATAAACTGAAGATTACTAGCTTAGATTAAGAGAGAAGAAATTCCTCGATTAAATTGACTATTAAATAAAGTCTGCCTCCTAAGACTCTTGAGAATCTAAAATTAATCCCTTGTCCCATTAACATATTGCCTCCTGCTTCATTATAATTTTAGAGAAGACAAAAGTTTAGAATTGCTATGAAAAATAACCGCCAGAGTCTAAGTAAAGCTTCATCTCCATTTATGTCTCCAGGAAGAACTCTATTTACAACGCAATCTCAGAAACCACTCTTTTAAAATTTATTTGAAAAGGAAACTACATAAATTTATTGAGTATATTTTGTTGTATAAGATTAAAAAATTTATTGATAGATAATTTTAATATTCGTTTCTAAATCCAAAAAAAAGGCTTAAATTTTTAACGATTAATAAAATACTTCATTTGAACCATTTAGACCGTTGATTCATGTTCATTTTATATTGAATTTAACATTATAAGATTTATATTTTGATCTTTTTTATATTAGAAACATACTTGAATTTGATAAATCAATTATATTTATGTTGAAAGTATAAACTAGAAATTCCATTAATAATTTTACCATATGAAATCTCACATTTTACTTAATTGCTAGTCGATACTTTTTGAAACAGATTAACATTTCTGGAAAAAAATAGATGAAAATATTAAAATCGATGAATTTACAAAAGAAGAGCTTTACTATTATTCCAAGAAACACAGAGAATATAAATAAAAGACCTTTGGCAGAAAGGGTTCGATTATAGTGAAATTCGGTAACAAAGAAGTATATTTTTTATTTTAAAGTAGAATGATATAATGTATTGTAATGTGGCAGACTCTTTAATGGAATAAACTAATCATCAAAAATTCGGGTATGGACTCAAGTTCATCTAAAATACTTATCATATTGAGGTTTTCGGTTAAATTCAATAATGGAATCAAGAACTAAAAAAGTATTGTATTCAGACCAATCTTAAATCCAAATATACAATAGGGAAAAAACTTGGAACAGGAAGTTTTGCAGATGTATTTATCTTATTTTAACCTTAGGTTTATCTTATCATTCATAATGTGAGTAAGTAAGAGTTCGCTGTCAAAATATTTGATAAGACTTCTAGTAAATTTGATTTAACTTGCATAAAATAAGAATTGCATATTTTGCGATAAATGGATCATCCAAATACAAGTCATATCATAGAAGCATATGAATCTTCAAAATACTTATATTTAATACAAGAATTTTACAAATATGGAAGTCTTTACGATTATCTCTTAAAAACTGAAATTCCAGAAGATGATGCCATAAAAACTACATATAAGTTGTTAGAAGCATTAATTAGTATTCATTCGAAAGGAATATTGCATAGAGACATCAAACCTGAAAATATTTTACTTCGCAAACCCAATCTCGAGGATATTGTTATCTCAGATTTTGGATTGGCTGTCTATTATAATGATAATGGCAGGTATAAGCATTAAAGGGCTGGTACACCTGGCAATATTGCTCCAGAAATTCTGAAGGATTAAAATTATGATTATAAAGTTGATGTTTATGGATTAGGGATGGTACTTTATTAGATGTTAACATCTAAGTAATCTCCTTTCTACAATAAAAACTATCAAAAGATGCTGTCTGAAAATCAAGAAGGCTACATAGATTATTCGTAAATAAAAGCCTCATCTCAAACTATTAATTTACTTACTAAGATGCTTGACCCTGATCCTTTGACAAGATATACAGCATAATAAGCTAAGCAGGATTAGGCATTTAAAAAGTATAATAGACAGACGATTATAATCAAAAGAAAGAAATATAACAAAGATCAAACTGTCTCAAGTTTTAGCCCAAGAAGCAATTCTATTTATTTTAGTCCTTCCCAATAACGAACTCCTCCTCTAAATGTCTCAAGCCCAGTGAATAATTCTCAATTCAATAGAAGAATACTGGGGCTCCCTTTAAGATTAAAACATGAGGATAGGAGATAGTTTTTTTCACCTAATTCCAATATAAATAGTGGGACCTTTTGTAATTTGTCGAAAAATAATTATAAAATATCAACTAACTTAACCAGAAATAGTATTTATTATGGAATGATTTCTCAAAAGGCTTCATGAATGAATTCGAAATAATATGATTATTTAATTTTAGTTGTTTATTATTCGAAATTTTTCATTATAACAAAATATTTATTGATTGCAGCTTCTTGATTTAGGGGGTCAAAATAAATTGTTTAATCCTATAAATAATCAAGTTTAGAAAAAAAAAAATAGGGATATTTTGATTCGTAAAATCCAAAAAATTAAGAAGGAACAATAAATGTTATTTTAAGTGATCATAATCTATAGATGACCTAGTTTCTATCATTTATTAAGTTTACAATTAAAATTAAAGATTTCTGCCCAACTTTAAGGAGAAGGTAGGTTTTTCAATGGAGGATTAAAATTATATTTATTTATAATGCTATGGGATGATTGAAATATTATATATTCTTTCTGGATGCTGTAAAATAGATATTCTAAATAGTGATCTAAATTAACAATTTATGTAATTAAAGAAATTACATTAATTATCATCCTCCAATTTTGCTGTATTAAAAATTACATTAAAGATAATTTTAATATTTCTCTACTGCATTCATTGTTAAAGCTTGAAGATAGAGATTCATAAATTAATTATAGTTATTCTAATGTGATTTTAAGAAAAGCATATCATGAATCATTACTTGTTTATTCAGGGATTATTTTTTAAATCATAATATGCATTAAGAATGGAGATAAAAATATAGAATTATAAAATAACTTTAATTAGAGAGGAAAAGAAATGGATTGATAAATAGAAATGAGGATAATACAGAGTAAGGCCTTGTTATTAATTTGTGTTTGATAGCCCTTTGAATTTGAAGCAAAAAACAAACTATTTTTTAAGTAATGATATTTTGTTAATTAAATATAGAGATTTCTTTAGTGTGTTATATTTGCAACATTAATTCTTTATATTTGTGGCCAATTTATCAAAATTATTATCTGAATTGAGTATATTTTTATAGAGATGGAGGATTTTTGATTTTAATTATTGGTGATAATTAAATGAGTTTGAATGATATTTTATATGGGTTAATGGTCTTATTTATGTGCAAAGCGAAGTGAGGCATTATTATTTATTATTGATGTATTTATATAAATTAGAGATTAAAATTGTTCTAGAGAATTTTCATAATTATTTGAGATGATTTTAAGAATAAGAAATATTTATAGGTTTTGTAGCAACAACAACTCAAATTATCATAAGATTGTTGGCTCATTGCCAGGATAGAACAACAAAGACATAAAGGAGAATTTAGAAAAGTTTTCAAGAATTTATTAAAAAGTTGATTTTAAACAATTGCAGAGAGAATAGATTGATGAATAACAAAAGAAATTTATGTTGCAGAATTAAGAGGCATATCAATTTGGTGAATCGATTCAAGTTGGTGAAAAGGTAATCAATCTTTATATGCGAGGGGAAAATTGGATAGAGCAACTATTTGAAATTGATGGGTGTATTTTTTTTGGGGATGTTCATATATTTGGGGAAAGAAACTTATAAATTCTTTACGAACCCTAGAAATGTATTGCTATATGATGAGAGCACTGGAAAAACATACTACACTACTAAGGAAGAATTCGAGAAAATTAAGGCTGAGTAGAAAAGAAATAAGGAATTCAAAGAGTTCAGGTTTAAGGTGTTGTCCAAGCAACAAGATCAGAGGGAGTAAAAAGGAAGCACAGATTCATTATTTTGATAATTATATAACACAATTAATTATTCTTGTGGAATCATCCCTTAAATTAATTGAAAAAGGTCATTTGATTTAGAAAGAGAGTTGAATCAGAATTTGATTGGATTTCTTAATTGCTTGCGTCATATTGAAAGTGTTTTATTTATCGAATTAATACTATATATAAATGAGCTATTCATTCTGCAAAATAATCATAAATAAAAATCTCTATTTTGGAGGATTTGATGCAATTCACTTTGAAATTGGCATTTATTTTAGCATATCTGCAAGAGACTTTATCTTAGACATGCAGAGTAAGCATTATTATATGGTTAGCTTTAAAATACAGAATACAATTTGTTGACGATTGTGAATGGAGAGACCTTCCGCTTGCCACTGAATGACTATTTCATTGGTGATGGACTCTCATACACCATTCAGCCTCAAAATTCCCCATTTGCTGAGAAAACAGTAGCACAAGGACAGGAATCTATAAAAGAAACAATAATTTCTACAACATCCTCGTACCTTAACAATAATCCAAACACTTAAGGATCAAATTATTACGCACTTGCTCAATTGACAGGGGGTGGATATTACATATTATCATAATTCCAAACCGGAGCCCCATATATTTAGAAGAATTACAATCACAATTTTGGATATATCGCTCCAGGACCAACTTGCTTTTCAATTAATTTCATTTAAAATGAAATTATGATAACATGCTCAGCTTAAGGAACCAATCAATTGACATACTTATTCTACACTATCGATTAAAATCCCCCTTAATTGTTATTATAGAGTTAGACAATCAATTCCAACACCATTCAAGCTGGAGCTTATGTAACGACTTAAGCTGTGGGATAATATATAGTCACTTTAATAAATACTGGCACATATAAAACCGGAACCTATTTTTCAACATACTCAGAACTCTATGTATTCCAATTGAGTTTGGATACTCCTTAATAATTCAATTTCAACCAAATACAAATCCCAAGTCCACTTGTTGGCACTGACTACTATACAGGTATTTCCTTACAAGAAAATGGCATTCGTAATTATTATCATATATCTTAGTTTTCATTACTACTTATTAAAGTGGATTAGCATACTTGAATTTAAACACTGTGCCAAACTAACTCCAATTTTTCAATCCATTTAGCCAAGGTACTTTGGGAGTAAGTTCCTATAGTGTGGATTACTCATCAAGCTTCTTTTATTTAGCAATTTGGAACGCCGAGGGTATAGTGGCAGGTGTCTATAATTCAGCAAGTTAAGTACCGGTAATAAACTTAATATATAGTGTAGTTTAAAACAGCTTAAGTGATTCAAACTAATCAAATCACCCAAACTTAAATGTTTGCAACTCAAGTTTTTATGAATCCTAGATTCCTTGTTGCAGTGAACTCTAATGGTATTAGTGTCTATCCAAGCATCTTAAATGACATTAATAATTGGTAATTGCTCTATTATATCCCTTCAAATGTATTATCTAGCGCTTTCGATTATTACAATAATATCTTAGTAACTGTTGCAGGCTAGAATGTTATCACTTATTAATTTAATAACCCAATTGTCACAACCTCAAATTTGGCTACTTCTGCAGGCATTTAAAATTTCACAATCACTGCAACTCCTTCTATGTTCGGAGGAGCAAAAACCAGTCAGCCATGTAGTTTGATTTTATACTACAATGTCACATCGCCCATTTAGACAGTTGACATATTTTAGGCATATCAAGTGAATAGTGCAAAGGAGACATTCGTTCAATGGGGTCCCCTATTTAATTTATATTTGGGCTCAATTTAAACAGTAAACATAAATAAAATGTTAATTGGACCAGCTATTATTGCAGGATTCCCAACTACCAATGCAGCCTACTCTAATATTGATATTCAATTCTCAAATGTTCTTTCAACTCCTTCATTAAACAGTCCCTACAGAATTAACTCCAACCTAATAGTTGGATAAAAAATCTTGTACTCACAAATGTTTTATGATGCCTCCTACATAGTTAATGATAAATTAGGAGAATAATTCAAGGACACTTACCTTTAATTGGTTCAAGTCTCCAATTATATTGTATTGTTCTAATGCTAAGGTTTTGAAGATTAACCATGCACTTAAATTGTTAACATCCCAAATAATGTTTCATTAATTGAACAATTTGCTTTGAGTTTTTCATCAAGCAACTTGATAAACATAGCATATATGTGGAATGATTTTAATGTCAAGGACTAAAATTCTATCGGCCATATTACAATTTGTCAAGTGGGTTATCATTCAACAGTTACTAACTAAAATTGCAAAACCTAAGATTTTAACTCAAAAGATGATGGTGAAAGTCCCATTAAAGCATTATAAATTTCATTGGCTTAAGATAGTTTCTACATTCTTTTTTAATAAACTGCAGATTAAGTAACTACAAATTATTTCTCTGCTTTCAATGTTTAGGAATATTTTAGTTCTACCAGTGACATTCTTGCACTGTAATCTTATCTTAATTCTACAAGTGCAGTTTCAAATACAACTATAAAACTTTCTGATTACACTATAGATAGCTTCACACAAAACATTCCTGCATATGGAAATATCATCTTCCTTAATGCTTGGAATAGTGTAACTAATGGTGACATTACCAATTATTATTATTACCTTATAGCCATTAATTATAATGGTGGTTACCTAAATATAAATGGGTAATATGTTTTAAATGTGATTGGAGCTGTTTAAACAAACAAAGTTACAACATCACCATTAACTAATTACTATTAATTTACTGTTGATGGAATGTACCTTTTGTAAATAAATACTAAAGGATCCCCTACACTAACTTTTTACCCAAGAGTCGATCTTTTGCCATCCCTATTTTTCTCTTATTAATAAACAAATCCACCTCAACAACCTGTTAATGGAATTTCATTATAAACTTATGGACTTTCACATATTGTTCAAGTAACTTCATCAGCTCGTTTCTTATATATCATGGGACAGCCTGAAGGTTCTAACACATATTCAATCTATGTATACAAGAATACCCCTTCAAGCTAAAATGCTTTGTATTATGTGATTTCAACTGATGCAAATGATCAAATAATAGATGCTCCTTTTAGTGTAACCAGCGCAATCCAATACGATGGAATATTATTTAAATCAAGAGGAAATGACGGATATCGCAACAGTCTTCTATTACCTGAATTTGAATTTGTTGTGAAATGCAATTTGAATAGCAATTTCTAATAGCAAATTGAATACAGTTACGTCTTATTCAAGGCCCAAAGTATAGTGAAATCGGGTTCTAAATTGTCTTAGACAGCTTAAGAATATTGGGCAACTTTTGAGTCAGTGAATCTAGTCTCCTTTTCTAAGGAAACCAGTACAATTGCAAATGCTGGTAGTATATCAACTTCTGGATTCACATAAGTCGATCCAAGAGCTTACTTCTAAGGAAATATTTAGAGCTTCCTGCTTTCAAATGGAACAAATTCAACTACTTTTTATTACTTCAACATCACCTCTCCAGTCGAGAGATAACCTCAAACCACAAATTACCAATATCCAGTAACAGCAGTATCTGCTTATATGCAAATATCGGATTCGACTGTCCAACTCAACTCAAGTAATTAATAATCTTAATATTGGTTCACATTTGTTTAAACAGACAGATTAGTATATGTGACTCCATATTTTTATTACAGTCCTCCTGAGGATTTCGCTGATAATTCAACTGTAAAGATTGATTATCCTTTGATTTACAAGCTACCTGTTTTGGATATAGCTCCCAATTCTTAGAAATGTCCATTGATATTTGTGGATCCAGGCTCAAATGGAATAGTCAGTGTATGTGGAACAAAGGTTGCTAATAAATTTGCAGCTTCCTTCACATTATTTAACCCATTAAACTAGGAAGTTATGGAAACAAAATTAATAATGTTGGATTAGGCATTCCCTATTTTAGGTTAGACTACTTTAACAAATAATGGATCATATCAGCTTTAAACAGCAACTTATCTAGATATAGGAGTAGTAGTGTTGTAATTCTAATACACTTATAACTTTGGTTCATCACCTCCAACAATTATCATATTACCATTTTTATATACCTCTAATTTGCATTAAAAAATAGCAAGTTATCCATCCAATCCAACTCTCTATTTTTACTAATTTATCTAGCCAATTTAATAAGTCTATCAAGTTCCAAGCAGCAATTTGGGTAGTTCAATTTCTGTGACAGCATTTGCTTTAACCACAATCTACCTTGGTAATTAAAATGAAGCAAACCAGTAAACTTTTATTAGTTTCGGATTTTTATGTGTGTCAGATATCAAGGAAGAATGCTTAATACCATATACCTAAGGATAGACATAAACTCCAACTAGCGGAGTGGTCATCCAAGTAACTCCAAGACTTTTGAATACAATATTTTCATCAACTCTCTTAGTCAGTTTCAGTTCACCAAACAACATATATTTAGCAACTCAAAATCCATTCTAGATATCTTTATTGAACATAGTTTCAGGTATTAATTTTTATTAATTGTTAGATTACACCCAAAACTCAGTTCAATAAGTTATTTAAGCAGGAGCTCCATTAATTCAGAATGGTGTGATCTCTGAAGTGCCCTTAATTGCAGTCAGTCAAGGAACAGCCTACATCTTCAAGTTGTAATTCTATTTGAGTAATGCCCAATACATCCAATCATTATACGCTTGCACACTCTTAGGATTATCTGATCAGAATCGTATTTTGCAAATTTCAGCAAGCAGCTCAAATACTGGTCAATATCAAGTGGTGGCAATCATAGCAAATCCCACAGCCTCAGTTAATAATTAAGTAACATTACTTAACTATGGATTTATCAATCAGTAAATATCATATTCATTTTGATAGGTAATGTTCCATCAACCCTACCGCAGTATCAACAACCGTTTAACCAACTAAACTCTAAGATGGATTGGAAGTGTTGGTAACAGCTATAGGAGCAACAACTTATGTCTCAGCTGAAGCTACTCCAGTTTTGGCTTTGATGCAACCCCCTGCTATAAACAATTAAGTTATTGATATCGCTAGAACATTAATAAGTGATAATCAAGTGATCACTTTACTTGACACTAGTCCTTATCTTACCATCTCAGCTTATCCAAATTATAATCTTAAAGGAGGTGTCTCCTTGAATTCGACAAATTTATTTTCAAGTTCTGTTGAACCTCTGATAACATCAATTTCAGCCATGAGCGTTTAAACTTACATCAATAATTTGTTAATATCCGGAGAAGGAGGCTCTACACTATTTGAATTCAGTATTTCACAAATTCCCGTCAATTCCACTTTCCCAGATTCTGTTTGGGATAGAAAATTATGGGGTTAGTTCATCTGGGGATCTATCATGTTTATTATCATCGTAGGTATTATCGGATACTTGTTTTACAAATCATAGCCATTGCCATACGATAGATTTTGATATATTAGACAGATACATATAAATTAAAATATTTGAATTAAATCAAAGTTCTTCATAATAGATCTCCTCTTCAACCACCTGCTGCTCTTCCTCCCCACTTACTACTTTATTCTTTAAAAGAGAAGGCGGCTATAATAAGCTGTCTGTTAATTGAAACTGGCTCTACTCTTCTTCCCTTTGCTACTCCTTGATCTGTTCCACTTTTTAAGTTACAACTTTTGTCTAATCGCTTTACTTCTTTATAAAAGGAATGCTCTCAACATAAGTCTCACTATAGGTAATGTTCTCTCTTCCACAAGTTGTTGGTTTCCTGCTTTCCGAAGTCTTCAATGAATTATCATTCAATCGTAATTCTAAGTTAAGAATCTCTATTTACATGAATATGTTAGAATTGGTTCAATAGTTATCTGCATTTTCATTTCAACATGCTTCTGCACTATATCCTCATCATCATCGTATTTTACTATAATCTTTGGTGTTGATTTATAAATTTGGAAATTGTTCATCTACAATTTATTCAATTAATCCATCATTTCGCATTCCTCCCTCAAATACAAACTCAAAAATCCTTGATCTATAGTACCAGAATCCCCAAAATACAAAGAATTTATTAATTTCAGAAAGCTTATGTGTTCTGAATTCCACTTTGTATTGTTCTTTAAAAAAATTATGTAATCATCAATATTGTACTTTTTGTCCTCCAGTCTTATTGATTTCATTTCGAAATTCAAGAATTTTATTAAGCTGTTCTTATTTACGATGCTTTTGAAATTGAATTGAGTGTCTTCCTTACTCGGTACTATTTACTGTATCATATCAGTGACACTCTGAGTATCTTCCCATTGAATTCGATATGCTTATCCTTTGTCTTCTCCAATGAAATATCTACTTAAAACTAACGCATCTTTTTCTGAATAATTAAAGGGCCTCCTCATAAACAATTCTAATCCTTATTGCAATTAAATAAATTAGATTCCTTTAAATAAGTATTGAAGTCTTGTTCGAGTCAAACACATTGAAATTACTTTATACCTTAAATCTTCAAGTAATTCTTTTAATCTTTCTTAATCTATTGGATCTGTATTGATAATATCAGTAGCTTTATGCTCTGCTTATTGGACTTCTGGAAATTATGTAAATTCTGATCTATAACATTTTGGTGGAATCAAATGTTTAACAACAGGTTCTTCAGATGTAGTCTTCTATTTAAGTAAATCCTATATAGCAACACGATCTTGTAAATCTTGTCTAATTAATAATAAACTTATTTGAAATAATACATGAGTAACTCCTTTTTAAGAAGTGCATCTTCTAAATTCTGTTTAGATTTTTGAACTAAGGCTAATTATTATTTAAACTCTCGTTCTTAATCTTGTTATTATTTTGTGACTTATTTGTACTTAGTCTCATAAAGGGATAGTTCTCCCTTCAAAGAGTCGACTTATTTTAATACGCTCCTAATTATAATAATGCATGATACTGCAGTTTCATCTCCAAAAATTATCTTTTCTTCTATTAATATTATTCAGTCTCAGTAATGATTTAATCCTCTAACTTTTTCTTCAATTGAGTTTTTTCAAAAGAAACCTACTTGACTTCCTCCTTCACCTTAATATTATCTTCAACAAGCCCTTAATATTCACATTTAAGTTGATTGATTTGCTTCTCTAGTACTTCAATTTGGCTCTCTTGGGCATTGATGGTCAACACATAATTTTTTATACGCTCCCCTATATCTGGATCATTAAATAAGCTGTTTTCATATGGAAAGCATACTCTTGGTCTGTCACCTTGATGGCGACTTATTGAAACTGTTTCAAACGCATGATTTCATCCTACTGATTCTTTATCTCTTTCTGCAATTCTACAAGTTAAGTTAATTTCACAGATTTGCATTGTCTTCTCAAATCATCCGTAAGCTCTGCAATTTATTATGCCTATTCTCGAATCTTCGCTTTTAACATTGGCACAATACTCCCTTCTTGGTTTGCAGTTGTCAATCCTAATGGGTCTGTGTGTAACTGATAGCGATCAACTTTCTCTATTTACTATACGCGATTCTAAAATATTAAGATATAGATAAATTACTTATAACTATTAAACCAAAGTTCTCAACTTAATATTCTGCATACGAAGCACATTGGCCTCTTGTTTGTATTGAAGATTCTGAATATAAAGAGTCTCTCCATCAGCATAACGTTTAGTCGGAGGGCTAGTAACTTTGTTTGGTTTAGGAGTAAACATTAGATGAGACATTGAATCTCTAGATCGAGCATCAGATGCCTCAGATTTCAACTTCATTATTGCTGATTGAGGTCTATTCTGCATTATTAAGTAATTAATATATCACTATAAATTTCTTTTCTACTTTTTTTTAATTTCTTATTAAATACTTGAAAATTTGATAAACTGTCGACCTCAATGCCTTCCTTGAATTCCAATTATATTCATTCTCTACTGGTTGACATAATATATTATTATCAACATTAACACTTATTTTTGTTAATTATAATCTTTATTATCTTTAAATTAGTGCCATAATATTTTTATTTAAAATTCTTTTTTTATAGAATTTGCAAATACACACTTTATTATATTATACATATTAATACATACTTAAATCAACTTTAATCTGTGTCTAACTTGTTTAATTAATATTTATTTATTTAATCTAAATATGATTCTTCAAGCAAACTTTCATTATGAAATTGATAAAATGGAAAAACTCGCTTCCACATCTGCTAAGAATGGAAATGATCTCTTTGAAAGCGTTGGAAAACTTACATCCGATATCTAATAGTATATCATATACTTAGACAATACCTTCCAAAAAGTATTTGCAATATCGAAAGTCGAACTCGTCAGACTTCCTGATGAAAAGAAACCTTTGGAAAACTTTATAGACCTTATCTTTCATATAGCATGTCAGAAAGGGATTAAAACTATTGCTTTTCATTTGAGAAAAGAAAAAATTTCTAATACAAATATATCAATACATGAAAACGAAAAGATTCTGCAGCTCTTAGCGGACTTTCAAAATTAAAAGGATTCAGACTAATAAGGAAAAATGGAAAAGAAAATTAGTGCCTTTGCCTTATAAGACAGTGATTACATTGGTATGAGAAAAAAGCTTAATTTTTTATTTTTTGGGAAAGAACACTTTTAAGACTTAACTATAGAACAAAGAAAAGAATAAGAATAAGTTTTCAGTATTTTCATTCAAATACCGAATTCCAATAAGAGCTCTTCATGTTATATTTAGAATAAAAATCAAACCTTTACAGTGCTATCTAATTGTAAATTAAATTTCTATTAGTGTTTTAGTTCAAATAAGATAAGCACACCTCTATGAGACTAACCTATCATGGACAAAATAAAATTCAGAAAATAAAAATTAGAATTGTAAATTAAATTTCTATTATAAGCATCCAATCTTTATGAAACTCATCTATAATAGCCAAACTAAAAATAAGAAAATAAAATACAACCTAGATTATTTCTTGAAGTTAAAGTGATAGAATCAAAAATTATGAAAAACAATTTTACATATGAAACTACATTAACAATGGACACTCACTAGAAAACTTAGAATCATTTAATGTTTGTTTTTAATAGTAAAGTGCTTGCCTTTTAGTTTCCCTTAAAATTTACAAGCAATTAATGAAATTATTATTCATTTATGAATTCAATTCTAATTTTATTGATAGGTTTTCTTTTGGGTCATAAAATGATTCTTTTCTTTTAATATATTTGTCTTAAAAGAGGATTCATACTTTCACAATATTTTAATATAAGCAAAATATTCTATTTCCTCTTTTTCAAAGTAATAGGATATTGGAAAAATAATTATTGAATAAATGTGATATATTTATAAGTAAGTAAAATCAAATAATTTATTACACGATAGATTGGCATTCATCAATAATGAGATCAATTTCTCTTTCTAATTTCATAATTTCAAATTTATGAATTGAAAATTTCATTGCTTACTAAATTAAGTAATTCACATTCAAATTTAATAACTTAAGTTATTAGACTGAATTTTTTCTAATATTCTCTTGTTTTTATTTAATTTTTTATTTTTGATCAATTCTAGTTTGTAGAAGTTCTTGATAAATTTGTGTATGAAATGATGAATAGTATAGATCAATTTCCCTTTTTATTGATTTACGACGTTTATTGTGATTCCATTTAGCAACTAGATCTTTAAGTTTCTTTCTCTTTATTTTTTCATAAGATTCTTATTTTTTTTTTATTATAAATGATTAAACTTAATTCTCTTATTCTACCACTTGACCAAATTTATGCATAAGCTTTTTTAATTAATTATTAGTTTCAAACATTTGAGTTTAAATTGTCTATTGACTTCTGGTGGCAACCAATTCTCTAATGATTTTATAATCTTAATCAATCGTGAAGGTACTTCTTCTTTTCTTGGTTCTAACTAGCATTTATTTGATTCTTTCCACAGCCTTGATATACAAATAAGGTATACCAATCTAAACTTCTCTCGAAGAAGTTTTTTCCGAGCCTACTTTTAACCTACAACTGATAACATCAAATCCTATTAAACACTGATGTAATTTCGACAATCTATTTTGGATTTGAATTATTATCTATTTTCACTTGATCTTCTAACCTCTTGTGTCTTAACGACCTTACCTTCTATAATGATGGCAGTTGATCTTTTCAGTCTAACAGCCTATCCTATTAATTATGGATTGTAAATATTACTTTATTTTTGCTCTGCATAATCAGATAAAAGGATTTTCCTTCTCTTATACATTTAGAATAATTCGAAAAACTATGTTGAGTTTTATTTAATCAAGGATTCAAAAAACCTACCTGGACACATCAGAACAACACTTTTAGTAACAGCATGAGCATGCCATCTTCTTAAAGTCTATTCGATTGATTCTACTTCTCCAAAGACTGTCCCCTCCATGACTCTGATAATACTTTCTCCAGTCGCATCAGATAGTCTGACATCACCACTTAGAAGATAATAAAAATCAGAGGAACTTTGACCTATATGATATATTGTAGCATATTCATCATATTTGGCTAAAGTACAATAAGGCAGAACCATGGCAGAGAAATTAATGTCATTGGCAATGAAGGGTACAATTTTAAGAATGTCCTTATGAGTCGATGCAATAACATATTATCTCATACTCCAAGGCAATGCTTAGACCATTTCAATAGTATTACGTGCCCAAAAGGGATTGTGAGAAATATTGAATTTAGCAAATGATATTAATTCTTTGAGTATTTCCTCTATCATAAATGTTTGATCTCCCAATTCCTCCAGCAATATCAATTAATCTTCATACTCTTAACGTGGATTAACATTCACTAAGATGCAAGTGATATCACCAATAGTAAATGAATAGAAACCAACTCCAATGAGCATCCAGAATATTTGAAGAAAGAACTCAAAGGAAGTTTGAGCTGCAATGTCTCCATATCCTATTACAGTTACTGTTTAGATTGCCCAATAGAAACAGGTCACATATTATTTACCTATGTTATAATCATAAACATTCTCCCTTACTGCCCAGGTGTTCTAGTTAAATTCATCAATTCTAGCACTCCAAAACCATAAACATGCAAAAATGTGAGTCAAGATTATCATGTCTATAAATATGGTTACAATTCTTCTGATTCTTAGATCTATGTTATAATCTGATCTATAGAATAGATCTTCGTTTACAACAATCTCCTTCTTTTTAATTATATCATTAGTAGTATGGTAATTTTCACGTCTTTCGTACATGAAATACTTAGCTACTCGAAACAATCTCATCAACCCTAACATTTTTGTAATCTCATATGTTTCAAAGGGTATTATAGATAGTAAATCAACTATAAACCATCCTTTTATGTAATAGGGAATGATCTTATCAAAAGTATGTAAAAGCGTGTTATGTTCATCGATGTGGCAACTGATGAAGTTAAATAAGATATCTATTGCAAATATTGAAGATATGATTTAGGTCAATAATGTTCCAACTCCCCTTATATTTTTAGATACAATACTTGGAATGCTAACTGAAAAGGCAATATTATTGAAGCTATGCAATGCAATCCTTTTATAAAAACTATCCAAAAGATATATATCTTATCATCTGGATACAATGGAAAAAAGTTGCGATGCCGATATTTGTATTCCATGTGCTATGATTTCAATTATTCAGCATATGATCGAAGTTCCTTCACAAAATTCATTGCATGGATTAATTTTCTACTTATTTTTCTAAATACGCATTTAGCTTTCCTTTTCTACAGCTACGAATGACTAACAAAACTAAACTTCAGATGAGAGTCTGTTCTTGACAATGTATTCCTCGATTCAGTTGAAGATGGAAGATTATAAAGTGGCAATCTATTCATTACATATTCTGATACAGATATCGCGAGGTCTTAGCAATATGGATCTTCTTCATTTAATTTAATCCATTCCTATTTCCACTTCCAAATATAACTTCATTTATAGGCGAATCATCACTACTCATTGGATATATTTGCATATTCTAAATTTTGATTAATAATTATTTACAAACGCAACAAAAATCAATTTTTTATCATTATATTTTACTATCATGTCCTATATCACAAGGATTGAATTGCAAATCAATATAAACCGACAATATTTTACTCTTCATTTCCTCATCAAACTAATCCAAAATTATAATTCTCATCTTGTTCAATACTAAGTAATATCATTTCATTTTGTATACTCCAACACATCTATGCATCTGAATATTGGTACAATTAATCGATCCTAATATTAAATTCTTCAAATCAGCCAGCTTCCTAAGTGTATCCATTCTATACATAATACACATTTTATGTAGCCATTGTATTAAATTAAAAATAGTATAAATTATTATATTATGTCGAATAATAATAAACATTTTCCATTACCTTAAACATTCGATTAAGAAAATATCCCAACAATATCTAAGGTGTAATATCCTTCCTTTGAACTCTAAGATTAGAATTAAATGGCTTATAATTAATATGCTCAACCTATTTAATAAGGATATCCAATCTAATACTCTCCAACATTTTAAAATTGTATAATATATCTAAAATATCAAACATAGCTTAAATATCAATCCAATCGAATTCTTCAGTTGTTGTGAGTTGCTATTATTGTCAAAAACAGGTTCAAACCATTGTTTCCTACGAAGCCGGAGCAGGAGCCTATTTAGTTGGAGGAGTCCTGGCTGCTTTAGGACTATGGTTTGGGTATCAATTAATCTAAATTGTTTATAGTTGTTGTTTGATTCCTTGTTATTTGAAAGATTGTCAGGATTCAGTTCACTTCTGCTCCTAATGTTCTGCCTAATTGGGAAGAAAAAAGTTTATATTTTGAAACAGCTATCATTATCCCATAATCATATCATAATAAAACTCTATTGGTCTCATTGATATTTTTAAACACACTAGTTAATTAGTGTTATAGCTTGTTGAATTTATATAATTTATTCTTATAATCATTTGTTTCTCAGAAACTCATGAATCTACACGAACTGATAAATGAAAAACTATTTATATCTTCTATAATTATAAATTATCTAAATAATTTATATTTGAATATTTTAAGAATCTGTTTCTCTAATAAGTTGAAGTGAAGTTGGAATCGAAAAATATCCAAACCTTAAAAATAATAAAATATTCGAAAAATAAGGATCGCTTGATTTGCAATTATTCTTAATTTAATTACAATTTCTTTTATTTCTGTAAGAATTACAAAGAATTTTAATTACTTTAAATTCCTATGTGAATAATTATAAATTTTAAAATCTTTAAAAGTATATAATCATTCATTAAGTTGATTTTAATATCAAATCAATATATTCATATCGTAAAATCTAATAGTTATATTTATATATTCTCATACTTATATCTTAGCATGAACATAGAAATTTTCATTCTTTCCTTTTAAATTAAAAAATGATTTGATGATCATAATCAGATATTTTTAATTAATTTGTCAGATCCAAGAAGATTATCGTTTAATTTAATATAGAATAAGTTTATAAATTTGAATTCAGAACTTTTGTTTACTTTTTAGATCTTTAAATATTTATCATTAGTTTCTACCAACCATTTCGGATATGTAGGGACCCTATGCCTTTACTGCAATCAAATCTGCTAATGGGTGAGGTAAGAATCTGATTAGATTTGATAATAGCCAATAAAATGAAGGAATAGAATGGACATCTTTTTAATTTTCAATTGCATCAATGATTTCTATGGCGACTCTTTCTTCTTTTAATTCAGGCATTAGAAAATCGATTTTAGATTTCACTCCTTTAAACATTCCTGTGTTGATTGCCCAAGGAGCAATGAATGTGCATTTGACAGGACTTTTTTTCAATTTCAATTCAACTCTTAAACTATTATGAAAACCTAATAGAGCATGTTTGGAGGCACAATATGCTGTTACTTTTAATCCAGTTATAATGGATAAAACAGATCCTACATTGACTATATGTCCAAATTTTTATGCTTCCATTTTGGGAATAAGTAGTTTGCATAGGATAACTGGTGCAAGGTAATTAACTGCATGAGTCAACTAAAGATCTTGAAATGATTATTCTGTGAATAGTTTCAGTTTAGCTACTCCAGCATTATTGATTAAGATATGGATTGGTTCATTGATTTAATTAATAGTTTCTATGATCTGTTCTTATTTCGATAGATCACATTCATAAAATTGTACAGTACTTCCATATTGTTCAATAGTATTTTTAAGATCAGCAACTAGATCCTTTCTAATGTCTAAGACAATAATCTTGCATTTCTTCATTGCCAATAATTTGCACATTTATTTTCCAATTCCCATGCATCCTCCAGTAATTAAAACAGTCATATTTGAATCTAGTTTGAGTTTTTTTTATTTCCTGATAAGTAAAAAGTATGTCAGAAAAATAATGAAAAAAGTTAGGGTATAAACGACAATCATAAATATAATAATAATATTTATAATTTGAATTAGTTTAGATATTTATAAACAACACATGATTTCATTCATCATTAACTTCTGCTTGTTAATCTTAAGATTCAATTCTAGCTTTTAATTTTTGATCACCCTTTCTAAGCTTCTTTCTTTTCTTTAAGGCTAGAGTACTGAGATCTTGTTGTTAAACGAAAACCTTTCCTCTTTTGTCACCTACTTCATCATATACGATGTTTTTTTCCTAAAATGATTAATACATCAATTTACATGTGGTTTAGCTTTTGGTTTAGGTTAACGACAAGCTTTCTTAAATATTTCATCATCTGCCCACTTGGTTCTTCTTATATCAAAAACGCTTCTAGGTCCGATTTCTTAGATTTTGATTCCATCTTCATGAGTCTATTTTTACAATACTGTTATTGCTAAAGTAGAATCATCTGCTGCAGTAATGCTTATGATTAAATGGATTTCTTATGACTTTATGTCTTAGATGGGGACATTTTCAAAAAAGAAATCAGTCAAAAGATTATGCAATTTCATATGATTTGGATTAAATCCGAAGACTTCACCATTAAAAACTATCAATGGTCTTGCATGCATAGGAACTTCAACAGATGTAGCAAATTCCTCTTGACTTTTGTATTCTTTGAGATGTAATTCTACCATGTCTAATACTTTTTTATCAAATGTTCTTCCAATAATAAGATTATCTGGTCTTTTCTTTGAATTTGATACAAAGCAGAACATTGAACATTAGCTCCTTTCACAAAATGTTTCTAATTGTTTTGCATCTTCAAATGGTTGAATTTCGTGATTCTTATTGTAGGTTGTACTAAAATCTCTTTTTATCAAATGCCATTCATGAGCCAATTATCTTACACTAAGAGAAGTCTTAGGACCTCTTATGAACAGAGTTTGTTTTGGACCTTCAACTAATTTAGGTTCACGAGACTCTAGAATTCTTTTGCCTTTATGAGTCTTAGCTCCTCTAGGTGTTGTTTCTTCTTGATCAGACATTATAATTTTAATTTAAATTAAAGAAATTTTTATATTAATAAATAAATTTATTTATATATCAGAAATTTCCTATTTGATTACAATATCAATAATCACTCTCTTCACTTTCCACTTCATCATCTTCATGTTCTGATTTGATATAATTATCTTTTAATGCCATTAAATTTCTCTCTCGTTCTCTAATATTATAAATATTGAGCTATACTCTTATCTCCTTTCCTCCTCTAATAGTTTCCTTTGTTTAGCCTTGATCTCTTATTAGATTCTTAATTATTTCAACTGTTCTTTCTAAATATCTTTCTATGTCTATGGATCTAATCTTGGCTATTTGAATTTGCTTAAAGTAGGAGGCTTTCTGCTTTTGAGTTTTTTAAGATGATTACTCATTCTAAGCTTGAATTCATCCTCTTTATTTGTATGTAAGTCTTTATGCTAGATGATAAAATAGAATGAATACTTTTTTCACCAGGAAAGAAGTAAGAATGTCTGTAAATTCGAACAGTAACAATTCATATTTAATAATGGATGTAGCTTTATCTAAAGTCTTTTTTTGATCTTTTTCAGCAGTCTAATCTTATTATTTCTTTCTACGCTTACTACCATCTTCTCTGACTGTTTAATTAACAGACGATTGATCAATTTAAGAAATCGATTATTAGGTAATTTGACCTTCATCAGTATCAAAGTTTTTATCTACATAACTTATTAGAATGAGTTTGTCTTATTCTGAAGCATTGAGTAGTTTATAGATTTACTCTAAATTAATAGTTCTATCAGTGAATCCAAACTATGTCTCTCTATTTTCGATTGACCATATATCAAATATAGGTTTGACTTCATCAATGAAATCTCCAATAATTATTTTAGGATGAGTAGATTTCTTAGTATCATCTAAGGATTGATTCTACTTGCCCTTCTTTCTTTCAAAATATGGAGTCAATTTACTGATGATTACTCTCTCAATAGCTCTATGTAAATCAACCAGATTGCCATATTTCAAGTATGATAATCTCACAATTAATTCAATAAAATGTCTAAATAGAATACACCTTCTTGGATCATGAATATCTTCAACTTTCTTCTTGAATGTTACATCTTTAAGTTGGAAATCTTGGTAATTGATTTTTTCAGTTGATATGCAATCAAAAGCCATTTGTTAATGAAATAAATCATTAAGTTCTTACAAGTTGATGTTACTACCTTATCTACTCAGAACATCAATTTCAACATTCAGTTCTAGTCTATCATATTTTAATCTATAATTATTCTTGGATCCTTATAGGAAATTTCTGTTCAACTCTGCCAAAGAATAATTTTGATTCAATAATTTAGCCTAAATAATACAAATATTAAAGTACATCTCTTGCAATTTTCCAAAAACCTTCTAAACTCAAAGAGAAAGTATCTTCATAGAGCAAACTTTCAAATTTATTGGCAAAGAATTTATAATGTGTTTTAAGTGTGTAATTATGTCTCAATAACATAGTTTAAACATTTTGATCAATTAATTAAGAGTCTAGTTGCAATCCTTTATATAAATCTGAGAAATCAATCATATAAGAATAGGGATTGGTTTCTATTGTTTTATTTAGATTAGTTTAAGTTTGATTGGGATTATTGATACCTGCCAATTTTTCAGGTCTCTTAGTGGTATTACCCAATTTAATCTTATCTTTATCTTTATCTTTATTATCCTTATCTTTATTGTCTTTATTATCTTTATTATCTTTTTTTCTGTCTTTATTATCCCCTGCTTCTTTAGGGTTTTCATGTTATTAGATTACTTCTCCACCTTGAGGAGCAATTTCTCTGGGTAGAATACCAGTTCTAGATTCATTTTCAGTTGTTGCATAAACCTTAAGTAATCTGTCTTATTTGAATTCTCCAAGAATGAAACCACCTGTATCTGTGATGAATAGAGCAACTCCATATTTGAGATTATTCCTCCAACTTCCCATATATTTGGCTCCATTTGCATAGTAAAAGACTCCAACTCCACTCCTTTCTCCATTTTCCCATTCTCCTTCATATCTATTCTCTCAAATATTTGGAACCTTCTCCTTTAGGTTCAATCCATAGATGAACTCCCCAACCATTTTGAACATTGTCCTTCCATTCTCCGTAATACTTTTCATTTGAATTCAACCAAAACATCACTCCCTAACCTTCTTTCTTGTCCATCAAGAAATCTCCATCATAATAATTTCCAGAAGGATAAATCATCTTGCCTTTCCCAGATTTATTGCCTTGATAGAATTGTCCTTCAAATGTGGCACTAAATTTCAAATTGGACAATTATACCCACTTTTGAAAGTAATCTTGCCAAAACCATGTCTTAAACCATTCTCCCATTAACCTTCATAAACGGCTGATTTATCTGCTGTAACAAATTTGCCTTGTCCATGTCTTAGTCCATTCACAACAATGCCAGTATAAGTGGAACCTTCAGGCCAATAATAGGTTCCTTATCCTTCGATTTTGTTGTATGTGAATTCACCCTTATAGATAACTCCAGAGGCCCAAGTAAATGTGCCCTCACCTAGTTTATCGTAAATTACTAGAACCATGTAACATCCCATTATGAAATTCTCCTTCATACTTGTTTCCATTTTTGAATGTAACTTCTCCCTTGCCATGTAATGCTTTGCCATAAACTTAATCAGGCTGATCTAAGATGGCCAAATCAGCATCCCACTTATCATAAATGATCTTGGCCAAATCCAAAGGGATAATCAGATTTTTTGGATCCTCCTTGAAATTCATATTATATTATAAATATATTAATTCAAGTAATTGTCTACAATTCATATAAATATTAATATTAAAATTAATGGGAAATTGCCAACAGTGTGACAATTTAGATCCAATAAAAACTCAAGAGATTTTGACATCCAAAACCACCAAGTCCAAATAAAGCATGAAAATAAATAAAAATGATCTCAAAGGAATAATAAAAATTCAAGCAAACTTCAGAGGTTTCATCACTAGAAAGTATTACATTAATCTCACCTAGAAAATACAAATTTAAATCGTCAGGGTCAACAGCACAAAAATATGGTACTTCCATTAACTAATAAAAGAGTTCTTAAAATGATTCAGTTATCGCAGACTCTTATTAAATCACTGTCAAAGCCTAATAAATTTAATAACTACAAAGAAGGCAATCTCCGATCAAAATTTTAGATCAGGATGACCATAGATAAATTTGTGAAGCCGATATTACAAGAAATATCCATAAAGATGAAGATGCAAGTTCCTATTCTGAAGTTAGAAGCAAGCACTTAATCAGTTTTCAAATGAATGAACTCTGCTTCATTCCTATACATAAATAAGATCAGAAAAGAGTCTAAAATGAAGAACAATAAAAGCTTTCCATTCTTTAAATGAAGAATGGATGCTACTATGAAGGATAATGGAAAAAAGGCATGGTTCATGGATTTGGAAAATATACCCTCTCAGAAACATCATTTTACATTGGAGAATGGATTGAAAATAAGGCAAATGGATTTGGTACTTTTCAACATTCCAATGGTGATATATATGTTGGATCGTGGAAGGATGGTACTGCCAAAGGTAATGGTAAATACTCATTTGGAGATGGCACATACTACGATGGTTAATGGAATAATGACCTACCAAATGGATAAGGCAAATAAACTTATGAAGGTGGATGGATTTATGAGGGTAAACTCTTTTCTGTATTCCAAAGCTAGGAAGCTTTTAAAATGGGTTTAAAAGTGGGTTTGGTTAGTTAACATATCCTGATGGAACTGTCTATGCTGGCAAATTCGAAAATGATCTAATGAATGGCTATGGAATACTGAGATTCCCAGATGGAAGAACCTACAACGGAGAATGGAAGAGTGGACTCAAAAGTGGGAAAGGAGAGTTTCTCTGGCCAGATGGGAGGAAATATGAAGGATAATTCCTAAATGATCAGAGAGAGGGTTACGGAGTATTAATATGGTCGAATGGCCAAAAGTATAGTGGACTCTGGAAAGAAGGACTTCAACATGGGAATGGGTAAATCATTAAAGCAAATGGTGCTACCTTCCGAGGAAGGTGGATCAAAGGAAAAATAGTGTCAACTAAATTCACTACTAATACTCCAGCCAAAGTAATAAAATTAGTTAAGGGATGATCCTATTAAAGTAGATAGATGTCTACTTGATTCTAATATAATTATAATTAAAATTAATGTTCGATTGTCCAATATGTTTAATATCTTATGATAACAATCAAGCCTTTACATTCCCTTCATGTTTTCATACATTTTGTATCAATTGTCTAAAATCGACCTTTGAAACTAGAATCAAGGAACAAAATGTAAATTTGGATACCTTTAAATGCCCTGGGTGTGAAATTCCATTCGATCAATCCTTGATCTAGAATTTTATATCTCAAGAAATTTTCAAGAAATACTGTGAACTAAGTATAGAAATGAATCAAATCTTCGGATTGGAAGAGAATGAGATAATGGCCAATTGTTTAAACGAAGCTTGTCGAGAAAAATATATAATCTGGAAGGATGCAGGTTTGATAGAATTATCTTAATTTAGAATACTAAAAATGTGTAAAATGTAAAATGGAATATTGTCGTTTATGTTTTTTACCCTATCATAAAGACACTTGCACTTGTGAAGAATAAAAACTACTTTATTAAGATAAAGTTTACAAGGACTTAAAAGTTCTCCTCAAAGCAAGTAGGTGTCCTAAATGCAGGATTATGGTAGAAAAGGTAGCAGGCTGTAATTTTATGACCTGTAAATGTGGCACATATTTTTGCAATCTATGTGACGTTTAGCTTGAAAGCAAGGTAGAATTTAAGATAGATTAAATTAGGATCATTATTCTCACTTTGAGAACAATAGTCCTTCACAAGATAAGTGCAAAATAAAAGTGAATGGCCAATGGGTATCACGACCAGCAGTGGAAGAGGTTAAGAAACCTTAAATTAAATAAGTTATCAAAGAACCTGAAAATGCGATTAATTCTATTCCTTGTCCTAATTGCAATTCAACCAATCCAAATATCACCAAGCTTCAACTTTATGATAGGGTTGCACATTGTTGCAGTGTCAAATGCTAAAATAGAGCCTATTGCATATATTGTAAAAAGATGCTTCCCAGTTAAGATATATTAAATCACTTTACAAATACATTGGCATGTAAGTTCAAATGAGTTTTATATTGATAAGTTTGAGAATTTAGTATAATATAAATATAATGTTTAATATTGTAGGGGAACTTTGGAAAGCGTAATAGTATGCTAAAAACGAATGCTGTTTTGAAGTTCCTTAAACATTCTACTTACAAGGTAGCAAAATATCTCACTATTTCACCAGTTCACAATGTTCTGGTAAAATCTTGAAGAAAAGGAAAGAGAATGTAACTTTAAAAAGCATATTGGACACTTTCAACTCTAAGGAGAAGTACGTGTGTTCATTTTAGAGGTTATTGAACAAAAAAGATGTTCAATTTAAATACTTAACTCGTATTGAACTTGAGGCACTCATATCCGACATTACTAATTTCTCAGAATTATATCAAGATGTCATCATCTAATAAACATTCCAGAATGAAAACATAATCGCCTATTGTAGACATGGACATATAACACAAATTTAACAAAGGATCCCTCTCTAGTCAGAACCATTGATTACTTTAAAAGATAGTTAATTTGCTTGTGAAAAAGTAATATTTGAAGCCAGAGTTAACAAAGTCGGACTAGCAATTGAACAATTCATAAGTTTGATTGAAGGTTCAAAAGTTAATGAAATTGAACTATACATGAAATATGTTGGAGAGAAATTGATTGTTATGTGGAACACTAATCTTAAATGTAGGACTAACAGAAGAGCTTTAAACTTCATAAATTCATAGAACTATCTACACAATTAAGAATATTTCGAATAGTTCCAACCAAAAAAATAGGTTACGGATGAAATCACCATGATTTAATGTTGCAGTTGCAGGAAATTAACTAAAATAAATGATACATTTGAAGTGTTGAAGAATAGAATATGGAAGATTAGAATGCATAGAAATCTGCATCATTTGAATGATTAGAAATTGTATCTAGATGTAACAGGGAGAATTGTGCCAAAATTTGATGAGTTTTAATTTGTGAGAGTCTGTGGAATATGTTATAATAGTTTTATTGAAACTATATCCAACAATAATACTAAGACTGAGAACACACTGAGGAAATTACCATAAAAATAATAAGATCTATAATAATTGATGATGCAGAATGGTCCTAGAAGAAAACTGTTTAAATTAAATGACAATTAAACATATTTAGGTAGTCGATCAAATAGTACCCAGATTAAGGAGAAGAGAATGACACCTTAAATAATGAATTCCACATTTGATGAGAATTATGAGAGTATCTAGAATTAAAGAATGGAGATAGATGATGATTTTGATTAATTATTGAATGAAGTGAAAAATGAAGTCAGAAGTTCTTATTAATCCAACAAAGTGGTGACTAATAAAGCTAGAATACAAAGTGCTTAAAACAATCAGAAATTTAAATTATATTACTAATGAACATATATATATAAATATTAACAGAATCAATCACAAACTAATTTAAGTATTTCCAAAGAGTTGATGTCAAGTTGTTTATCATTCAACTAATTGACTACTCTAATATATTTTGATACAAATCTTAGAGATTGTTAAAGTGATTGTTTGGTCTTATTATGCATCTTCAGGAAATCCTCAAATAAATCATCTGATAGATCCTTTTGAAAAAGTGCAAATACTATTGAAAAGGAGAGATCCTCTAGAGAGTAACTCATGTAGTTGTGATCCAGAACGATGACGTTAATAATTTAATTGATAATTTTTGAATCTTGATCTGATTAGCTTTTTAAATTAGGATGAGCAATATAAAACCTACAAATGATCTCATACATAATATCTTATATAGTTAGTGGATTCGTATGCCAATCTAAGACACTAAGGATGAGTCTCTCATATTGTATAAGTTATTGCTTGGTCATATTGAGTGATGACTATGATAAGAGTGAACTAATATTTGGAGTTTCAGCATTCATTTTAGTTGCTACAAAGATCATAGCCAAGGATAGAAATCTTAATTGAGTTTAGTTATTTATGGTTTTACTTTTAAGTCTGCAAAGGAATAAATCATAAAGATAGATGGCTTTATGAGAAAAAGGGTTATTTAAGTTCTAACAATTATCTTAAATTCGATTCAAGATGATGGCCCTTGTTTTGTAGTTATATTCTTTCTCATTGTATTCTTATAAGTACAGAGGATTGATATTGTAGATTTCTTTCTATATTGGAATTGGAGAGGATTTGGTCTAAAAGGTGATTGGGACTGATTCATCATTTTGTATGCTCTCGTAGCAATATAAATCATCTTCATAGGTGTGGAGAGTGCTTTCGGCAGTGACTTTAACTTTCTAATACAAATTGAAAGAATTAATACCTTAATAATTTATGGAGATTGTAACAAATAGTCGATTTGAGTGAAATCCTAGGTATTTGTTTGAGTATTGACGCATCTTTTGAGAGTGCTTGATTTAGTGGATGAGGCAAAATAGTCTAGAGATTAATTGCAATGTCTTACTTGTTGACCCTACTTAATTAAGTCCTAGCATCAGTTTAAATCTTTTGTTGTCCATCTTCATTAATTATTTTATGGCGAGAAATCCTTTTAATAATTGCCTTTTTTATTTAAGACTGAGCGCAATTTAAAGATTTTCGTGTTTAATTTGTATTTTGGAACCAGAAAAGAGAAAAGTATTTTTAATATTATAATAATTATAAAATCAATCGACAAATTTCTTTTCTTCTGGTTTCGAAGCTATTGCAACAAAACGAGAGGTGCTAAAGTATATGTTTTTGGTTAAGAAACATAGGACAACTAGTTTAATCAATAAAATCAGAAGAGTGGTTGCAGAAATGAAAAAGTTTGCTATCCAAATCTAATTCGCAAACAAATTTTCAGGTGTATAAAATTCTTGTTCATCCTGAGTAGTAGCATTTTCATCTCCTTCATCAGGCAATGCACATTAATCACCCATACCCAATAACACTTTTAAACCCTAAAAAAAGGAAATACCACCCACAGAAACCAACAACGCTATTTAACATAGAATAACCACTATCAATCGAAACCATCTATCATCTGAAGCATACTTCACTCTATAAATGTAGAAATCTAAAATCCCAGAAAAAAACACCGCTATCAATTGACCTATGATCCACGGCTTATACGAGACCGTGCAATTATCATCCAATCCATTGATCTCAACTACATATGCCACTATAACTCCTGCGATCATTAACATTGACATAATGCATTAAACCAAAAACGCAGCGGGTGATACGTTCTTCCATAATGGAGCACTTTCACCAGTGAATTCTCCCTTTTCTGACTTCATGATGTAGGTTTTGCCCCATTGACATTTGTAACATCTCTTCACGTAAGCAAATAGCACACTCATTATTTAAATATTTATATTAATATAATTTCATTAAAAGAACTAACTCAATAATCCACCAATACCCTATGATGATTATTCCTTTTCTTTCAGTCCAAAGTATTTCACTCCCACTTTATAATATAACTAAAGATATCTTAATAGTATATACCTCTTAGAATATTGGATCTGCGTCTATAACAACCTTAAATTTATTGAAAACCAAATCGTATGCTTCTCTGCTTTAAATTCTTATTGATTTCACTAAAAGATGAATGAATAGAGCCTCCTAAGTGACTGTGGTAGGAATTAATTCATGCAATATTTTAACACTTTCGTTGAATAATCCTTGTCCAAGTTTACTAATTCATTTACTTAACAATTTTACATTAACAAATATCTGATTAAGTTATACTGTCTTTCTTATTCAGACAATTGCTAATTCCATTTTACTAGCATCTGAATTTCTGTATTGACATCAGATAATTATATTAGGTATCTCCAGGCTAAATGGAATTTGTTATGGTTGATTAGATCCACACCTACTTATTAACAAATTTAGTCTTTATAGTTTGGATATTTCTTGAGCACCTTATTTATGAATTGGACTTTCAATTTACTGAATTGGGCTATGGAATAAATTGACATTATCTAAGCTTCGAAATTAATAGATCATTCTTACCAATATTTTGAGAATCCAAATCATCTGATATTTTGATTACTTCTGTAGCTAAATTAAAGCCTGAATTGTCTTGATTGTTCTTAACCAGAAGTTTGCTGGCTTATAAATAAAGAGTGATAGCTCCATCCTTATTTTACTAATTAATGAATCTGGATCCAAATGTTAGTATTTTTTATTCATATTCATAGTATTTTTATTCTTTTAACAATTACTCTTATTTGAGTAGGATCTATGATTGTAATCAGATGTTACTTGTTATACTTTATCAGAATTTGATGTTTCTACGTTCATAATAATTTATATATATATTTAATATAAGTCAATTAATTATATTAGATTCTTCTTTGACTTATAATTGTGTAATATTTTTAAAGTTCTAAAATAAATTAGATTCTATTTTACTTGGATCATCATTAATAATTAAAAATTGAGCAGTTTTTGCTAAGCCAACTCTCTTTGACAAAGAGCCAGAGCAATTTATGTACTATCAAGGTTTGGAGTACTCATCACTGGAATCACTGTTTACTAAAAAGGCGGAGGTGAAGGTCTGATTTCGGGAGATATTGATTTCATTTATTAAGGTTGTTCAAGATTGTACATTGATTAAATCTTTCTTGTTTGATTGTAATCTCCCAAATCCTATTTACTTCTATTTCTATCTCTAGTTTTTTTCTTTCCGATTCGACCTTCCTTGCGATAGGTTTGTAAAATTGCTTTGGCAGTAGAGAAATTGATTCCAAATTCTTTGGCCGCCTCCTTTATTGTCGATTGTTTAGAGAGTATGCGACGTAATAGTTAAATACGAACAGATTAATCAATAATAGCATATTTTTTGTTATCTCTGTTCTTAAATTCTTCGATGTTCTCTTGATGTCTAATTGATAGTTGTATTAAATTTTACGATTCAGGTGTGAAACTGTTTAAACTCTCTTCGTCTGAATGTATCATTGATTTTATAAACGAGATAAATTTATATATCAAATTATTAAGATTCCCTTTTAAAATCACGAAATCAATTTATATTGAATTATCAGATACTTTTAGACAAAAATGAATCTTAATTTTCAGAATATTTTAATATCTAAATTATCAACACATATACGTCATATTGTTATTATTAATTAAATACTTTACTCATTTAATCAATTTATTTGATTTTGTCTATCCTTCAATCCCCATTCTCTCAACCAACTCATTTGCAGACCTCATTTAAACAATGGAAGAGATCTTAATTTATATATATATAAGTTATATATAAACTAAAATTAGTTGTTAATATTAATCAATTCATTTACTATGATTGCATTAATAACGGAGAGCTTATCTGAGAACACGTTTTTTTTAAATTTGTTTATTTAGGCATATACTTTATAGGTGAAGAATAGAACCTATAACAAGTCATATCATCATCAAGTTAAGTCAATATTTTAGAAAATTGTACACGAGTTTTCAAAGATGATGCAAATTTTTCTACACTGAATTAAGATATATTATTGATTGGTTTTTTAGGTAAGAACTAATCTCTAGCTAAATATTTCAAAACTGATTTATCTTACAAATTTATTTCATTTTTAAGACTCGTATATGGTTGATCATCTGTATTCATATCTTGATCATATTAATAATTAACCTTTGAAAACCGTTCACTTGATACTTTATTATGATCATGATACTATTTTATCCTAAAAATCATCTTCTTCAACTGAGGGGACACGAAATTATTTGTCTTTTGTTTCTCTGTATCATCCTATATCTATAAGATAGGCAACTTCTCCTTTTACTCATATTTATCAATCAAATATTTCAGAAGCCATTTCGATGACAAACCATACTCAATTACATCTACAAATTATTAACAAGGAATCTTAATAATTTTTGAGTCACTCTTCACTATCGCTGTTGTTCTTCTTATCAGCCTCTCCTTGCTTGTCTTATTCAAGTACAATTCATAATCTCCTATTAACTATCCAACACTGAACAAACCAATGTTTTTTATGCGTTTTTGCTTCTGAAAATTAACAAAATACTTATTTTCTCTAATCTTTCCTCCAGCAGCATTTTCTATTGGCTCTTTAATTGAGACCTACACTTCCCCTTTAATTATAAGATACACTGAATCCACAATCTACAATTCCTTATATAATAAACTTCCAGCCTAAATATTTAGTTCCTCTTGATTATGCAAAATGGATTGTAATTGTTATTCATTTAATAGATGAAATGGATGCATTCTTGCAATTACAACCTGTCTTAACTATAAATTATCAGCCTTTAGTTCACTCAGTAATGTTTAATAAGCATCAAAAGTCAAAATAGCAAATATGCAAGATTCTTTAGTAATGACAGTGGCTGTCCTTGGGATTCTCTGTTCTATTGCTATCTCTCCAAAATAATCATATTATTTTTTATAAGCAACAATCCTGAAATTTTAATAACGATGTAAAATTAACTCATCGAAAGTCTTAGTTGCTCCTATTATAATATTTGATATTTCATTGTACTTCTTCGTTTATAGTCATCCTTTTTTTAATGAACCTCAATTTAATCTTGATTTCTAATTAAAACAGCTGCTTCTCCTTGTAAAATAATATACATTTTCCTTCCAGTTTCACCTTGATTAAATACAACACTGAATGCATCGAATTTTTCTATTGATATGGTTGACATCAATTTAATTAGAATACTGGGATTCAATTTATTACGTATTTATTAAAAGTAATTAACATATTGCTCAAACTTATAACACAACAATTATAATTATGAATAGGATCTGTTCTTTGGCTCAATACTTAATATTGCTATAATAGTATCCACATCTGACAAATGTTTACGTTACTATTTATTATTCCCTTAGAACATTGAATCATCACTCTCAGATTCCTCTGAACTAGACATAAAACTCATTAGCAAAATAATTTTATATAAATAAAATCTAAAATCAAAATAATTTCTATTTTTCTAAATCAGATCCCATAAAATTATTAGTCAATTCTCTTTTAGCTTTTTGACTTAATACTTCATGTAAATTCTATACTTAACTAACCTGAAATTCAATCAATTTTCGTTTAAATTAGTTTTCCTATAAAAATCTATCAAAACCTTCATTTGTATCTATTTCCATATCCTGATTTTTGTATCTACTTCTGGCTGTTTCAAAATAGGTATTCAACTCTCTGCCCATAAGATTTATTCTCTTTTTCAATACCTAATTTGATATTTTGTGTTCATCTTCAAACAATTCGCATTTATCCATAATAGTTTTAATTTTTTAACTAAAATCAGTGTTTACAATATTAATAGGTGACCTACTGTCACTAAAAGTGCCAATAGACGTAGTCATCTGTTTTAGTTCTTGATGCATTGAAGTTTACGGTGACATCTATACAGTAGTAGGTTATGAGATAAAGATGTTATTTGAAGCTGTAAATTATTATGAAAGTGTAACTTTATGTTTTGATTCTGGAGTTTTCTTCTTGGAATGAAAGAAATGCTTTGCAGTAGTATTCCTTGAGGAATGATGAGATTTAACTTTAAATATTTCAGAGAACATTCTGTCTTGGATTTCTTTTTATCTTTTTATCTTACACATATTAATCTATCCTTATTTCTTGAATTCAGGTTCAAATTAATCATATCTCGTCTCCTTATATATATTTACTAGATTTTAATTGTACTATTGTTCCAGCTTCATTAACTATTCTAATTCTTCTTACTTGATTCTCTTTTAAACTAATTCCTTCAATATTTGTTCCTAATTATCTAATTTTAATTCTTTTTTCTCCACATCTACACTCAACAGTTTCCCTACATCAATCTCTGGGTGATTCCTGCAAATCTCTGTCAGAAAATATTTAACTTATTCTTCATCTTCCAATTCGACATGATTTAACTCATTTAATTAGTATGATTTCTTGGCTTGCAATTTTACTAAGTTAGCTTTCAAATTGGCTAGTTTATACTCCTAATACAATGGACTTATTTAATGCTATCGAAGTAATTCATCATTTAAATAGGAAGCCAATCTAACCTCAGGTTTCACTGGAGGAGATCTAAACTTATACCGACACTTTTTCTCCGAATCTTCCTATTATACAGATAAAGACTTTTGTTTTAATGAAGCCTTCCTTTTTATTCTGTGTCCTTCAGTATTCTTATCTTTTGGTATTTTGATCTTTAGGTTCATTATTCGCTTAGCTGATATATCGTTGCTGCCACTTTAAACTAATACATTCATACAATACATCGTAGATCAGCTAGCTTTTTGTTGATAAATAGAACAAAATTTTAATCAGTGAAATCATCATAATAAACAGGCTTTTGTCTGATTGGGAATTACTGAATAGTTTTCTTAACCAAAAATCCTTAGAAACTCATTATTAAATAAATAAAATTAATTATTTTAGTAACTATTAATATAATAAATATTTATATCGATCCATAATATATATTACAATAAAAACAAACTTATGTTTAAAACTATATTAAATTTATGTGTAATTGAAATCTAAAATAAACAAACAAATTTATCTTCCAAAGAAAGTTCCGATATTTTTATCATCAATTATTATTTTGATAAAAAATGTTTAAATAACTAAGAATGAAAGTTAATGATAATTATCATAGAGTTACTTTTAAATTACAACAATTTGAATTTATTGAAGTAGTTTTATAATTAAATATGTAATTAAAGCATTTCCATTACTATTAAGTAAGAACAAAGCGGTTAATTGATCTAAAATAAAAATTTTATGAGATGTCAGGTACACATTCTCTCTTAAATTGATTAGATCATACTTCAAGTAATCTACTAATGTAAGTAGTTCTCACATTGATATACATCATCTATTTGTAATTGTTTGCATCAAAATAAAATTATAATTAATATTCTAGTGATAATAAAAATAATTGATGCTTAATGAAGAAATATAGATTGCTTGTCCCATTCATAATTAAGAAATCGTTCTACTTGATATTCAAGAAGGTATTCTCCTAGGAGAAAGGGCTTGCTGTAAAGAATGTCACATACGAAAAGCATATAGTATCACTAAAGCAATACAAAGAATCAATGCGTTAAGACTATAATAAACTTAGTTTATCAATAATAACATAGAGTAGACACTGGCAGATATAACATAAATAGAAAAAACAATAAAAGAATTTTGGAAAGAAATTGAAGTTGGTTTTCTTGAAATGAACAAATCTTTAGACAATTAGAAAGCAATTCTAAAAGGGTAATTAAATGGTGAAAATGAAATAAAGATTAAATCTTTAGGAGATCTTTAACAACTTGGATAAATGATATTTGAATTAGAAAACAATAAACTTAATCAATAAAGTGAAATCAATCAAGAAGATAATAATCTTTATTAAAGTAATCTACACAATCAATTAGATTAGATTTAGAATATTGTTGAGAAATATTTGACTACATTAAAAGCCACAAAAATTAATCAAGAATTATAGGTTTTCTTTCGAAATAACTATTAAGAAATTTAATCTACTTTCTTGGAAAGATGGGTTGATCCTATTATATTTTTAAATGATTAGTTAAAGGCAGTATTATGTGATTTTGCTGGAGTTCTAGAGCTCAATTTTGAGAATAACCAATGTTTAGTCTAGCGTTTAATATAGATGTAGAATATAACTGGAATTTATGTTGGAGCTGATTTAACTTGGATAGTAACAGCAGGACAAGATGCAAGAATATCAATTTGGCAAGCAGACAATTAGAATTGGAAATTGAGCTAGTAACTTTAAGGACATCTTCACTCAATCAATAAAATGATAATTAATAAAACTGAATCATAGGTGATATCTGGAGGATTAGACAGTAAAATTGTAATTTGGAATAAGAAAGGCTCTAAATTAGAAAAACATGCCTCTTTAAAATAACACGAGAAAAGCATTACAAGTTTAGCATGGAGTCACTCTGGAACATATTTTGCTTCTGGAAGTTCTGATTAAAATTTGATTGTTTGGAAATCTAATAATGGAGCCTGGGAGATATTTTAAAAGATTAGCGATAAACATCAAGCTATGATTTCTGACATTATCTTTGATAATTATGATAATATTTATACTGCAGCTGAGAATGTTAAAGTATGGAAATAAGATAATTGTCAGAAATATCTGCTTTCATCAATTGTTAAAACCTTCAATGAAGTCAAAAAAATGCTGTTCGTTTACGATCACTAATATTTAATAATTTTACAAAAAACCATAGAAATCTATAAGGTTATGAAAAATGATATAGTTCACAAATAATCAATAGATGACGAATATAATAGTGTTGCAGTTTCAAAGGATGGTTAATATATGATAGCTTAAAAATATAAAAATCAATAATTACAATTGTTGAAATTATAAGCGATGTGAATATGGAAAAATTGATAGATTACCTTGAAAATTAATAAATTTATGTATAAATATATTAATTTAAACAGCCACCATCCATATAAGAATGTAGAGAGATACAAAAACTTAAGTAAAAGAAAGGACTTAGCTTGATTATATTTATAATAATAAAATTTGTTCCAGAATTTCTATGGTTTATTTAGGGATGTTCAGATCGATTAATTATAATGAAAAATCATTATGACACTTTAGGCTTAGAGAGGAATGCTTAACCTAACCAAATCAAGAAAGCCTATCATAAATTGGCCCTTCAGTGGCATCCAGTATTAACTTGCTGATGTCTTTTTAGGATAAGAATAGTGATTTTAAGGCAACTGATTAATTTCACTAAATAAATGAAGCCTATACTACCCTATCCAAAGAAGAATCGAAAACAAAATACGACAAAAGACTCTAAACCAGAGATAATTTGAATGATCTGTTAAACTATATTAAATCGTAACAGGAAGAACCATTTCTATAATATGATACAAGAGATGATTTTATATCACAAGAGGATCGGGAATTCTTAAGAAACTTTTCAAATAAACAAGAGATAGAAACAATTAAAAAAAAGAGAATTCGAAAAAAAAAATGAAAATCTTACCTTTACAAATAAATTTTTAAAAATCATAAAAAGTATCAGAATTAGTTGTCTCCGTAAATGTGGATTGTAGCTAATCCATTCTATTGTTTTTCAAAAAACTAAATACTTTTTCTAATATATTTAATGTACAAATTTTATCAGTAAATAGTATGTCTCCTTTATCATCCAGAGCAACTAACCTAATTCCCTTCGAACCTTATATCAATAATTTATCTATTCATTAATTCCTTATATAAATTAAATTTCAATAAATCTCATCCTTCAAGGTTCTTCACTTCAAGAATATTTAAACACCCTCCAAATCTATGTTTGAAGTGTCTCCATTTAATCTTATTACAATTACACCATACATATGTTTTATTAGATTATTCTAAAAATTATTATTTAGTATTTTATAACAATATTTACAATAATGTTTAAATAAATAATCTTATAAAATTATTTCATTTATGTTTCAATATTTAGGCATTTTGTTGTGTAAATATTTGATAATCAATTAAATTATAGAATGGTAATAAATAAAGGTATTATATAAGTATATATTACTACAATGATAGAACCCTATTAAAACAAGGTTAATATAAGAAAAACATTAATTGAAATCTAGCATCTAGTGCTATTATAATTGGTCGTGAATTTTCCTTAAAAATACTATATTTCTTAAATTTTATGTAAATATTTAATGACTCAACTATGAACTACTGAAGATGATTTAATTATTGTTGAATTTTGAATAAAGGAAGTCTATAATGGTTATGCTTTCTTTCTTAATTCATCACACTCGATTAATGCATTTTGAAGTGATTAAGTTAATCTATCATTGTCATCTGTAAGCATGACAATTTGATCATTCATTCTACTATTCTCACCTTATGATTTTGAATATTTTTGAATTTAGACCTCTAATTGTCCTGCCAACAGAGCGCATTTATTCTCAAGATCATTTTTTGATTTTTCTAATTTTTCAATTTATCTTTATAATAAATCCATTTTTGCATGCCATTCCTCCTTTTCTTTATTTTAAGTAACAATCTATAATTGTAATTTCTATTCTTCAACTTGTAATTGCTTGATAATTTAGTTTTATGAATCATAATCATTTAATCTAAATTAAATTTATAATTTTACTTCTGTTTCAAATCCAACAACTCTCTGTTCTTACTTTGCAATTACTATTATAACTCTTCCTATTATTTATTTAAGGCTTAGATTTTGCTTTCTAATTCATTTTTGATTCCATTAAATTATTTCATTTAATTGCATTCGTTTTGTAATCTTTAGACTTCTTATATGAGATCCTCAGATTTAACACTTAAAGTTAATTGGTTCGATTTCAAAGAATCTATGTCCTATAATAAGGTGGTGTTCTTTTGTTCAACATTTTCCTTAATTTACTTAAGATCTTCGCATTCCTTTTATTTAAGAGCTAAGTTTTGTTTAATAGTATCAATTTATCCTTTCATTTAAATAATTTATTCTTCAGATCTTCTAGCATCTCCTTCAAAAGCTGATAATTAAGTAACTAATGTTTCTAAACGTTGATTAGCTTCCTTCAAATTATCAATTTCATCATTTTTAGTCTTGACCATATGCTTTTATCTTTCAATTTCAGAGGCTAACAATGCTACTCTTGATTCTAAACTTTCCTTCCAATATTAGAATTAAGCAGCCTCAGCTTCTTTGATTTTCAATTTTTCTTTCAAATCATTTAGTTAATCTTATAATTATTAAGAATCCTCAATAATTTTGGCATAATCTGTTTCAATAGCTTCTAATTTCTTTAATCTCAAAACTGCATTTTGATTTGTAACCTTCAATTAGAAATTCTCTTCTTAGATTTCATTGATTCTTTTTTGGAATTGATTCAATTATGAAATATGTTATTCATTTGCTTATTCTAATTCCACAATAACTTTGGATCTTTCTTGAATCTATTATTCTTGGCTCTTTAATTGCTCTTAAGCGTGTTACAAATCCTTTAAGTATTGATTAGCTGTCTCTGTGGCTTAAGCTAATTGTACTTAAATATTGGCCAAGGAATTTTAACTAAAATAAATAATTAATGTACTCTTTTTAAACAATATGTTATAAATCTTCCCATTGGTTTCTAAAAGGTATCAATTGATTAATCTTAAACTCTTGATTCTCATTTTAAGTCTGGAGAGCCTTTACTTGACTACTCAATTATTGGTTTTTGGTTTATAATGCAAAGTTTTCCTCTTAGGATTGTCCTAATTGACCTTCCACAATCATTAATTTCTAACCTAATCTTTCTGCTTCAAGTGCCTTTACTTCTGCTTTGCCTAGACGATTATTTAATCTATCAACTTCCATCTATAATTAAGTCAATGTTGCCTTGATCTCCTCTTTTTCTGATGCTGCCTTTTCATATTTATCAACGTATTCTTATCTGATCTTTTAAGTATTTTCTAGATCTGTTCCAATCAAATAGTTAGAAGTCTTTAATTTAGCAATATCTTAATCTTTTACATTACTAATGCTCTTCAAAGAAGCATATTCATTCTATAAAATTTAATAGTTCTTCAATTATAATTGATATTTGGCAATTTTTTAATTCAATTTATCAATATCTGTATTTAATAATGTCATCTCATTAAGTTAATCTTCAATTTATTATTATAATTAACGATTTTATCCTTATAATTCAGGTAAACTCTTTTCCAAGAATCTCAAATCAGTAATTCTAGATTCCTAGGTATTGCATCTACTTCTTAACTCTTCACATTCTCTCACCTTATTTTGGAAGGCTAAAGTTAATTTTTGATTTTCCTTTAATAATTCATCAATTCTCTTTTATAAAGGTGTTAAATCCTTGTCTGCTAGTTCTTATTTCAATAAAGGAATCTAGGTAGCTGTATTCAAGAATTCTTATTGTAATTTATCATATCTACTTTAGAGTTATTACAATTATTATTAAAGCACTTCATTAGATTCGTTAATATTTTGAGCCTAAGGTTAACTTTAAGATTGTTCTCTTAATAATTGATTGAGTCTTTCGTTATCCAATTTACTTTAAGTGAGTTATGCATTTGCATAGGTATATTTCTCTTCAATTCCCTTTAAATCGTGATTTAACTATTCTGATTGTAAGTATTTTCTTCTCTAATTTTCACAATCTTCTGTCTTTATTTGCAATTGAATCTTTAAATATTAGAGGTCTTAAACCATTTGATTGATTTCTCCTTAAGATTTCAAATTTTGCTCAACAGATTATAAGGAAATCTTTTATGAATTGTTCTATTCATCTATTAATTGACTTTTAAGTTATTTGATTTCATTAAGTAATTTGGTGTTTTCAGTGTTCAATAAAGCTTGTTGTGCTTCTAATTCTTTGAGTTATTTCTTAGCTTCGGTAGCATCAACATAATAATTACCGGCCTATCTTCTCCAGTCTTCAACTTCTTATCTTCTAGCTATTAATTATTTTTGTAGCAATCTCATTTAATCATTTAAGAAATCACAATTTGTTTATAATTCTTAGTTCAATCTAGATAATAGATCTAATTCAGATGACAATTGATTAGATTTTAATGCCCATTAGTTCACTTCAGTTTTATCTTCAATACGAGTTTCTTATGTAATTTCAATTGAAACCATTTATTAAGACAATAACATGTATTACTTACTTTATTTATCATATTGTTCTTATAATTGAGCAAATTCTGCTTTTAATTACTCAATAACATTCAACAAAGATTTAATTCTAGCTTCTAATTCGCTTGTGTCTTTACTCTTAGGTTGTAATTCAAATTAAGTTAGTTTTCTTCTTAGATTTTAGATTTCATTATCTTTCAAGATGATAAGCTCATTGAGTTTCTTATTATCAATTTCAAACAATTTTAATTATTGAATTCTAGCTTACAAATCTTATATTTCAATTTTATTAGCTTCAATTTGATCTTCTAAATATTTGACTCTTCTAATTAATGTTTAATTTTCATTATTTAATTGTTTGATTTAAGTAGTCAGATATTTGGTTTCTTCCAATCTTTATTGAATTTAATTCTTCTCAATTTCTAGATTACCATATTTAATTTTGAGTGCATCCAATTGATTCTTTCTATCATTAGCTATTTGTTTGAGTTCTTCAACAGCCACTATTAATCTTTTATTTTCACTTTCAAATTCAATCTTTAACAACTTTTCATGTCTCAATTCTCCACAATTATTCTCTAATCTAGAAATTTCTTTTCTTAATTCTGTCATTGCCGTCAATTATACCTATAACATTTCATTGAGATTGCCTATTTCTTAATTCAATACATTGATTTCCAATAATTTATTTTGTAAATTAGTAATTTCAAGATTCTATTCATTAATTAATTTACTCTTTTATTGAATAGTCATGCTCAAATTATTCAATTATTCCTGTAATTTGACTATCTTCATCTTCTAAGCTTCAACATCTTATTATTTTAATTCAACTTCAGTTTCCATTTACAAAGTCTTCTTTCTCCATTCATCAACCTAACCTTGTAAATGCTGAATCAAATTTTTCAATTTCAGAATTTCAGCATCTCTTAATTTGATTTCAGTTGCATTGTTTCTCTAGGCAGCCTCAATTTAAACAGCATTCAGTCTTTCATTGAGTTCGAAGATTTAATTTTATAATTTATTTCTCTCATCCACCATTTCCCAATATCTATCTTACCATTAATTAGCCTAACCTTCAAGTCCTTTCAATTGCCCTTCAACCTACACATTCTTAATTTCAATTGCTTAGTACCTACTCAACTCAGCTTCCAATTTATTGTATTTGTCTCTCCATTCATCCAATTCCCCTAATCTACTCTTCAATTATACTTACAAGTTCTCTAAAACATAGAAACCAATAATACCATAGTTATTCTTTGTCTCCTCAATTGAATTGTTTAATTCATATGTATTTAATCTCATTTTCAATTCGTCATTTTCTTTGATCAGGGATCTAATCTATCCATACAAATCATTGTTCTCCCCGTATAACAATTGTATCTTGGCCTCTTATAATTTAATCTATAAAAATCCATACTATATTTATACCACTTCTTCATTTGCTATGTTCTTGTCATACATGGCCATCAGATCCAAATATCGTTTTCTCCACAATTCAACTTCATGCAATAGAGATTGGATCCTGACTTCATAATCAGAGAAATTTTGTTAATCCACTTTCTTAGTGACAGTGTATTGAACATCTAAAGGGATGACAGTCTCTCTTGGAGTTGATGATAATAAAAATTAGGATTCTCTTAGCTATGGATTCACTATAGTTTCTCGCTGAATAACAGATCCTCCATTGCGCTCTCCAAGTTGAGGAGACAAGTAGCGCATATGCGATTTTGTTAATGATGACTAAATGATTGATTCTTACTTAGAGAAACTCATTTATAAAGATATTTTTTTATTAAATAAACTTATGCATATATAAATATACAGACATTTTATTTAAGATCTCAATTATATAACGTATATTAATCTAATATAAGAAAAATAAGGGCCTTCCTTAAACTCAAATTTATATAATAAAAAATAAAACAACCTTAAATGAAGTTTTCTAGAACAGCATCTACTCATCTCACTAATTTATCCTTTAGGTCAAGTAATCCAAGCACTACTCAAACACCCTAAAGCAATTCACGTTTGAGTGAGGTTAATAATAAAATTGATGATCTATTAAAAAAGTCAACTACTTCAATCAACAAATAAGAGTTTAAATTTCCTTCTTAAGAGAAAAAGATTAATTAAACTTACAATTGTACTCTTATGACTGAACAAGCATAAAAGGAAAAAAAATAATTATTGACAATCCTATTATAGAAAGATAGTATTATAAGGGACTAATAGAACAAAATTGCATAATTGGATTAATAGAATAAGAATTTGATGAAGTAATTGCAATAATTCACTAATCTTCAACCTTAAATGGGATAATTGGAAGAGCAATGCTAATAAATTATCAAGTAGAATGAATAACTGAAATATGAGAAAAACTAAATACAAACCTCGCTTAATTATCTTAAATGCTAAAACATTTAAGTTATAAGTCAAGAATTAAAGAATTCTTTGTAATAACTGCATTAACAAATAAAGAAATATTACATCTGCAATTATAAAGAAGACTACTATAATTTAGAATAAAGTAGAATGACTCTAAAAATGAGTGACCTTGATTTCTATACTATACTAAGGGAATGTTTGGATTGCATATTGTATATGATTAAAAACACTGACCATTCATTAGACCAATATTTAAATAGAAATACTAAAATTTGATTTAAACTGTGTAATTAAAATAACCATCTAGATCCTTTAATTAATTTATTCGAATTATTCTAAAAGTTGCTACTTCAATCTAAAAGTTATCCCTTTTAGCTAATCAAAAATTATTATATCCTAAAATTATTTGTTTCAATTTCTTATCTCTTTAGTATTTCGATAATAATGTCATTAATTGCAATACAAATTCTATTTTCATCATGAGAAAAATCCTTTAATCTTATGTTAAAGAGTTTAGAAGAGGCATTTTTCAAATAACAACTCTTCCCGAAAGTTTTTTAAGATTTTCAGTAAATTAACAAACCTATCTCAATTAATTCAACTTATTCAAAGATATATAGGATCTATAATCATTTAAAATTGTTTGATGATTCATAACTTAAAATAATTAAATTAATTATAAAAGTTAATGATGTTCTTATTTAATTTAAACGATTTTGATGATAACTTATATAAATATTAGAACCATTCAATAATTTCTTTGTGGCAACTGGTGTTCTTAATTATCAGAAAAATAATAAATTAATCTTAAAAGCAATTAAAAACATATCTATCATTCAATCGATAAATCTTTGAATAATTATAATTAATATTCTTACAAAATAAATAACTTCTAAAGATTATCATCAATTAATATAAAGGAGTGTGAGCTGATATATATGCTTAATATATGTACTTTGTGTAATATAATTAAAAGATGGGTGTATAATTAGAAGAGGGTTGAAAAATTAAATTGTTTTGATATATTATCATCTAATAATTATTCTGAAATGTTCATAGAATTTATAAATTAATGAAAAAAGGAAATAATTTTATTAATTAAGTAGCAAGATATTTATAATTGTTTAAAGTATTTATAAAAATAATTAAAATGAACTCTAAGACTTTATGAATAGAGTGGAAATTTCATAACAGATTATATATTTGAATATAATGATGAATAAAGTATTAATATGATTCATAAAAGAAAGGATAAATGTATCATGGATTTTGGAGAATAAATAGGGAACATAAATTTGAAATGAATTAATTATAAAATATAAAAATTATAATATTTCAAGATGGACAATAGGCAATTCGAAGCAATACAAGTTTAATCTCGTAATACAGTGAAATAATAGGAAGTAAGGTGGTATTATGATAAAAGGACCTTTATATATCATTGCCAGATTTATATATTAGAAAATATGTGCTTTCTGAAAAAATATGTGCTTTGAAAAAACCATACATTCCAAAAGTGAATATGCACGATCATACAAATTAAGAAGTATAGGTGAATCGTAATTTTAGATTCTGAGAGTGCCAAAAGTTTGGTAATAAGTGATGAATGATGTACAATTGAAGGCGCTTGATTTTTAAGAGAGAAAGAAATGGAAAGTAAGTGAATGATTGAATTTTGCATAGATAGCTGTGAATTATTAATTAGCATAGGAAGCTAAGGCCACTCATTAGATGTTACAGAAAGAGAGGGAAGAAATTGAGTAATTTGGAATTTGTATTTCTTACTCATTATGTCAGATGGTATAAAAGGCATTCAATTAAATGGGTAGTTATTAAATTATAGGATTAGACGTTGAGGAATCTAATTAGAAACCAATATAAAAGTATTTGAAGACGATGAAGGGTGAGAATTAGGATTTGGATGAGTAGAGATATTAAGATGCACTTCAAAAAGTGAAGAGGTACTTGTCAACAAATAGAGATATCTACGTTTCCTTAGAATCACTATTTCCAGATATGCAATAAACTTATTCAGAATCAAATACTCATGATATCCATTCCAGTGATAGGAGAAAGATTAAACAGACAGTTGAATTCGATTTTAAGAAGAAATATGAGAATCTTTAGGAGGCGTTGCAATTGTTTGTGAATAAGGATATTCCATTAAAGGAGTCTTTTGAGAAGAGCGTAATGAGTATAGAGAGTTTTCCGACTTCTTTGGAAATGATATACAAATACAAAGTGAAATTATACTATCAAGAACCTTGTTTGGATCCAGAATATGAAGAATTATTATATAGAATTGGTTGTACTCCTGAATAGGTTTTGAATGATGGAGAAAAGATGATGAAAAAGTAATTTAATTGATGATTTTAGAATGAAGATATTTTCAAGTAATTAAGTTGTAGAACAATAATTACTTCCTTAGTTAGAATTAAAAGATCTGTTTCGATACAAATATAATTACATAGAAAAAGATTGCCATTTTATTTAACAGAATGGAAAATTCATTCCATTAAATGCTGAAAGATTTAATTTGCATTCTTAATAGATAACAAAATCCAATGACTTAGTCAAACAATATTTCATATAGTATTAACTTTAAAAATTAAATTTTTAGTTATTATCAGAAATTCTAAGGGGACTTCAATTAAGTTAGTTAAGCACTATCGTCAAACACCGTCACAGCCAATTTATATTTGTATACCCCAAATTTCTGTGCCGATCTCTATGCTTGGTTGATATTTAATAAGAGCATTCCATCAAACTCTAAATTTATATTGCCTTAACAATATTAGAAGAAATGCGAATCTATTAAATACATGTAGAAACCTCAATAACAAACACCTCAATACAATAATATACTAAATGATTATGAATCACTAATTTAAAAGAAACTACCAACCAAAATACAACATCTAAGAATCACTTCCTTAGAATGCATTTAAATAATATACGAAACCTGTCTTCAAAGAATTACTAACTAAAATCAAATTTGATGACCCCATATCAGTTAAGACTTCTGGATAAGCTGATTATTCAATGGTTGAAAGACTTTCATTTTCTAATTTGAAAGAGTTAGTCAAATCTGCTAACAATTCAAAAGGCCATATTGAAAAAAGATACAAAAACATATATGACATAGCCAGATAAGATTGCTACCCTATTGAATAAATTAAAAAAGAAATTGTACATAATTCTTATATTTTTAGAGGAAAAATTATAAATAATAATAATTGGCAAACTAAAGAATGTTCCCGATGTCAACTATGAAATATAATTAACCGCAAACTTCTGGAATACCAATTAGTCAATATTAGCAAAAACCAACAACAATTGAGAATATGAGCACCACTTAGAATATTTTATTGTCATCATAGCAAACATCTACACAATAAACTGTGCCAATATAAACCTAATAACCATTGTAAACAGCGTAACCACCATAAGCTCCTCCTCCTCCAGTAGCTTAACCATATAATTCATCTGGTACATCAAGACCACGTAAAACAAAACCAGAAGTTCCTGCTTAAACTCCTTAATAAGCTCCTCCAGTTGTTTAATAACCAGCATCTGCAAAGAAAACCAATAGAAAAAAGGATGATTCAGTAGCTCAACAAGCTTCAGTAACAACTCCTGCCAATGTTGAAACTTAGGAACCACCTAAACAATCCAAAAGAACCAAAAAATAAACTAAGGCCAACGAAAAAAATAAACAATAATAACCAGAAGATCGTAAAGATGATAGTGTTTGAATACCTATGTAATTTTTATGTAATTTAATTATATTTTTGTTATTTTATTATTTTATTAATTTATTAATTTTACAATAAATACATTACGTCATGGCCTCTGTTGATCAGACATAATTTACATTCATCAAGAGACGCCACTTCTCCAAAAAGCGTAAACAAGAATATAAACCGCGAAATTACTCATATATTACATCTGATGCCAAAAAATTGTTTCTCTAGCTCTTTCTATTTCAGAGCTACAAAATCCATGATGTAAGCCATAAAATATAAGTTTAACATAGGCTGCTAACAAGGCTGGGATCAAGTATTCTTCAGCTAAAACAATCCTCTTTGCACACCGCAAGTAATACAAATAAGAATTAATTAGAGATAAATTGGCAGCTGTATTATTTTTTTCAAATATAGAATTCCATACAAACTAAGTGTTGTGGATATAAACTTAAATAAACTAGTTAAGCAGATCCTATATAAGTAATCACCAGAGTTGGTATGTGACCCTACCAATATCATTATTTATTGTATATATTTATGAATTAAACTGAAAATCACAATAAAATAATAATTTTCCTGTTAATTATGAATTCATTTTCGGAGGACCTTGGGAATTAAAGTAGAATTTAGCATTCAAGACAACCCTACTAACATCAAACAGATTGAGTTTAGATTGATAGAATTTTTTTATTCTCGATTTCTATTTCAATTTATGAGTAACTTAATTGTATTAATATAATCAAAATACTAATTTAAGTAACTATTCTTTTCAATCTTTAAATTAATAAGAGTAGTCATACAAATCTTCGAATGAAGTTCTAAACATTCATTTAAGAAATTGCTCAAATTCAATTAGAAAATCGAAAACTTAAACCAAATTTCTTGCAATCGATTTATGTTACTAAAAATATACCTCGATAAAGTATCAAGAACACTAATTATTATTAATTTTCATTCAATTCTAATAAAAAATATCCATAATCAAGTTATCAAAAGAGGATTTAATTGTTGGAAGATTTAAGACAAGAACGGAGCTAAAAATAAAGTAGTAACAAAACTGAAGTCATCAAACTATAAAACAACTATCCTGAATATATAGTAGTGATATTAAGAATATATAGTTTATTCTTATTCGTCAACCTTCATTAAAGAATTGATATATCAATTTAAAAACAACTTTTATAGAATGAAATTCTTTCAAAAAAAAAAATATTCTGAATCAAAAGTTATTGTTCATAAACTATTAATTATAAAATAAATTGTATATTATGAATTTTAGTTGGTTGTGGCAATCTAAAAATTCCAAGAATGCCATTGCTTATGTTAAAACTGAAATTTAATGATATAGTTAAGAAATCAATAATAAAAATATAATATATAATCAATCATTGTTGGAAGATTTGTGGCTAATTTGCATTAATTAATCGTGAAAACTAAAAAGCTTTTCGAAAATTGTTTAGTTATTTATAAAGAATGCACTTGAGAATTATAAATTAAAAGAACCTTTGAGTTTAATTATTGCTTCCGTGTTCCAAATAGTTTTAGAAATCCATTCATCACAGCATTATATGGAATCAACCCATCTTCCTTAAATTTCTAGAGCTTCAACTAATAATATATTTTTTAATACTTTTTTTGATATAGAATTCACTTATAGTGTTGTTTTTTTTAATTCCTTTATCCCAACATTAAATAATCTCTTCAAATTTTCCCTATTTGAATAAACATCGTGCTTTAAAACTATTATTTTAATTACTTTTGGCTTCGTAAAAAATCATATCATCGAATAAATCAATATAATGATTGGCCTCTTCGATAATTTATTCTATCTTTTCTTATTCTTCTAAAGCTTAAACTAAAATTATCTAATAAAAGTTAACATTTCTTTTTATAAAAAAATGAAGTATTTGGATTATTTTTCATTCCTTCGTCCCAACATTCAATGATTTCTTCCAATCTATTTAATTTCTTTAAATAATTAGCTAATCATTACTAAATCATTACACCTTTATCTTCATAAAAGATTTGAACCTGCCTATGCATATGAATTCCATGATTCAAACATTTAATTACTTCATCCCATCGCTCTAATTTTTCTAAAGCACTAACTTAAATAATTTACTGTCATTCTACCTTTAGATTTAATATAAAATAGAGTATCATTTCCATTTTATATTGCAAAATCCCAACATTCTACTATCTTTTCTTAACAAAATGTTTCTCCATAACATTGGATTAAAGCCTAAACTATATTATTCAAACTTTGAATACCTTTTTGCTTATAAAAATATGGATCTGTTTTATTATTTTAAATTCCAAACTCCCAAACTTAAATAGCCTCCTCTAACCTATTCTATTTTTCTAACTCCACAACTATCAAAATACCAGGATATTTTGTACATTTATAGGCGTAAAATATAGGATCAGTCTTATTAAACATTATTCCTTAATCATAGCATTTAATTATCTCATCGTATCTCTTTTGACTTTTTAAAGCACAAACTATAAACTTAAATGCATAAATACCTTTCTAGTGATAAAAGGTAAAATCATTTTTATTATTTTAAATCCCTTATTCCCAGGCATCGATAACTTCATTTTGAAGATCTAATTAATTTAAAATCCTTGCTAAATGGATTTATTCATCTATTAATACTTTTGGCTTTGTAAAATTCTAATTCATTTTTGTTATCTGATATTGCAATATCACATTATTTTAAGGCATCTTGTAATCTACCTTACTTTATTAAAAGAGAAACTATAAATTAGAATCTTTATACTTTCTTTAGAAATAAATTGAAAATCTGATTTTGAATTCATAAGGGTATTACAATATTCTCAGCTTAATTTATTTTTTATTTTTTATTTAATATTCAATTTCTATTATGTTAGAATAGAATTGTGGTTGCTCTGTTGATCATTAAGAGGAAATAATTGGAATTTGTTTATCAGATAAATGTGTGAATAATGCATAATTTTGCTATAATTGTTTAAGATAATTTCATTATGAGCACTAAAAATAATGCCAGACTTTTAAAAATCTCTTCAACTAACTGGTTGAGGATAAAAAATAACTTTAAATTTATGTTAATTATGTAAAACAATTTAAGGTGATATTTGACGAAATCTATCGAAAGCAGCTAGAAAAAAGTTAAGAAAATATTGAAAAATTAAATTCAATAAATTTACGTATAAAAGAAAAATCATTTTATCCAACAGATTCAGACATCCATTTTCTTAGGAATTATAAGTCAAGCTAACAATATTTTTAATGTAAATTATAATAATTATCTGAACAGAATGGATTGCCAAATTGGAGTGGATTGAGAAATGAGTTTATAATTAGAAGGATTATTAAGATCAGGATCAGAACAAAACTGACTAATAAACAATAGATAAGACTTAAGATTAGAAGCGTGCTACTGAACCGGACTTAACTGATGGTTAAACAATAGATCAAGATCAAGATTGAGAGAACACAGATGTTGTGGTATAATAAGGTATGCATCAGATATTCAATTTTGGGTATTGACTTATTTGATAACAAGTGATTTCGGGGAGCATTAGTAATTTTTGAGAGGTTTCCTAATTCTCATAAAGAGGCTATCAATTGGAAAAGTATTTTTCAGATTCATAAGGTTGATAGTGTAATGCTTATTGCGAATGAGAGGTTATCGTTATTTTGTCGA